TAAAAAAAAAATTATAATTATACTAATTTTTATACTAATCTTATTATTTCTTACTAGTATTAATAAAAATACTTAAAATCCTATTTCTTTTCTAATACTTTAAATATTTTATTATCTCTAAAGTCTTAGCTATTATTTGGGTTTTATTTTATAATATTATATAATAAGTATCTAAAAAGATTTACTTTATTTTAGTACTTATTACCAGAATTAAGAAAATATTAATTACTATAAATAAAAGCTTTAGCTAGTACCTTTTTTATATATCTTAATACTATTATTAAAGTATAAATAAGTTCCTAATATTATATAGCTTTTTCTAATAATAATTCTTATATTTATCTTAATTTACTAGCTATATATATTTCTCTAATATCTAAATAATCTTATTAAAATTATCTAGTTTTTTCTTTACTAGCTATTTAATTTCCTTAACTAATACTAAATTATTAGAAATAAATATCTAATCTTAATATTTCTCTTAAAGCTTTTTAACTTTAGTTAAGATAAGCTAAATTTATTTTTTCTTCTAATTAGCCCTAATATATTTTATATAGTAATTTAGATAAAATATAAGAGTAATAATATAAAAAGGCATATTATTAGACTTATGGTAATATATATTAAAAACTTCTTATTTTTTCTGAATTCGAGTATAAAAGTCTTTATTATTTATATATATATTCTATTATACTATAGTTAATATTATTAATTTAAGTAATAAAGATTAGTATAAAAATTAGTATAAAGATTAGTATAAAGATTAGTATAAAAATTATTACTTACTAGTAATCTATTAAATACTCGAATTAAAATATCTATTATAAAAAGTATCTAATTAATAATTATAGTATTTTCTTAAGTCTTAAGAATAGCTTTATAAAATAGTTTAAGAAAAGTAAAAATTATTTAAAGCCTTCTCTAGTTTTCCGAACTAAGGTAATCTAATTTCAGATTTATAAGATACTTTTTATAATAGGTATTAAGATAAGTATATTACTAAAAAGTAATATTAAATATTATATACTAGTTATTTTATTATATCTAATTATTAAGAGAAATTATTCTTCTAATAAAAGCTTTAAATCTAGTAATCTAACTAGAAAAGTAATAAATATATATAATAATATTATAAAACTAGTCTAATAGTCCTAAAAATCGAAATTTTATTTATTTTTTCTTATTACTTAATAGGATTTCTAAATCTCTCAAGTTCTCTTACTTATTAAATGCCTTTAATTCTTTATTTATAAAAATATTATAAAATAAAAAGGCTTATATAAAAAGATTAATAATATATCCTAAATAATAAACTTGCTATTATAAAATATCTTATTCTAATTCTTTTTCCCTTAATAAATAAGCCTAAATAGCTTAATATAATATACTATTTATACTAGTATTATTACTAATAATAGCTCTAAATTATTTAGTAATACTATAATCTTAAAATATAAGTTATAAAACCGTAAATTAGTTTTTTTCTAAATAACCTAATATTATATAAAGAGCTAAAAGAGCCTTTATATAATTCTTATCTTATTATTTAATAAAATATATAATAATATCTAAAAGAAAATATTTTTATAAAGAAGTCTAAATATTAAAAGCAAGATAAATACTTGAAACTATAAACTAGAGTTTTTATTATATAATATTCTTTAAGCTAATCTAGTATTTCCTAAGCTTTTTTCTTATATAAGAGTAAGTTATAGAAAGAAAGAACTAAGATTCTGAATTAAGTATTTAATAAAAAATATAAAATTTAGGCTATTTAATTACTCGAAAAAATAGATTATAAATAATAATTAATGAAATTAAAGCTTTATAAATTATTATCTAATTAAGGTATTATTAAAAGATATATATATTAATTTTAGTTATTTAGCTAGATGACTTTACTTATAAGTAAAGCTATTATAGCTAGTTAATTACTTTTAATTAAAGTAAACTAATTTCTAATCTATTCTTAATAGTAATATTATATACTAACTTGAAATAATTATATTAATTAGTAAAAACTCAAGTCAAATAAATATTTAGTAGATTTTTCTTTTTATAAAGAAGATAATAGTAGTATTTGAGTAGTTCTCTTATATCTAGATACCCGAAACAAGTATAAGCCTAAATAGCTCTTATAAGTTCTCTTTATTTAAAATTAGATTTGAATTAAGTTAAGTCTATATTAATAGAGGCTTAATAGATTAATAAGGCAAATTTAGAAGCTATATTTAAATAATAGAAAATGAAGTATTATTATATATTAAAGAGAAAATAAAAGAAAATATAAAAATTTTAATCTTTTTTAGAAGAAATAGTAATATAAATCTTAGTATTATATATTAAATACTAGCTAGTTTATATTATATAATAGACTATTAAATAGAAAGTATAATAGTATATTTATAATAGTTTATTTTTATACTAATTTTTATACTAATTAGTTTATAATTAAACTAGAAAGCAAGATATTTATATAATGGGACTTATTTAATAGCTAGCTAGGCCTACTTTTATTAATAATTATCGAGGTAATAGGGCTCGCTTAATAGCTGGCTGGGCCTACTTTTATTAATAATTATTAAGGTAATAGAGCTTGCTTAATAGCTAGCTGGGCCCACTTTTATTAATGGAATTATTAATAACTGGATTAAATACTAGCTAGTCTATATTATAAAATAGACTATTAAATAAAAAGTTAAAAAGTCTAATAATATAATAATAATAGTATATTTTTATACTAATCTTAATACTAATTAGTTTATAATTAAACTAGAAAGCCGTAATGGGGCTCGTTTAATGGCTGAGCCCACTTTTATTAATAATAATTATTAATATTAATCATTTATCGATCGCTTAGCTGATAACGATTACTAATCGATAATTTCGATCGATAATTTATCGGAGCCCACACTGCATCCGCATTCAAAGCCCAAAAGTCAAGCCTCAGAACATCAATTGTCTTATCCCACCACACCGCCCTTTTCTGTTCCTGTTCCAAGCACTTCCGTCTATCCTCCTTCTCATCCAACATTTCCTGGCACATAAACTCCAACTCCCTGTATTCCTTCTCGTCGGCGCACAGGTAATGATTTTCTTCAAGTTTCCGCTAGAGATCATGTAGACTCCACTTATGGTGTCCGGGTAGATCTAGGAACGAGATCTTGAGTTAAAGACGCTAATAGTGTATCAATGAACTACTCATGCTACTCATACTACTCGTGAATATTCATGAGTAGCGTGAGTAGAATATGAGTAGCGTAATGTCCTAAAAATTTGAGTAGAGTAGAGTATATACTCATGAGTAGTATGAGTAGTAATGAGTAGCCGTCACGTAACAATAATAAACTAAGGTTTATTTAATAATAATTAAATAATAAAGATATTTATTAAGTAGCCCCAGTAAAGGTAAGCTAGGGCTTATATAAGACCAGCTAAATATTAATTTTCTATAATAATAAACTAGTTATGCTTCTTAGAATCTTGATTTCCCCCTGACCTTTGGCTTGCTTACTAAGCAATTCCATTGCCTAATTGGGTAGAAACTTGGCGCTAGAGCGGCGCTAGATGGGAGGCTTACCTACTTAGGCTAGCCTATTACGTGTAACGGTCACGTGGGTACCTACTCATACTACTCATACTACTCATGAGTAGCTTGAGTAGAGTATGAGTAGAGTATGAGTAGCGCTATAATTGGTTGAGTAGAGTATGAGTAAGACCCACTACTCTACTCTACTCTACTCATTTGACACACTGGACGCTGAAAATGTTTGAGTGTTTCATGTCGGCTCTCTTGGTTGATCTGAGATGTTTTCGGGAGTGGTCGATGGATGCGAGGCGGAAAGCACTGATTTATGTAATTGTATGGTTTAAGGGTCAAAGGAGGAGGCCGAAAATCGATCGGAATTGCCAATTGCCAGATCATGATTCGAATTTCTGCAGGGATAGAAGGGAATTTTGGGAATATTGCGAGAGGTGACTGCGGGCTCGCGGTGTTTGTCGGTTGAGCCATGGCTGTGCATTTGGGTCGAGCTTTGTCTGCTTTACGTTGTCGTCTTGAGGGTATTTTCTCGTCGTCTAGAGGGTCTGAAGTTTTCGAAAAAGTAGTGCGGGTTTAATTAAATCTTGACCATGCCGCCTCCCGCCAATCAAACACGGTTAACCTAGACCCCGGGCCCAGACCTAGAGACATTTACTTCCACACGTGACTGAGCTATTTCCGGTCACTTGGATCGACGGATTACTTTCAATTCGTTTGTATTAATGAGGTCTAGCCCTCTACTTGAGCCACTTTCGTGGGCGTATTTCGACAGAGGGGAAGGGGCTGAGCATAAGGGCTGAGCATAAGGGCTGAGCATAACTATGCAGCTGCGCCCCCTCGCACATGTATATTGCAAAACTTCTCATCGAACGCCATTTCATGGTTTGAAAATAAATGAAAGGAGAAAGGAAATCATGTGTGGTCTAATCTTCACACTCTGGGTCGGCAGACACAACAACGGGTCAATTGAAGATCGGAGAGATCTCGTGAGAGGCTCCGCTGTGAACACGCGGGTTGTGAAGCTGTTGCCATTGAAGAAAGACGAAGATGCCGGAAATTCTGATGTTCGCGAATCAGGCGTGAATGCGACGAGCGGAGGAAATGTGTCGCCGAAATAGGACAGTATCAAGCCTGGACGCAAGGTATGTTTCTATTGGCCTAGACGACAACTCTCAGAACTTGCTAAGACTTGCGACAGCTAAGCTGAAAGAAAGACACAATTGAGGGATGTAGAAAACTGGATATGGTCTCTGAGTTGGGTGGTGAAGCGGTTGATCGTTGGCAAACCTCTTCATCTGATGTCGAGGGTCAATCTTGAGGCTCCTCCCAATGAAGGATCAAGGATTATAGTTCATTCATTGAAAGTATTCTCGCACCGGCCACTCCGAAATCACAGCCAAGACAGCGCTCGCATGCCTCATCAATTGTTTCTCGAATTCCGTTCTCATCCAATCTAATCTCACTTCGTGTCCGCGGCAAGTATACTCTCAACCTTGGTCACCTTCTCCGAGAAATGTTGTTCCTTGTCCGTCCTACTACTGTCAGCCCTCATTTATGTCTAAGAAGTCTGCATTCTTACCTTGTGCCAGCACGAATATCAGTCTGTACCCGCAGAACTCCATTTTGGTGGACGAGAGTGTGTGCTTGGCCGATGAGTTTCATGACTTCGTCCCAAGATCCTTCTGTGGCTAGAATTAACCATCTATTGCTGTTTGGGGAGATATAAAGATGAATATAGCGCCCAATCAAAAAAAGCCGGGAGAAGAATGGGTAGCGCATTGAAATTATGACACTTGATTCCAACGCTTCGGGGCAGGGCTCAATCCCACTTTGCCCGAGCTCTCTGAGGCGCAAAGAAACGCTCAAACAAGACCGATATTTCAAAGCGGAGAGGCTCCAGTGGGAGGTTACGTACCAACTGTCGTCCCAGCGCTGTGCATCGAGTAGCTCAGCCCACTTGCTTTCATCAGCCGCTGGACAGCAGCTACTTCATTCGATACTGAAGCTGTTGTAGTGCCAATCTGCTGTATCGTCAGAGAAGCCAAGATGCATTCCGGCAGTTCCAGGCAGTCCGAAACTTACGGGGATTAGACAGAAATCGGCAACGCAAGCCGGTGGCGTTGAGAGGTTGGCGTAATCGATTGGTGCTGCCATGGCCTGTTAAGAGGCCGGATAAATATTATGTACGAGAAAGAATTTAAGTTTTAAGGGTTCAATGGCGGTGGGATAGAGATTTGGATGATGATGAACGGTTGTTATGTTTTTTTTTTTGAGATTGTGATAAGCCAGTTAGGCGAGGAGTCGAATTTGGATGGTCACGTGAATGAAGGAGACAAGGAATTGGTGGTGTCTTTTTGCTCAAAGGCGTTTTGCATCTCATAGAATTGGCGTTTTGAGGAGATAGCCGTTATGTTTCCTGTCAAATACGTCTGTTCATGTCACTCACGGCCCCTGATTCCTCCAGCCTCAAGTAAGCAAAGGCTTACGCCTCGTGCTGCAAGTCAACGCATCTTTCCCGTCGTCCACAAAATGCCAGTCGATTCATACGCGGATGCCTAAGAAACCTCTCCATTCAAGGTAGCGTCGCTTTCAGCGGCCCATTTTTAACCCCCGGCCTCCCCTTCTTCGTGATGAAAATGCCTCTCCTGCCTCATCCCCTCTTGTTCAAGACTATCCGTATTAAAGCTACCCGGCATGAGCATAATCATCGGAACCTAACCCTCCTCTAGCTTATCCTCAATAACAAAACGTAAAGTCGTGCCACAGCTCCGCAAAATGACCGTGTAGTATTTCTTCCATCAGCAAACTCGTAGTTGGCAATTGCATATTCCCCAGGTTTGAGGTGGGTGAGTTCCGCGGTGGTTTTGTCATCGAAGATTGAATTGGGTTCAATAGTGAGTGGGGCCTTTTCATTTTCCACCGCCCAATCGACCAACCATGCTTGTACTAGAGTGCAGCTGTTGCGTCGACAATTATCGTAGTGATCAAAGAAGATTTTTGGCGTGCCGTATTCGGCACCTGACGGGTCCAACATTATCGGCCGTTGATCGAGAAGGGGAACCCAGATTGTGTATCGAATTTCACAGCACTAGCAGCCGCTTTTGAGGTCCATCATTTCGAAAGGGAGGGATGACATTTTGGAAGCGGGTTATTGTCCGAAAGGAGAGTATTTGATACATTTTGAGGTGTATGAGAGTGTAGATGAAAGAAGGTCCGGGGAAGATGTGAGAGGAATGGTCGTTTAAATCACTTGATAAAGATCAATCCGAGTCGGATTTTTAATGAAAAGAGAAGAATTCGTATTGACTTTTCCTCGTGGTCACCTTCCCTTAGCATCCTTCGCGGAGTCTTTTCGCCGACTTCGGGTGCTGTTCACGCCGCCCCGGAACATAGCTGTCAATCACAACATTTAAACATCCCGAACGGACAGGACGCTCGGCCTACTGTTCCGGGGATTCAACACAAGATGAGATGTTAAGAGAGACTTCTTCCCGCGTGGCAGGGTCTGCAAGTTCTGCAACAGCCCTGCATTGCCACCCGTTACCACTCGCGGTGGAATGCAAGCCACAACGCTCAGCTCCTCGAGATATCTCACTGCATATCTCAGCTTCATTCTTCTCCAGCAGCAGTCTTTGGATGATTTGTGAGATGCGCAGCCCGGCTGACGTTGACACGTCGTCGTCGAAGTTTTGAAACCGAACGGAAGTGGGCTAGTGGGACAGCCAAAAATAGATGGCGGGAGTTTTCCGGCGCCAACCCCCTTTGGGGCCAGCCTTCCGCATCACCAACAACATCCAACGACAAACGCATCGCACCGGCACAACGTCACTCTTGCCCGATGCCTTTTCTTCGGTTTCAAGACCTCTCCTGGATGGCTGATTGGATCGGGCAGGGATGGCACGTCTGGGCAGCTGCTGAGCTGGGTCCACATTTCTGCAACTGCGGTTGCTGACGACGATCAAGCGCATATCAACCTTGGCTGCGCCTCCTCTCCAAGGTCTCGCCATTTTTCTATAGCCCCTCTATTTCATTGGATTTGTGTTTTTCCCTCTTTCCTCACGATTGTAAGTTATATAATTCTTGCTGGGCCAGGTGATTGTTTCCTTTGTTTGGACAATCGCTCCGCGGCTCAAAGATTTGCCACCGTGTTCATTCCCAAAGTCTTCTTTCGTCAGACCTCAGCATCACCAATACAGCATGATGCTTCTTTCATTGCTTGCTACCTTGGTAGCTTTTCTCTCATTCGCAGGCCTGGGTCAAGCTGTTGCTCAACAAGGTGGTGGAAATGGCGGGGATGGGGTTGGACAGCAATCGAAATCCCGAATAGCCACAACAGCAACACGAGCGTCTACGACGGCCCCCGAAGCAGCAGTATCAACCAGTACAGTAGCCTGCAACAACTCCCCGCTCCTGTGCAGCCGAAATTACAACAACATAACTCATATGGGAGCCCACGATTCTGCCTTCCTGCGAGATAGCAGCACCTCCTTCACCGTCTCCGGCAACCAGTTCTACAACGCCACCGTCGCACTCTCAGCCGGTATTCGACTATTGCAAGCACAAGTCCACAACCAGAACGGCACCCTCGAGCTCTGCCATACAACATGCACGCTTCTCGATGCTGGGACGTTGGAAACTTTCCTAAAGGAGATAAAGACATGGATGGATGCCAACACCAACGAGGTCGTGACGCTGCTGCTCGTCAATTCTGACGATGAGTCTGCCGCCACATTTGGATCGGTGTTCGCCAGCTCGGGGATTTCAATCTACGGCTACACACCCACATCCACCACTGGCCCTGTCTCGACATGGCCAACTCTGCGGACTTTGATTACGGCGAATACAAGACTGGTGACATTTATTGCCAGCATTACTTACGACAGCACATATCCCTACCTGCTCACCGAATTTGACTACGTTTTTGAAACAGCATTTGGAGTCTCGTCCCTCAGTGGCTTCAACTGCACCCTCTCCCGCCCCACATCCCTCTCCTCCTCCTCCTCCTCCTCCGCCATATCATCAGGGTACATGGGTTTGGTAAACCACTTTGCGGACACAGTGGAGGTCTTCGGTATATCGATCCCGGACGTAACGGATATCGCAACTACGAATTCTGCGAGCACAAATACAACAGGTGCGTTGGGAGCACACGGTACAGAGTGTAAAAGCGAGTGGGGGACGAAGCCGACCTTTATACTTGTTGATTTCTGGAACGTGGGACCGGCCATTAAGACTGCGGATCAGTTGAATGGAATTACTGCGACTGGGAGGACAAGCGTCACCACGGCGGAACTGACCGCGAGCTCAAGCTTTGGTGTCAAGGGGGATCCTAGAAGTTCATGTGCTATCGCGGGTACGGCCATGGCTGCGCTTGCAATTGTGAACTTTGTTTGTTTATAGACAACATACTTCTGGGAAACTGGGAGACTTCCTGGGTCGAGCATAGCGTAGGAGTTGGGTCCGGATACGTGCATTCGCATTTACAGGCGTTGGATACCATACATCTGCTTTGGGGCAAAGAAAAACACTAGTTGTCAGCATAGAAGAAAGATTATGAAGTAACCTGGATTTATTCCCATTGACCCTGTATTGAAAGTAACCTGTCCGCCTCTTACTCGGAAACTGTTTTTGAACCCCACTTTCAGGAGGTAGTTCCTCTGAACCTACCAATATTTTTGGTTCGAAGATATATGGAGCAAGTGCTGCAATCTAACAAGGAGAGGGGCACATTCGCCTTTGAGCCACTCTTCACAGTTTTCCACTTCAGACAAATTTATTATTTAACCCACCCCACTTTTCTCTCCCCAGTCTACCAATCGGTCATTTCACTCCCAACTTCGCCCTTCGGCACCTTCCGCTACATCAACTACAAGGCTTCCGTCTGCCTTTCTACCCTACCTCTCTGTTCTTCTCAAAACAATACCAAGATGGCAACTCAAACCCCAGCCCAGGATGCCCCGGAAGCATCCGCTCAACCAATAGACAAGCTACTCCAAGTTCGGACTGGCAAGCTTCGACCTGTCTTCGGCCTCAAAACTCCATCAGGGATCTTCAAAACAGTACACCAAAACCCTGTCAAAGTGGAATTCCTGGGCTGCGAAGGCGATGAGCATGGCTATATCGGCCATGGAGGGGTAGATAAAGCGCTGATGTGGTATCCTTCCCAGCACTACGCTTTCTGGAAAACGGAGCTCCCCCAGAATGCCCATCTTTTCGGTGTTGGGGGATTTGGTGAGAATATCGTTACCTCAAATGAGAAGTTGAGCGAGAAGGAAGTTTGTGTTGGGGATATGTTCAGATTTGGCCGAGAGGAAGCAGGAGTGGTGATCCAAATCAGTGAACCGCGGCAGCCGTGCTTTATGCTCAATCATCGACTTGAGGTTAAGGATATGAGTATCCGATCTCAGAACGCAAATCGAACGGGGTGGTACTGTCGCGTTTTGAAGGAAGGGCATATCCAGTCCGGTGATCCCATAACCTTGGTCGAGAGAAAGTATCCGAAATGGACAGTCAAGGCGGTGCAGACGATTTTGTATGTGGAGAGGAAGAATTGGGAGGCGATCAGGGAGCTGAGTGAGTTATCTGAGCTTGGTGAGGAGATAAGAATGATCTTCTTAAATCGGCTGAAGAAGGGGATTTTCTTAGACGAGTCTGATAGGCTGGGTGGCGGTGAAGACAAGGCGTGGAATGAATATCGGCTTGTGGGCAAGAAGGTAGAAACTCCAAGGATATGTTCGTTTGAGTTCGAGACTATCAATACCATCGAGAACTCAGCGCCTGCGACCCCTGGATCCCATATCCGTGTCAAATTCGGGGGAAATAGCCAGGTTGTGAGAGCATATTCCATAGTTGGTGGAGACAGCGACCGCTTCACGCTCGGCATCGCCTTGGACCGGGACTCTCGAGGCGGTTCAAGATACCTGCACGAGGAGCTGAAAATTGGCGATACCCTTTCATTCAGTCAAATGAAATCAGACTTCTCTCCAGCTGTAGACGCAGATCACCATATCTTGATCGCCGGAGGTGTCGGCATCACCGCCTTCCTCATCACCGCACGGCAACTGAGGCAACAGGGACAGAATTTCCATCTATACTACGCTATTCGTTCCGCTCATGATGTTGCCTTCAAACATCTGGTTCAAGAACTCGGCAACGACGTTACGGTTCTGGATGGGAGTAAAGGGCAAAGGCTCGAGATCTCAAAGATTATCGCAAAGTCGAACAGCAGGACGCACATCTACTGCTGCGGCCCCCAGCGTCTCATGGATGGCGTAACGCTCGCTGCTCGTACCCTGAGTTTCCCAAGTTCCAATCTCCATTTCGAAGCTTTCACGGCCCTGGCATCGGGTGACCCATTTACAGTTGAATTAGCGGAATCAAAGAAAACACTTGACATTAAGGCAGAGCAGACATTGTTGGATGTCCTCAGGGATTCTGGATTTGATATCCCGAGCAGCTGCGAGGTTGGCAATTGCGGGACTTGTAGGGTTGGTGTGAGGGGTGGAAAAGTTGAGCATAGAGGGACAGGGTTATTAGAGGGGGAGAAGAAGGGCGCGATGTTGAGTTGCGTGTCGAGAGGGATTGGCAGGGTTGTGTTGGATTTGTGACTAAAGTGCAACCACTTGGGCTGAAGCTGAGGTTATTGGACCTGAAAAGAGCTTGGCTTCTCGAGCTGTTCTTGGTGCTTGGCGTTATCGTACTAGGTTTGTGATCATATTGTTGAAATTGGTACGCTACCATAGCTAGCTTCCCAGTCCTTCCAGCACCAGGTTCAACCACTAATTTAGGGTTCTCCACTCTCATTTGTCATGCGTCACTCGCCGAGCTTACCAAGCTTACTAGTATATCGTCATTTTAATTACCTTTGATTTATTAGCTGATTGATAATGTATCGGAGAAAGCGGGCTCGGCATCACCGGTATCGCCGAAGGGTAATGGGAATAAACCCCTTACTTTGGACACTTTTCCTCTGTTTCTTGAACTCACTCTTCTGTATCCAGTCATTCTGCAGTCTGTCAACCTTCAATATATCGATTTTCCATCAATAAATCGATTACTTTTCAATACATATACTTTGCGTCCCTTATTTCTTTTTTTATCCTTCTCGATATGGTACCAATCGCTCAAAGACATTACCCTGCTTAGATATTTCAAGTGGAAAGACCCTGAGACTCTTCATGTATTTTTTTAGTGGATCCCCTTTAACTTTGAACAAGAGTGGGAACTTCGGCTGAGGGAAATGGTTCATCGACCCTACATTTTCATTCGCCGCAAAAGAAGGGCCGATAACTTGGCCTTGGCTCCAACCGGGCGATTGATAGAGACCCAGTGTAACATTCTCGAATACGTTTGTGGGGCCCTAGGGTTTGAAGTAAGTACTTCGTAAGCCCTCACCTCCGCGTCATTGTCCTCGGCTTTCCTCTCGCAAAATCATTTAATTGGTTCAAGGCAAAAATTCCATGCATGCCAAATGCTTTTGAAGAAAGACAATAGACTTTTACGGACGCGGGTTTGGTCAGTTCTGGAATAGCGGAAGAAGACCTAGAAGATGTTTTCTTGTTTTTTTGCTCAACGTCAAAGTAGTTATCGTAATCAATATACCACTCTGCTTCCATTCCTACCCTTCTGGGAAGCATTCAGTAAGCTTAAGTCAATCTCGCCAACCCTGATTGTACTTTCCCTCTTATTCTTATTTCCATTTTTGTCCGTAGCTCCAATTATAGCCGCCAATTCAGGCTCTCCTCCCACTACCAAAGTTCTCAACGGCAACTACTATGGGGCCTATAGTCCGACGTATGGTCAATATATGTTTCTAGGCACCCCTACTCCTTGCCACCAGTCGGGGATCTTCGGTTGTGGCAAGCAGCAAGCCCAGCCTCTAAACACTACTTAGAGCGAAACATGAAATGCTACCCAATACCCTCCGGAATGCATCGGCTATGGGAGTGATACTATGGGAGCGATGCTTGGGTCCTCGGAAACTACATCTCAGAAGACTGTTTGAAACTGAATGTTATCAAGCCGAGTGGAATTAAGGCAGGAGTGGAGTTCCAGTGGCTGTCTAGATTTACGGCTGGGGGCTGTCGACAGCTGGAAGCTCTGATCCCAGATAGAATCTGCCTTTTATTGTGCAGCAGTCCACTCACTTACTTGAGAGCAGCAATTGTTGCTGTTAGCATCAATTACCTACTTCGGGCTCGGGGCTTCCCTTTCGGTGGAGCAATTGCGAAATAACGCTCTGTGAACATGAGATTCCGAGATCGGATCATCAGCGTCTCGCATTGCACTGGATCCGAGAAAACCTCGCGATATTTAGCGGAGATCCTTCTAAGGTTATCATATGGAGGGGGGGCGGGAGCGCCGGGGCAGCTAGTGTTGGAGTGCAGTTGGCTGCGTACGGTGGCAAAGAGAAAGGGCTGTTTCGGGCAGGGATTTGTGGGAGTGGAGGGCCGATCAACTCGAAGAGATATTCGAATCCCACGGCATGGAAACCGTACTACAAGAACATCACTGATACAGCCAACCGCACCAATTCAACCGACGGCCTCGGATGCGTCCTGAAGGTACCAGTTGATGTCCTCAGTTCAGTTTTCAACTCGGCCACGGCTTCTGCGAGCTTCGAGGCTCAGATAGATGGCGACTTCGTTCATGAGTGATCTGTGACGGCTGTGGCTGCAGGTTGATTCGTCAAGATTTGGTACAAACTTCGACGAATGTTCCATGTTTGGCATCAAGGGTGTAGACAACGACAGCGAGGCCCTTGCAGTTGTTAGAGCCTTTGGATCCGGCGATGCTACTGCAAACACGATCGCTGCATTGTATCCTGACATCCTAGTTACTGGCATACCTGCTGCACTTCAAGGACTTCCACCGTCCAACACCTCTTACGGCTATCAATGAAAGCGTGCTGCAGCGTTTGGGGGCGACCTGACTCGGCATGCTCCACGAAGATACGCTGCCAAAATCGTGGGCAGCACGGAATGTCAGCACTTGGGTATATCACCCCAACATCTGAGTCAACGGATTGAATGTCGAGACGGACGTCGCTCAGTTTCAAGGGGTGGTATTCTTACTTAAAATCATAGGAGAGATGAGATACAAAACTGTGGTTGCGGTTAATCCATTCGCAAATAAGCCGGAAGCATTTACTCAGTTTGCCAGGCTGATGTCTAGGAGTTGGGTCAGCTTCATAAATGACGTGGATCCGAACAATTCAGCAGGTTGATATCCCCGAGATCAACTAACGCTACGGTATTGACAGGAGTATAGTGAATTGTGTCTACTGGCCAAGGTACACCGTCGACAACTCGCGAGATATCGTCTTTGACTTCAACGTCACATGGCTCAGAATACAATTGGGACTTCTGCAGTGGAGGCGACTTGATTATTCATGCATGTAAATTGAAATAGCAGAATGAATTGACACTTTCAGATTGATGTGATGTGATTGTGGTCGGTTCTATTCTACCGGATCAAACTTCCAGAAGGGCCAAGTGCCAACACCAAAGAACCCATCGTCCGTGCTTTCCTAAGGAGTCCTCCCCCCAACCAAAGTAGGTGGGTTTTGATCTAATGACCAAGGAAGGTCTACATGCCTAGTCGCTTACGTCCTGCCCTTGATGCCAGTCCTCCGCCCTTCCTTCCATTTCACCCAGCGTTTTTCACCCAAGAATTTTCCCATCAACTCTTTATACCACACGCATCTCACCTACAGCCATCCGGCATTCTATTATATCCGCATAAAGTCCCGCATACCATGCAAGGGTCATTCCTCTATGTACGACAAACCGTCCATACGATCCAACACCCTTGTGATCATCCCCTGTACTCCATAGGTGGGTCGGTTTTCTCCGCCCTGCTCCAAATGGCAGTCATCAAACAGTGGAATGCCTCCCAAATTCGTTTGTACTTTCGACAAGGCTTCGTATACTCGACAAAATATTCCTCACTGCTCTCCGTTTCCTTCACCACAAATAACCTTTCTCCCCCAACTTCCCAAAAATTCCGACCGCAGCGACCACCCCCAAAACCTTAAAGAACTTCGGACCTCGCTCTCCTGCTAAGGTGTCCTCTTCTTCCTGTCGCTTCCGCTTCTTGATAGAAGGAGTATTATTCTTCGCAGTTGTCTTCGGTGTATCAAGCTTGGCAGGCTTCAATGTAACCGCTGGTGGCGGATTGTTGTATGGAGGCATGAAGCGGAAGGGTGGCATCGGGGCATCGTTGTTGCGAGCTGGGACTGTAGCTAGAGAGGGTTCCACAGTTGGGGGCGATTGGGACGGTCGGCGGGGGTTCGGCGGGGTGCTACGAATCTTGGTTCTCTCCTTGATGATCCTACGGTTTTCTGCCTGGCCGCACTTCACAAAATGTGCTTGCATCTCTGCCCATGCCTCCTTCATATCAAGGTATGTCTTCGTCTCGCGAGTATCTGCTTCCTGGCGGAGTCGCTTCTCCTCTTGCCAACCCGCACCGTTTTGTGCTGCAAGCTCCTTGGCTTCCTTGAGCTTGGTTTTCTGATAGTCGAAATCGAGCTTCAAGTCATTATGAGCCTTCCGAGTAGCCTTGAACTTCTCCTCAATGTCTTCGTTCGCCTTCATGAGGTTGCAGATTTGGGCTTCTTTCATCAAGAACATCGCACCATTGTCGTTGGAACTCTGGTTCAGGCCTCTCAATTGGACGGCTTCGACGTAGAGACTCCGGTTGGCGGTACGGGCATCAGTAAGTTCAGCATCCTTCTGCGCCATCATGCTAAATATGAAGTCAACGTCGGGTATTTTAGAAATCTCATTTTCCCAGAACATCTAGGAATTTGTGGCGACATATTGGATCCTTCAAAAGCCTAGAGACATTGGACCGAGGTATACGTACCATTCCCAGTTGTACTTCATCTGTTTGACCTCTTCTGTGGCCTGTGCCAGGAGATCTTGCTTGGCGCGTTCAACCATCCCCTGGACCTGGGACTCCGGAATCATGGCCTCGGCGGGCTTGCTTTGGCGCAGTGTATCGAAGAAGGATTGCATCTCTTTTCCTTTCTTCGCTTGATCCGGGGTGATATCTGCTGGTTGGGCCTCTTTGATAGCTTTCAACTGGCTTTGGAGATCTCCAGCCACTTTCATGAGGGAGTCACGTTCCTTCTTCAGGCTGTCGCGCTCTTCTCTCAAGGCATTGAGCTCCGCCTCCAGGGGCTGTCTGCCGGTCATTTCCTTGATGGTAAGATTGTTGTTCTCAATCTGCAACTGAATCTTTTTCTGCAGATTCTCGTTGTCCTCCTTCAACCTGTCATGTTCTGCCTGAAGAATCCGGGATGATTTGGTATGGGATTCGAGTTCCTTGTTGACAAGCGCTAATGCTGACTCTGCTGCCTTTTTGTCGCCTTCGTGCTTCAGGGCATCGCCTTGGGCCATAGAAAGCTGGATATGCAACGTTTTCAGATCCGTGGCCATCGCCATTTTGATTATACGACGACTTGTGGTAGACGGGCTTGTGGTAGACTGAAAGTGGAGGTTGCCCCAATTGTTCGTGAGTGCACAGAGATTTGGGTATGGAGATCGCGTCGGCAGAGGTGATATCGGAAGGCCTTGTGTGGCGTGAATGTACCAATTGACAAGGTATACTAGGACTGTGTGCTATTCGATTGTACTTGGAGACTTTGAGAGATCGATATTTGGTAGTTTGCGTCGCTGCGTGATTGTTGGTGGTGGTGCTGGTGGTTGTTGATGTTGAGAGATCGAGGGCGTTGTGCGCAGGAAAATATTATTAGTATGTTTTCGTCGCAGCCTTGCGTCGCCTTGCATTTCTTCAATTCACTTTCTTGGATGGCAGAAGTTTATTTGGGTGGGGCGGTGAATTGGACGCGAAGTCGGGCCAGCCTTGTTTTTCCGCAAGTGAAGTTGATAAGTGAAGCAAAAGAAGGTTTGGATCGCTGTGGTACAATGTAGAGCGGATCATAGGCCGGGATTCAAGTGTCCAACAGGCAGATCGTTCCTCGAAAATTTGTATTAGAGGTCCATGGGTGCCTTTGATTTACTTGTCGTCGCTGATATAAGTCTGCGCAGGACAACGGAGAATCTCACGGCTGTATTGGGGGTTGCATCTGAAAACTTAGCACAAAACCTTCAGCACACCCCAGAGTGACTTCATTTGCCGTGAGCGGCTTTGACTGGAAAGTTATGTCTCTTCAGCAGGTTGTGGTCTTTCGACGGTGGTGGGGTGTAGTCAGAACCCCTCGGCTAAAGTCTTGGCGCTCTCCCCTTTCGAGAATGTTGCCTTCCCGTGCCTACGAAGATACCACCCACAAAACTCCTCGATATTAACTTCCAAGATCAAGTGCTTTACTTTTTTATATCTGAGTGAGAGCCTTTATACTTTATCTTCCTTAGAACAGAGCCGGAAATTATTGCAATTGTTTCGTTCACATTTTGTGTTCTGTCTGGGAGCACAAAGCGATCCGAAACAGAGACATAAAGAGAGGCAGATCAAGAAGCAGGGAGAATTCTCATAGATTCCCACAGATAAAAAACGTCGAGAATAAGGAAACAGATTTCCAAAAGAAGCGGTTCCTTGGGGTCTCGATCCCTGTAGTACTTCCCGAGCCACAATACTTTTGATTCGAAATGCAGTTCGTGGTTCTCGTCGAGAAGCATGCCGGCAGAGCATGAAAGTTGGTAAACTGGGATGACTTGGATTCAGGAACAACTCAGGGCAGGAAAGCCAAGCCTGGCAGACCTATTTAAGGCAACATGAAATCATATAACAATTTCTGCTTATTTATCTTCCAGATCATCTGGTCTCATTTCAATCACTTTAAAGATATGGTTAAATCACTCAGATTCTCCACTGTAAAAAAGGCTATCATTGATTCCTGGTAATGTAACTCACACGGATCACATTAATGCTAAATCAAAGACGCAAACAAGGAGAATTACTTCCAAACCCCGTAGCAGCAACTATTACAAGGTCAGCTGATCAACGCCTGGACGTTTTTATCTTCTCGACCCCCCGGAGCTTTGACGACCAACAAGTGTAAATCCCCCCAGAAAACGTCTCGAACCTTCCGACAACATGCCTCGAGAGTGATAGAACCCCTTTCGCTGTGTCAAAAAAGTTTCCACAAGTAAAAGGCAACGAAATACCTCTCTGGCCCCCCGAGTCTGTCCTAACATTGGTGACTATTCTCGTGTCTCGTGTTCTGCTAGAACAAAAAGACTTCAAGCTTCCAGGCAAAGAGGATAACTTCAATGACACATATAGCAATCAGGAGTGGTATCTCATCACTTCCAAGCCCCAAACCGCTCAGCAAAGGTAGGCCATCTCCTTTAGCATGGGCATCCACCATGGAGAGGGGATGATGACCTTATCAACAGATTCTCGAGTTTTGTTTTCGGGCGTACGAAGCGATGTAAGTCCTCGGTATTGTCATTGCGAGGTAGTTCTCCAGTACCTCCGAGAACTGGACAAGAATGGTTGGTCAAGTGTCCATCTCCGCCTGTGCGCTCATCTCTTGCCCAATTTGCCCTCTGCAGTGATGTTTCATTGCCTTCGAAGGACACAGGATTTCTCCTGTTATTCCTCACCCGTGAGCATAATCAAATCGGGATGTCTTCGTTGCTAAGAACTTGTACGGATACCAGTACCGATATGACATTCTTTTGAGATTCACTCGCTGGGAGAGCAGGACAGTGTGCCTGCCAATTGATTATGTTGCAACTGCACCAGAATGGCCCGACATGTAACCAAAGCACCGGCGTTTGTTGAATGGTTTGAGTTCCGTGACTGTGGGTCGTTACCAATCAGCCATTCTGGAAAGGCCAGAGAACACGCAGGATAGTTGGCTCTCAAGGATCCCTATCCCTTTTTGTCGGTAATCAGGTGCAGACTAAACAGTATCCATGAGGTGATGGCGATATTATGAGCGGAGCAATGGTTAGCACTTTGGGGTAACACAGAAGATACTACATGTAAGATTAGAATATCTAGCGACGTATGGGGCAATGCGAACCATGTGGAGACTTGGTTAAGGGGACAACGTGCGAAAGAACAAATAATATGCGTTCAAAATTCTTGCTCCTTGAGCTCCATTGCCAGAATGTCCCCGGGACCTGTAGTTCAACTCTTTCTTATTTAGAAGTCTCAAAAAGAATTTCCTGTCATAAAGCAGAACTTGTGTTATTGAAATTATGCTACCCGTTTCTGCAAACTTTTCATTTTAATCCACATATCAAAGCCTCTAAATCCTCAATATGGCTCCGTTCCCCAAGTACATCTTCAGGCCAATCTCCGTCGACTCCACTCGATTGCAACATCCGCCGTTGCTCCATCAAAGAAATCATTCATAGCCACGACCAACTCCCCATCAACCAACCTCCCAGCATTTGCCGTAATCCAGGGCAAAGTTTTCGAATCACAGATCGGCTTCGTGGCCATCAAGCAGCTGCTGTCTGCGCCTGCAGCGAGAACACTGTACACAACCGCATCTCGAATATTCGTTGCTGTAGCCTGGCATTGGAGATTGGTAAATGGCTTCCCAGCTTGGGATTGAGGGGATATTTGCTCAAATTCAGCAACGATGCTGTCGCCGTTCAGCGTGGCGTTTCCAGGGTCAGTATAAGTGCTGAAAGAATCCGAGTTAGCGAAGAGTATGAGTCTTTTACGTTGCTCCCGGAGTTGATCGATAGTGAGATTTCTCATATCGTCTTCATTACCAGCTACAACAGAGCCATGCGAATCTGCAAGGGCGCTGTTCAGATAGTTGGTGAGGTCTACATCGCTTGGGCGAGCGCAGTCTGCCGGTACACCATCCCAGCGGAGTTGAGTGACGACGATTTCTGCAGGGTGGGCGACAAGAAAATTAACCACGTCGTGCAAGAACTGAGCATATGCCATGCCAGGAATTGCTGAGTGGGAGAAATATAGTTCATCTGGGATTGGATGGTTTGGGCGGATGACCTTGTGCAAGAAAGCTGGACGGAACTCGAAGTAGCGTGCTCCAATGCTGAGCATTGTTGGTAGGGTGTCCTTTTGGGTGATGGCGAGTCCTTGGACGATGTTCGGGGCGATGGCCATCACTGCATCGTGGCTCATCATCCCGGCGATCTTGCCGAAGACGGGGCTCAATTGTACCAACACATCGACGAGTGCGCTGCTGTTGATAACTGCATTCGAGTTTTGCATGCTGTTCATTCCCACGTCGTGGACTGCTGGGAGGAAGAACTTGGAGAAGGGTTTGGCGCCTTGTCGGGAACCCAGTGGTGCTACTTGACTTTGCCAGTTGGAGTAATTTGGGGTCACAGTGACCCAACATTGATCGCTGCTTGGAAGACCTGCTGTGCCTGGTCCAGCATCGTAGAAGCCGTAGGTGACGACCACATCGTTCGTGACGACCGAGGTCTGGTTTCCCATGGTCTTCATTGACCCAGATTCATTATCGCCGGTGAGAACGTTGATCCCGACATCTTGGAAGGTGATTTGGTTTCCATTCTGAGTGACTCTGAACGAAAAGATGCCGGAGAAGTTGAAAGGCCCTTTGATATTCTTCTTGTCGACTTCCAAGTGGTCGCTGGAGAAAACTCTGAGCTGAGCCTTGGGGAGGTTGGTCCCTGGGACAGAGAACACGATCTCGCAGCCTGGGACGGCGATGTACGAGTAGCACTGAACTCCCTTGCTTGGCATCGTGACGGGGGAAGAATAACGATGATCGTAGGGGTAGTTATGAATCTCAAGGAGCTAGGAGATTATGGAGATTATGAAGATTATGATAGGAAAGAGGAGAATGAGGGGTCGGAGGTGCGAAGGTATGTTGAGGAAGAAGAAACATATGAGACATGAGCTGAACCTGACATGCAGGTGGATTCGCTCCAATTGGGAACCAACGAACGCCACGTTCGCACTTTCCTTCTTTCACTCACTCAGCCAAGCCACGATCACAGGTGGCTAAGCCCGAAGAGTATCAAGCTGCATACTGAAGCAAAGAGAACAAACACAAGGAGAGAAGACTGAACAACAGCTCAACGATTGTTCTCCCGTAGTGGAAGCCTTTTTCACGGAGTAAGGTTGTCTCGGAATGCGATCTTATGACTAATTGGTCGAAAACTCGAATCTGTTGGACTCAGTCAGCTGACTGTCCTGAAACGGCAAAGATTTGCCAAAGTCCGGAGCTATTAATAGAAGAGCTCTACAGTGAAACCTCGCTATAAGGAGACCGAAATTGTCCCCAAAAACTAAGGATAATGTGAGGTATCCTTATAACGAGGTGTGGCACACAGCAAAATTAATCCCTGCGGGGCCTGGCAGATGTATCCTTATAGCGAGGTTTCACTGTACTTCAACGATTTCTCTCCATCCCCCCACCTTCACTCCCTCACAACATCAGATACAATTGTCCAGTGTATCGTTTGTTCCTACTCTACGACACGTTGAACTTCACGTGCCCAATGGATAAACACATCGGATCTCAGGTGGAGGTCCTATCAGGCTGTATGGACGAGAGATGAGCAGTTGTTTCAGGTCTTTCCCCACAAATTCCGCCCTCAGCAATGGAAGAAAGCGAACACGGGATAGGATATCGAAGAAGACAGATATCATTCCCACGGAACCTGGTGCCGAGATATGTGGAGGACCTACCTTACCGCCATAATCGAGACTGCCAATGGCTGTTTATTTCCTCGTGCGGCGAAGATCTGGGCCTTAATTTATCTACCTCGGATAAACATTTTACCTTCAATCACCAGATGAAAGGCTGAGTTCCGAATAAATTATGAATGGTACTTCCCAAGAAACGAACTGTTTCTTGTAGTCTGGGGAGAGATTGGCAAGTTTGTATAAGACCATGAGTATACCCATCAAGATCTCAATTTTCTTCTTGTCAACCATTGCGTCACTCTTTTGTCAACGAGCGCCATAATTTTCGATTCTTCAGCCATGTCCCCGAAGCTCTTTCTCGCGGCGTCGGCGCTGGCTGCTTCTGTTCTTGCTCAAATTCCCGGAACTTTGACTCCTGAGGTTCACCCCTCCTTGGCCACTCAGCAATGCACCAAAGCTGGTGGATGTGTCACTGTGAACACTTCAATTGTTCTTGATTCTCAGTACAGATGGATGCACAACGTTGGAGGACATATCAACTGCGTTAGTACCGGATTCAACAGCACCTTGTGTCCTGATGCAGCCACTTGTGCCAAGACCTGTGCCCTGGAAGATGTTGATTATGCCAGCTACGGCATCCACACTTCAGGCAGTTCTTTGACTCTCAACCTTTTCAAGCAAGAGTACAATGTGACTACTCAGTCATCGCCCAGAGTCTACCTTCTTGCCAATGAGACCACATACGATATGCTCCACCTCCTCAACAAAGAGTTGACATTCGATATCGATGTGTCGCAAGTTCCCTGCGGTATCAATGGCGCTCTCTATCTTTCTGAGATGGATCCTACTGGTGACTCCAGTTACTTGAACAAGGCTGGTGCAAAATACGGAACTGGGTATTGTGATGCTCAGTGCCCAGTTAACAACTTCGTCAAAGGTGTTGTAAGTTCAGTCCTGGCGCTTCTTACACCCTTCTCTGATTCGTTCCAGGCAAATTTGAACATGACAAATGGTGCTTGCTGCAACGAGATGGATATCTGGGAAGCCAACAACGCCGCCACTGCCTTCACGCCCCATCCCTGCAATGCCACAGGCGTTCTTTCTTGCTAAGGAACCCAGTGCGGGCGTGGAACTGGCAATAAGTACCTCGGTGTCTGCGACTCGGATGGTTGCGACTACAACGCATACCGCATGGGTAACCAGAATTTTTACGGCCCAGGTAAGGCGGTCGACACAACCAAGCCTTTCACTGTTGTCACGCAATTCATCACCTCGGACTGCACCGACAAGGGAACACTCTCCTCAATCAAGCGTCTCTACGTCCAAGGCGGAAACGTCATCGCCAACGCCGCAGTCAACATCCCCGGCATGGCTACCCAGAACAACATCGATAACGCCTACTGCGCTTCCGAGAAGAAGGTCCTGGGCGGAAGTGATGCGTTCACCAACCATGGTGGAATGTCCCAAATGGGCCAGGCTCTCAGCCGTGGCATGGTACTCATCTTTAGCATCTGGATGGACAACGGAAGTGGCATGCAGTGGCTTGATGCTTCTTTCCCTGCGACCGCCAATGCTACAACACCGGGCGTTGCAAGAGGCCCTTGCTCGGCTACTTCCGGAGATACTACAATGCTTACCGCTAAGTATCCTAATGCTGCTGTTACGTTCTCGAACATCAAGGTTGGAGAGCTTCAGTCTACATTTGGAAATCCCGCCGCTGTTCCCAAGAATTAGAGGCACGAACCATGTGCTGAAATTATATGGTGGGTGGTCTTGGAAAGCCTATCTAGAGAAGGGAAGTGCCCATTTTGTACATACAAATCTGTTTAATTTGTCCAATTTGGCCTGGCCATCTTCATGCTTTCCCCATTCATAGATTTTTTCAGCCTCCAGGGATGATAGTTCATTCATATGTTCCTCCTTTAGAATATATTTGTTGTTGTTCAGTGTTCACTTTGATGACTTCGAGCAGTGAGTCAGTATTATAGTAACGTTGTCCTTACGTATTCCCTCGGTCCCTTCCTCGGTCCCCATTTTATCAACTTATCTTCCAAAGCTAGAGCACCACTCACCCGCAAAACACCTCTTTCCGCAGCCGTCACTTCCCTATCTCCTACCTTATATGTCAATATCTATTTAGATGCATTCCTCTCGGCCTCATCATTGCATACAATCAACTAGTCGTATCGGTTTCAAACCGGGATCATATACGAAGGGACTTGAAATACCCAAACTCACCGCATATCTATTTGATTGGTTTGGATAACCTTGCTGTCCATGTGGGTTTCGACGATTTTGCACGCAGCGTAGCTGGTTATAATCATCTTGGAGGATGTTTCTGCCGAGATAATCACGTGCTTGACTGAGATAGTCATGTCCTTGACAGATGTAAGGACCGAAAGTCTCTACATTGCCCTGGCGTAAACTGGCCCAGTCGATGCGTATCTCGTTGGCTGGTTTTGACGGTAGTTTTGCTAGTCGTTGCGAAAGCCGTCACGAAAGTTGACTTGCTATCTATTTTCGTCTGTCCATTTTGCTTGTGTTTGTCAGTGTGTGTCTGTGTTTTACCTTGGGTGTTTGGGACTTTCGATGGCAATTTTTGGTGTTTTTTGGGGAGGGAAATTTTGGAAAGGCAAGGGACAGAAGGGGATATTTAAGAACTTTGACTCCGCCGATTAATCCTTGCTGCTTCTTCTGCCCTCTCATGCTAAGGTGGGAGTCTAGAGTTATGTTCATAATGAAGCTATTATTCGGACAACAGTACAAGCGGCTGGTGTGTAGCAAGGTAGTGGCAGTAATTCAATATCTCACTTTTACCAACCTCGCTGATCTCTCGGCATCGAAGTCTAACCAGATGCTATTCCGTCAGTTGTTTAATAGTCTCCAGTCTCTTCCTGGCTGTCCTCTGACTGTTCTAGGAGACTATTCATGGGATGCGCTGGTGTTGCAATGCTTTGGAGGTTAACGACTTGATTTTCCAGCTCACGCGGGGTAGGCATTCTAGATATACATCCAGTCTATAAACTACAGTGTACCAGCGTACACTCGGTTCCAAACAGTTGGGAATCGGGGAATAAGTCATGTGCTCTGTTACGTAGCGCCTTCTGTTGAGAATTCAAAGTAAAAGTCACGTGCAATGCTTCTCAGACGACTGTCCATTTTGCAGTGATCTAAGGCCTATACTTATACATATCCAAATAGCCCCTATTACCACTGAAAACCCATATTTAGCTAAATGCCCTGCATAGCTAAACACCCTTGCATAGCTAAACACCCTTGCATAGCTAAATGCCCCTGCATAGCTAAATGCCCCTGTATAGCTGAATTGCCACTAGTAGCCTTAGGCACCAATTTCCAACACCTTCAACTCCCATTAAGCAGCATTCCTAGAATGATGCACGTGAATATAAATTTATATTTATATTGGCTTGCAAATTTAATTTCATTTTCACTATTAAAGTTAAGCGTAGATACGGGATACTTAAAGAACCTCGTTCTGATCCGGCAGTCCTCCTACCATCAAACAACAACACCAAGACCACAACACAACAACACAACTTCATCACAGTACTTCTTCGTGCATCGAATTCCACTTCTACATTCAAGACTTCTCTCTCACTTCTCATCAAGATCGTGCAGATTGTCTTTCGCCTATCCCTCCCACCCGACCCAATGACACCCGGCAACATGCGCCCTCTCACCAAGTCCATCGTCAAGCGCAATGCCAACCCCAGCAAACACATCATCCCAGGAGGCAAGCAGCCAGGCGTAAACTTCTTGAACGCTTTCAACCTATCCGTCAAACTTCCTCCCGCTATGCCCTCGTTTTAATTCGTCAAGGAGGGAGGTCTTAGCGCGGAGTCCTTGGCTATCATCAATGAAGAAGGTTATGTACGAGTGGGTTGAGAGTGATTATACTCATGGATCACTTCATCCTTTGAAAGTTACCGATGAAGTTTATTCGGCAGTTCCTGCTGGATCGCCACCTCGACAATATGTTCTGTGAGTCATGTACGAGGTCGCAGGCCAGAACGTAAAGGATACTTCATGAACAATGGACAAGATGCAGATATTGGTCAAAAAGCATCCGGATTTGGAGAATGACTTTCGTCAAATCCTCGACGACGATGACGCTCATCGAGGCTTGAGAGAGTCGATTTTGCCTCCGTCCTGGCTTCATCAGATGACGACGGATCGGGTAGCAACCATCGTGAAGTCGAGGCATGAATTGGCGGGTTGGTTTTCTTTGGATCTCGCTGATGGACCAAACTTCTCCGGGCGAGCAATGGTAGTGGAAACGTAAGCTGCTTGGTGTCTAAGTGGCTGTGGTGGGTGTTTTTCTCTTGGCATACTTCGATTAGTTGCATTTGGCAATAATGAACCTTTTCCCTTACATGTCCGCAAATCTCAACGTTCTGCGTGATACATGCACAAAACAATCTTGTTTGAAGATAATGCCGACTAATAGAAAGAGCTTATACTACGGCTGCAATACCACGAACATCTTGCGCTAGAGTTGCTTAGAATGGAAACAACGTTTGCCTGAGAAACATGGTTCACAGGCGAGTGGCAATTGTTAGACGATCCCCCACCTCTCCGCACCAGCTGTCCAGAAGATCGACTGATTCCACTACACGTTCTCGCAGTAAGGTGCGTCTAAGGTAGCCGACCAAGTCGTAGGTTGAAAATTCCCCTTAGCCTTGTAATTTGGCCCGACCAGATAATTTAAGATTTGTCACGGCCTGGACAAGCTGTGGGAGTGGAATGTGGTGTGTTTTGGTATGTTTGTAATGAATGATCGTGCCCTAATGGCGATGAAGAAGCTATATATACGCCTGTGCGCAGCACGTGACAAGATTTGAGACTATATACGGATATCGCGGCATAAAGTCATGCGACTTCAGAGCATGCCTGACCGAGATATACTATTCGGCTACTGCAGGTTCAGATTATAGTAAAGGCAAACGCTGGAAGTCCTTGTAATTATAGTCTTAAGCCCTATAAGGTGTTTCAGGGATTAAAGGACATTTCTAGGGTATGCCGCGATATCCGTATACTAAGTTACTAACTGCATAATGGCACTTCCACATTGAGTCATTTGTAGTATGCCGGTAATGTTTGCGGATTGTGATTTACTATTGAATTTGATCGTAATTGACCCAAATCGTATTAGGATTAGCTGGAATTGAGTGGCTCAGCGAACCAGTCTGAAAGAACAAAAGAGAAAGAATGCCTTGTTTCTATATTCGGCGAAGTCGCGAATAGAAGAAGAACATTTAGCACTTGAATAAAGAAAGTAAGAGCTAAAGAATTGAATATAGTTTTTGCATTTCCTTTAGTAATCATTTGGCTTTAAAACAGCCCGAGAACATTAATATAAACAAATATAATAAACGATGATTCAAAGCACTTTCAATATTCTCTTATATATATTAATGTTTTAAAGCCAGACAAGATTGTCAACACAAGTCAAAACAAAACCCGGGGTATCGGGCGATCAGCAAAAAGAAGCAAGCAAAGAGAGTTAGTGTCGCAGTGAGAATTACTGAATTGGGGCTAGCGCGATCGCTCTGCTTAGTCAGGATCTGTATACTTACTTCCTGAAGCTTTACACTTCACTCAAGCTCTTTTCTAGCTAGTTCAATCAACTCTTTTACCATTTAATGCAACTCCCTACTCTGCGATCTTTACGTGCATTAGTTAGGAAAATGAAGGAGGTTTCTAGTTCTAAAGAAATCAGGGTAAAAGAGCAAGACACTCTTCCGCAAGCGCTCACTAAACTGGCCGCGGCAAATCCGAAAGATGCGTTCCTGGCGGAGAAGTGTGATACAGATACCCGAGTTGAGTCCACAGTCTCAATGAGAGGTGGAAGAAGATCGGAGCCCATGGAGCTATATGCGCCTTATCTCTACGAAGATGGCTGCCCGTGCCCATGGTGCGCTTGCGATTGTGTCGGCTGCATGTTCAGTAGGTGGCCACACTCATACCTTCATGCCGTTATATCCGATCAGATTCGGTAGACTATAAGAGAAACGCAAGTCGTCAAACTTCATGTCTAATGCACCGACCACCGCCAAAGAGCGGGCTTGGAGTAAGCAATAAGAACTAGAACGCAAAATAGAAAGTTACAATACAAAGGACACCATAGAGGTACAAGTAAAGGTGATTTTTAATGTGTTCTGGGAGAGAAGCCAATGATGTACGAGGTGCTGCAAGAAGGCAGAGCTGCTCAGCCTTAACACGGCAGTATTTTATATATCAAAACAACAAATACCACTTAGCCTAAGCTATAACCACAGGTATATAATGAGAAATTCTCATATATATGCCGTTCTAATATTCCTAGCTTTTGACTGTTGAAAACTAAAACCCTGCGCGACAATCTACATAGAGTGTGATCACCCTCGATTTCCGAGCCCGGCGATTACGGATTTAACACCGGCCGTCGGCGTTTCGCACCGACAGCTTCAGAAGTTATATCAGGGTCAGGTCAGGTCGGATTAAACACAAAACTTGGATTCGAAATTCTCCTACGGACTTTCTTTTCTTCCTTCGACAGAAACTTGCCCACGGCAGAACCATTGGTGTCGTTGTTTACCTCTACCGCTTCGCGTTCGCAGCCCTGCAGGTCAGCGGGTTCCACCCACTTTGGCATCAGCTCGTGCTTATCGGCACTTAAGGACCCGGAAAGAGACCAAATGTCTGGGATCACTTGCCCGGATTGCCTCAGCGGCTCCATAAAAGATGGAAAGCCATCTGGGGAAGTTACCACTATTCACAGCTTGCCGGCATATGTTGCGCGTCCGGAAGGTACTCCCAAAGGACTGGTCGTCCTGATCCCTGATATATTTGGCTGGGAACTCTCAAATTGCCGTTTGCTGGCAGATGCCTATGCGAAAGAAGGCGGATTTCTTGTTTACCTCCCTAATTTCATGAATGGTAAGTAACGCAACCGATGCCTCACCTCAACTTGTAGTTGACATGAAACCCAGGCTTCATCCCCTCTGCAGGAGCTATGCACTCAATGGAAGCTCTCCTGGCACCTTCTCCATCGATTTTCACAACTATCTTCTACAAACCGTTGTGGCTTCTCAGAGTGGCTGGAGCTGCCATACCATTTCTGTTCTACAACGGCGAATCTGTCATCAAGCCAAAGGTCTTCAAGTTCCACGAATCGCTCCGCTCCGACCCGGAAACCAAGTCTTTGAAGATTGGTTCTGCCGGCTTGTGCTGGGGCGGCAAATACACTATACACTTGGCACAAGAGCCAAACTTGATCGACGTCGGGTTTACCGCTCATCCGTCAAAGATGAAGTTCCCCGAGGATTGGGACAATGTGAAAATCCCGCTGTCGATTGCAATTGGAGATGTGGATATGGGCATCAAAATCGACATGGTGAAAGATATCAAGGCTTTGTTGGAGGGAGAGAGCAAACAGAGTGGACAGAATGAGGTTGTGATCTATCCTGGGGCGAAGCACGGATTTGCTGTAAGAGCGGACCCAAAGGATGATGGGCAGACAAAGAGTGCAGGGGAGGCATTGAAGCAAGCTATTAACTGGTTCGCTAAGTGGATGGTGTGAAGGATATGCTTATTCCTTCTGTTTCAATTTCTGGTGCGACTTAGTTGTATTAAGATGAGATGGGTTGAGTTGGTTGCTCGAGGCTGCGGTGGTTCTGCGTCACCCATTGATTGAAGTACTCTTCTAGACAGATGTATCTGCATCAGGTTTGCGTACCGTTATTCGATACACTTTGAAATATCTAAAAGTTAAAAAGCAAGGAAAGCACTTCGGGCCTGGATTCTCAACGTGTGAGGTGCGAGTCATGTACACCACGGGTGAGTGGTAGCGCTGTTGGTCCCTAAACTAGGAACTCAGCAGGGCATGAGCTTGTACTTTTAGCGCATGTAAAGTGAAATTATAGGCTGCAAGCGCAGTAGGCCATCCTTACATCCTCCGGATTCTCAATTGCCAATGAAAGGCCAAAACATGCAAGACCACAGATCGGAATCAGTTAAATAACTGTTGTCCTCGCCGTAAAGCCCTTGGCTTATTTCCTCTCACAAGAAAAAGTCTTTTCCTTGCGTATCATCGCTATTTTGAGGACTCCGTATCGGCGCCGAAGCGGGCTGTCGCCCCCACTTTTAGACCGCTGAGCGAGATGCCAGCCCCCTATTGGCAAGGTCCAGCGGAATGTTCTCGCCGATTACCGACCAACCCACCCGGATTTAACATTATCACCACCAATTCTTAGATGACCAATATTCTTCGTTTCTCGACGGTGCAAGTACATAATGCTTTGTGGAGTACGCTCTGGTTGGTGTGTCTTCAGACGCCGGACATTCTAGTCTGGACATCCCAGTACGATAAAGTCTTCGATGGCAGCGATGATCGACTCAACAGATGAGAAACATGACCTCAACGGGAGTGTGTATTCGGCAACAGAAGCGGTTCCAGCAGAGTTACGAGAGCTGCCAGCAGGGACAGGCAAGGAAAAGGAGGAGGTTCTCAGCCAGTCAGCTCACCAGCAGCCAAGAGATGTAGTGCACCGCCAAGACGATCTTCCCGCAGAGCCTCCTTCCGACGAACAAGTGCAAATGGTCCAATCAGCTGGCGAGGGCTATAGCGTTTTGACTGTCACGCAAAAGAGGCTTACCGTCATGGCAGCTTCACTTGCCTCACTCTTTTCGCCAATGGCAACAGCCATCTACTGTCAGACTCACTTTCTGCCCTTTTTACGAAGTAGACTGACTTCAACAGATCCATCTCTTGATACGATATCCAAGGACCTCAATGTCTCAAACACAAAGATCAACATTACTATCACACTTTTCTTGGTATGTTTCCTCGCTTCTTCAAGGATACCCGTTAATACTTTGTAGGTAATCCAGGGGATTGCCCCTGCCTTTGTAGCTGATACTGCCGATCGCCAAGGGCGACGGCCGATGTACATTTTCTGCTTTGTTGTCTTCTCGGGGGCCAACATCGGACTGGCATTGCAGAACAATTATACAGCGCTGCTGGTATTAAGAATGCTGCAAAGCGCGGGGTCCTCTGCGACTGTTGCTCTGGCGAACGGGGTCGTTGGCGATATCATCACTTCGTCAGAGAGAGGAAGTTACGTTGCATTTGCCTCTCTTGGAAGCGTATTTGGACCTATGGTCGCTCCCATCCTCGGAGGTATCATTGGGCAATATGCGGGCTGGCACTGGATATTCTGGTTCTTACTGATTTTCTCTGCTGCTGTTTTCATCCCACTCATCCTCTTCATGCCCGAAACTTGCCGAAATGTTGTCGACAATGGGTCTATACCTCCACCATCCTTCTCTCAAAACATCACGGATGCATTGAGGCATAAACACCGGACACAGAGGGGATTGAATTTCAATGTAGCCAAACAAGCGGAGATTGCCAAGAAGTATCGCTTTCGGCTTCCGAATCCGCTCTCAACTTTGAAGGTGCTGTTAGACTTGGAGAGCGCGATCCTTCTCATCTCTACCGGGCTTGGAATTGGTTGCTTTTACGCCATCAGGTATGTCACTAAGAACTAGTTGATGCGAATCACTTGCTTACACTTCCATCAAGTACTGGCGCCTCGGTCGCGTTCGCGAGCAACTACGGATTCAACCAAATCAAAATCGGCCTCATGTTCATCCCTATTGGAGCCGGAAGCATCTTTTCTGCATTAACAATCGGAAAACTGGCAGACTGGAACTACAGACGCTGGGCCAAGAAGCTTGGCATACCCGTGGTCAAAAATCGTAGACAAGACCTGACCAACTTCCCCATTGAAAGAGCCCGTCTGGAAGTCGTGTTTCCCTTATTCTTCGTGGCAGTTGCTATCACCATCGCCTACGGCTGGATTCTCACGAAGAAGATCAGCGTCGCTGTCCCGGTCGTTCTGCTCTTCTTCATAGGCTTTTCGCTCACGGCCACATTTCAAATCCTCAATGTTTTGATGGTGGATATCTATCCTGGCAAACCTTCGGTAGCAACTGCAGCAAATAACTTCACCAGATGTGAGATCGGTGCCGTGTTCTCGGCGATTTTGTTGCCGCTTGTGGATTCGATTGGGTGGGGTTGGGCATACACGCTTTTAGCGTTGCTGTTTATTGGTTTTGTGCCCATGTTACTTTTCGTTATGCAAAGAGGTCCGAAGTGGAGGAAGCAGCGGAAAGCCAGTGAAGATAAGGCAATGGCAGGGAGACAAGAGAAACGGGATTTGAAGGCTGCTGCGAAAGAGAGGAAGGCTAACGGTGAGACATAGAGTGGTGGGAATGGAGTGTCGGGTATGTTTTGCGAATTGCGATTGTGTTAGAAAGTATGGTATAGATACATTTACCCCGGAATTGGTTTTGCTAAGCTTTTGAGTCCCACTGCCTATGCCACAGCTTTTCTGCTTTACATATGCTGTGAAGGGCGACATCGTGTTGGGCAGACACCAAGATAGACATGGTTTGGTCACGTGTCTCTCTTCAACCCCTTTTGACGGATCGAACCTCATCGAGCTCCGAAGCACTTTGCGGCTTCAAAGAGCCTATTGCCCCACCAACTTTGGAAACACAAAATTGCAACGTTGCAACTAATGTTAGCAGGCTCTCAGCTTGCACTACACAGTTTTCTCGATACTGCTGATATGGTTCCAAGATGTCGGGTACTTCCGGGTACTTGCAGGTTGGGCCAGTCGAATGTCGTGCGTAACACAAGTAGCTACGAGGACTTCCAACAACAAAAGAACATTTGACGAAATTTACCAGTCCTCGACCATTTCCTTCATGCCAATATATCATGCGGAGTATCGTCTCTTAATTTGATTAATTAACCAGGCATGCCCTCCGGAATCCGTCCGCACCAAACCGCTGGCTCCGGTTTACTTGGCTCAATACGAAGAGCATTTTGCAGAAGTTTCTCTTAATTCATTCCGTGTCTCTATACTATATCTACTAGGCAGCCGAAAAAAAGGAAGTCGGCGAGCTGTAGGTACGAGCAATAAGGGCAAGCACATTCATTGGTGCCTACTACGCTAATACCCAGTCGATTAAATTAGCCTGGAGGAGAGGTAGGGTCCAGAGGACTTGATTTCTAAGAAACTACGTTTGGCAAGGTTCCTTAAATAATCGTCCAAGCCTAGCGCCCCGCTTAGGGCCACGCTAAACCCTCACAACGCTGTGAAAATGTTGGTTCAAGGGTCTATTGAATTCGAGAGCCTAGGCGTAGTAATATAGATATAGCCATTGTACCTGCATTGCATATCAAATTAGTTTTCCTGTTGGAAAATTAAAGCTGTTGGCTCTTTCCTAAATTTTTCTTAACTGTTCGACTGCACAACTGGTTGTTGGAAAGTCTTCTATTCTTGTGGCTTCATTGTCGACCTATAAAATTGTCCATTCTTCTTGCCTGAGCTTGAACGGCGTTGAGGTGCAACTTTTACTCAATTTCGATATTTACATCCGAGCACAAGAAAAAGAACACCTCATCGCAACTTATTCGAACATTTGGAATTTACCGTCATCGTCCACAAAAGAACGACGAAGATTATCATCCGCCACTTGTCAGGTCCTTCTTTCGTCCGTTTCTCCAAGCCCAGGTCTTAATTCAGTAGTCACCGCAGGACCCTGCTTCACAACAAACGATCCCAATTTCAGATTAGAACCTACAAATGGGCTTAGATAGGGTGAGTCCGTGGGCTGCGTCGATAATATGCCCCAAGAAGCGGATGGAATGACTTCAATATATGCCGGCGGCCCTGGGAATTTCGGAACCACCGTGTACGAGAAGACCGGCTGTCAGGGACAGCGGTGCAGCTTGATCGATGCAGTAGTCTGGGCTAGCCCCTAGTTGTTGTATTATTAACGGGAGCCGCTCACCAACTTGGAAACCACACCAAATTCGTTGAAAGTTGGATCTAGTGCATTAAGGTTGATAAGTGTAACTAGTGAAACGAAAACGTCTTACGGAAGGGTGGTGGGGGTTTGCTATTGTTCAATTCCATATGTGTAAAGATTCGGGATGCTTGAGCTAGTCTAAAACTTGGCTCTGGCTAACATAATCCCAATTGGACACATAGGTCATGAAACCCCCCCCCCCCCCCCCCATTTGTTGTTGCATAGACGCCTAGAAGAGCACCTAAATGTCACTGTATGAGTAAATTCGCCCTCTCGATTTCTAGAAAACAAATCGAGACTGAAGGAAAACCGACCTGTAAATCCCCAAGTTAACCCCAATCCAGGAGCGAATCCAATCTCTTGCATCTAGCTCTGGCTGCTGGCAGGGCCTGCTGAAAATGTGTAGTGCGTAATGTTGCTTATTCTGATTTCCAACGTGATCCTATTCTTCCATGCTGCTGGCCATAATACAATAGCCAAATCATGAAAGATGAAACTCGGGACTGCGGTGATGCCTCGAAGTCTGAGATATGGCACCAGGTTTGTTATGTTGGAAGACGGTCTTTTGTAACTGGCTGTAACAGTTGAGGTTGAATTTGAGCTCATGACGATTCCAAGGTCCCAATGGTGCAACTGCGAGAAGTAAGTATATCTTATCACAACATATTTTACAGCAACCCACTTGATCCAAGAAGACAGTTACGCCAACCTCTGCTTCTTGGAGTGCTGATATCAAAGGCGGTACTGAATGTAAACAGGCTATAGACTTGACGTCGAGCAATGAAGGTTTGTCCTTTCAGCTCAGCAGAGCGACCGTCTGCTCCCGTCAAGTTGGACAAAGAAGATGCAAGTTGCAAGCTATTCGAATGTCCGGGTGGTGATACAATGTAACTTCCATTGGCGGTGAAACGCCAGTGGACGAACTCGAGAGACAAGTTTGAGCCGGGTGGGAAGTCCAAGTGTGCCGATGAAACAACCAGAGATCCTTCACCATCTTCAAGTGGGTCCTCGGGCTCGAGGTGCCAGCTGTTCATGTTGGCACTGACTTTGGTGAAAACTGGCCACTCTCCATCTTCCAGGCGACTGGCGTCAAAACAGTCTCGCGACCCATCGGATAGCTTCCATCTGGAACTTGGCGGACAGACAGTGCAACGGCCCACCAATTATCATCAGAATGTTGAAATAAATCTGCATGCCCAGTGTTTTAGAAGTAGTGAGTTGATTTCGCATTTGTCAATACCGGATTCTGTGGACTAGATTCATAAGGCCCATTGATGTTCTTTGAGCGCCCCGTTGTTACCATGTGGCCGGAGCCTGTTCCGCCTTCGGCAATGAGGAGATAATAATACCCATCTTTGTTGTAGATATGGGGACCTTCAGGTGCGCTCGCTCCACTCCCATTCCAAATATTGATATATGGTCCAATTGCTCCAGTCTTCAAGTCCAGAGTGACCATCTGAATTCCCGGCTGCGCTTCCCAAACGTGTGTTCCGACGATGTACAGTTGCCCATCATCGTCGACTCGTCCCAAAATGGTGAAGTGTCATATCCCGTGAAACTGAAGTGAAAAGGGTTCGACCAAGAAGCAGAACAAACTGTTGAGGTAATCACAAAGCTGTCAAATCGATTTCTTGCATTTTTCGGGTAGTCATCGTAAACCAAGGAAGTTACCACGTAGAATATTCCTTCTCTGTATCTGATGGTAGATGCCCATATTCCGCTCGTAGCTCTTTTTGCTGTGTTCAGGCCTGGTTCTTGCTCCGGCCTTCTCAGGGCATTGCTCACTAATTTGTAATCGATGAGATCTCGACTTGCATGGATAGCTATATGCTTTAGCGCGGCGTCCAAAGACTGCAGAGAAAGACTCACGAATGCCAGGAAAGACGAGGAAGCTGGACGAAGCACAGAAATATGTGTCGTCCCAATCAGGAACAAAATACAGCTAGGACCTGGGTGAAATCCTGGCAACATTGGATTCTGAAAAGTCGAATTGCGAGCAAATACCCTTAATGCGAGAAGCCCTTCGATAGTGACAGATGAGAGAAACATGATGAAGCAGGTGAGAAGCGAAACACACGCTCTCAGCAAAACTTTTACCTTTTAGTAGGAAGCTTTTGGACACTTATACACTATCTTTAGGCTCAATAAATATATTCTCGGCATCTGTTTTTCCCCGTCCGCAGGCTGCTGTACTCTCCTCGGTACCTCTTTATACGGAAAACGAAACCAGCTATTAATCGCAGCCAAAACCTGTCCTGGAAATTACTTGGCGGCGGCAAGGCAGAGATGGCAGTGCAATACCAGTGGCAGAAGGCATTCTTTACGTGATTACACAGGGCGTGTTCCATTATTTAGCATTATCGTTGTTTTTGTATTTTTAAAGAGGAGAGTCATGCACTAGAAGTAGTTATAGCTGACGTATAATAGGTCTCCCTAAACCCTAGCCATAGAGTGCTTCCCTGTAGTACTATACGCAAGAATACCCGCTAGTAAAGTACCCTAAACATTGCTCTTCCCTCTATAGTAATTTCGGAGGGAGTACTATACTCTGGCTATATTTGGATTATGCCTAATCCGAGGAATTATAACGTCTGAGTTCTATAGTACCCAAATACAGAGGTAAGGGTTTGACGAACGCGCCTACTCTCAACCTTCTTTTTTACCCTCCGGGCTATACCCTCTAATCCAGATCTCCTCTTACTTCCGAGAGAGTATATCGAGGCCGTAGCCTAATCCAGGGGAATTAATAAAGAGAGGGCTGCTCTCGAGTAACTGGCAAAACTAAAAGCCAGCCTTCTAGGCATTTATATAGTCCCTAGCGCTTTAACCTGTAGTCGTTTTTATAGTCAATAAGGTAGAGTTTAGGCGCTTTCCAAGGACCCGTCCCTGCTCCACCCTCCAGCCATACTATAGAAACTATATTGGGTAATCCTTGAGCCCTTTCTTTATCCAACAAATATATGTATCGATCGAGGGGTTTTGTTAATCGATTCGAGGTACGGCGACGTCGTCGAGGAGGGTATTCGATGCCGTCGTTTTGGCAGACCGCCATTTGGTAGTAGTAACGAGTTCTTCTTCTCAAGAAGAGCCTGGACAGAACGTGAAGAATTATTCACGAGCCCTCGGGCTCCTATCGCTGAAAAATTTTCTCCCCACCTTTTCCCCCACCAACTACCGTCTACCGTAACTCAATCTTGGCTCTCCAGACTGATCCTGTCCTAAGGAGGCAGTGTAATACCATAGGCGCAGGGCTGGAGGTTCATAGGGGACACCGCGAACAGGTGTTGAGTCTTCGCCCCCCGGTGTTCCATTATTTAGGGTCCCTTCTACCCCACACAGGGTGGGTCTTCCACTGAAATTTAGCCTAATAATACTGAATGACTAAATTGTTTCCACATTAAGATCATCTATCATACCATCTTCAAACTGTAAAAAGTAAAATAAGTGGCAAAGATACAAACTTTTTGTGGAATTCAGATAAATTCAGAGGTGGACTCATCTATTGTAGAAATGTCTTCCATAATTTATTTCGATCTCGCTTGGTTCCAAAAGCATGTAAAAAAAAAACAATTCAAGAGCATCCAGAACCTAGCAGATCTATGAGCAAAATATCCACGTATCTTCAATTACGAGGGTTTGTGCTTCTATTTGCATTTAAGTAGAAGTGGAGTGAACTTCTGAATTTGTTAAAGCTGTGAAGTGATCCTAGCGAGTATGCAAAGTTTAGCGATACCACTCCTTGGCATAATACCCGTGTGACTGGAAAGCACTTGCATGATGACACGGGCTTGAGATTTGGGCAAAGTAATCTGTTTGAAAACTATTACAGAGTTAGTTCCACTGGGGTCCAAACTAGAATTTCAATTTCAATATTTTCTTTTTCCTGTAACTGAATTGGAATGGGATTGCCTGCCCCTTTACTATGATGGGGAAGTATGGGTCAAGAAGGTCTACCCTACACAACAGACTACCCGGTTCGATAACATTGCGAGCACTCTTATCAAGCCACTGTTCACCGTGAATTTGAAGCACAAGAAACCTGGAAGCTACAATTTCGGCTCCATCGACCCCCATCAATTCCACGGCTCCGTAGGCTGGACTCCAATTGACCCTATATTTGGGTAATGGACTTTCAACCTAAGTGAATACGGTATTGGGAAGAACGCTACCAGTCAATCGACTATGCAAGCGATTGCTGATGCCGGAACCAGAGTAAATCATTCGTCGACTCTTGTTGACCTTGACCAGTACACTAACTTGATTGAAGGCTGCTTTTCCTCACACAGGATGCCGTCACCACTTAATACAACGCTGTCCCGGGGGCCTCCCTATGCTGATTGGAACACCGGCTTGTATCTCTTCCCTTGCAACACTAAGCTTCCAAAGTTCGCTTTCGACCTCGGCGAACACATCGGTGAGATCCCGGGCAACTACATGAACTACTCCACCACAGGTTTTGATAATGGAAACTGCATAGGAGGTCTTCAAGGCAGCGACTGGATTGATATATATTGTTGGCGACATTTTGCTCCAATCCCAGTTCGTCATCTTCGAGGGAGGCAACTCACCACAACTCGGATTTGCTACGAAGCACACAGAGAGCAACAGATTAGTCTAAACTAGACTAATAAGCTAGGGAAGTAAACATCGATGACTATTAAAACTGTTCTTCTTGGGTAGCGGGCAAGTTCCTTGGCCAGTGTTATGTTTCCTTTCGGAGATTTCAGTCAGGATGTTGTATTTTTTGCATATAGATCGCGATGATGTACGAACTTGCTGTTTACCTTCCTATATTTTGTTCTGCTACTCAACAAAAAGCCTCTATATAGCTAAATGATGCAGATCGTATGATAATTTAACATATTTTTAAAATATTCTAGACGCTCACCCTCTCGATTTCCTCGTAGTGGCCGAGGACACATTTAGTCATCGCTTCACAATATCACATATGAGATTGTCAGGGTGGCTTACTGTCTCACTAAAATCGTAATTCCATGCCGTATAGATGATATTCCATGTAACATAATTGTAGCTCGAGGGGAGTTGCAGTCTCAATCCTCTCTCCGAGGGGGGATGTGGCGGCCGAGTCACGTGTAGACTTTCCAGCACTAAGCCTGCCGCTAGAGTACCTTAAAAAAATTCTCACAGCTGATCGACAACATCCCATGTTCATCTTGACAATCAAATCATCTCCCTCTGGCTCTCCCTATTCTGTCATTAAATCCCCAAAGCTTGCCAATAATGGACGACTTGCATGTCTCAACAGAGCAGCGACTCGCCGCACCTCATGCTACGGATGCTAGCCACCAGGGCCACACCCCGGATCTTTCGGGTACGTTTGTCGATGGCCATTCTGCGGAATCAGTGACCTCTTCTGAGCAAGATGACCTTGATTTGCAGAAATTGGGTTACAAGTCCGTGCTTGCAAGAGGTTGGGGGGGCTTCGACAACTTTGCTTGTTCCTTCTCGGCCCTCTACTGCATTGGTGGCATTAGAGTCCTGTTCTACATTGCTCTCAGTAATGGCGGCCCGGCTTCAATGTATGTCGTCATCGTCAATCACTATTTGATCTCTCAAATATTGACATTGCGCGCAATAGTTGGAGTTCATGGATCTCCGGCAGCATCGTCTCGATCATCACTTCTGCGACTCTCGCCGAGGCATGCTCTACTTACCCCGCAGCTGGTTCCATCTATTACTGGGCGTTTCGATCTTGGGGTGGTGGAAAGCTGGGTCGTTTTGTCTCTTTCCTAGTGGCTGCTTGGACCTTGGTTGCTTGGACTGCTTTCCTTGCCGCGGATTCATTCGGTGTTGCAAACTATCTGATCTCCGAGGTTGTAATTTTCAACCCACACACTGACTTCCCTCACGTCACATCTGACGTGAAAGCTAGAGCTGTGGCTTGGGCATTCTCTTTGCTGTTCCTAGCTATCGCAACGTCAATGAATTTCCTGCCTCCTCGCTCTTACGCATGGGTATTCCGCGCCGGTGTCATAGTCATCACTATTGACATCCTACTCAACTTCATCTGGTTGCCAATTGGGGTCTCGAAGACATACGGGTTCCAATCCGCGGGATTTGTTTTCGCTTCCATATACAACGGAGGGGAGACTTCCCCTGGACTGAACTGGGTTCTGTCCTGGTATCTCGTTGCCAGTTGTCTCGTCGGCGAAGACGCTTCTGGTCACGTTGCTGAGGAGACCATGTCCGCGAAGAAATCTGCCGCAAAGGGCGTCTTCTGGGCGACTGTTGCCTCGGCACTCTGTGGTTTTCCCATTATTCTAGTATTCCTGTTTTGCATGCCTCCGATCGAAACATTCTACGACACCACGGCCCCTCAGCCATTCATCAACATGTACGCCCTCGCTTTAGGACCCCACGCCCATGTCGTTGCCACATTCGTCGCTATGATCGGAGCAATACTCAACACATCCATATCCATGGTAGCGGTTTCTAGACTCGTGTTTGCCATTGCTCGAGACTCAATATTCCCGTTCAGCGAAGCTCTTTGCAGAGTCTCGAAGAGCAAACAGCCTCACAACGCAGTCATTTTCACCGGGGCCATTGCTGCTTTCCTCCTCTGCACCCAGCTACCCTCACAAGTTGCCTTCATGAGCTTGACATCCACATCAGCAGCAGGCTCCATCGCTGCTTATGCACTCGTTGGTTTCGGTCGAGCATTCATCACGCGGAAGACATTCCAGCCAAGTTTCTTTGACCTCGGAAGGTTTGGAGTTCTGTTTGCTGTCGTGACTTTCATCTGGAACGGCTTCGCTTTTGCCGTCCTTTGTGCTCCACAGTACAGCGACACACTGATTAATCAAGATGCCGGCTTGTTCAACTATGCGATTGTTATCATGTCTGGCATCACAGCCATTGGAGTTGAGGAGTGGTGGCGCAAATCCAAGGCGGTCTGGTTCCACAACCTGATGGATCTCAATGAAGCTTCCCAGTCGACTGAGGAAGAGGTTCGTGATGCTGAGAGAGGTGTTACAACAGAGTCAGGAACCAGCAAGTAATCACCACCTCCCGATTCGAGTCTCAGGGACCATCGCGGTAACAACGTGCATTGAATGTTTATGGAGAAAGGTGTTCGGTCGAGAAGATTGGATTTCTTTGGATACTTGAGAAGGGGCGGATTGGTCATCGTAAGTATTGGTATAAGCATGACGGGTGTTCGATGATTGCTTCGGCATGATTCGTTCTGAGAAATTACCGTTGAACTTGATCTGGATAATACCAGCGAAAGGACATGCTTCAACCCTCCCTCTTCCTTTGCTTTGTGTTGACTTGTTAACTGCTGACCGCAACCACCGACTCGAACCCCCGGTCAGAGAGGTTGACATTAACGAACGGGAGGCTGGTTTTGTCATTTACAGGTCTTCTCAGCCTTCAGTCAGGATCAGAGCTGTCTTAGCAATTGACAAGTGTCAGCAAGCTTATTCAAAACCGCACCCTTCCAGGTTCCTATTGCCTCATCGGACAAGCTCTCCAAACAATTCGCTGCCCTCTTCGGCGTTTTTCTAACCTTTTGCTCGCTGCAAGAGCTTCCACTTCGCCGTCACCCTTCACACTTCCTTATTCGAACCCCTAGCGACCACATCCCTACAATCACCAGTCCATATACCACAGGACGAATACAATGAGTTACTCGATAGATCTTATTGATCCATAACAAAAAAGGTCAATTAAAATAAAATCATCTCATTGCCTACCCGCGTTCGCTCCGTGAAATAGCTTCATATTTGACGCTTTTATTCCTCTTCAAACCTCTCCGTATGGTCTCCAATAACCAATTCCAGAGCCAACCCTCTTCCCATGTACCAAACACCCCGCGCAGATACTAACAGGTTGTCCTTAGACTCTAGTTTCCAACAGTTTCCAAATAGTGCTTTTCACTATTTCAAAGTTCTTGTTTGTACCACCTCGTCTCCGGTTGAAAATTTGAGGTTTATGAAATGGCATCCCTTTTGATTTCAGCATTATATCTCTCAGACAACCTAATGTCCCGAGTATCTTCTCATGTCACTTCTAAGCAGGATCATTCTATAGGATGCCTGTCATGCTTGTCATGCCGGTAATGTGCTGTGCGCTCAAACGCCTGTTGTTGCTTCGATTCTGACCTCCCGAGGATACAACTAGCTTAGCTCAAGCACCAGATCACATCTTCCTTCGAGGGAATCTCACAAAACTTCAATAATTGATAACAGAAAAGAAATTGATAGCATGACTGAGATCATCACACAGCAGAACCAGACTGATTTCACCAACTATTCCCCGTCGGCCAGAGAACGGTTCCTCGACTTATGATGGCGGACATTGTAGGTCCAGAGTGATATCAGTACCTTTCAATCCACTAAAGTAGACCCAGATCTATGCTTGTGTAAATCTAGAGCTATTCTCATCTCAGAAGCAGTCGGGTAGGAGCTATAATCTATTTTTGAAACTTGCCACCTTCTCGGCAGCTTCACTGACACTACTCATTTTCTGGGCTAGGAAAGAGAAGCAGAGGATAGATTCGGTTGGCGACAACTTCTGTTTTGCGTTCTTGAGTTCCTCCCTATGCATTCCGATATCTTGGCAAGGCACAGCTTCCTATCTCATGGAACTTCCAATAATAACCTCCATCCATTTATCTCATCACATCAAGCTCATATTTCCCACCCCTACCTCGGCCTCAACCAAGCACATCACACAAAGATAATCTGCCCCGCGACCGCTCCAGAAACCAGCAACAAGAGCGGGGTGTACTTGTTGGTGAACTTGTACAGCACGCCCAACGATACAACATAAATCACCGCCGCTGACCCAGTGTGTGAAATTCTGCTACGAGCAGCACTATTCAAGCCACCAAGTTCATCGTTTCTAGGTGAACCCTCAACACTACTCTTGAGAATCTGAGCCGCAATGATGGCGATGACACCCACCACAGCCCCGCAGAGTCCGTCAAAGAAGCTTGCAAGAAGCTGTCTGGCATCAGCGCTGTCTTTGACACGGGGATATCTCAAGATTCGTGATTGACGATAGAGAGGTGGCACTTACTTTATTCCTCACCAGCTTTCCCAATAATGAATGACCCATAACTGTGAACAAGAAGCACGGAAACCACATCCCCAGGGTGATGACCACTGCGCCAGCAAATGCGTTCCCAAGCCCACTACAAACCAATCCTCCTTGAAATCCGACAAATGTCGCAAAGATCACCAGCGGGGCCGGTAAGACGTTTCCGATAGCAATGCAATCGATGAACACATTTTGAGATAGCCAGCGACCCTTGAGGACAGCTTCGACTTGAATGAAGGGGATAGCAGTATATGCGCCCCCGAATGAGAGACTCCCTGCCACAAGACCGAGTACGAGGAGATTCGCGAGCGTGGGGGTTGGTGCGATTCCAAGAGCGAGGGAGACGGGAGAGGGGAATCCACGATACACAACGTAGATTGCGAAACCGACGTATTGGAGGATGAAGAGGATTGCTGCTGGGATGAAGAGACGTCGGAAGATGAGCATGTACCACATACCGTAGAAGCCCAGGGAAATGAAACTATAAGCATCGGTTCGTTAGGGAAGCCGTTTTGTGATGAGTGGAGGCCTTACATGTTAATGTGCAAAGCACCGTTGATTGCTGTGCAGATGGCAGCGATGATTAGGAATGCATCGATTTTCTTTGTGGTGTGACTGATGACAGAGTGGTCTGCTATCTTGTGGGTCGCTTTAAGAATCTGTCTATATGTTAGTAATATGTTCGCGGATCTTAAGCAGTGGGCAGTGGGCAGTGGGCAGTGGTACCATTGCAGCAACAATCGGTTGCAGAGCTCTGAAGGAGGCGTTGAAATACTTGTTCTCCAAGCCTGCGAGAGAGTATAGATAACTCGCAAGTAACATCAAGACGAACCCAGGTAACATGAATGCAATGCCCGCAATGACACCTCCAAGTCGACCAGCAGACAAGCAGCCGAAGAACATGCAGAGTTCTGCAGCCTCCGGACCTGGAAGGATCTGATAAACAGCAAAGACTCTCTGGAATCTGGCGAGTGTTATCCATTTGTCTTGAATGACCAGTCGTTCTTTGATGAGGGCCATCTGTGCAACTGGACCTCCCCATGCAAAAAGACCGAAGTTGTAGAAGACAAACCAGAAAAGCTTTAGGAGCGACATCTTCGGGACATTGGAATTATCCTCCATATCGGCTTCATTTTCTGCGAGAATTGGATTGGAAGTGGTTGAGGACTCGCCTTCTTGCGCTTCGTTTTCGGCATCCTTCTGAAAAGACGATGCTTCTTTGGACTTGGATTCCTGGCTCGGAGAAGAAATAGCGCTGACTGTGGCCATCTAGTAGGAAGCGATGTGGTGATGCTAAACTAAAGAGAGAGAAGATGTCCCGAAACCGCTGTAAACGACAAAATAAAGAGGATATTGAAAAATCCTAATGTAAAAGTATGTGTTTCATGTGTTGGATATAAAGTAGGTTCGGGTGGAGAGGAAATATCTCGCTTCTGCCGTCTCCCCTGTTTAAGCGAGGGACGGACACCTCGATTGTGATTGGCCGAGAAAAAGAAATCATGCTTGACCACCTACATGCAGCCAAGCTTTCGGGGAACTCCAATGGAATTTGCTTTTCGCGCCACTGATCACACCATCGATAGAAATGCGGGAGTGTCCACGGTCAGCCAGGGTACTCCCCCCCCCCTAATTAAATGTAACAGTGGGTCCAAGTGCAGGGGATTTTTGGTATGGCAACTGGACCGTGCCAGGCTGGTTTTGCGGGGACCCACTATTACATTTATTTAGGGGGGGGGAGAGTAACGACTCGGTCAATTTGAAGTCCAGGAAGTGCTGAACAAATACGCCGAGCCTTAACAATTGGATTACTCCAGGACTTCGTCATTAATAAAAGGGAGCTGTTTAAGAACAGACAAAGAGAATGAAAATAACTTGTTAAAATTCAAGCTGTTCGACTCCATGCCACTCGGCTTATTGAATTTTATGGCCTGGTGAAATTGCATAACACGAGTTGTGCAATAAGTTGTCAAAAAACTTGGTTTAGGGTTGAAGGCCCAATAAACGAAAATTGAGAGTGTGAAAAGCTAAAAGGGCCTGCCATCAGACGGGACAATTACGATCCCGAGGGGAATTTCGCTTCAAATGGCACTCGACTTGTCAGATAATAGCTCCCATATGCGATCATTTGCCCTTGTGAAATGCCTTGTAGAAGGAGAAAGGGAAGGAAGTCTTAATTTTCAAAAAGCACCAGAAGCAATTCTTCAGCTTATATAATGCACGTGACCTACCTCTCGACCTCTTTTCAGCTAGGGAAGTTTCTTGCCGATCACGATCGCGTCCTCGAACTTCACTCCTTCACCCTTATCAAACACTCCGCCACCCCAATCGATACTGATACTCGTCAACCGCCGTCTCATGGAAGGCGCTCGCATACAATCCACACCTACGATGGTCACTCCAGTGGATGCGGATCGTGCACTTCGTTTGAGAGAGAACAAGCGGCGGAACAGGCAACGGCAGAAAGACTACACTGCTAAACTTGAGTCCAGACTTCGCCGTCTGGAGTCCGAGGGGATCAAGGCAACCCAAGAAGTGCAATCAGCGGCTAGGAAAGTTATCGAGGATAACTCGCGCCTCAAAGCACTGCTTCGTTTCAAAGGCGTCGACGAACATACTATCAGCACATGGACGCCAGAAGGCGAAACCGCTGTATCAGATGTTTCAATGCCAACAAGACATGGGAGATGCACAACGGTATGTCTTGCTGGACGGCTGGCTGCCATTGTCCCAGCTCTGAATCGCTTAGGAAACAACCCGCCACCTTTCGACGCAAGAAAGCTTGCCTTCGCCACTTGATGAGGGCCAATCGGAAGCTTTTGGGTTTGCTTCTACGTTCTCAAGTGCGGAGCCAAACAATCAAACCCCATGTTCCTTGAACGGCGAAAGAGCACCATCGAGCGAGTGTTCTACCAAATTGGCTCCCTGCAAACTCATGAGTCGCCTGGCCGAGAATCCGAGCACGGATTTGACACAGATAGAAATTTCCGATCTTCAAGTCGAGGATAATGATCGTAGTGGAATGGAGTGCTCTAAAGCATATAAGCTATTGATGCAATTCGCCACAAATGAAGAGAAATTGGACACGATTTCTCAAGCGTTGGAAAGTGGTTGCACAAAAGGTTCAAGGGGGGGTTGTAAAGTTCGGAATGAAGCCATCTTAAGTGCGATTGATGAAGTTAGTTAAGACGAATTTATAGGAACAATAGGAACCAGGTAGTTTATCTGTACTGAACGGTATGAATCGAGGTTATTGGGGATTGAGACCGTCACCGGGAAGAAGCTCGTTGTGGAAAAATTGCAACCAAGTCCTTCGATGCAACTCAAGTCTCTGTTGTTTGGAGGCCGCATGAAGCAAGCTCTCCAACAACGATAACCTAACCCCTTGACATTAACAATCGCCCTAACACTAGAAACTTTGACAACTCAAGATGAGTACTGATCCAGAACCAAGAGACTGGTTCACATTTCGAGAAGGTGCACTCAGATCCAAGTTTGTGTTTTGAATAAGCTGAAATAGTTCAGTCAACACACAGTATCCGCATCGTTCTAGAAGATCTCGACCTTACGTATAATCTTTTCCTCTTCATTTCCACTTCCCAGGTGGTGTTTATAACCACCGAGGGAAGCACAGGATTTTTTTCATGTTTGCTAGAGTCCAGAGTGGGCCAAGAAAAAAGCAAGTGCACTAGTTCCTATATCTCTTTCAGGCTCCACCTCTATATACGCCTATACCACAGACTACTACGGAGAACTACCTTCGATAATCATCTTCTTGAGATAGTTCACAAGCTCTGCCTTGTTGGTGAGATGTTTGCACCTGGAGTACCTCCCATAATAATGAATGGGAAACAGTCGTATGTGATTTACTCTTGCGACAAAGGGGGGAACAAAGTGCAAGACTTGCAAGTGGGGGCGACAAAGATAATGAGAGGAAATGACAATAACTCTTTGGTTAACGATAAAAGCTCTCTCTTCCACCACCCCCTCTCAACTATTTTCCCATCCAGTTGCCCACCCAGCAGCCAGAGTAAAACACTCCTCTTAAAATTTGTGACAAATAAACTCCCCCGGATAGATGCTAAAGGGCCAATTTCTCTTCAAGGTTACTTGGTAATTACCGCATATAGTTCGAGAGCTCGGTATTAAACTAGTATACTAGCCTGACTAGCCGACCATTCCTTCTAGTACGGTAGTACCAGGTTCAACCACTGATTTAGTCTTCTCCGCTCTCATTTATAATGTGTCATTGCCGGAGCGTATTAAACGCTCCCTAATATATAGTCACCTGCTTTTTAGCTAATTTAAAATAATCGGAGAACACGTGCTTGGAACACCCATATCACCAAAGGCTAATGGGGATAAGAACAAGGCTTTGGAATCCTTTCTCTCTCTTTTCTGGCTTCACTCTGCCTGTAATTTAGTTATTTAGGCCCTGTCAATCATTAATATTATCGTCTTCGCACCTCCATATTGCTCCAGCTCAATACTTGGGAACGACAGGGGAGACGTCGTTTTACATCCCCTTTGTCTTTGTCCCTCCGCACCTCAGCCGAACTCGCACGCAAGTCGAAGAAACAAGCTTCATCCCCGAGTAAAGAAGGGAAAGGAAAGTAGGTAGAGGAAGCTCTTTAATCAGAAGGCCGAAGACAAGAAAAAAAGAAAAAGCGGAAAGTGCAGAGATTCACCGTAGATTCTGGCTCACGATGGAGCTTCCGATCAGCGGATGACGAGTTATTAATATAAAACCCCACTTCCCTCCTCGCGATGTAGACAAACAAATGATTTGAAATTGCAGAATACTCAGGAGAGTCAAGTTACTTGCATTGAAATGGCCTCAACTGGCTGAATATGCACCGAAGTAGTGAACTGGAGAGATTAAGTTTTGCTACAAGTAGTAGAAAGAAGAATCAAAAGATATACAGCGAGGGGTTGATGAGATGTAGCTTCGAATGGCAATAAGCCATGAGTGACAATAGCCCAAAATGACAACAAATGCAGCCACGAGCCAAAAACCCACCCACCTCGATATGAATCCCCTCTTTGTAGCCGCAAATCCAAAAGAAATACTGGAAAGAAAGTCCCGTAATGAGATATATTAATAACCCCAGAGAGCCGTCCTCCTCGATCGCAGGGAGATTGTGGGCCGATGACAGAGCTTGAGGAAACTTCTCCTCCCCCTCCCCGCTTGCATTGTTTTATTATTTCATTTCATACCTCCTCAATCCACCTTTCCTCAAGCGAGAGCAAATCATATCAGGCACTATCCAATTAATTTACATCTTGACTTCCCAAGTGCGCCCACACTGACTTTAACAAGGGAGTAGAAGAGCAAGAGAACGAAGAGGATCTCTTTTCTCCACAACCTCAAATCCAGCGGTAACACTGCCCGTAATTAACATATAAGCACTTACCCAACCATTACTGCTGCGGTCACGAGTAAGGCCTCTGATGGTTTTGTATTTCAGCGGAACTGAAACGCGTTTTGCGAGTCAAGTTGCATCTAATTTGTGGCTGATAGAGGATATCAACAAGCTTGCTGTGATCGTGAACTCGTACTCGTAGTGCGGGAGATCAAGGCTTAGAGAAGAAACGCGGATGAAAGAAACGGCTAAAATGACAAGAGCCAGTTTCTTGACAACACTATCCGCCCCCACACTCCAATTGCCTCCCTTCTCCCGAACCATATTCGTAATTTCAGAATCACGAGCCAAACAACAAGGTCTAATCTTCAATGGTAATCTTGCAATTCGTTAGATGTCCAATACCCCCTATTGGGGCCGACCACCCTTAACTCGTTGCCATGTTCGACGGGTTGACAACAGTGGCCCGCACATGCACTCATTTTATACCCACCCTCTCCCTTTCACCCTCTTTCCTCACCCTCCTTTCAGCGTCAGACCAGAAATATCGAATTTACCTCAATTCACTCTGCCAATCTTACAACACGGGCATCATCCAACGGCTCGAAAGGCTCGCCTTTCAGTTGAGCGGAAGGTGGACCATCCCTTCGCTCCTTCACCCTACTCCCGGTCTCAGCATTCCTTCGTTCCACATATAAATTCCTAGGCTACAAAGCCCTCTCCTCACTTCAGGGAACATACTCCGCAGTACCGTGACCGGGAAAGAGAGAAAGTGAAACTGGCGGAGAAAGGAGCCTTCGATCGCTTGGTAACCACGACTTCTGAAGCTGAAACCGGCAGGCAAGAAACGCCCTTGCCCGAGTTGCCGGAAGGGCGGAGAAAGGAGATTCAAGGTATAGAACACGAACAGCAGATGAAAAGAGGCCGTGTGGATGACAGCAACGCCGTGCCTGACAACAGAACGATACGCAAAACTCACCACACCCCAAATCACTACCCCGTCATAGAAGGAGAAACATCCGTCGGAAAGCCAGGCAAGAGGGAGCAAACGGAATCAAAAAGAGAGGGGTAAACACAAAGTACTTTGTACCTTTCACCCGCCATCCTCCCTAGCACCGGACAGAATCGAGGCCGAGGAATACCGATGCCAAATCCGAGAGGTGACAGTAAAAGCGGGCGTATTTACACTCTATTCAAGCCCCTGTCTCGAACTCAAGCTTACAAGATATAAAATCAGAGTTTTGGAACGCTTTCCCATTCTCGGTTATGAGGGAGAAAACGAGTGCAGATTCGACAAGAGAAAAGGGTAGAGAAGCAAGAGACGCAACTCCACACTCCTCTTCTTCACCCACCATCTCACGGAGCAGAAGAGGATATCAATCGCACGTCAACGAAGTCAGAGAAGTCACATTGGAGATAGACGTGAATTAACACCCCCTCAAAGACTCTTAGAGCAAATGAAAAGGAGAAGAGGGATGTGTAGGATGGTCTACTGTGAGAGAGAACCCGGGTCAAGATACGTGCGAGCCAAGTGTCGAGATGGGAGGGTTGAGCAGTGACAGCAACGGTCAAATGACAATAAATCAACGCCCGCTCTTCCCATCCAGGCGTCCCCCACCTCCCCGCTTTGAGGAGAGATACGCTACGGTAACCTAGACGGAAGAACACGACTGGGGAAGACAGAGCATGAGGTGTAGCATATTGTAGCGAAGAGGCGTGGAGAAGAAGGGACGAAATTGGCAAGGAAAGAGTGGATTGGTGACCCGCGAAGCGAGTCAGGATTCAGGAACTTGGCGGGAGGTAAAAGGATGGGAGGGGATGGATGGATGACAACAAGCTTCTCCTCGACAACAGAAACCCCTCCCGTTTCCAGCAACCTCTCCTTGCCTGCTTCCAAGCTCACGCAACGGGCTCCGCTTCCCTTTCTATGTCCCCAGAATGCGAGGTTACGAGACGGAGAAGAGCCATTCCTGGCTGGCTGGGTGGCTTGATTCCGAGCATCTTGTATTCAGGAATCTTCATTCCATATTGAAAGCTTGAAGAGACTTCTCCTCGCCAGGATTATATTTTTATACCCACTTTCATAGCTACGCAAGCTGTGCTAGATAGAGAGGAAGGAACTATCCATATTCAATGTTAACAGCCCAAGCGTACACATGAGACCCGGACGAGATAGCAAGGATGAAGGGAACGAGGCAAGAGAAGAAGATTGGAATCTATGACACAAAATTGCATTGCAGCCACGCATCTTTCATGGCAACTAATGTACACTTCCCCCCTCCCCACCCCTCACTTCACTCCCCCACCATCAAGAACCACTCAATAATAGTAGTTCTCATCCGGCGTCCGCCCCCTCATGAACTGCGGCTCACTCCCCCTCACATAAATATCCTCATATAGCACCTTGCCTGTGGGCTCCGGGAACTCCATCTTCTCGGCCTCCGCCACCTCATCATCAACCGCTTTTCTTGCCTCCTGATCAATGGCCTTGAGCTCCTCCTCGGTCGTGACATTCCACTCCAGCAACTTCTGCTTCAGGCCCGCGATCGGGTCTTGCGTGGAGCGCATGCGTTGGATCTCTTCGCGGGTGCGGTAGGTGGTGCCCGGGTCGGACATGGAGTGGCCGCCGTAGCGGTAGGTGACGTATTCGAGAACGAGGGGGCCCAGGCCGGCGACTGTGTGCGCTTTGGCGTGTGCTACGGCGGCTTTGACGGCGAGAACGTCCATGCCGTTTACCTTCAGGCCGGGGATGTATTGGCCGCGCTTGTAGTAGTCTGTTAGGGCTGAGGAGCGGTTGGCTGCTGTGCCCATGCCGTATTTGTTGTCTACAACACTGTTATTAACATTCCAGAGAGAAGGGATGAGGGGAAGGGACATACTCTCACACCCAAACAAAATCGGCAAGTTCCACAACTTCGCCATATTGAACGCCTCGAAAACCTGTCCCTGGTTACTAGCCCCATCACCATACAACGCAACAGTCGTATTCTTATTGCCATTGTACATATGTGCGAACGCGAGCCCAGCACCGACTGGAACCTGCGCGCCAACGATACCATTGCCGCCGTAAAAGCCCTTGGCAAACATATGCATGGAGCCGCCTTTTCCGTAGGCAATGCCCTCGCGGCGACCGAGCAGCTCGCCGATGATGGACTTGACGGTTCCGCCGCGCATGAGCGCGAAGCCGTGGCATCGGTATGCGGTGATGATGTCGTCTTCCTTGGTGAGAGAGTGCTCGATGCCGACGGCGACGGCTTCTTGGCCGGTGGAGAGATGGCAGAAGCCGCGGATCTTCTTCTCTTTGTAAAGCCTGTCGGCGGCCATTTCCATGCGGCTGGACGAGCGCAGCGAGTTAGCTTATCTCTCTCTCCACATTCAACATTTGAAGCATTTCCCCATCCCCGCGATCTTGAAGCAATTGGGGAATAGAGACCTACCGAACGGAAACCATATCACGGTACATCTGCTTCAGCTCCTTCTTCGTCGTCTCCATGGTGTAAGACGGGGGATCCAGCTCGTAGGTCTCAAAGGACTCGTCTGAGAGGTGGACCTGGAACGGTTTGTCGTCTTCCTGTATCCGCACTTTGATCAGCCATCTTCTTCATAACTTCTCCAGTTGCCTTAACCCCAACCCTCCTCGAGAACCAGTCCGGTTTGACTCAATTGGATCAATTGAGGCATTGGGAGAAGGGGAGAGGGAAGAAAGAGTATACCTCTGGCACCGCATCTTTATCTGCATGTGCGCTCGCTGCATCTGTGGTAACATTTCTCCCTGTCAATCCATATCCTCCCCTCGACACAGCTCGCAGAGGAGCCGCACGGCTGGTCCGCAATGTTCGGGAAAGCATTGTGGGCGTGGGGTGTTGAGAGTTGCAAAGAAAGCGAGATTGAAGCTCGTCGAGAAATGTTGGCCGTGGATCCCGCAGGTTGAGGGAGCTTTCAGGCGTTAGACTCGATTGGGCATAGGGGCGGAAAGTGAGGGATGGTCACGTGGAATTACTGATGTGCGCTCTTCAGGCTTACCTCAGCTCACAGTACTTTCTTGTTGTCACATGGAGTTTGTATTTCGCAGAAAGATCAAGACGTAAGTTGCTGTCAAAGAACCTGACATTGTTGGGTTTCGACGTGGGAATATGAAATAAATGCTGGACATGGCATGTAGAGAGAAAAGGTCTTGATCGAATCTTCAAACCTCAGCAAGTAATTGGTACATCAGTCTCGCCCATCCCCAAGAAGATCGGGGCGGGGCAGACAGCAGTGGTACAGCCCATTATAGCTGTGTCCTTGTTTGCCGTCGTCTTTTACCATCTGCAGTTTTGTCAAACAGACACCAAGATCTCTGGAATGTGAAGAAGGCCATTATCAATTTCCTAGAACTCACTTCTTCAGAATTTCTCACAGCCTGCTCACAAATCATCCTTAACTCTCTTCGTTCATCGCTCTTGTTATTCTCCCGCTAATCTCACTCATCGCTCAAGAACGGACGCTAATACTGCGTCAATCAGCGCTCTTCCTCGCCTTCTTTCTTGTAGTCTCCATCTGACCCACCAATTTCTCCACATGTAAAATTTCAATGCACCGTCCATATATGCAGAAAGCCATGCAAAAACCATGCTTTCCTTTCCATCCATCCGTTCCATCCCAATTAAATTCAAGCAGAACAGGGGGAAACGCCGATGAATGCAATGCGGATATCATATGCTGGGTATGCTGAAGATCATTCGTGAATGTTATTTCGAGGGCTACGCTGAAGAGTTGAATTGCTGCTGGACTGTTTTCGAGGTGGGATCCTGCCCCTTTTCCTTTGTATTTTGGTATCCCCGATAAGCTCATAATGGAGCGAAGCAGCTTCCCATATCCCTCAAGTTTCAGATGTTGAATAAGGAGTTACTCAGGAACCTTCCCTTAATCGTCATGAAAGAAAGTCGGCCCTGTCTGCTGCAGCGGCGCCGTACTCGGCTGCGGATCTAACATATCGACATCCTCAGTCTCCTTCACAAACGCAACCTGCATCCTCTCCTCGGCGCTACTGCTTATCAGCCCACTCATCGGTTGGTCTTGCGTGCCCGTGCTGCGGTATTCAACGGCGGAGAGTGGTCGAGCAGGGGCGTTGAGCATTCGTTGGGCGAGTGTCGGAGGTTGTGCTTCGTAGAGGACATCTTCGGGTGGGGAGAAGGACCATACCTGGGCCAAAAACGTTAGAATTGAAATCCTTGGTTTTGGAGAAAGGGAGAATGGGCAAGGGGAGCTTACCTCCATGATTGTCCTGTTGGACCGGCTGGCCATAACCACGCATTTCTCTTCTTCGAATGCAACTCTCCACACAGCGTCGGCTGGAGCTGTCAGTTCTCTGACCAACTGCCCAGTCTTCAGATCCCAGACTTTGACTCTGCCATCGCTGCCTCCGCTCACTACCCGTGTATCGTCAAACTGCAAGCTTGTTACGCTATTATCGTGTGCTGCAAGTCGGTGTATCGGTGCCATCTTTTCTAATGACCAGACTCGAACTGAACCATCTGAGCCTCCTGTAACCAAAGTATTTCCTCGCATCTGTAATTGGCCAACCAGTGAGGTGTGCCCTTGAAGGATTGCTTGGCAAGATCTAAAATCTGTTAACAGAGGTTTCCCAAACTCAGAGAAGTTGAAACCATACCCATTATTCGGATCCCATATTCGCACACTGGTATCCAAACTCCCAGTAGCTATCCTCGCGCCATCAAACGCAATTGCATAGATCTGCGAGAAATGCCCCGAAAGTGTGCGTAAACACCTTCCCTCAGAGATACTCCATACCCTCGCGGTTGTATCATAGCTTCCAGAAACGACAATATCGCCCTTGATCTCTAGACATCTAACGCTCGCTTGATGGCCCACAAGAACATTCTTGCACAGTCCCGTTTTAATATCCCAGACTCTCAACGTGGTATCTCTTGACCCGGAAATAGCTGTACTTGAATCGCTCATTTTCAAACAGCGGACTGTCGAAGTATGGCCTCGAAGTGTATGCAGACTCTCGCTGTTCACAGGTCAGTGCTGCTCTCCTAGAGAAAGCTGAATACATACCCAGTTGACATATCCCAAACCCGCACATCTCTATCACAGCCACCGCTGACCAGGGTATCATCCCACGGAACCATCGCCCAAACGCCCATAACATGCCCCTGTAAAGTCTTCTGCTGGTTACCTTCCGTGTTGAAAACATGGATCTTCGCATTATCCAGCGCAACCACGATGTACTTCGGCGTCAAATGCAGACTCGTCACCACACCTTGATCTTGCGTAATATGCCTGGCAATATTCTGCCCACCCGTCTTCCACGCCGTTTCTACCAAATGCCGTTGTTTAAAATGGCTCTTGTATGATCTGATCTTCGGTCTCCTCGGCGCAGCACCACTCATCGAACTATCAAAACTCCTCGAATTGCCCTGCATATACGGAGCCACAGCTGTAGCCCCAGGATACGAATGCGTAGGATGCTCGCTCTCGAAATAGCTGCTGTGGATAGGGTTTGGCGGTGGCCGAAGGGTAGAGAATGGAGGGGTCGAGTGGTGGTTTTCTGACATGCGGCGGTCGTAGTCGTACTTTGCGCAGAGCTTCATCCATGTCACATCATCTGCAAGCAATTCCCGCCACCGTTGTGATACCTGCGATGCTCGGGCAAGGACTTTTGGGTCGTCAATACAGGAGAGGATCTTGTTCGTTAGCACGCTTCCCCTCAGGAACGCAAAACACATACCCGTAAGCAAATCTCGTTGGGCAAGCTGGTGAAAGGATCCTTCTTTAACAATGGATCTACGTACTGCCGCACGAAGCTGAGTTGTTGGCTCGTACAGAGGTTCAGCAGATCTGCCAAGATCCGTGTCCGCTCAGGAGGCGATCTGTTCTTGAAGTAGTGCCGTATCTTCGCCAGGAAGAAATCTTCTTGGTCTCCGGCATCGCTCCAATCTGGCTGGGGGTGGTCTGGTCCCGGGCTGGCGGCAGGTGTTGGAGGCGGGGGCGGATCGTGGCTCGAATGTGTGGGAGAATCCGGGTCTGCAGAGGGGGTTGTCATGTTTGGCGTCGGTGGTCCTCTTGGTCTCGATTGCACTGATACTTTCTCGACTCTCTGCGGTAGACGCACGCTGGTGTTGGTGTTGAGGGTCAGGGTCGCTCGAGTGGGAGAGAGGTCGTTATCTTCATTGTTGAACACCATTGACGCCCTCCTCTCCGTCAAGCTCAGAGGCCGGTAGCCGTCCATCTTGTCTTGCTGCAATTATATTTATCCTCGCAGAATCTCGATGCGTGGTGAATGTCCTGTCTCTGTCGATGGTTAACGTGGTGATTCGGAATGCTGACCACGCTGATTGAAATGTGGATCTTGGGGTCGAAGAGGCTGGATCATCAATCTGCACACTCGGCAGACGCTGGTCTCGCGCGTTGACTCGTTCTCGAGACGGGTTTATGCTGAGGCAGTGGGTGGGATGTTGGAGAGAGTCGTGCACCGCTGGGGGATTCATTCAAGGAGACGGTGTCGACGCATGCGAGGTGAATGAATTTTGCAGGCTGCAGGAATGGTATGGGATGGGATGGGTGCTATGGCTGGATGCGGAAGGATGTACCCACCATTGTCCTCGGCGTCGTGAATGCCTTCAATGCTCGTGATATCGTGAATGCCGGGAGGAGTCGCTGCGGGCGGGTTCGTGGTCGTGGTCGTGGTTGTCGTGAGTCTCGCTTTCTCTGGCGGCGGACGGTGGCCAGGTCAAGGTCAAGGTCAATCGAGCTGGGCCAGCCAAGGTTTAGTGGTGGTGGTGGTGGTGGTGGTGTGGTGCGGTGGATGCAGTGCTGAGGCGAGGCTTGCAGGGGGCACATCGGCAAGGTTTGGGGCCTTGGGCGTTTAAAAGCTGCCGCCGCCGCTGACAAGAGTACAAATGACCCGCAGGCGTGATGCGTGATGCGTGATGCTTATGCTTATGCTTGATGCTTGATGCTGGCCGAGCATAGCATGGAGCGACGGAGTCAAGCACTCGACGGCCTCGCTGCTACTATTTTGATATTCTGCTCATATGCGTAGAGTAGAGTGGCCAGTCACGGGTAGATGCGAACAGTGAAGTGTGGAAAGGGGAAGGGGAGGGAAAGGGAAAGGAGAAGGGAAGCGGGGCTGGGAGAATTGCACTGCAAGCGGAGTACTTCGTAAGTACAGTACACTGCAGCAGCACAATACAATATCTCTGGATCAGTCAGGCATTGAGTGAAGTCTCTCTGTGTCCTCATACGCCACTCGTCTGTCTCCCTCTCACTCACTCTAATCCCGACAGTCACTGGATCGAGCACACTCCCTCCTGCACGTGGCAGCACCTTACTCAGCCCTCTCCCCCCTTTCATCTAACGAGTAAACCCAGCCCAGCCAAACGTCGAACTGGCACGGTCTCTCCCACCACTGCTCCAGCCTCACATCATATCCCCCTCACAATCCCAACCAACAACCAATTCCCGACGCCCTTCTAATCAGATGTACTCGCAGCCTGTCAACCTCTCAAGTACTAGCCCTCCTTCTCGCCCTTCTCGCCCTCAGACCCCCCTTGACACATGACGTGCTGCTCTTGCAGTGCAGCGCCAGCCAATCGGGCGCTCCCACTACTTCGCCCCCTGGTGCCTCACCCCCTGCATCCGTGAGCCACCTGGTGCACCATCCCGCCGGCGAACCTGAGACGCCAGTCCGCGCACCTGTTCTCTCTCCACCCAGTACGCACTAAAGCTCCGCTTCCACACAGCCTCCCATAACTCCGCGCTTTGATGGTCGGTATCAACTTTTCGTGCTGTTGTAGGGTTCACGGGCTTTCACATTAACTTTTGCTTTTCTTCTGGAAAAACTTTCTTAGTTCTGGTTGAAGGCTGGCATTTGGGGGGATTGGATGGCAGGCAGGCGGGCACCCAGCCAACCAGGCTGAGGATCGCAGCAGCGTCAAACCCGGAACTTGGCGATTCAGTTCGAACGGCCGTTTGCGCTTCGCTGCATCGAGACAAACACGAGTCGCAGCCGAGTGAACCTCAAACCACCGACGGGACGTCGAACTCGAGCTGCCTTCCCTTTGTAGAACACAGGCCGGGAGAAAGACCTACTTTGTACCCGCTGTACTCTTATACCTCGCAAGCAGCGAAGAGTGCGGTCTGATCTCCGAGGTGTGCAACCGGACAAAACCCATTGTCGACCGAAAACCCCCGAATCTGAAATCAGATATGATCGATCCTCCGGAGAATCCCCCTTCAGCATCGTCCGCGCCGTACAGATAGGCTGCAGATCCTCCGCATTTGCAGCTTCGACCGACGTGCTGTATGGCTGTACAATGCAATGCAAGCACTGATGGAGATCTCGAGCCTTTGCACACATGCAGCGATCTCTGTTCACCCGCATAAATGCGTGCTTGGTACGATGAGCATCAAACCCCGACATCCTCAAGCTCTAGACTCGCACAGCCTCATGTAATATTGTCATTCATGAGAGAGAAGTCTGTGATGGGTGTATTTTGGAGCGCAAAACTGTCAAGTTGATGGTTGGACTTCAAGGGTTCTGCAAGTCTCAGAACCCACACTTCGAACATTTTCCCCACAAGTTATTTATTTTCCCAACACACCACTTTCAAATTTCATTGCGATACCTCAAAAGGCCTTCGTGATCAACTCTGCTTCTAGGGCTGTAGCCCTTTTATGATTATTTATTGAGGGTACCGGTGTACGTACCTGGCCTCGTCTGGCACTTAGGGAAGCCGAGTGTGGAAAGGGGCTGAAACTCGCGATAGCTTCAGGTTGAATGGAGCTGAGCTTGACCATACCGTTCACATTGAGCAATGGCTGGGGTATCTTTAGTGTTGGAAACAAAAGTTCGGCGGTATTATTAGTAGGTGATCGTTTCTCCATAATTGTTTTGAAAGGCAAACAAACATTCGCCATTCACCCCCTGTTTCTGGGTTCACCAGGTTGTTCTTGGGATGTGCATTGGACTAGCAGGATTCCCTATAAATGCGGTGATGCACAACAACATTGATATGACCAGACAACGAGTTCCCTTTATCTGGTCATTATAGTGGGATAGCCTCCATTCAAGAGGGGGTTGAGAAGGGTACCATGTAAATTCTGCTACAACACAAGGAAGCGGCCTTGTTTGCATGCAGGCTCACGTCCCCTGCAAAGCATTACAATGACTGTCCAACGCTTGTAATATTTGAATTGTGCCATCTGATCATTGACAGCAAGAAGGAAGTTGATAACATGAGTTTACCACACGAGAGAGATCTTCGCTTCTCAACTGCCCTCCTTTCCTTGAGCAAGCTTGCTCCTAAGCCGCATTGACATCCAAGGCCTAGATCATTGTTTTCTTCTTCTTCTTTCTCTCACGTAATTATATCTTCTCGTAAGCCTAATATTTTATGGGCTCTTTTTAAGCTTTTTTTCTTTTTTCTAACTTAAATTAAAGCTGTGTAAAACTTGATTCAAAACTTATATTAAATCTTATATAATATCCTAGCATTACGTTTCATTTATAATCTCACGTGACGAACTAATTAATTATATTTTCCTGATTGGGTTTCTGACTTAATTCAATTTAATTTAATTACTGCCTCATAATTATAATTAATTAAATTATTTGATGCACTGAGCTGCAGAGCAATGCCAGGACTTTTCGCTGCCTGTTATAGCAGCTTCTACCACAGCTGGCTGTGTGAAAACATAAACAAGATACGATTTTCAATATTCCTTATGCTATCAAAACGCCAAAAGGTTGTCGGACGAAATTAAGACGAAAGAAGCAATAGGCAAGAGGCAAATTGTAACCCTTAGCGGTCGGTTATTTGAAATTCTATGCCCTTTATCTCTGCTTGAACTTTGTAATGAAAACTTCATTTCATACTCTTGCGTACTCCCAGGGGCTCTGTTTCTTAGCGCTAGCTTGAGGTTCTCATTAATGCACGTAGCAAGGCTGGACAAGGGCTACTTATGTACGAGGTGTAAAGTAGAGAGAGGGTACTTACTACTGATTATTCACACGTAGGGAAGACCTTAAATACTCCTTGCTGACCGTTCTGCAGAAAGAACTAGCTATAAAAAGTGCCTTCGGTGAGGAAGGGGAGAGCTAATCCAGACACTATGCAGTACAGAAGTTAATTATGACTCTGATTAGAAATGTGACTGCCAATATTCTCTCAACTAAGTGTCATAGAATATAGTACCTAACAGACAAAGGAGAAAGGCACAACATTTGTTTCGCGACCCTCTCGCGACAGCTGTTTTTCTTGGAAACCTCGGACGAAATCCCGTGTCACAAATGTTCTCCGTGTCAAACTGCGGCCCGTTTTCGGACGATAGCAGCTGCAAGATACAGGCAAGTACCGCAAGCGGCAGGCGGCAGACAAGAGAGTGGGAGACACAAGTATCATTTAGCTGACTGCTACGGCCGAGCTCTGAGCGATATTGAGAGACAAGGGTACCTCATAAGCTTGGCGATCTACCTGTTCATTCGGAACTGGCACTGCTATGGACTTCGCAAAGGCTGTCTTTATATTTATTTTAGTACAACCCGCGTAACACAAGGACAAGTGCTGAGCGTCCTTTCCTTGTGCAGATCCCCGTGCCCCTCCCCTCCTTCTTAGAGGAGTTTATTCTTTGCCGGGCCGCTCCGGAACTTCATTGATATAAGACGCACTTTGCCTGGGATACGAGTAAATACAGAAAGGGATTAACGCTTTGGAGCTGATGCAGTGGGAAGATATAGACACTGTCCTCATTCGCGTAGCCAAAGGCCACGGAATGACGGCATAAAAGCATCTGCCCTCGAAGCCGCGTAAAAGCGGCACGTGCAGAGATATAGTTCAACCTCTTAGTGCTACTTGCACAGAGATTTTTGCCATCATACTTCCTCTCTAGGCCAGAACAAGACTTTATTTAACATTCTCATCGACAGCCACAACGGAAGCCTTTGAGTCCCATCGGCGAATGGACGTCAGGTGTCATAACCTGTGTCACTACTCATGAGCGAAAACGCTGAACAGAAGAAGTTCACGAGGTGACAAACTTGTCTCGACGAGACTGTCATTCTAGATGATTTGGAAATCGTTAAAGGGAAACGAACTGAAGATTTCGATGCAGGCTCCTACCGCTAGAAAAAGAAACCAACGATGTGCATTATCTCGATGGCTGCAGAGACGCAGGGTGAGGGCTTTGTAAATGGGGCTTGTGAGGGGTCATTCTTGCCGGATTTGGTTTCAAGAACGACAAAGGAGAGTGAGTAGGTTGTGATCCAACTCTGAATTCTCTCGAAACGCTATTCCGTTGTCCCCCCTTCCCGGGTCACCCGTATATCGCGGCATCGAGCACAAGGACAACCCCGGTGACTCCAATTCAATTCAAGCTCCTGATAGTACACACTTCTAGCAATACAATCCGGTCAAAGTACAGCACTCTTCAGTGATGATGCCCAACTTGGGTGAGCAAAGGAATCAGCATCCCGCCAACAGCAGCCAACGTGTCTCTCATCTGCGGCTTCTCTTTCTTTCTTTGCAAACTGGGGCCCTCTGCATACCCATTTGAGGAGGAGTGCGAGTGCTCGTAATGCGAGTCTTCTTGCATGGCGTGCATGGCTACATATCTGTTCTCTGTTAGCTAGTTTCAAGAAAGGAGTAGAAAAATAGGATTTACAGGAACGTCCCCGCCGAAAACAACAACAACATCCCTGTCCACCACTGCCCTCTCTCCCCCTCCATGTGCCCCGCACCGCCCAGAATATGAACCAACAACCAAGTCATCAGCGCTCCAAACGGGGCCGCCAAGCTAAAAATAATAAGATGTCCCCTCGCAGCTCTCTTACTTAGCCCTTGCTTTAGCAACACGGACGTCAATCCGAAAGCCGCGGGTGCTTTGTGGATCATGATGGCGATGAAGATTATGAAGCCGAGTTTGGTGTTGGAAGAGGAAGCCGAGGCGCCCATTGCTATGCCGTCTGCTGCGGCGTGGATGACGAGTCCGGTTGTGGTGGCGAGGGAACGGCTTTGTTTTGGTGTTGGGGTCAGAGACTGCAGGAAGGAGTCGGACTCTTCATCTCCCGAGGAGATTGTGGTTGAGTGGAGACCTTGAGAGAGGTTGTCGAGGGAGATGTGTCGAGTGGGAGGTGGTGGTTGTAGATTCTCTGAGGCGTGGCGGGGAAGCTTGTCAATTAGGAACATGAGGATGAAGCCGGTGATGAGAGAGAAGCCAATGTAGAATGTTGGGGGGTCATGGTGTTCTTCAGGCCCAGCTTCAGGGCCTGATTTCTCGTCTTTGGGAGGTGCCTTGGTGGCTTGGGGTGGATCGTACGCCTCGGTGGTTGTTGTTGAAGAAGAGTCTTTGCCGTCTTCTCCTGGTAAACCTAGGTTTGGGACTGTGAAGTCGTCGACATCTGCTGCTCCTCTTGGTAGTGGAGCATCTTTTTGCAGAAATGTGTGGATTCCTGTACTCGGCCATCGCACATCCAGATGCCTGGCTTGCAAACTTCTCCTCGTATGCATGTGCGCTTCCGTCCCCGACGAATACAGTGCTTCAATGCCTTCTGGTATAATAACCACCAAGGATGTCCCTACAAGAACTCCCATTCCAATCGTCGAGATGAGCCGTAGCTGCGACGAGGACAAAGTCATGGACAATGGCAATGCACCGGCCAGGAAAGACCTACCGACTGTCAGTAAATCCTCAAAATTTCGAGACATCACTCACGCCAAAGCCATCACCACGCTAAGCGCGAGCAACAAGAACAGTCCGTCCAACATCTTGACCCCTGGATCCAATCCAGCACCAGAAAGTGATATTCCCAGTCTCCTTTTCCCTGCGCCGCTACCGATGCATCTTCTGTTCCTACTAAATTTCCAGTCGCGTTATCATTCGCTGTTAACTATCCAAGGTGAGAGTGTCGTGTGCGCCTAGTGATGCAGTTGAAGTTGAAGCTCGATGACAGATTCGAGGATCCTAATCGGCAAGGCTGAGAGCGGCGTACCCCTGTCAATCGAGGAACGCGTCGGAAATTCAATCAACGCGCCCAGACGAGAAGAACCAACTTCACCTATCGCGGCATCAAGAACTCTGAACACCAACATCCTGCATATCCAAGCAGGGGATATCAGGGCAATATGGCTGAAGAACATGCTGACTGTGAGTCCTTCTCTCCTGTTCGCCTTCTCCTCATCGCGCCTGCCAGCTTGGCGCAAACAGAAATGTGTCTCAGCTTCAATTCAACTGGCAGATTGGCATTGGAGGAATGCGCATTCATCTCAACTTGGACTATTGGAAGCTGACTACAACTATATAGGGTCTTCCAACTCCAATGATGCCATCCACATCTCTCTCGTTGCTCCTGCGGAGGGAGGAACCAAGGCAATCCACACCTTCAACCCCAAGTTCACCTATCCAATCTTTGGCGACGAGGAGCGAATCTTTGGTTACCAAGGATTGAAGATCAACCTGAGGTACAATGCCTGTGATATGCGACCTGGTCTCCAAATTTCATACACCAAGAAGTTCAAGACGGTTGGAGAGACGAGTCCTACAGATCTGAAGGCTGTTCTGGAACCATTTCTGCCAAAGAGTACGCATATCCCGAGGAGTGGCGAATATAACTGACGGATTTAGCTGCCTTTGAGAAGTCCGCTGTCTTTGATGCAGCAATATTAGATTCCAGCTATGCAGACTGGACGCCACCAGGAGAGCTGTGGAAGACCATTCAATCCGGAGATCAAACCTACGAAATATGGAAGGGTAGCCTCGCAGATCTCGCGGTCAAGCAAATGGTCAAGCGGATACAAATACTGGTCCCCTTTTTCATCGAAGGTGGCACCTTTGTCGACCTCCAAGATCCAGCCCTCGACCGATGGACCGTCTTCTTCCTCTACCAAAAGAAGACAGTCGAAGCCTCGAAATCAACCTACCTCTTCATGGGCTACTCAACCATCTACCGCTACTTTTACTACCAACCCCTAACCGCAACCCCTTCAAAACAACGCATCTCCCACCCCGCGACCCTCGACTTCAGCCTCCCTCTCCCGGCTCCAACACAACCCACCTTCTCCAGCCGTTCCCGGATCTCTCAATTCGTGATCCTGCCCCCTTTCCAAGGCGGCGGCAACGGTTCCCGCTTCTACAATGCAATCTTCGACTACTACCTCCACGACCCGCTTACAATCGAAATCACAGTCGAAGATCCAAACGAGCAATTCGATGACCTACGGGACCTTAACGACTTGACGCTCCTCCGCACTCTGCCAGAATTCAATGCACTTCATATCAACACCTCTTCCGTCCCCCGCCCCAAATCCCCTATCCCACGAGATATTGTCGACTCCGTAGCCCTCGAAACCCTCCGCAGGAAGATGAAAATCGCACCCCGGCAATTCTACCGCGTCGTAGAAATGCACCTCCTGACCAAAATCCCCACCACAGTTAGGCAAAGTCTATTACTGGAGCAAGAGCGAAAAGTGGAGAAGGATGCGGGACTGGCGGGGAAGAAGAAGGAATATCGACTTTGGCAGCTTTGGGTGAAGAAGCGGCTGTATAAACATAATAAAGATATGCTTATTCAGTTGGATCGGGTGGAGAGGATTGAGAAGTTGGAGCAGGCGCTGGGTGGTGTGGAGGCGGATTATGCGCGGTTGTTGAGGGCTGCTGAGACGAGGGGGAAACCGAGGGTTGAGGGAAATGGGGAGGGTACGAGTGGAAGTGGTGAGGGGAAGAGTGAGAAGAACGGGAAGAGGAGTAGTCCTGATGATGAAATGGAGGGTGTTGAGACACCGGCTGCGAAGAAGGTTAAGTTTGTCGAGTGAGGGGCGAGAGGGATGCTTTCTTTGGGATTGTATGATGACGATCGAGAGGTGAGGGGCGAGGGATGAGCATTGAGAGTATTGAGCAGGGGATGGCGTTTGCATTGCTTTTTGCGCTTGGGACGGAGTCACAGATGAGCTGCATAGGATGATTTGACGAATGAATACCAGCAATACGACGAGAATTATCTGAACAGTAGATCATAATCTCTCTTGAGTACAATAGCGAGTATTTTATCTCATGTCGTACTCTGAGCTAGGCTCTAGCGAACCGCTTCCAGTCTTCCTTTTCTTCCTCATTTCAAGAACTTCCATGAAAGATAATTTTTGCCGTTCGAAGCTACCGATTTCCCTCTCATAGCGAAGTAGATATCCGAAGAAGACTCGGGTAGATTTCCTGTTGCCGTGTGTAGATTAGGTGTGTCCCACTTCTGATCTGCGGCTCACACAAAGGATGCAGGCCAAGACCCGCAACATCTGCATCGCATGTACCCCTCTGATATACTGGCACGCACGAGTTAAAACACTATACTCATTTTATTATCCTTTGGCCATCTTTAAAAGTCCTGTTCAATGTTTCAGGCATCACATCATTTCAGATATCACATCTAAACCCGTCGCTCACGAGGACAGGTAAGCATCACTCGCCTCACTTTTTGCCTTTCTTCTTTCCACAAACCTTATGCAAATGAGGGGGGTGGCCCTCAGGAACCCCACCACGTCCTTCCATCAGCTGAAAGCCAAACGAAAGCACCCTTAAACTTTCATTTTCAAGAAAATTTTGACTATTTGGCTATGGAAATCGTCATCGTCGGCGCAGGTATCGGCGGCTTATCCGCTGCTCTGGCTCTCGCATTAGCCGGCCACTCCGTCCAGATCCTCGAATCCTCATCCACCCTCGCAGAAATTGGCGCGGGAGTGCAACTGACACCAAACGCAACGAGATATTTCTGGAAATGGGGTCTTGGCCCTGAACTACTGGAACATGCTGTGCTCCCAAAGTCATTTAACATCCTCTCCCTCAACAACAGCAACTTGATTGGAGCTGTTGATTTCACCAACTTCACACAAAAGTACGGCGCACCATACATCGTCATCCATCGCGCGGATATTCACAAGATTTTACACGAACATTGTGTCAAAGCCGGGGTCAAACTGCGACTCGGATCAAAGGTCGTAAACTACTCCACTGAAGAAGGGAAATTGCAGTTATCAGATGGGCAAGAGATGAGTGCCGACTTGATAGTAGCATGTGATGGCATCCACTCCCTCGCCCGGGGCTTCCTGAATCCTGAGCTTGGAGGCGAAGAGGGGATGCAGAAGACCGGGTGGGCTGCTTATCGGAAGATGGTTCCCGTTTCCGCGTTGAAGAGAGACGAGCTGACGGAATATCTGGCGAGAGAGCAGAGTGGGAATTGTTGGGTCGGAGAGGGGAAATTGATGATGGCTTACTTAGTGAAGGGCGCTTCGATGCTAAATCTCGTCCTTTCGCACCGAGACGATGTTGACACCACTTCTTGGGGCCCTGAGAAGTATGATAAAGAGATTAGAAAGCTTTTTGCTGATGTGGGGGATGTTCCGAGGAGGTTGTTAGAACTGAGTAATCCCGGAGCAGTAAACTATCCAGTAGAGCAGGTGAGGAGGTTAGAGCGGTGGAGGAGTGGTAGTGGGAAGATGGTGTTAATGGGTGATGCGGCGCATGCGATGGCGTTTTATCTGAGTATGGGTGTTAGTATGGCCGTTGAGGATGCGGAGGCGCTGGCTGAATGCCTGAGGTTGGGCGAGGAGAGAGGAGAGAGACTGGGGAAGGTAATGGGTGTCTTTGAGGGCGTGAGGAAGGGGAGGGCGGAGAGCATGAGGGATGCGAGTGTGCATGCTGGGGATGTGTTGCAGGTTTCTGGGGAGGAAAGGAAAGAGAGGGATCAGTGGGTTGGGTGTGATGGGGTTGTGGAGGGAGGAATGGAGGGGCAAGGAGAAGGGGAGGAAGAGTTTTGGAAAAAAGGATTGAGGTATGGGATTGCGGATTGGAGGATTAGGGAGTGGTGTTATGGGTATGGTGTTGCTGAGGAAGTGAAGAGAGCGTGGTGATGGGTACTGACTCGGAGACTTGGGGACGGGTTGGTCCACCTGAAGGTCAAGTCAGAAGAGGAGAGGGACTGCTGGTAGGGTTAAAAGAAATGTGGTTGAAAGCGTCGAAAGACTGGGCAAGAGCCAGAGGCAGCGTCGAGAAAAGGCAGGGGAGATACACGAAAGGCAATGTTTATCTAATAGCGAGTCTTGAAGGAATGGGGTTAGATTAGAGGTAGCAGCTAGCTAGGACACAAGTCACGGAGCAGAGAGCCATCAATCTTCGACACATCGGCCACAAACCATCTTTCCTTGCAACTCGAGAGGATATTTCGTGATGAATTAGTACCATTCTTCTACAATCTCAACCCATGAGCCGAGAAACACTCCGTAATGTCCACAATGGATGTCAGTTCCGCGCCGGGCCTAAAATGTCCCAAACGCCATCAATAACGGCCCCACCGTTTTTGCCCCAGCGCCATCAATGCAGAGTTCCTTCATCTCCATAAAAGATGGCCACAGTCGAAACGCCCTATATATGAGCAGAAATCCAGATCAAATATCTCTTCACTCGCCACCACCACCTCCAATTCGTCCAAGATACTCCTCCTTCCACTCTCTCCCAGCACGGGTCCTCTCTTCAGCCTCTTCCTTCCACATCTCAAAGTCATCCTCCCCCAAGTCTCCCGTCTCATTCCAAACTCGCTCAAACTCATTCTCGTCCCTCGAAACCGCCCATGCCGTCTCTCTTTGCCTCTTATGCCTCTCTCTATCCTCCTCAATTCTCTGTTCAGCTTGTTTGCGATCTAACTTCCCAAACGGGGTTCCCCTTGCTCCTTTCCCAGTCGGAGTACTCGCTTCCTTGCTATCCCCATTCCTACCCTCCTGTGGTCCCAAAGGACTTGACAATCCCACCGTGTCAGGCGCAATATCTCTCTCTTTCAAACACTCTTCAATCTCTCCTACAGTTTGTGCAAGCAAGAATGTCTTGATTTCCAGGGCTTTGAGGACTTTACGAACGACCTTTACGTTGGCGGCGCCGGAACCGTCTTCGGGGGCTACGGCATCGACAATGCGAAGGATGTCCCTCTGGATCATGCGTACGTAGTCCCAGTGGTTTTCGCGGGCGGCCATGTCGCAGAGGTACTCTAGGAAGTACATGATGTTTGCTCGGATGTTCATTGTGTTCTGAGAATATCAGCCTCCATCCACCCATTGCCTCTCCCAGCCCAACCCTGAACCAAGAAATGAGGTGAAGTGTTAATGGGAAAGGGGAAGCTTACACGCTCCAACTGCTCCAAAATACAGCTATGTAAATCCTCATCCATATCGCGATACTTCAACGCATACTGCGCTGCCTTATTCGCGCTCGTCAGGCTGGCGTTCAGGTGCTGCAGCAGGCCCGTGAAGCGGATCCGCACCTCGAACGGGTCCATCCTGCCCTGGCGCGTGGTGTTACCGTGGCCGCGGTCCGGGATGGGGATATAGGGCGCTGCTACCGGGGATGCATTGGGAGGGAGGTTGAGCGGACTGTTGCTGTCGTGGTTCCAGGGTGAGAGGGATTGCGAGAGCGAGGACTTGGAGTGGGAGGCTCGTCGTCGGTGGTGGTGGGAGGACATTTTGGTGGCGCACTGCGGGAGCTAGCTGTTTTGGTGTGCGGCCGCTTGCAAGGTTGTGTGGGGCAGATATTTTGTACTTGGTCGTGGGGAGCCTATCCTTCGTGAACAGCAAGAATTTCAAGGCGCAACGAGAACTGTCGTGTTGTCAAGATGGCAGCAAACGGAAAGGAATCGTCTGAGTTGACCTTGACGGTCTTAGGTTGTGGTAAGTTCTTTTATCTATCTCCACGTGGGAGCTATAAATTTCTAGAGTGAATATCGGCAAGCGGAAACTGACAGGAACAAAGGAACCATGGGCATAGCAATTCTGTCCGGCATTCTCTCCTCCCTCTACGAGATCCAGCCCCAGAAATCGCTCTTCCTTCAGTCTCCATCCGGTACCACCACGCCCGCAGAAGAAGTCCCTTCCCGTCTGCCCTCGAAATTTGTAGCTTGTGTCCGAAGACCAGAGTCCGCGAAGAAGATCAAGCAGGCGTTGGCTGCGCACCTCAAGGCGGTGAAGATTGTGCAGAATGACAATGTGTCTGCGTGTCAAGAAGCGGATGTCGTATTACTGGGCTGCAAGCCGTATATGGTGAACGATATTCTGAAGGTGGAGGGTATGAAAGAGGCGTTGGCGGGGAAGCTGTTGATATCGATTTGTGCTGGTGTGCCAGTGACGCAGATCGAAGAAGCACTTTATGGGGAAGTCAGTACGGGAAACCCCGAGAAGGAGGGGAAGTGCAGGGTTGTGAGAGCTATGCCAAACACGGCGTCTGGGATTAGGGAGAGCATGACTGTCATTGCAACTTCCGTCCCTCCTTTACCGGCAGAGACTTCGAGCCTGGTTACATGGATCTTCAAGCGGATAGGAGATGTTGTTCATCTCCCTGCCAGCACTATGGATGCTAGCACAGCGTTATGTGGTTCTGGACCTGCGTTCTTTGCGTTGATGCTGGAGGCTACGATTGATGGGGCTGTGGCTATGGGTCTGCCAAGAGCAGAGGCTCAGAGGATGGCTGCGCAGACTATGAGAGGTGCTGCTGGATTGGTTCTCGCTGGCGAACATCCGGCGTTGCTGAGGGATAAGGTTTCCACGCCTGGAGGGTGCACAATTGGTGGCTTATTAGTGCTGGAGGAAGGAAGGGTGAGGGGAACAGTGGCAAGAGCTGTTAGGGAGGCGACTGTTGTGGCTAGTCAGCTTGGAATGGGAGTTCAAGGTGTTAATGGGACGAGATTTTAGGGAAAATGGTGGTAGCAAAGGGTTTAGCTCTGTCTTTCTGACATGGCTAGAGGAGCTCAAGATCTCCACGATGTTAGGTTTAGACAAAATGATGTATCATCTGGCTCAGGCCGCGCACCTTTGGCTCTGCCAATAGAATGACCCCCCGAACTTTGTGATATGGGAAGTCTGCCGCCAGTTGTGGGATGAGAAGTAGATTTTGTACACATCTCTATTGTTATACACTGTATGCCTTTCCTTACTCAATTCCGTTTGCCCATATACATTCCTCCTCGCTCCTTTCTATCAGCCTAGCTACTCCATAACGACCACGCCCCCCAACCCCTTCAGCGTAGCTACAATCTTCTCCGCCTCCTCCTTTGGCACCCCTTCCTTCATCAGCTTCGGCGCGCTCTCCACAAACTTCTTACTATCCACCAAACTCAGACCCAGCATGCTCTTAATCTCCTTGATGATCTTCGGTTTCGCGCCCGCATCAAAGCTTTGCAGTTTGAGATTGAACAGTGTTTTCTCTTGTTGAACGGGGGCCGCTTCCTCTTCTTCTACGGGCGCGGCGGCTGGTGCAGCGGGACCGGCGGCGAAACCTCCCATGGGCATGTCGGGGATGTTGAGTCGTGTCTGTGATATCGAGCCATAAGCACACCACCTTTGTAAAACCAGCATAAGTGTCCGGGAAGGGAAGAGACCATACCTTCAAACTCGCAACCAGGTCCGCTGTCTCCAACAGAGTCAATTGACTAATCTGATCCACAATCCCCGAGATCTTCGGGTTCGCAGCCGCAGTTGTCTCCGTGCTCGCCCATCTTCTTGTCGTCCTCCTGTGACCTACCGCCGCTGCAACCGAGGAAATTCGCAGAGAGTTCGAAGACCGCAGAGAGCGGACGCAGCTTCTGGCTGCGTATTGACAGGTTAGAGACATCGTTGTGTGCTGATTTTGAGCTGGGGATGGGGCGACGTTAATCTCCAAATGTCGTGTTGGAGAGAAACCCTTAGCGTAATATTTTTTGGATGGAAAGCTGGTCCGTGCACACCGAGGAAAAAATGTTTATCGGGATTTCTTTATCTGAAAATATATCTGCATGAACCACGGAGTTCTGAACACACTAACAACGGTGCAACGATAGATGTCGACAATCCAAACGAAAACAAAATGGAGGCCCTCGAGAGAAGGGCAAGGTCGGGTGATCTGCCAGAGGAGATATTGGAGATCTTGCGGATCCAAAAGGACCCGCGATTCCTGGACGCTCTTGCGACTACGGCGTTGAACCCAAAGTTTACGCTCACCCTTTTCACGCATTTCGAGAATGTTTTCGCGGATACGTGTGCGAGGTGGGTCAGAGGTGCGCATGGGAAGGTTCAGAATAATAGAGTGATCGAGGGGTTTGCACGAACACTTCCTCTAGCGCCGCATCTGTCGACTTTCTTGGAAAGGTACCTCGAAACCACGTCCTCGAGTGCTGGAAAGGCAAATATACGTAGCCTCTGGAATGTGGAAGGGAGATCTGAGAGATTGGATACGTTGGAGTTGCAAAGGGTTTTACTTGGTGCTTGGAGACTTCTCAATTTCGATAAATACGCTTTTGAGAAGACGATTTCGGGTGTGAGGATCCAGGTTTTTTTCCACCATAAGGATAGAGGGGTGCGGTACCTGGCTGTGAGGCTATTTTGTCAGCTGGTATCGGCATCGGATTTGAAGCTCGAGGCTATGATTGACGAGCACATTGGCAAGAAGGAAGCTGTGATGGGAGATTTTGATGGAGATATGGTCGATTATGGATTCATAAGCCTCCTGGAAGAGAGACGGTTGAACAATGCACAGAAGGAATTGGGGCAAGGATGCGACTTCCGGAATTTGAATTTGACACTATTGTCCGGTTTGGTTTCACAGTATTCGAAAGTGTTACTGCCTCGACCAAATGGACAACCTTCAAGGCTAACGACCTTGATTCCTACTACGACCACCTCAAAAAACATGGAAACGTTTGCCATGGCCCTTCTGTTATTCTCTCCAATTCTTCTCCATGGTCTTGCTGGTTCTGGAAAGACATCGCTTGTCAACGACTTTGCCCGAGAGCTTGGGGTAGACGACGGTATGGTCACATTACATCTAAACGAACAAACCGACGCCAAGATGTTGATTGGAATGTATACTTCAGGCTCAACGCCGGGGTCATTTACCTGGCGACCTGGCGTTCTCACCACAGCAGTCAGAGAAGGGAGATGGGTTTTCATCGAAGATCTTGACCGAGCACCAAATGAAGTTATTAGCGTGATTCTACCCCTCATGGAAAGAGGAGAGCTATTGATTCCGAGTCGTGGGGAAACAGTAAAGGCTCGGCGTGGTTTCAAGCTTCTTGCAAGTATACGCACATCGTTGAGCGTAACTGGGCATGAAAATCCACCAGCTATGCATATGCTGGGATCGCGACTGTGGAAACGAGTTCCAGTGCAAATGCCCACCCAACACGAATTCCGAGAAATCATAGATGGCACCTATCCAATTTTGCATCAATTCCTGCCTGGGATAATTAGTGTGTATGATCGACTCTACACACTATCACACAAGCCATCCTTCGCATCAAGAAGTCGAACATCTCTTGGCCGCCCAATCAGCCCTCGGGATCTGCTGAAATGGTGTCGAAGACTGAACGTAACCTTGGTGGCAGCTGGGTCAAGCACAGGCCGAGAACCCATCACAGAAGCCACGAAATATGAGATGTTTCTTGAGGCCACAGACTGCTTTGCTGGCAGCCTGCAAACAGAAGATGCTCGCAAAACAGTTGTTTCTGCTATTGCCGAAGAGATGCATATTGATCCCCAGCGAGTGGAGCATTTTCTCACTTCTCACATTCCAAGATATGAAGACAGCGAGACGGCTTTAATGATTGGGAGAGTAGGACTGCCCAAACAAGCTTCCGCACGAGTCACGAAATCTGTGAAGAAATCAAGACCTTTCGCAAATACGACACATGCGAAGAGATTGCTCGAACAAGTTGGAGTTGCGGTCAAGATGGCCGAACCTGTGTTACTTGTTGGTGAAACTGGTATTGGCAAGACGACTGTGGTTCAACAGCTTGCAGACACATTGGGTTACAAACTCGTCGCTGTCAACTTGTCCCAGCAAAGTGAAGTTGGGGATTTGCTTGGTGGATTCAAGCCCGTCAATGTCCGAAGTCTTGCCATTCCCCTGAAGGACGAATTCGATGACCTCTTCGCATCTACCGGCATTTCTACCACCAAGAATCAGAGATACCTCGAGCTGCTTGGGAAGTCTGTTGCAAAGAGCCAATGGAACAGAGCATCGAAACTTTGGCGAGAAGCTCCAAAAATGTTTGACAGCATTCTCTTGGAGTTGATAAAGAAGGAAGCAACGAATGGACGATCAGCCACTGAGCAGCCTACTAAACGACGGAAGACCGAGTCAAGATTGCAATCGCTTTTGATCCTCAAACCTCGGTGGCAAAAATTCTCGGAAAACCTAGATCAGTTTGACGTTCAGTTGTCTGGCGGCTCGAAGGGTTTTGCGTTCACCTTCGTGGAAGGCAACATCGTGAAGGCTGCTCGGAACGGAGACTGGGTGCTGCTTGACGAGATCAACTTAGCGTCTCCCGACACCTTGGAAAGTATCGCTGATCTACTACACTCTGGCTATGGTGGATCTCCATCCATCCTCCTTTCTGAGACGGGTGAAATCGAGAGGGTGAAAGCCCATCCCAGCTTCCGCATCTTCGGTGCCATGAATCCTGCAACGGATGTTGGAAAGCGAGATCTACCCATGGGCTTGAGATCACGCTTTACTGAGATCTACGTTGAAAGCCCGGATCGAAATCTTGATGATTTGATTGGTGTCATTCAAGCGTATCTCAAAGGTAACCGCAGCAATGATGAACGAGCTGCTCATGACGTGGCTCGGCTTTACTTGAATACCAAGCGTTTGGCAGACGAGAAGCGACTTGTGGATGGAGCAAATCAGGTTCCTCACTTCAGTCTCCGAACTCTCACTCGCGTGCTAAGCTATGTGATTGAGATTGCCCCCTCGTATGGACTGCGACGAGCTTTGTATGAAGGCTTTGCAATGGGATTCCTGACGTTGCTTGACAGAGAGTCAGAGAAAATGCTCATGCCACTGATCAATCACCACCTTTTGGACAGCCACGGCAATCCCCAAGCACTCCTCTCACAGACTCCCAAGCATCCAGAAGACGGAAGGCAATATGTACGGTTCATGAACAAGAAGAGGGACCGGCAATACTGGATGCTGCAAGGAGCCGAAACCCCTCAGGCGCAACCGCACTACATCATCACGCCCTTTGTTGAGCGCAATATGCTCAATTTGGTCCGTGCAACATCCACTCGACGATTCCCAGTTCTTGTTCAAGGACCGACATCTTCTGGTAAGACCAGTATGATCGAACACCTGGCAAAATTCAGCGGGAACAAATTCGTCAGAATCAACAATCATGAACACACCGATTTGCAGGAGTACCTTGGTACATACGTCTCTGGCTCTGACGGCCAGCTGAGCTTCCACGAAGGCCTTCTTGTTCAAGCTCTCCGCCAGGGACATTGGATTGTGCTTGACGAATTGAACTTGGCACCAACAGATGTTCTTGAGGCTTTGAATCGCCTTCTCGATGACAACCGTGAGCTTCTCATTCCAGAGACACAAGAAATCGTCCGTCCCCACGAGAACTTCATGTTGTTTGCAACACAGAATCCGCCTGGTCTGTATGGCGGTCGAAAGACGCTCTCTCGTGCCTTCCGAAATCGGTTCTTGGAGCTACACTTCGATGACATACCCGAGGAGGAACTTCACACAATCTTGCAGGAGCGAAGCCAGAAGGTGGCGCCTTCCGATTGCAAGAGAATTGTGGATGTGTACAAGGAGCTTTCGAGATTACGGCAAACAAACCGACTCTTTGAGCAGAAAGATAGTTTCGCTACACTAAGAGATCTGTTCCGGTGGGCACTCCGAGATGCCGACAATAGAGAGCAGCTTGCTGCAAATGGGTACATGCTCCTCGGCGAACGGGTCCGAAATCCGGAAGAGAGAATCGCAGTCAAAGCGATCATAGAGAGGGTTATGAAAGTCAAAATTGAACCCACTGTTTTGTACGATGCAAGCATATCTCCTGAGATCACAGCTTACAACACAACCTCGAATACACAAGGTGTTGTATGGACACAAGCAATGCGGAGATTATATATCCTTGTTGCACATGCTCTCCGCAACAAAGAACCGGTGTTGCTGGTTGGAGAGACTGGTTGTGGCAAGACGACTGTTTGTCAGATGTTGGCAGATGCATTCAAGAAGGAACTCCATATCGCCAATGCCCATCAGAACACAGAGACCGGCGATCTGATCGGTGCTCAACGGCCGGTTCGAAATCGAGCTGGGTTACTGGAGCAGTTGAGGCAGGACCTGATTGTGGCTCTGAGTTCTCTGGAAATCAACATACCCGATCAGAATGACCTCGATCCCTTACTCGCGACTTATCGATCTCTCCCATCCCAGACTATTGCCCAGATTTCTGATGAGCTGAGAGACAGAATTGCCAGCTGTCTCGTAAAATCGAAAGCTCTCTTCGAGTGGTCAGATGGAAGCCTCGTTCAAGCAATGAAGGAAGGTCAATTCTTCCTCCTTGACGAAATCTCCCTAGCAGACGACTCTGTACTCGAGCGACTGAACTCTGTCCTCGAGACACAGCGCACGATTCTCCTCGCCGAGAAAGGCGTTGATAACTCTTTCGTCCAAGCTGCAGATGGTTTCCAAATCTTTGCAACTATGAATCCAGGCGGTGACTATGGGAAACGAGAACTCTCGCCGGCACTGAGAAATCGCTTCACCGAAATCTGGGTTCCATCGTTATCTGAGCATGAAGATGTTTTCCAGATCGTGGAAGCTAAATTAGATTACGTGTTCAAGCAGTTTGCGGAGGCTATGGTCCATTTTGCGGAATGGTTTGGTCGGACCTACCGCTCTTCTGCTTCGACTTCAATCTCGGTAAGAGATGTGCTGGCTTGGGTTAAGTTTATGAATTCGTCGAACTCTCCCAACCCATACTTTGCCGTTCTCCATGGAGCTGCTATGGTTTATATCGACACCCTTGGTGCCAATCCTGCAGCACTGCTGGCGATCAATTCTGAAAGCATTCGAGAGGAAAGAGCAAAGTGTTTACAACAGCTAAGCGCACTTCTTGGGCACGAAATCCAACCAATCTACTTCAAGGCGATTGGGCTTGTCAACGACGACGATCTTCTCACCATAGGCGACTTCTCAATCCTGAAGCAGGCTGGCGCAAGTGCCGATCCTGGCTTTGCATTCGAAGCTCCAACTACGAAGCTGAATGCTATGAGAGTCATCCGGGCTCTCCAAGTCCAGAAACCTATCCTTATCGAAGGCAGTCCGGGCGTTGGGAAGACTACTCTGATCGCCGCACTTGCTCGTTCATGTAACAGACACCTCACTCGAATCAACCTTTCCGAGCAAACAGATCTCATGGATCTGTTTGGGTCTGACGTCCCAGTCGAGGGTGCAGAAGCAGGACACTTTGCCTGGCGAGATGCACCATTCCTCCAAGCGATGCAGAAGGGCGAATGGGTCTTGCTCGACGAGATGAATCTCGCCTCGCAATCTGTTCTGGAAGGTCTCAACGCCTGTCTGGATCATCGTGGCGAAGTCTACATTTCTGAACTCGACCAAACATTCAAGTGTCACCCCAATTTCGCCGTCTTTGCCGCCCAGAATCCGCATCACCAAGGCGGTGGCAGGAAGGGATTGCCAAGTTCTTTCGTCAACCGTTTTACTGTGGTGTATGCTGACGTGTTTAGGAACGATGATCTTCAACTAATTTGCAGGCACAACTTTCCCTCGATGTCTCTGGATTTGGTCAACACGATCATCAACTTTGTCTCTCAGCTGGAGCAAGAGGTTGTCCACAAGCATCGATTTGGTTCTCAGGGTGGACCTTGGGAATTCAACCTTCGTGACATTCTTCGCTGGCTTCAATTATTGACCTCCTCTGCACCGTTGCTTGCAGCTGCAACTCCCTCCGACTTTCTAAACCTGGTCTTCCGACAAAGGTTTAGAACATCAAGAGATCGTCAGGAAGTTGACAAGATCTTCGCATCAGCTTTGGGGTGCGGTTTTCCGTTCCGCCATTTCTTCCACAACACGAGTCCATCTACTTACCAAGTTGGACTCGCATATCTGCCACGAGATCCGCTCATTCAACCGTTGCCTTTTCCCGCAGTGGACTTTGCCAATCGTCTTCCAGAAATCGAGTCCATCATGATCTGTATCCAGCAGAATATCCCATGTATCTTGGTCGGGCCATCTGGCTGTGGGAAGACCACTATCCTTCAACACATAGCCGCCACTGCCGGAGAATCCCTCGTTGTATTCCCACTCAATGCGGATATTGATACCATGGACCTTGTTGGCGGCTTTGAACAAGTTGATCCTCAGAGAGCGGCAAGCGCCTTCCTCGACCAGCTCAATTCGTTCCTCAAGAACAAGGTCTTGACGTCTTTGCCGTCCGGCATTCCAGACGACGCAATTGCTTTGCTTGAGCTTTTGAAAGATAATAATGCTGCGTCTGGATCGTATTTCTCCCAGCTGGAGCCGCTTCTTCGTTCTCTGCAGACCAGAACATCCCTCTCAGAATTTGGCACCTTAGCAGACACCTGCCGACGATTTTCCGATATCCCAATGACTCTTGAGAATGCTCGATTCGAATGGGTTGATGGAGTTCTTGTCAAAGCCCTGGAGCAAGGCAAATGGCTCGTTCTCGATAATTCTAATCTATGCAGTGCTTCTGTGCTTGATCGATTAAACTCGCTGCTTGAGCCGAACGGCTTTCTCAGCATCAATGAGCACTGCGGGCCAAATGGCGAGCCGAAAGTTGTTCGACCACATCCTGATTTTAGGGTCTTCTTGACGATGGATCCGAGATTTGGGGAGTTGTCGAGAGCAATGAGAAATCGTGCAGTCGAGATTTTCGTTGAGCCATTGCCCGCTGAGGCCGTTCAACCTGCCGTGGCTCTTGCAACAAGACCCGAGGCAACTATGCAGAGATATCAGAATGTCCTCCAATCACTAGAGACATCCGGCGTGGTCCCTGGAGAATCGCCGCTGCTCCAGCAAGTGGCGTTGGACAACTTGTCCTGGTCAGATGTGACTGTGTTCTCGCGTTTCTCAACCGTTCTCGGGAGGTCGAGCCTTGCAGTCGACTACCCCAAGCTTTATTCCACTTATTCACAGATCTACAATTCCCCGCCATTTCAGAACTTCAGAGGAGCAGTTGGGGAAATGCTTGGCACACTTGCAAGTAAATCCAGTCTGGCACCAGCGGCCTTCAGAGACGCACAGGTTAGTGACCGTGCCGTCCCTCTTTTGGGAAAACAATGTACTGATAGCTTCAATAAAAAATCAGATCATCCATCCACTCCAAAACTCTCCTTTGGTTCCCTTGCTCTTACGGTCCAATAATTCGGAGAGAGTATTCTGGCTTGGCGCTGTGTTTGACCTCATGATTGAGAGCAGTGCTGCCCGTTGGGCTGAAATCGGTCAAAATGCCGAGATTGAGGCGTTGAAGCCGAGTCAGATGAACAGGTTGCAGAGATCACTGGTGCGATCGAGGGTTCCTGCTGTGACGAAGGACTCGACTGTCAACATTTCCAATTTCCTGAGGCATACTCTTGAGGCTCTGGAGAGCTACCTTCAAAGCCACACTAATGCAAACTCGGACTGGGAGACCAAAAGTAAAGCTCTCAAGTCTCTCCTTCGATACTGGTGGGATACCTTCAATCTAGCCACTTCGACGCATTTCGAAGAAGCGACTTTCCAAGCCCACCTCACCATCGGAACCGACCTGCTCTCTCAACTTTCTGTCCAGTTACCGACCGGGGATGAACAGATGCAGATAATATCCACCTTCCAAGCCAGTCTTCAAAATAACTTCTCGTCCAGCTTCAAGCTCACCACTGGTCTCAGCATGGAGATCCTCTGGAAATATCTCCGGCCTACAGTCATCTCGAAACGCCAAGTCTTGGACACGGTGCTGCAGATGGAGCAACTTGCAGCCCGCTTTGATGCTCTAAGGTGGAAGACTTCGATCTCTGTCGTTGAGTTGGGGAACATCATGGCTTCGCTCATCAAAGCCTATCAAAGCATCCTCACTTCTGATGGTGATGGCGCTACTCTTGTGCAGATCCTTGCTACCGAGATGGAGAAGTTGGAAACGAGTGTAGGAAGCGAGGAAGGGGGAGTCATGCCATTCTTCGCCGCTCAATTTGAGGCACTGAGACAATTCAAAACACTCGAACTCATGACCTCTGATCGAGGAAATGAGCACACAGTGGATATTGAGACAGCAGTCCTTGCGAATCAGCCGACAGCTCTCGGCATGCATCTCGGCAGTTCGACACAGACCTCACGCTTACTACAGACTGTCAACTATATCTGTGGCGTAGGCGAGGGGCTTCAACCTGTCACAGCTGCTTTCTCGTCTTCGATGCTTGCGAGGTTGAACCAAATCGCGGAGGTCGACTTGAAATCACTCAAGCTTCTGGAGGCCGAGCTCCCGATTATGGGACAGAAGGCCACTCTTTCAAGTGCCACTTTGTGTAAAGACCAGGTCTTGGTGCTGAACGATATTCTTTTGGGACTCATACCAAGGGTCATTTCTCTGCATGGGGAAGATATTGGTGTTCTATTCCAACACTGGTGCCAGCAACTCTCAAATGCAGATTCCGAATCGATTGAGGATGTTGCGATCAGGATGTCAGCCATCAAATTCCCAATTACGAGCCACTTGGCCGAAGACATCCCCCTTCAATTAAATGATGTCCTCAATGTCAATTTCGGTCCGGCTTTCAACTCGCTCGTCATGGCAAAACTACAGCCGGCTACCAATATGGGATTTGTAGCTATGGCTTGGTCATCCTTCGCTTTGGGTTGTATCAAGCTATATGTTCCAGATCGCGCTTTCGATCCGGACAAGAGGCAGCGCTTAGAGCGTCAAAGGCATTCACAAGTACGTTCGGACTTGCAGAAGAAACTTAAAGCACTTCGGCAATTTGAGCGACTGTTCTCAGGGCAGGAATCCAACCTTCGCTGTCAACTTCTGGAAGCCGAGATAACCGAACTTGGAGAACCACCCGAAGTGTTGCAAGAGATATATCGCCCAGAGATCTCCGAAATGGATCAGCTTCAGGGAGAGTTCAGCAACTTGTTAAAGACAGTTCTGGGTTCGGACATCCAGACGATGCTCGCTGACTATTTTGACAACGGAAATCCCCACTCTGAGGACTCGTTGCAGCAGATTCGCCTCATGCAATCGAACGTTAAGCAAATTATCCGCCGCCTCTCCGAGAGGTTCCGTGCTTATAATGACTTGACTGCCCCGGTCATCAGCATGCTTCGATGTCTACAGATTGGTCTGTCAATGGCAACGGAGGCTGTGAACCATCAGGTTGCAAGTGAGATGCAGGACAAGCTTACCTACACCAAGCTGACGCCTTTCATGGGTGGTCGTCCGCGTTCTGCCAACGTCGAAATTCATCAAGCTCAACTGATAGAATATCTGGAGATTTTGGCAACAACTGCTGCAATTGAGAATCTCTCTTCGTTCGATTCGAACCTCAGACACTTGCTTCTTAAGACTGTTCATGATTTCTATGATCAATATGCCAAGAAGCTGGAGTCTGATCGAGTTGAGGCCGAATCAAAGTCCGGGCTTTATCGATTTAGAGGAAGTGCGGAGGATGAAGATGAAGACGATCAAGAGGAGTTCAACGAGTTGTTCCCGTCTTATGAGGATGTGTCGGATAAAGTTGCTGGAGTAAATTCTTCAAATTCAGTTCGGGAGACGGCAATTGAAGTTGCCAGAATACATGCTAATATCTTTCTGGACAATACTGCACCTTCAGAAAGTATTCATGGTCTCATTCGATACATCTCCAAGCAAATCGGCTGTCTTCATGTTGGAAGGCCAACAGCTGAACAACAAAACTTCACGGGCACTTTCCTTCCTGGAACTCTCCTGGTGCTGAATGATCAAATCGAAGCCCTGAGCCCAAATTCAGTGGTCCCGGAATCATACAACTTCTACACCGATGCCAACCTTCTGGAAACCCGAAAACTCGTCAACCTTGTGCACCAAATTCAGGCACGCTTTCGGGAACTCCAAGCTGTTGATGAGATCGCGCATATGCAACCTCTCGCTGACATCCTTCTCTCATGCAAAGAACTGTTACAATTCCGCCACACCGAACCACTTGCCAAGATCATCACGAAGGTCGAAAAAGTACACGGCTTCATGCACGGATGGCAATTTGGTGGTTGGGCAAGTCGTGCAAACTCGGCTCTTACGCTGTACGACAACATTACGTCGACGATCGTCAACTGGCGAAGACTGGAATTATCAACCTGGGCAAAGCTTTTCGATATGGAGGCCAAGACATGCGATGATGATGCGAGGTCTTGGTGGTTCGTGGCGTATCAAGTCGTTGTTGCTGCGCCACTGCAGATGTCGGAGTCCGAGGACGAGCTGCGATCGTATGCCCAGAAGCTGCTTAAGGATCTTGAGGCTTACTTCTCGACTGCTATCATGGGACAATTTGTGCAAAGAGTTCAGCTATTGAAGCAATTGCAGAAACACCTTGGGCTTGTGGTCATTGATTTCCCGGCGATGTCAATCGTTCATGCGGCGCTGACGAATTTCATATCGCTGTACTCTCGGTATGAGAAGTCAGTCCTAGAGAGTCTCAAGAAAGGAAGAATTCCGCTCGAGAAGGCTATGCGCGATGTTCTGCTCCTTGCAAGCTGGAAAGATACCAATATCGTGGCTTTGAGAGACAGCGCTAAGAGATCTCATCACAAGCTTTTCAAAGTCGTGCGGAAGTTCAGAGCTCTTCTTAGTCAGCCTATGGAGCCAATTCTCAAGCAAGGACTCCCAGCCGAAGCTGCATCAGAGGCAAGCCAGCCAAGTTACGATCCTCCGTTCCAATTTCCGACAGTTGATCAATCTGCTCTTACTCACTGCGCCTCTTCGGTACCCAACTGGCCCCAAAAGAGTAAGCGATTCATCAATGTCTCGAAGACGGTCAGCATGATGGCAGACGCAAGCCAGATCCCCAGGTTTGCTATCGAAGGCTCAACGTACCTTGACTCCTTCCTCGCAAACATAATCACCTCTATCACCGAGCTACAGAAAGCAACACCTTCGACACTGACAGAAGACAACAAAGAGGCTGTCAAGCATCTCAAATCAAGAAAGCGAAAGCTCTTTGCCGATACCCTGAAAGAGCTTCGCCAAATGGGAATCAAGTACAACCTCGGCGTCGACGCGCTAGCGAAACAAGGTAGTTTGTCAATTGTCCTTGCCAATACTGGCGTCCTCGATGATGTGGGAGTACAAGGAACCGAATATTACTTCCACAAGGCGATTGATCTTGCACCGAGAGCTAGAGAGGCTGCGAGACAGCATTCTGAAGATTTGAGCAGTGCCGAGGTTGCGAGAAGTACCGGCTTCCTCGAGGGTTTGCTGCAGGTTCTGGTGGCGCAGCACGATTCTTTGTCGAGTGTTGTGGTTGAGATGGAGAAGCTTCAAGCTGCGGTCAAGATGGCTGAGGGTCTGTGGGCTCCTGGTGTCTACGGGATCAAGAACTCCAAAGTAGCATCAAATCATGGCATGTTATTGCGATGGCTGCCTAATATCCTGATCGTTGGCATGGATCTGATCAAGATACATGCCAAGCTCAGCAAGGCTGATGCTCAAACTTTGCTGGATGCTGTTTCGGGGTATTACAGTCAGTTCTCGAATTTCGCCAGACAATTCGATGCACTCGCAACCTTACCCATCGATATTACTTCGACGCAACGAAGTAGCCTAGATGAAGCGATCGAGATTACCTTGCACAAGCTCAACTTGGACATCAAACAGATGGCCGACAACCGTCCCGATTTGGCTTTCATTTTGAATCAAATCTCACCATGGGCTGAAGTCATCTCAACCCCCAAGTCCTCTCAAGATTCACAACAAACCATTGCAGAGCTGGATCAAAAGCTTTCCGTGGTCTGCGATTCAGTCCTTGTTGCCATCGAGAAGCACAGGAAAACCATCTCCGAGCTCTCAACATCGTCAGAGGATCCAGGCTGGCTTGTCAAGAACGACAATTGTCTCGTCAATGCTATTAACACTCTCCATTGTGAAAATATCGCGCAGCATATTGAGCAAGCGTTTAAAATTCTCCGAACCATTGACCTCGAAGACCCCAGCACAAGCAAGACAGCTTCCGCAATATTCGCTGTTGCTCTCCCAATCCTCCAACAGTACTTCAACATCCTTCAGCAAACAGTGACTCGTTACGGACATCTCCACCGAGCAACCTGCAAAACATCTTACATCCTCGCCAAGACCTTCACACAGATCGCAACTCAAGGATTTTGCACCCCATCCGAGAAATCTGATGCGCAAGATGGAGAGACAGAGAAGCTGGAAGGTGGTACAGGACTTGGTGGCGGTGAAGGAGTAGAAGATATCAGCAAGGACATCCAAGATGATGAGGATCTGGACGAGCTTGCGCAGGAGCCTAACACTGGCGAGAAAGGGGATATTGAAGATGAGCAAGATGCTGTCGATATGGCTGATGGAGATATGGAGGGCGAGATGGGAGAGGGCGAAGAAAAGGAGGATGATGAAGACAGCTCCGGAGACGAGAGTGGTGATGAAATGGACGAAGAGGCTGGCGATGTAGATGATTTGGATCCCACGGCTGTGGACGAGAAGATGTGGGATGGTGATGGGGAAAAAGCTGATAAGGATCAAGAGGGTGATGAGTCGAAAGGGACGCAGAGCAATAATGAGCAGGTTGCTGCGCAGGAGGGTAATAAGGAGATGGCAGAGGGTGATGAAGGTGAAGACGAGGAGATGGGGGGCGCAGAGCAAGGAGAGGAGGTGAATCAGGATGAGATTGAGAAGCATGATCCGCATGCGCAGGAAGGCGAGGCGCTTGATTTGCCTGAGGATATGGAGCTGGATGGAAATGAGGAAGAGGGGAGTGCTGCGAGCGACGATGGCATGAAAGATCTTTCTGATGTTGAGCAAGATGATACGGAAGGCGAGGAGATGGCGAATGATCGCAATGAGGAATCGGATGCTGAGAATATGGATGCGCATGAAGATCAAGACATCGGTTCGGATATGGATGTTGTTGACCTTGACCAGGAGCACGAAGGCGAAGGCGAACAAACCGAGGAAGCTGGCGAGAAGGCCGAGGACGAATCAGAACAGCCAGATCCTGAAAATCAAGAATGCTTGCTTCACGACAGAAACAGCGATGCCAATGCTGATGAAGACAACGCAGTCCCGAGCGATGTCCAAGGAGCCGGCGAAGATCAAGACGAAAACTCCAAAGACGAAAAGCCTGAATCAGCCAGCAAGGCTCAGCGTGAAGATGGTGGGAAGGGTGGCGATTCATCCGAACAGAAGGATGCCGCTGCTGAAGATGGCGAGAAAGGGCGACAAGCAAACGGCGATGCACCCCAAGATGCAGGTAGTGAAACTCAAGATGCCAGCGCTGCTCAACCATTCAAGAAACTCGGCGATGCTCTAGAGAGCTGGCATCGACAGCAGACGAAGATTCGTGATCCCGCTGAACAGAAGGAGCAAGGCCAAGATCAGAACCCCGACTTGAACGCTGAGGCTTCGGAGTTCCAGCACTTGCAGGATGAAGATGCTGAAGCCGATACTCAGGCTATAGGTACTGCCACTGAGGAACAGGCCCACGCACTTGATGAGTCGATGGCTGTCGATTCTGACAGCAAGGACTTGCCAGATCAATTTCAGCCTGATGAAGCAGAGACGGAGAATATTGAGCACGACGATATCATGGATCTGGAAGACCCTTCGACGCCTAACGAGCAAGAGCAGTCTGACGCATATGAGGGCAGAGCTGGTGCGATAATCAAGCAGGCCAAAGAGAAGCGCGAGGAGGGGATCGACGACTCTCATGCATTTGTCGGTGAACATCTTGAACCAGATGTCGAGGAAGTTGACAATCAGCTTGAAAGCACCCATCTTGATACCTCCAACGCCCTTGACCTTCGATCCGCCTCAGAATCTCGCCAACAATGGACTCATTACGAATCTCTTACCCGTGACCTCTCCCTCTCCTTGACCGAACAGCTTCGACTGATTCTGGCACCCACCTTGGCAACGAAGATGCGTGGAGATTTCCGTACAGGGAAACGCCTCAACATCAAGCGCATCATACCTTACATCGCCTCTCAGTACAAGCGCGACAAGATCTGGATGCGGCGTAGTGTTCCTTCAAAGCGGAGCTATCAAATTATGCTCGCCGTTGATGACAGTAAAAGCATGGGCGAAAGCGGTTCCGGCTCCCTCGCATTCGAAACCCTCGTCATGGTCTCGAAGTCTCTGAGCATGCTGGAGGTTGGCGAAATCTGTGTCGTCGGCTTCGGCGAAAATGTCAACGTTGCACATGACTTTGACACACCATTCAGCTCTGATGCAGGCCCGAAGGTATTCCAGCACTTCGCCTTCGAGCAAAAAAGAACAGATGTCACCAAGTTGGTGAGCGAGAGTATCGGGCTCTTCCGCACAGCAAGAGCGAAGGCAAATGGGAGTCCAGCAGACCTCTGGCAAATGGAACTCATCATCTCGGACGGGGTGTGTGATTCCTCCGAGCATGAACCGATTCGCCGCCTCCTTCGCGAAGCATTAGAGGAGAGAATCATGGTGGTGTTCGTCATCGTAGATGATGTGCGAAATAAGAAGAAAGGAGAGAGCGTCATGGATTTGAAGGAGGCGAAGTTCGTGAAGAACGAAGAGACGGGACGCTCGGATGTCAGGATTGAGAGGTATCTGGATACGTTCCCGTTCCAGTATTATTTGATTGTTAGTGATGTTAAGGAGTTGCCAGGCGTCTTGGCGACGTTACTGAGGCAGTGGTTTGCGGAAGTGGTGGATTCTTCGAGTTAGATTGATTGGGTGGAGTTTGAAGGATTGATTGATTTGTACAGCATTGTGAGGCGTTTGTTTAGATAGAGCAATCAAAAGTACGTTTGAAGTTCAGCCTTCTCCTTTGGATGGCATTTCTTCTCGATTCTCGTACGTCTGATGTTTGCCGAAGCCCCCTAATAAGTTGAGAATTTGGTGGATTCTCGCTCTGAGTTCATCACGAATGTGGGCTGGAAGTCCACAACCCATCAATCTATTCTTTATCCTAGGCAACATCGATTCGTGAAGTCGGCTCGAGTAACAGTTCAGCAATCACTCTCTGCAGATGCTGTGAATGCTGCTTGCTTCCATAGAAAAGGAGCCTGTTCAAAGACGCTTTGTCAAGGCGATCATTTCCCATCTAGCAAATACACCCCACTGTGGCGGAGGGTAACACAGTGAAGAAAGCTAAAGACAGTTCATGCTGCTCAAACCGTTCACTTTCGTTAGGTCCTCAAGGGAACTTGGGGCAGCGTCTTGGAATTCACAGCTAAGTTATTAAGATATCCGTTGCAGACTTCTAAGTGAATACGTTTCCCCGCCTTCTTCGATTTTTGTTGTGCGATTTCGGCTCTCTCCTTTCCTCCTTTCGATTTTTCTTGATCTTCAGATACCAACCTTGGATCGCGTCTCGCTCCGCTTCCACTTTCCGTCCTCAAACCACGTCGACCATCCGCCGCGATGTCGATCAGAGGTATGAGCTCTAGTGAGGAGACAGAGACTCCTGAGACCATAGTCTTGAATATAGGAGGAGTACAGCGAGTCTATTCATCCATTGATTCCGGTATCTCGTTTGGTTCGGTCCAAAACACCATATACAAAGAACCAGCCGTCCCAAGCAGAACCCACCAACGAGCCCGTCACCAACCAATTCTTGAAGAGATTGAACTTCAGTCTTATCCTCGTCAAGATGGCTTTCAATCTATTCCACTGACCGGTTTTCCTGGTACTTCTCTGGTCCGACCGTCTGCAGTTGCGTTACCTCCGCCTCGCATTGAAAAAATACCATTCACCGTCGCTCCGAACTCGGCAACAGCGAGCATGTCCAGGGAGTCAGCTGAAGAGACCAGTCCAAGTTCTACTGCTCCTTCTGCCACCTGGTCTGCTGTTAGGGATCCAGTTGCACTCATGGGACCTACTCAGTATCGTGGATTGGCGAGGGTGGAAACCAATGGCAAAATCGTTGGCCTTCCTCCCAAAGTGCTTCATGCCATATTTGATGTCCTCGATCCGTGCACTGCCACCTGTAAGTAACTCTTGAACCCCACTTGCCACGGCTGGCCTAAAACATCGAACAATCTCTTAGAATAAGAAGAGTGGCACGTAGAATATTGTTGAGAAGACCTTGCTAACACATATCAGGTCTTGGTTTGACCTGCCGAAAACTTTACCAGTTCTCCAAATTCAAATACCCTGAACGCATCTCCCTCTACAAACTCAGCCCACTTGTCAAATGCGACGGTAAAGAAACCCGTTTCAACCTGGGTGATCTGTTGGAAGATTGGGTTGGCCCGCTTTACCGTCGCCGTGTCTGGTCGCTCAACTCGATCCAACGAAAGCATTACCAACTCCCTCCACAATTCCTGATCCGATCCATCTACGGCTCTTTTCCCGGCGATCCAGAAGAACTTACCCTTGCCAAGCGCTATCTTGAGTACTACTCTTCCCGACGACAGGTTGGCAGCAAGACGTGGTACATCCTTCCGAACCCTTACAACAAGGCAGCCGGGTACTGGTGGATTCAGGCCAAGGAGTGTATCATGAAGGACGCCAAGGATTTCCGTGGAAGAGCGATCTGGGATTGGAACGCTTGGATGAGTTTCTGGATGCCGTCGGAGGTATTTTTAAACATCGGCTACATGGACAAATTGAAAGTTCTGCAATGGTTCGAGGAGATGGTCTGGTTGCATGGCATGCAGATCTTGCCTGGTGGCTCGCCGTTGCAAGAGCCGTCGGTAATGGACAAGCTGTGGTGGTTTGGAAAGAGACATATGCGCTGGGTTACGTGGTGGGTTGGCTCATTGCCTCCAAGACAACCATTTCCCCGTCCCGAACGTGAGCATTTCAGATTCCGAAGACAATTTTCGCTTCGATCTGACTCGTTCCCATTGTCGGTTAGATATAGATAAGGGGTGCTCTTCTTTGCAACCATGGCAGAGGGGTTATTTTAAATAGTATGTTGTGGATATGCTAGGTCAGCCTCATGGATTTCTCATTTAGGGAGTTGGCTGGGGTAGTTTCTTCGTCGTCTGCTCTGCTCTTTTCTACGCAGATCAATGGTCCGCCTATACAACAGCTTAATTCTAATGATTTTCGCGCTTTGAATTTCTCATTCTTCGTAGCTCTCAATCCCCTAGTCGTTGCCCACGTTTCCACGGTTCGAATGTTCAACTACCCAATGAAGCTTTTGGATCTCGCAGACGCAGTGAATGTAGACGTTTGAAAATGGAAGCTTGGAACATGGAGTTCTAACGCAAGTTCTGGATGATCAAAGCAGCTCTAAATTCTTAGTCCTGATTGTCCATGGTAGAGTTGTACATTTATAAGATGAGAAAAGCTCGAAATCACAAATTTCGGATGAAGGCGTAGTATCCTTCGGGTGCTTCAAAGTTTTGTCCCTGCCAGAGCATTGAAGAAATAATTCAGCCTCCAGGAAGAAAAATCAAGGATGGAACGTTCTATTCTGGTGGTTACGAGCTTCACGGGGCCCAGTTCGAACTTACTGGTTTAAATTGTTATATCTCTGCGCCCAACCTTCCGATGCCCGACTCAGTTGAAATGTGGAATCCTTTGCACGATAAAGTACATTTCGTGCAAATTTCGGGAGGGTTGGAAGGATTACGAGTTAAGGTTAAGTCGTCTGGCTTACTTACTCGACTTTGGCAACTTCTGGTACGTAATTTATAGGCTCCTTGGCGTATTCGTCAACTTAATAATCTTTCTCCGGCCTTTTCGGTAAGAATCTGAACTGCTTACTTCCTTGAGCATATGTCCTATATCTATGTGGGAATCTGGACTTACGATTTTGGCAACTGAGTTAATTGGTTGTGGGAATAAATGATTCCTGCCGAGTTGAGAGTAAAGGGTGTTCATTCTGGCTCCACGCCTCCCAACTTGAAATCCGAGGCTCAGGAGAGATGGAAGAACACGCGGGGTGCTTTATTGAAACCCGGGTGTTGATCATGCAAGGTGAGGAGACTTTCGGAAATATCATTGTTCCAGTCTGGCCCAGAACGTCAAAGGTCGACGAATGAAGATATAAAGACGCATTTCAAATCCGAACTGGAAATTGTCGTGAGAGTTCAAAGGAGGTAAACTTGCAGGGAAATCGGGATATTCTCTATTTTCGTTGAGATAAGGAGTCTCATGGGTCCTACACTTGAGGACCACCATCAACACTTCACAGCTTTAAAGTAATCACAGGAACAAGCAAAAGCAAAAGGATCATAATTCCACAGGAAATTATATATGCCGATATAATTTTGAGAAGGAAATAAAGTAAATGCACGAAGGTGTGTGTGTCTGCCTCGCGACTGACAAGCGAATAATTAAAATCAATCCGAATCAACCCACACCTTTGCCCCTCAACTATAAAGACAACAACCACATACTCTACCACTCCCTATCACAGACCTCACTCGAAGTGTACTGCCTGTGAAGTCTAGTAGACGTCCTGAAACCAGGAGCATCACCAACGCTGTGCTTGGCTCCCAGTCAGTGAACTTGCGGCGAAATCAGCAAGGTTTTCCCCCATCGCAAAGGTTGTGGTGTTTTTTCTCATCGTGGTGTTTTTTTCCTGCGCCACGTGGGTACTTATCATGCTAAAGGAACGGAATTAGCTGAGCTCATTGACAATTCATTGCTGGAGCTAAAGGAGAGACAGAAAGATGAAAATCTGTCTCAAGCACTTACGGAATGGTCATGTCCGTCCTTTCCTCGGTGGTCATTATCGTGGTCGTGCTAAAATGAAGGAATTAGCAAAAATGAAGGCAAAACTTGGACGGATCTGCACTGGGGGTAGAAGAGGGCGGGAAGCTTCAGTCCTCGGGTACGTACGGAATGGTCGCCCATGTTTCCTCCATCGTGGTGGCCATTGTCGTGTGGGTTTTTATCAACGCCAGTTGGGGTATCAGCTGGAGCGGCCAATGTAAAGGACGCAAAGGCAGCGCTGAGGATCAATACAACTTGCTGTGAACAATTAGTTCAAGGAGCTCACTGGAAAAGGGTAAGAAGTACTAACTGAAAGCTTCATGTTAATGGCAATTTTCTGGGAAGTGCTAAGGTGTTTGTTGATTGAAAGATTGATCTGAATAGAAGTAAAGAGATGCTGTTGATACTAATGCTGGGTTGGGGCCCTCTTGGGTGGGAAGTTGTAGTCTTCTTATCGAAATTTGAGAAAACTACAAAATCTCTATAATCTTGCACTGGTCTAGATTTACTAGTCTTACAAGCAATATCAATCGAATCATCTCATGCCATTTAGGTATATTAGTATATCAAATAATTTAATTAATTATAATTATAAGCCGGTAATTAAATTAAATTATATTTAATTATTTAATTACAAAGTATTAATATAAGGTTTTGCTTTAGTTTTATTTAAATACTATTTTATTATAATAGACTTTATATTTAATATTTCTCTTTTACTTGCTTTAATTACTTTTAATATTATAATAATATAAATAATAAAACTATATATAATATATATAAATTTTTTTTTAATAAAAAGTTCTATTAATATTAAATTATATAATTTAAAGGCTAATAGTAATTTTAATAATAATAATAAAATATAGGTTTAATTATATATATATATATATATCTCGTATATTATTAATAATATAATTTTAATTATATAAAATACGAAAATTTTTATTAGGCTTTTATAAGAAATTATATCTATTATATTTCTTATAATAAAGATATAAATAAGTTAAAAATATATATTTAATTATATAATGCAATCCTATAATATATTTAATATTATTTATATTAATTCGTATTATAATAATTTTTATATTTGTAATTATTTTGGATAGAACTAAATATAGCAAAAATATTATACTATTTCGCAGATAAAGGCATAAATTTCGAGCTATATACAGCCCCGGTACTTATTATGAAATAAAGTTAATAAATACTTGTATAAATATCGAAAATGAATACGTGATTCCGGTTGACATTAACTTCCTTTATTCTTCGAAGCACCCTGCAGGCAAAAGCTAGGGTGTTACGTAAATAAAACTCAGGCAAATAAGCTTAACCAGTACTCTAGTTTGTATTACGATAAGGTTTACGGTTTGTTGTAAGATCTCAATTGCCAGCCGCGAAAATGCACCCTGGGTAATATAATGAACGCGTAATCCCAAAAGTACCTCTTTCAGCCATGAACCTTATAAATTGTCAGAAGGTGGTGCGGGGCGATTAAATATGTAAGCCAACACCAATGGCGATCACTTGGTCTTAATGGGAATTAATTTATGATCCTCATTGTTCAAAGCTTATATGTACAACACGGATCTGACGGAAAAGTTGCAAGGAGTAATGAGATCCCACTAATGCAATGAACCTTGGAGAGCTGAAAGCTTGAATCACGCCATGCATTGCCACCTAGGACCACTCGAGATTTTAGTCTTGCGAGAGTAGTCCCGGCTGGCGAGACTTGCAAACATGAATAATAAAGGAGGGACGTGGCCTGGAGATGCCAAGATTCGCTTCCTTTACCTCGGGAATTCCAAGCCTAGTAAAGCTAATATGGGCTATAAGCTCACATTACATAGCCCCACTCAAGCATTTTCTAGTCGTTTTTAACTAGTCTGTCAAAAAATAATCAAGGTAATTAATAATAATTTCATTATTGCAGTACGATCTCGCAATTGAGTATAGTGCAATTGCTTTACTTAATTAGGCTATATATACTTATATTTTAAAGCTTTTATACTTTATTTATATTCTTTTCTAGTTAGCTTTAATTAATAATTTCACTCTAAATACAACTCTTTACTTTGCCCGGTTTATATATATTATTAATTATTATACTAATAATTATTATTATACTAAATATTATTATTTCTAATAATTATATAATATATATATATATATAAAATTATAAAACTAAATTCTTTTAAAAAATAAATATTAGTATAGCTATTTCTTTAGGAATTATATATATAGTTATATAACTTTACATCTTATAAGTAATTCGACTAGTAAACTAGACCCTATTAGGCTTAATAGATTTAGGAATTATATATTAATATTATAATACTATATTCTCTACTTCTAAATAATAACTTTATTAACTTAATATAACTAGTATTTCTATACCTATATAATAGTACTATATATTACTAGTAAACTAAAAGTAAATTTAGTTATTTAATTTTAATTTTAATTCTTAATTTTTAGCTTTTAAAATATATAATTTTTTTTTAAAAAAAATTCTTATTAAATAATTAAATATTAATAAAAACTTTTAATAAAGAAAATTATTTATTAATTATTATATTTATTATAATATTAAAAGTAAATAAAGTAAAATATTTTAGGTAATTTTTTTATAAGAAATTTAAAGCTAAATTAAAACTTATATATATAAATAAATAAAAAATATAATAATTTAATTTATTATAATAAAAGTAATATTTAATTAAAATTAATAAAAACTTTATTTCTATATTATATTATATTATTTTTATAAATATATTTTAATTAGTAGTTAATATTTATAATTAATTAAATTAATTAATATATTATTTTTAAACAAAGTACTTAATTATAAATATTAAAAAATATAAGAAAATATAATAATAAATATTTTAATTTAATAAAGCTATAAAAACTATAATATAAATATTATATTATTTTAAAAAATTATAATTATAATTATAATATACTAAATAAAAATATATATAAGAAATAGTTTTATTATATAAATAAATAAAAATATTTATTAATTATTTTATTATATAAAAAATATAATATATATTATATAAGTTATATATATAATATATTTAAAAATAATTATTACTTAAAATATTAGCTAATTAAATATTTATAACTTTTTTAATTTAAGTTTATTATATTATATTTCTTTAATTAAAGCTTTAATTATATTTATATTCAAAATAATAAATAGTAACTATTAATTAAAACAAAACTAATTTAAATAGCTTCTTAAAACTTTATTTAAAAGTATATTTTACTAAATTATAAGGCTATTCTCTAGATTCTAATATATCTTTTACTTTATTATTATACAAAAAATATTTTTAGTTACTTTATTTATATTTTACTTTTATAGAATAATATATATTAAAGTCTTATTACCTTCTGAATTCCGGGCAAACCCTTATTAAGTCGAATTCCGCAATGAGATAACGAGATATAATATACTAAATTTTGGTAGTATATATGCTATAGAATAGTAATTCGTACCCCGAAAGTCGCTATAAGGACCTTAAAGAAATCGCGATTAACATATTAACTGGCTTAATGCAGCAGGTGGATAGGGTAGATCAAATTCTATAATGCAAGAACAGGGTATATCAAATTTTAGGCCCCGACCGATGCTACCCAGCCATCCTGTCTGATGACAGCAGCCATAGCGCCCGGGGTCGGGCCGAGAGCAGGGCGAGGGAAAGGTAAAGCGGAAGAAGGTGCCGAAAACGGGGAAGGGCTGCAGAACAAAAGGGGAACATCTTCTCTTTGCTTTGCAAATCAAATTGCAATCCGCCTTTGATCTTCACCTCGTACGAGGTTCAATGTCGGAGACTCGCAAAGACTGGCCGAAAGCAGGGTGGGATCCGATAGATTGATAACTGATCGATAGATAATCGCGCTAATTAGTCCACAAGCAGTAATAATAGATCTAATTTCTTTAGCAATAGTTACACGGCTAATATGTTATATTTATAGCAATATAGGCCTTGTTGCTTTTATGGCAGAATCGCTAACTTGGCGTTCTTAGCAATTCTACAGCATGGAGCTATGCAAACGGCCACATTATCACAATTAACGCTGTCATGACTTCTAACTTCCAACCTTGCTCTTGCCACAATTACTCCAATTATCATGCAACATCAAAACACAGCATTTTGAATTTAACGGACATTGGAAACATTTCAGATCGAAACCACATCGAATGAGTGGCTTTCTGTGCGCCGTCCGGTTCGGTCTCCCTCATCGCCGTGTCAATGGTCAAAGAGCGAAGGAGAAAGGAACATGGTAGGAACTACTATGGCAAACAATTCGGAGCTTCTAATGGTTGTTGTTTGCTTAGTAGCAACTTGGGGGGTAGAAATGGTTGAATTGCGAGGCGATGTAAGCCGGGTCACATCGCTGAACCGAGTTTCACGGAATGCCACTGGTGTATGAGCGGTGAGCGTTGCACTAAATAGGATAGACGAGCTTTACGCCCCTGAATCTCTGCTTGGTGGTACATGCCAAACACATCTCGAGCCTCAGAAAGTCCGGGTTGGGAAGGAAGCACAATGGCCAAAAAACAATAACAGCATCGCAGTTGGATATACTTGTGCAAGATCGACGGTTAACCCAATAATGATCGATCGAGATTATGTGAAATGTTTGAACTTCAAGCTTTCGATCTAGAGTCCTTTAATTGTAGCGACATCACCCGAGTTCATGCATCAATAGGAGCACAAAAGTGGGTAGACTAGAAGTTCTCTCGGATTCAAGATGCCAGGAGCTTGAAGCAGCATGAGTCTGACTTTCCTACTAGAAGAAAACCCCGCCTTCCCTTGGAGTTGTTCCTCTTTCCACTAACATGTCTCTGCTTGCGGAAACCATTTTCGACGAACTTTCTGCAAAGCAGACGGCTTAATCACAAATGCAGCCGAACAACTTTCAAAGCATCCCAAATAAGACGGCGCCCAATATTAAAAAGGCCATAATACACCTGGAAATTGCTGCGAGGCGGCACTTACACTAAATCCAGTGACAGCTTCCACAGTCAGGAAATTCCGGTAATTGAGTAGTAGCTCGTTCATGCACAGCTTGATTCGAAGGAACATACTTCTTCTGAGAGCCATGCGCAAGCCTATAAGGTGAATATTTAAGAGAAACGAAGGCAAGACCCACGATATCAAGACACTTCTTCAAATGCAGGAACAACTTCTTAATACAGGATTACTTTCCTTTAGGTCACTGCTACCCTCCACTTGGCAATTGCATGCGAACCTACGATGGGTATGTTCACAGAGTGCCTCAATCGACATCTTGCTCATTAACATAATCTAGATATTTGGCGCTCATTCCAATAGGTTAAAGGTAGAGTCGGGAAAACTGCAAATCCAAGATCCATACTGAGAAGTTGGGCGAACGGCACTGCCTCATACATGTTCTCCATGAACCGAACAAGAAGTTCTCAAATCCAAAGCAGATTGTTAGCCGAGGGAAGGGAACACCTCTCTCATACTTAGTCGAAGATTGCCGCTCTCACAACCAAGTACCCTCGATCCTCCTTCCTCCAACTACACACGATAGTGAAACTTCTTCCATTTTATCGAGTAGTCCTAGAGCCTCCTTCCTCTGCCTCTAGGGGATGTGCCGATCTCGCCTGGCAATGCAACAGAGTCGGCAATCACTCCAACTAGTGAAACAATCGTCCACGCCACTTCGATGACAGGGTCATCCAGGTCATCCCGGATCCCGTTTGCGATTTCGAAGACACCCTCCACAAGGTATTTAGCCTATAGCTTCTTCGAGTCAGGCTGCTTGATGGAATGGTGGTCTTCACCGACTTCTCGTCGATAGTCAAGGCTCTATGCCGTCTTAGCACCACTGGTGGTAGAAGCTCTTTCATCCCCCAAAGTTCCACATATCCAATCCAACTAACTTCCATAACAAGCCAATTCCTCAAATCCTCTCGTAGTCATTGCAAGTGACGAATTCGGCTTCCGAAGTATAGTAGGCATATTCAGTGGGTGCAAGTGTCAAATTCAGGTGGTTGGAAGCCTTGACTCTCTGATTATCGAAGGCTGGGAAGCCCCTTAAAAGTGCAAATCCACTAGTCTCCCACTAGTCCACCAGACCTCCAGCTGCCTTACTGATGTTAGGCACCATAAGCTTGGCACCTTTCAACAGCAAGCCCCTTCCAACAACGCCTCGGGACTGCGGATATCAGAACAATTTGCTGACACAACCAGGCATGAGAACCCACTGGTCGAACAGTATGGAGGCCTCAGATATTATAGATCTCCCACCAACTTCCCAGCCAGCGATCTTGCTCCAGCGTTATGCAACTCTTGGTGGAAAACAAAGATACATGGTTGACACTCGAAAGCCTCATAGAATATTTCCCGGTCGACGTTGGACAACAACACTTGCTCTTTTATCAAATAGGTAGCAGAGACGGGCATCGCTGCTCCATGCTGAAATTTCCTGGATGCCCGCGATCATAGCTCCGTGGCTCTGGGGATTTGGGTGTGGTGGACGCGGAAGGATCAAGTGGACAACGAAAGCCACTTGGCAAGACTTCTCCTGTATGAAAACCTCAGTAACTGTAAACATTCCTCATACTATGAAAATTCGTTATATACTAAGAATGAACGGATCAACTCTCAACATTCTGGGGATTCACAAGCAGTTATATTGTACCGGCTGGCTATTTTTGACTGTTAACTGATTCTCGGGTAACTACCCTAAAGGATACCCCATGCCGACCGATCACAGCACTTCAAAGTGGACGGAGATGCGTGGGCCGAGGGGCTTGGATTGTTGTGAGGGGAACTGCGCGGGACAACCCTCCTGTGGGAGGCCTCCTGCAGAAAGGGATTTCGTAATTAGAGACCATGGCTTGGCTGGACAATCAGTAGTTACCGTAACCCTGCCCACAGTGAGAAATTTGGAAGCTATTTCCTCATCTTGCTGTGTCAGGCCTCACAACTTTGATGAATCGTGGGGCCGACCCGGCGGAGGGAAGTGATGATCCAGAATCAGTCTGTACTCAAATACTTCGAACCAAATGAGCTTGCTCTTGAAATGTTGTATATGGGAAGTTCCGACAATAGCTATATTTTGGCGGAATGGCCACAATGAACCACTTAATTCTGTAGCATTTATCCTATTAAAGAAAGGAGAGAGTTTTGTGAAAAGGGGGGAGGGGCGAATTTAGAGTTATGTCACGTGAGCGGCCTTACCTCAGCAAGCTAGTCCTGAAATCGGCAAGGCCTAAATTGCGCCTCTCCAAAATCGACATCGCGAATTCAAGATGTGAATATCATCAAGATTCCTCCATCGGGCTTCTCACAACCGTAAAGGATATCCGCGTGCCCCGCAAGATCCAAAGGCACTCGCTGGAGGGCATTGATCTGTCAGAATTAATTTTGAAAAAACTATTGCGTGATCCTGGAACTATAATCTCTGAAGAGCGAGAAAAGCGCAGGACAACAAACATCGAATTTGCTCGCATGACCACCTTTTCGGTAGCTTTCAGTTTCCCACAACTTCAACAAACCTTGTATCGAGATGGCGTATACCGACGACGCTGTGCTGGCGAAGCTCTCAGCTCTCAATGAGACGCAGGAAAGCATCGTAAGCTCCTTCCCAGCCCGAGTCAAACTTTCCCCTCCTAACGTTCGCAGGTCACTGTTGCCCAATGGGTGATGTTTCATAGGTATACAAACACTTTGCCCACTCCTTCGAAGTTGTGCTGACCCGGTCAAACAGGAGACATGCAGATCGTACGGGCCAACTGTGGCTGCAGCGATTGAAGGACTCTGGAAGTAATAAAAGGCTTAACCTCATCTATCTTGCTAACGGTAAGCTTCTGCATAGCGTTTGGGCTTCGATTTAGGAGCTGGCTTGCTGATGACATCTGGCATTATAGAAGTAGCACAACAATCGAAAGCTCGCCGCAAGGATGACTTCCTCATCGCCTTCTCTCCAGTCATCGCCGAAGCTACCGCGACCGCGTATAAAGGCGCGACGAATGAAGTGCAGCAGAAACTAAGAAGAGTCGTGGAGGTATGGCGGACGAGGCAAATTTTTGAACCACCGATTCAGGAGGCAATTGAAGCACGAATTGATGGTACGATATCTTGATGTACAGCTGGGCAACCACTGATTTTAGTAGAACTTGATAAGTCTCGATCCTCTACGAAAAAAGGGGGCTCCATCTTCTCCTCGAATCCGAACTCGATCCCCAGCGAGCTGGCCCCTCTGGTTGCTCCCCAACAAACGCTATCAAAACTTGTCCTATCGACCAAGACTTCTCTCAACGCTGCCTCACAAGATTACGACAAACTAACAGACCCCAATACAACCGTACCGTCCGCACCCGTCCACGCTGCTAGACTCAACGGTCTCCTCAAGACATTGGCGAACGCCGAGGGAGCAGTTGCTGAGAGCATTAAGGCACGAAGCCTTTTGATCGAAGGGCTAGAGAAGATCTTGGAGACAAACCGTGATGGTCTAAAGGCAGAAGAAAAACAACTCAGCGACCTAATCAACCGTAAAACTGAAATTGACAACAAGAAGAAGGATGTGGAGGACAGTATCATGCGTGGCTTCGCTTCGAACAGCAATCCTAGTACACCTGCTGGACCCCCGGATGGCTCTCCTGGTCAACAACACTCGCCTGTCACTCCTGGAGCCGAGCCAGATCGCCCAGAGGTCGAGGCATTGACCCCGCCTGGATACCCTCAACCACCAGCTACTAAGTCTGTCCCGGAGTTCGATCTCTCTTCATCAAATGGCAATAACGGCGCGTCTCATATCGAACAATCTCCCGTTCCACGTGCCCCCTCTGCTGGATCGGATCTCTTGTCCAGCCTTTCGACGTCCTATGCCAGACCGCCCTCTACTACCGGCGCCGGAAGTGCAAAGAAGAGAAAGTTGAATGATGACTTCCCGGATCTTGGCGGCGATGATGGCTTGGATGCTGACGTTGCTGAAATGCTCAGAAGAGATAGTGGTGGCAATGGCTTTTGAGAGCTGATTCATTGCGGCATATCCCAAGGGGAGAGATATGTAGGATAAGTGATTGGGAGAGGGGCGGATGGGGTCGCAGAAGTGATATTCCCAGGATTTGGGTTCTGCATATGGGGTCTGCATTTCCTCACACCATCCAGCCAGATCGGGCTTCGTGAGTTCACCTGTATTTTAAGCCTCTAGTTTCGGCAACCTCAACGGATGTCACGGAAACAACACTTCAAGTCTCTCTGTATACTCACCATGATCCTCTGACGTCTTCCTGGCCATGCATGCAAAGCACACTTCCGGAAAGTGGTCTGATGAGAAATTCTATTCTTCGAATTGATTATACACCTGAATCCCACCTCCCCGCAATCCTCTATTGCCACCTCCAAGCAGCGACCACATCAACCGGATATCCCATCTCGGGTCTCACCATCTATCCCTTGCCAAACCAGGTCTTGTGTCCCAGCACCATTCGGCCCATCATGTACATCGACCCAGCAAAGCCACCGAATAGGATAACCAAGTACGGCCTGAGAAGAATCTTGCTCTTAGGAGTCTGGGATCAAATTCCACCGTTAGCAATCCATTCCCCTCGTATTTAGCCTCCTTCTAATCTGGCCGCGACGAGGGAGCCTTGGCGGAGCAGTATTGGTGAGGGGAAGCGTACCTGGTTCCATTGACGGACAGAGTGTCGTCCACCTTCTTGGAACAGTTTTTGGTAGTGAGGAACACGGTTTTCGCGATTGACGAAGCTATGCAGAAGGACCTGTTAGCAATTGTTCTCGCTGGAGGAAGTGAGGCCATTCCGGGACTGGCAAACATCCTCTCCCACCGAGCCGGAAACTTCAGGAGCGGCAGGAGAGATGATCAAGGGTAGTGTAGAGAGCAATTGATATGTACCCTGCCATTGCGACTGTATTGTAGAGGACTGATGTGACTGAGGGAGGTTCCGATGTCGTCGTGAACGATGGTTCGATGTTGGAGCTTGACCTTGGAGAACCGGCACTAGCGCGAAGGGTGACTAAGCTTCCAACCTCAACCTTTGAATTTCATCTTCACAGTCGACAAAGCCAACACGGCACGCAGCGAACAGAGAGATGCAATGGAAATACGAGACCACGACTACGCCAATTGGGCATCGGTGAAGCGGCAAGATGGGTCCTGCATTGCAGCGGCTTCTTTCAAGGCCTTCTTCCCTCGAGTTTCTGGGGTATCTGGTTGGGGCCCCTACAGCGAATGCGCCGGCCAAGAGAATACGGGGATTATCACGAGAGAGGGGCTCTGCTTGCCACCGCTATGCTAGCATAGCTGCTGTTGCTCGAGGAGTGGAGGATGAGGATTACGATGCAAAGGAGAAAGATGAGCCTACGCGCCGACCAAGCGGAGTTCCAATATACGACACCGAACCCAGCCTGCTTCCAATTTCGACACCGACATCCTCTTCTTCTCTCCAAACTTTGCGAAAACCCTGGGCTGGACTTTCATCAGCGAAGAATCAGTACTGGGAAGAGAGTCTTTTCACGCACGAGCAGCTTGAATTTGAATCAAATTTGGATACGGTCCCAGTAGCAGGCAGACCAAGGCTCCTGGATCGGAATGGATACAAAGAAGATTTCCGGCTATGGGCATGTCTCTTGGAATACAGGAAAAGAATTCACGGACCACAAGGAGTCTTGACCTTTTGGAACGCCGTCCGGAAGAGGAATCTGCACTTGCCTACGAAGGGGATTTTGGCAGGAAAGTTCTGGCCCGAGTTTCTTGCTCTAGGATTCCAAGACTGTACTGTACTGGATGAAGTGTGCGCATATGCCGATAGAATGTTACGCGACACCAGTGAAAGGTGGTCAAGACTTTACGTCTCTATTATCGAACACTTTCTGGTCAATGGGCAGGGGGCTTACGCGCAAAAATGGCACCACCGACTGTTCAAGCTTCACCCCCCAGGTTCCAAGCTTTTTGCAGAAATGTGCCGCTACGTGGCATTCAACCATGGTGATATGAAAGCTCTGAGAAGGATCTACACTCTTAACAAGCACCGGAATGTTTATTCGAGGGTCATCCCTCTTCTCTGCCAGCGAGAGGATTTCAAGGGTGCTGTGAATTGGCATATCTTCTTTATCAGCCGTGGAGACTTACCTGAATCGTCAAAGCTGGTCGAGCCTCTGGTCCACTTCCTGGCTATGTATGATCGCCATAATGCCTGGAGGGTCACACGAAGCCTTGTTGGTGCTGGTGTTTCCTTTGCGTCAACCATGTTGAATGAATTGGAAAAGGAAACCAAAATTTCAAGAGAGATAATGAATCTTGTTCATGGCAAATCATTCAATATCTCAGTGAAGAAGTACAACGATAGCTTGGGGGCTCGATGGTTTGCAACCCGGTGGGTATCATTAGACGTTGCCATCAACGCTGTCCATGCTCTCGGCATCCAGGAAATTGGTCCACTCTCCTTGCAGGCGATAGCTCTGCGTGATCCAGATACGAAGGCAGTTGTTATTCGCATCGCTCAACTACGGGATCTAGGAATATCTACAGGAAATTCTCTATTTGCCCGGGCAGTTGAAACCTTTGCCAGGAATAGGAAGTCCGACCTTCTCGAATGGCTGCTCAGCAGTGACCAGCACCCTGAGGCACTCGAGGATGGCGATTTGCAGGAATCTCTCCTCGAAACCTATGCAAGAGCCAAGGACTGGACACAATATAGACGAACATTGACACTCCGATCCCTTGTCAGCAAGTCTCCTGATATGGAGAAAAGCAATATCGTCCTTCGTTACCACGTGGCCGTGGGCAGCAGAGGAGCAATAATGGACATGTTGGCCGACATGCAGATTGCTGGAACACCCGTCACATCCAAATCCATCGCTCATATTATACGATGTTCTCTTCGTCCACGGCGGGCTGGCCACCGACCGGTGACCCAAAAAGGAATGTGGCACAGAGCAACTGATAAGAACGGGGACGACACGAACACAGCGATCGCAATCTTGAAACGTATTATGAAATCCGGAAGCTTCGTCCCAATTATTCACTGGCGAGAGATCATTCGTCGACTGGGCATGGCTGGGCGCTTTGATGACCTGCAGAACCTCTGTCGCGAGCTTGCAGCCTGGTATGGCCCAGTCGCACCCTCTGTCTGGCCACCGCGCCGTTACCGCATTCCTGCGCAAGTCCCAACATCTCATCATCTCCATCCCCTAAGGATGCTCTTCAATGCCCCTCTCCAGAAAGCCATCGTCGAGTGGGGCTTTATCCACAACCTCAAACATCGAAAGCTAAATCTCGAGGAATTTCGGCAAGGCAGAGGTCCAATGATCAGATCAAATGCCCTTCACACCGTCACATCAGGCATCACTCTTTTGAAGCAATTGAGTCAGCACGGCGTTTACATTGATGGGACATGCGTCAGAAGCGCCATTTTTAATCGCCTCATCACGTACTATGGGCCTGGCAGATCGAATCGACGATACAATCGCACCGCCAGGGCTATATTGAATGGCAAGATAGCTCTTTTAGCAAAGCAGATCGATGGTGCCTTAGGCGAGGAGTATTTTACTGCCGTAGACCTGCCCAGACTTGTCAATGAAATGGCACTGATGAGGTGGAGGAGAGTTGTAAGGAGGTGGAATAAGAGGCTGGATGCAAAGAGAGTGCGTTCCTTGGTGCCTGAGCTTGCTTAGCTTAGAAGTAAAGAGTGGATTTTTGAAATGGCCCTAAAGGTCAACATATTATGAATGGGAATCCTGTTTATGCAAGTATGATAATATTACAGTCAATTGCGGATGAAGGATTGACAGACACGTTAGCAATTCTCTTTCATCGTTTCTCACCACTTTGAAGTTGCAGCCCCTTCCATGGCATCAGGTTTTGGTCTCGTTCACACCCGCTCCTCCTGCTCCTGACTCGGCTTTACTTTACGATGCTTGACAAGGCCATTCAGAACCCCCATGTTCTTTAAAGCTCTTCTCACAAAACTTTTCAGACGTTTCAGCTCGATTTGGAGAAGTGCAAACATTCAAAGCTGCTCTCGGAGACAAGTCTCTCGCGTGACCGCTATATTGTTCATCTTCGACTCTTGATGCAACGGTGAATTGCGAAGCCGGGAATGTTCTAATTCCCAACATGTCAAAATGGTAAAGAGAACATACTTTCAGCGTCGCAGGCAACTTCTACAACATCTGCTGAACTCTCACGCAGACGCCCCACTTTCTTGCTTCGATTCTCAGTCCTCTGGAGTCAACGTGCATCGAGTTGTCTTCACAGCACGACTGCTTACACTACCACATCTTTACGGCGACAGCACCGTTGGTTTGACTTCGTGGCCCTATCGCCAATCTCAGTCTGCCACCATAACTCCTGCGCTGCCCCACGGCCTCGTCGGCGTCAAACCTCTCCAAGTCACGTTGAGCCCAATCTCGATCGCCTTCTTGGGACTCAACAAGTCGAATACCAGTTACCACCAAGCATGGATCTGAAGCATTACCACAAGCGACGCAGCAGATCTGAATATCTTAAATACATTACTTTCCTGGAGAGTTCTGTGTTCCTCGCTAAACGACCAACGTCCCTGCCACCACCAAGCCGGAGCTGGAAGGTCCAAATCAAGTCGCTCTGCCTTCTTTATATCCTCTGCTTCTTGGTTGCTGTTCTCGCCAATGCCGCGCAAACCGTCTCGGGCCTCCGCCTGAGCCCCTTCTTGAAATATCACAGCATCTCGCAGAGCTGAATCCGAGTTGAGCCAGATCTTGACCGGTTTAGACCCAAGTGGTTGGGCTACAGCTTGATGCGCTATGTATCCGGCCGTCATATATTCTTTCCCTATCAGTCATAAGCCCGCTCCCATCCGTGCTAGCTGTTCTCATCTCCGCAGAAGAATTTGCTTCCGGCGTTGACCTCAGTCCCTTCCATGATCACTTCATGAATACCCCTTCCAAAAATTGGGCCACAGACACCTACGAATATACCGGTAAAACTCTTCACATTCTCCCAAAGAGCCAATGCGAGATTTTTCGGGCTCTTTACGAGACCCTCGAAATCACGAACTACCGCAAAATTGTCCGATTACATATCCAGAATGGAGCAAGGTTGACAAGGAGTACCTAGGTGGCCAAAACGACAGACAATTTCCTTCTTAGGGTCGTGAAGTAGCTATTGAGGAGCAGGCCGCCGGTGAGACACGCGCATTCCAGTTTTGGACGGGTGTTCTGAGTTCGCGAGGATGCTTTTGCTCATATTTTTCTGGTTGTCCTGACTGTCCGCTTCATCTTGCGCTACTATTGTGACCATTTCTGAATGCAACTGGTAGCTTTGGGAGTGCTTCTATCTAACAACGTTACAAACCTACAGGCTACAGATGGTTTTCCAAGTTTCAGCCTCTTCTCAGATCCTAAAGCTGATCTCACACGACTTTGCAGCCCAACTTCACATCCAGTACTTTCAAGCGGTATATCATGCCGACTACTGACTTTCATATTCTCACTGAACTGCGTCATCTTGAGAAAACTTGCTTCCGGCGCCTGATTGCGGGCTACGACGAAGCTTATGCAGTAGACTATGGGCTTGAGGGTTGGTGTTCTATTCCATTGATAGGAGATTGGAATGGATCATATGTGATCTGGCATACATATTGGATTCTCTGTTTGTTTAATTCTCAAGTCTTTTGCCTCTTTGAGGACTGGAAGGTGGAGTACCTTTCTATGCAGAGATACGTTGCGTCGGAGGTTTTTGTAATTGGCTTTGCTTTCCTTTCAGTAGCTAGACTACAAAACAACTACAAAATCAGTAGCCCAGGTCCATTCGAGAGCCACTCCGCTTCCATGTGAAACCCTCGATGCTGTGGTGAATAATCAGTGGCATTCTTACAGCTGCAGGCTTAACAAAGGTAAGATTAAGCGAGCCCCTGTCTCACTCTTCCAACCTCACTTCCTGCAAGTTGCACTACAACACAATATCAATCAAAGCAAAGACACTCGTTGTTGCTAAAGTTCCCTAATTTTACTCAACTTGCCTCCTAGAGTGAATCATCCCTCTGTCCGCATATTTCGTGAAGTTATTCCAAGCGGATATCACGGCCCGTGTTTATTTACCGAGCCGACGTGCATCTCTTAACTTTCCTCCACGCAAGGTGAAAAAGTGAATGAGACACTATGAATCACTTCGCTTTTGCAAGTCGAGGGCGCTAAAGCAGACCCCGCCAACCGCGAGAGCTTTCCCGATTTCCCACATCTTCGACCCCAACACCTTCTTCCTGCCGTCACCAACGCATACCGCATACGCTCTTACGCTCCGCACGGGATTGCTTTCACACGCCATCCCGTGTCTCGGTACATACATTCATCGACCGTTCTTTTGCGCCGCATTTGCAACTCGAGGTCGCTAAGGCACACTCTTTCGCGCTCTTCAGCAAACTTGACCAACCCATCACCCTCCTCCTTCCACAACCAACCCTCGCCACATACGCGCTTAAGCACGTGAGCTCAACGTATTCCCTTCCTCCTCAAAAAATCAACTCAACGACTTGTCTCTACGACGTGGGACGATCCGTTGGTCAGCGTCATGGCCGATTTCGGTGGCTACAAAGATGCCGACGGCGTCACTCACCCGCCACCAGCAATAGCTGCAAGGGCCATTGCAACTCCCAGAGAGCCAAAATATATCTCCCTAATCAAAAAGATTGAAGCCGCAATGGAAAAACTTGACTGTAGGGAGCAATTTGTAGATCTTGGTCCGGAAGATTTCATCGAGGGTGCCGCCGACACGATTTTAGAACTCCACGAGCAGAACAGCACACACGAAGACAAATATTCCGAAGCTAAAGCTCGAATTGAAAAACTTGAAAGCGAGTTGCAGGTAAAGAAGGAGAACCCAAATAACCTGCAGCACCAACTGGGACAAGACACACCGGCACGGCCCGATCCAATTCCCAATGACTCGACTTCAGCGTCACAGAATGATATGGAGGTCGATGAGCCGAAGAAATTGACGAAAAAGATGTTTGCCGACATGGAGAAGAAGTACGCTATATTGGAAGAGAAATACGAAGCTGCGAATACCAAAGCAGTCCTATGCACATGTTCCACCGTGCGAGGGATTCTTGATGAATTCACGGAGAGACTTGATAAAGCTATTGTGGCTACCAAAGCCGACTTGGGAGACGCTGGATCCGAGTATTATAAGGCCGAGGATTATCTTGAGTGGTCGGAGAAAGAGATCTTGACACTCCGGGAATTGGTATCCAAGTTGAAGGCTGCTGGCGGTGAAGCGGTCAAGGAGGAACGGGCGGCAGATCGGGACCGCATTGCAGATCTTGAACACGATGCGATAACCCAAATGGAACGCGCCGATTCTTACGAAAAGGAACTGAAACAAGAGCGGATAAAGATTCAGCAGATGAATCAAGACAAAATGCAGCGTCAGAACGACTTGACCGAGGCGCGGCGAGTGTGCGCTGAGCGACTGACCAAAATTTCTCAACTCGAAAGTACCGTCGCCTCCCTCCAAGATACCAACGCCATTCAAAATACCTTCCTTGAGTCCTCCCGTTCCACCATACAGACCCGCGACGCAACAATCGCCCAGTACGTGAAAGACGCTGGGTCTTACTCGTCTTCCTTCCAGGCTGTTGAAATTAGGGGCCTGAGGCCCCTAATAGGCTTAGTAAGCCCTGGAACCGAACGCCATGGGGCTGTGCACTAGCTTAATACCCTGTCCAGCTGGAATACCCTGTACAGCTGGAATACCCTGTACGGCTGGAATACCCTGTATAGCTGGAATACCCTGTACGGCTGGAATACCCTGTATAGCTGGAATACCATGTACGGCTGGAATACCCTGTATAGCTGTAATCGGTTCAGCTGGCATAGGGATTTAGTACATGTGACTTAGGGGGTTCAGGGCTATATATATACGGGCTACTTACCACTGTAGAACAGCAGTCAATTCAGTATCGTTTACTTGGTTTACATTGCAAGCACGTGACCCTAGCTTTACTTTAGCTAGTTCAACACAGGCAAATGTCCAAAAACTCCAGGGGACAATCAACCAGCGCGACGCAACGATTGCCCAGTACGAGAGGGACGCTAGTTCTTACTCGTCTTCCGTCCAGACCAATATCCAAAATCTCCAGGGGACAATCAGTCAGCGCGATGCAACGATCCAGACTTTGCAAGCACAAGTGGAGAATGTCCAGGCGCAATTGGATCGGACTGTGGCTGAAAAGAATGAAGCTCAGCGAGCACACGAGAATGAAAAGACCGATGTTCAATCACAGCTATCATCATCCCAAGCTAAACTAGGCGAGCATACGGTGGGAAAGACGAATATCCAGAAGAAGAAGGCGAACACCAAGCTCAACAACAACAAGAAGGATGAAGAGCCCGAACGTGCCTTTCAGCAAGAGAAGAAGGTCAACAATATGCAGGCCGAATTTGATAGGATGCGCCGAAAAAATGAGGAGTCTGCTTGGGAAGACTATGATGAGTCTGAGGAGGATGAGGCGGCCAACCCGACCCACAGTCTTCAAATGTCCCAACCAACATTGGGCAATGAAGTCCCACTTCCGCGCAACAAAGGGCAAACCTCTGAATTCAAGGCATCCGCACTGGCGAGGGGCGGTCAAGGGCGGGTCCTAGGCTCCACTTCAAAAGTCGGCAAGCCAATCAAGAACAATCGGAGACAGTCACATACTCCTTCGCAACTTCGATTGCCCTACCTGCTGCAGGACAATGCCGGAGAAACAGATGATTATACCAATTCGTTGTCCCAACCTTCCAAGCACAACGTCGTACAGCCCAGCCAGATTCTCCCAGCTTCAAGCGAGCCAATGGCCAGTGAGATTTGGTGCTTGCCTTCCAGGCTTCCGCATCTCGTCGATGTAATGACCAAGTTGATAATCAGCCGCCAGGAGAACGAGATTCAGCAGCTCAAAGAAGCAATTGAGAATTATAAGAAGGAGATTGCAGACTTCAAGGCGTCGATCGATCCCAAGACCGGAGCTCTAATTGATCGCGAACGCCGAGCCCTTCCCCAGACGAAAGATCAGCTCACAGCAGCGTATACTCAGCTCCATCACGCAAATGGTCGCATAGTCTATCTGGAATATTATCGAGATAATATTGAGGGCATCATCACAAGTCTCCGGAATGCGAACGAAATCCTCAGAAGTGACAATAGCAGACTGGAGAAGAAGTCCAGGAAGGCTGATGGAATGGACGATAAAATCAAAAGCATGGAGAAGGAGCTCAACTCTCATGAAAAGACACTCAAGGAAGTTTTGGAGATCCAGGCAAGAACATTTGGCGAGTTGGAGGAGTCTAGGAAAGCTACTCAGCAGGCGGAGACAATACTCCGAGGAGAGCAAGACATCCTGCGGAAGAAAACTACGACTATCGACGCCTTGAAGGTTGAAGTTGCAAAAGAGAAGGCGAGTGCAGACCTGTGTCGTCGAGCTATGGAGCGTTCTCCCATGTTCCCGGAGCACAATGTTAGGATGCTGAAGGATATCCGAAAGAAATTCGACGCCCTCATTCCGGACCCGGCAAAGGTCATTGATGACCTTTTGAGTGAGCCGATTACCCATATTCCGACGCTAGCAGATTGTCGAATTCCTTGTCAGCAGCCTTCAGTGCACTCTCTTGAAAAGGACGAAGCTGTTGCGCCTCCAAAGGTTGAGCAGGATCCATCACCAGAAGCTGTACCAGTAGCGCAGTCTCTATGGAACAGATGGACTGGCTGGCTGTGTAACAGCGTGGAGAAGAATGCTGCATGAGATACTGAGGGTTACGGTGGATTATAGAGTTGGTTGATGCGTGGATTAGTGGTATTTGTTGGAGTATCTGGGGACAACTGTGGCTGATGTTTAGTTGGACCTGCTAAAAGATGGCAGGTGGTACTTTTCATTGGGGTTACTAGATTTAGTGCCTGATGGTCTCTTACTTGAGCTGGCTACGTTAGCGGCCTGTGCTTTCTTTTAGGTCCACCCGAAATTGGTTGGCGAGGAGGAGTGGCTTTCGTTTGGGCTTACTTGGACAAGTGGCTTGTGTTTCATTCTTGGCTTGGCAGAGCATAGCTGGCCACTATTTGCAGACAGATTCAGTACTCGCAATTCATGATTACTGTGAAATATTTTCTCCTGGAAGGATGTGACTTGCTCACCACTTATCAAATTAATTCCAGAATTTCAGATGAACAACAGAATGTGAAACTGGACTAATTTCGATGTTCCCAGCCATTTTGGAGTATTTACGTAAATTTCCAAGCCGAGGTGGCTCTCGTTCTAGAATTTTGATGGCTAGCCGCTAAAGATGCTATACTTTGGATAAATTGTCTATAGATAAGTATCCAGAACCAGCCAGGTTCACGTAGAAAACTGACCTAAATCTCCTTTCGTAGACATTCACGCACAGATCTTCTTACTTGGGCAAATTGGTCAAGAAGCGCTATCATTCATGATTTTTGTTCTGTGAGACTGTCTCCCACACTAATGCTTATGTGCAAGAAATACTAAGTCATCAGACTCTTCTAGTCTAACCACCATAGATAAGCAGGAAGAGCGGGAATAGCAAATAAAAGCTCCACGCCTGCGTTAGGCCAATAACATTGCTCTATTCGTATTTCACGTCACACGTGGGCAGACTCCAACCTCCTAATCAAATAAGATCTCTTCGTCAAAGGGTAAACATACAACCCAATCATAAATACCAAGCATCAAATCTCATCAAAAATCAATAGTAGTAGACTCCTGTTCCAGGGATTTATCTCAAATACGAACCCAACCACCTTTGCTGATAATGCTGATAACACCTCAACATCATCTGACCCCTCATTCAGTGGTTTGTGTATCTTTCTACTCTAAAGTGCAGTTCGCTCAGAGGCGCCATCCCGGAAGCGCTAAGTAAGGTTAAGATAATCTGTCCCGCCTTCTCAATGTCATTCTTCTCTGAGGCACCAGCGGTGATGAGGCAGGAGCAGCCGGCTCTGAATTGGCACCACTTGAAGATTTGCAATGTTGACAGGCGGTGTATCAGCGAATGCTGGCATGTTTGTGGGAGCGGCAACAGTTCCTTGGCCTTCGGTTTCATGAAGGACAGATGTGAAGTACGTAAACAGTGCAAGTGAGATTGCAAGATCGAATCCGTCGATTCTCGATCCTACAAACCAACTGAGAGAGGCGATGAAGACCGCGAGCAACACAAAGAGGAACGGAAAGCCTTCTACAGTGACAGGAGCGGACGATTTTGTATATGCGGAAGGCTCTGGGAACTCTGGGAACTCGGGTTGCACCACCTGGGCATCACTGCCAGTAATTTGGGACCCCGCATTATTGTAAGGAATAATCGGCTCCTGTGAAAGAATTCCCCAAAGGATAGTTGGCCCAGGTTCATTGTCAGAAGGGGTGACAACGGCAGATTGGGGTTGATCACCGCAGTTGTTGTCTTCGACCTCAGGAGTACAAGCAAAGGCTGATGAGTCTTCACTATCTTCAACGTTGGAACAGGTGGTGTCTTGAAGTGTAGCCTCGGAGGTAAAGCTTTCCTCGCTAACGGATGATCCCTGGATGTCCATGCTGTCGGTGGTGTCGGTACTATGAAGGTTGTGCTCTCTCACCGATGCATGGGAGTCTCCATCGCAATTGTCATCCGCACAATAGATGCAGTCGCCTGGCTGCGGCTCGTTTGTTGTTTGGATTGGCTCCGCAAAGAAATTGTCAACGCAATGGTTGAAGGTATCTTGTGTGGTAGCTGGGCCCTCGGAAAGCAATGCTGCGTGACCTTTACTGCTCAATTTATAATCCAGCACAGCCTCTGGCTCAGGATCATTGAGCAACTCAACTTCAAATTCTTCGGTGTCCTTGCTACCAAATTGCTCTTCCTTTTCCATTTTATCTTCCAAAGCGTTCTTCTCTTGTGTGGCAAGAAGCAGCTTTGCCTGCAACTCATCGACAGTCTCGGGAGCCTTGTTATGTTCCTTGGCCAGACCAACAAAATTCAGTTGGTCAAGGGCAGCCTGACGCAGCTTTTCTTCGAGATCGTCGAATTTCTCGAGAGTTTTCTTGTATTCTTTCTGGAGGTCACTGTAAGCTTCCCGAACTCGATCGGATTGAAGCAACCAATTGTCAACATCATTTGCCAGGGTGTTGTTCTTCTCCTGCTCCGTCTCGAGCTGACCTTCCAGACTGTATTTTTCAGCAACAGCCTGGCCTAGCATGGTCTTGAGATCACTGATCTTAGTCAAAGAATCATCTTGTTCTCTTTTGAGTGCTTGTTTCTCCCACAATTGGTCTCGAGCAGTCTGAAGTACCTTGGCTTGCAGCTCGTCAATTTTCCCGCTGCTCTTCTGTTGCTCCTGTCGCAATGTTTCTTGATCTCCAAGAGTTTTGTGCAGCTTCTCTTCGAGATCGCTGGCCTTATCCACGCTCACCTGTAATTCTGTCTTGAGGTCGCCCTCGGCAAGATCTCGATCGATGGCGGCTTGGACGAGGCGCTCCTCCAGATCCCGAAATTTGTCGACATCATCTTCTTGCTCTTGCAATTTCTTGAGGTTGCTCTCCGAACCAGCCCGAGCTCGAGAATACTGGAGCGGCTTGGTGCGGAGGTCATCGGACTTCTTCTGAAAATCACAATTCAATATCCCTTGTTGTCTGAGAGCCTGAATGAGTTTCTCAGTTGCCTCGTTAGCTTCCTTAGCATTGAAATGTCTGGCAGCAGCGACGAGACCACCCTTCGTCTCGTCGGTGCTCCAGTGCTGTTTATTTCTTTCACTGCTTGCGTCAGGCACCTCCGCGGTGATCTGGACATCCCATTGCGGCTTTGGTATATCCATAGTGGAGTCATACTCATTATGTGAGATAGGAGTAGTACTTTGGGAAGCAATGGGTGTAGAAGTGATAATTGAGGGGATGTTTGAAGTGGTCGAATTCATTCCAAACGACGAATCAGGTGACGTGAACCAAGGTACTGAATTTGCCTGCTGGAAGGGCCAGGATTGCTGATAGCTGTCTGGAAAGAGATATGCATTCGGCATACTTCCCTGTTGAGGTAAGAAGTTATAGACTGGACTCATGTCTGGATTCGGACAAACTGCCTCAGCTTGCTGAAATGTTGATGGGTGTTGATAGCTGTCTGCAAAAGAATATGCATTTGGGATGCTTCCCTCTTGAGGTAAGAGGGGACAAACTGGACCCATGTCTGGATTCCAGTTTCCTGGTACTTGTTGGGAAGGATTTGGGCTCGCACCAAGGTAGGTCTGTTCAATACCTGCCCCAAATGGCATCGAAAAAGCGGCTGGATTGTAAAAGCTTCCGAGATTTGAGAAGCACCAATCCGGAAGGATTGGGGGTGTGGTGTATTTTTCTGGTTGAATATCGACGAAAGTTGTCTCTTTCTGTTTGCTGTCCGTAGATTGCTTCATTGTCGAAGGCGACGAAGGAGACTCGTAGTCCTGTGTCATGATTAGCGTTTCTGCAATACCTTGTTTCATAGGCAAGAGACTTACCTTCTTAGGAATGGTTGATAAGTGTTTCATTGCGCCGATCTGGCTTTCTTCCATGTTGCGCTCACCAGGCATCGTAGCGGTATGGCAGATACGTATTGAGATTTCGATGCGCTCTCGAAGTGGTGCTGTCTCCTAACTGAGGTTGTGCTCAAATATTATCGAGTACTTGAAGGTTGTTGGGCAAAGAGGACTAAGATTGCTGTTGGGAGATGCCGATTGCTGTGATGCGGTGTCCAGATGGTGGAAGTTGTTGAAGAAAAGAGTTCATGAGACCTCAGACCAGTGTATCAAATGAGTAGAGTAGAGTAGAGTAGTGGGTCCTACTCATACTATACTCAGCCAAAATATGTCCTACTTATACTCTACTCAATACTCATTGAGTATATACTTAAGTAACTTAAGTAGTGAGTCACGTGCAAGCACGTATCCTTATAAAGGAGTCCCCCGACTTATTTATTAGCTATAAGCTTACTTTAAAAGGTTATATTATATCCAAGAGTTAAGTAGAAGTCAAAATAAGCCCCATATATTCCTTTTATCTTTGATTTATTATTTAGAAGTCACATGTATTAAATAACACGTGATTACTATATTAATTTTTACTAGTATAATAAGTAGTATTAAAGGAATTTTAGGTAGTAAAAAAGATAATAAAGGTAGAGAAAGATAATAAAGAAAAGAATTAAATAGTATTTATAATATAAAAAGAGATATTTAATAAAATAAACCACGTGATGAGTAGTTAAACTACTTAAGTAGTCTACTCTACTCTACTTAAGCTTAGTCATGGAGGGGCTACTTATACTCTACTCAATACTCAATGAGTATATACTTAAGTAACTTAAGTAGTTTGAGTATTCCTTTGACACACTGCCTCAGACTCAGAGTATATATCCCCGTGTGGGGGGGGATAAACTGCACCATGTAGTTCGCATCCATAAATTAATAAAATTTATCCCCCTTAAAAGGGCGCGGGCATGGATCCATGTTCTCCCTCACTTGCAGAACAAGGATAAGATGAAAAGATCCCATTTTTCATAGAAGTTGGATGTTAAGAATATCTGGGTGAGGAAGTGGATGATGGGGCGAGTGAAGATTGTTGGAGCCACAGGAGGTGATCAAATGAAACAGAGGTAATGCTCTTTGGCATGACTACACGCTCATAGCTTATTATGTGATATTTCTTTCCGGGAGCAGGATTTAAAGAGGCTAAGGACTTCAGTTATGATACATGGCTCGTTGTGCCTAGTGTTCCTGCTCTCTATCTCAGTTATAGAAGCTTGAAGCTCTATTAGCATAAGTAAAAGTGATTGGGGGAAAGACATGATCTTTGTTCTGCATTGTGAGCGAAATAGAAACAATCCACAGACACAAGCATGTAGTGGAAACAAGGTAGAGGAACCATCCTCTCAATGCCGCTTTGTCCGTATCAGCACAAACAAAAGCAGCTCAAGCACCCGAAGGATCTGAAACAAAGAACAATCGACAAAAGATTGATAATTAATCGCTGTTGGCTGGTTGGGCCTATGAAAGGCGAGATTAGCCGAGAAACTTCCCCTTCAAGATCGGGGTGCGTACCCTTGACTGAGAGTTCAAGGTAAGCGCCTCAAACGTATTGTCTTGTTGCCCCATCATACTCCAATATAACAGTCTGATGAAACGAGCTGTGCACATGAAGCTCTCGGCCCGTGGTGACCGTATCCTGTGCAAGCTCCACTCCAACACCAACGTTTTATCCTAGATAGTAGCTAGCCATTCTTCCAAGTAGCCTAGAGTAGCTCAACTTCTAATGCCTTCACATTTGTCCGATAGTCTTCCTATGCCTTCATCAATTCATCCTCTAGGTCCTGCTTCTTTCTAGCTGCTTGCGTCCTGCCGCTGGCCAATCCTCTATGGCAGCTACCAGCTCGTTCTTCAACCTCATGATTTTCGAGACACAACTGGTGCATTCTTGAGCAGAGCGAGCCTGAGCATTATCTTCGAGATCGGGGGGCTATGTAGCCAGAGCACGAGTTACCTTTGGTCGCGTGGCCTTGCAGATTCTCTTTGCCCAGCTCTCCGGAACCCAGCTCGGCAACTCATGCTTTTCACCCTCTTCCTCCTCCCAAGATCTTGCTATTCCCGTAGAGAACTTGATAAGCTATGCAATATTCTCCCCTAACTCGGTCAAATGCTACATGATCTGAAACTTCTCTATGCGTTTGTTCCGGGAGATCTGGGCGACCGATTTTTACACGCTCGGTTCTGAGGGCGTTACGCCTTCAATGCTGGATCCGCAAACCACACTCTCTGGAGTAACTTTCCCAACTCTTAGGCTGGCGGCGAAGTTGAGTATGATCTGAATGCTGAATGACACAGTGAAGACAAGCCTGGATGCCTTTGATGATTACGTCGTGTATGGTAATTTTTTGGGGCCTCGTGAGCAGGCTTGGCAAAAATTCCCGAGGCATCGATACCGGTATCAATAGTAGAGGTATTAGTCAGGCATCGTAAGGAATCGATAGTATCGGTACCAGAATCGATTCTTACCCCAAAAATTAACTCTTTCTTTTATTATTTAAATTATATAATAATATATAATTACATAATTTCTTTAATTTTTAGTCTTTCTATTAAAAAAATTACTTACTATTATTAATAAAAGTTAATAATATCTTAAATTCAAAATAGCTCTCGTATTCAGAGAATTAAGCCCCGTATTTATATTTCTTATCAAGATACTAAATATATAAGCAAGCCTTACGAAAATCTCGAAAGCTCATTTTTACTTAAAATAGCCGTATTAAGATGAGTTTTAGTCTAAAATATAAGATAAGTAGCTAAATAGAAAGCCTAAATTAAGTAGGGTATTTGCGCTACTAAAAGTTTTCTTATAAGAGAAGTGGTTCTAAAGTTAATTGCAATCAAAGGGGGGAATTGGGTTCGGGGAATCGATACTGGTATCGATACTATTGATACCGGAAATTAAGGAATTTTTGCCAAGCCTGCTCGTGAGATTAGAGGTCCTCTATATAATTTCACATTCTGATAGAAATTTAAAGGTCACGTAATCCAGAACCAAAAACCGGGCGTTCTTTGAACGACGTCGAGTCTTTTCTCCTTTCCCCGTCACTCTTAGATAAGGAGACCTAGACAAAGAAATGTAGTTTTAAGCAAAGTAGAGTTATAGCGTTTTATAAAGACCTCGGAGTGTGGGGTCAGTGTGCTGTATTGAAAGTGAGTTTCGGCAATTGAATAGGGGTAAATTCGCTTATTTTCTTGGCTCATTTTGGCATGCTCTCTGATCATGATTCTTCACATTTACCGAGAATTTGATTTGAAGGGTGATTCCTAGCTAGCGAATGTTCTGTGATGCGGTTCCGTTCTGGAGATTCCAGAAATCAGCCGCTGCAATGAGAAGAAGTAGAATTAACCCAGCGAAGTAAGACAAAGAAACGTGGAAGTGAAATGCCTCTCAAAGAACCCATTGTTTACAATAGTATCAAACAAACTATCCCGAGGCTCAACAAAGGCAGTTACAGACAAAGAAGAATCGACCTCCCGCTCCATATATCGCTCGCTGAATTACCCCCAGGCATGATGGAGATACCCCAGGAGCTCCCATAATGACTTGTCCGTGGTCCAATACAGGCGAACCGTTCTCAAGTGGCGAAAGAGTGGGAAGGCATGAGACACCATTCTTCAAAGATATTGGCTCTTAGACGGCAGGTAGATCTGGGGCAGAGCTTTCTGCAGAGCAATTGGCAACAGGTGCAGCAGTTGTGGTTTTGAGACCCTGGCGTTCATCGGGGCTGCTGATGGAAAATGGAACAGAATTGAACACCACTAGAGGCTCCTTCAGCAATCTCTTGTGGCCTATTGGTGTCCTTGAAGAAGAGGCCATTCAATGATATTCTGCGTACGTGAGGGGAACACATACCTTTTCCTGAGAGTCGAGGGCTTCGAGAAGAGAGATTTTTGGGTGTTGGGAGTTCGGGATTATTGACTTGGACCGAGATTCAAAGAATCAGCCCGATCTCCATTGGTAGAGGTATCTGAATTCTTCGTGATCGGAGAGCAGAAGCCGGCGATTTCAAGGTGGCTGCCATAATCAGAAACCTCGGACAGGGAAGTACGAAGGACTCCAGCATCTTTTGTATCCTTGGTATTCGTAGAAAAGTCCCGGGTGACTCGTTGCTTTACTGGTTCTCTTGGCGTAGAGAAATGAGACCAGGCAGGGGGAGGGCCTTCAGCTACCACGTCTGAAATCAACTCCGACATCTATCACACAGTCAGTATGATGCTATTGGGTGCTGCTGGTGTTTCAGTATTACCTTCTCTTTGTCAAAATTTGTCCCATAAGGATTTTTTGTCTTATGAACAGGAACATTCCACCATTCCCGAGAACTTGTACCCCTATCCCCTATAATCAGACCTTCCAAGTCATCAACGTCCAAGGTCGGGGTCGAAGTGGAAGCTTCTGGGTTGGAGAAACTGGCGATGAAAGTTTGACTTGCTGCTGCTGGTTGAGAGTCTACGGCATTGGAAGCCGTCGGAATGGGAGAAAACAAACTTTTTGATTTTGGCTTGAAGTCCGAGGGGCCAACCTCAAAAGGAGACTTTGCAGCTAACTCACGAAGCTCTGAGAGACTGATGAGTCGAGTTCGAGGTTTGGAGTTCGAAATCTGATGCACAGGGCTTGCAGAGATTAGGCCAGTCTTTGCGTCGTCGATATTTGGAAAACAATTTTTTGGTTCGGTCGACTGAATAGCTTCCGGATTTGAGGAGGGTAAAGAGATTGATGATTCAGCGTTGCTAGCCTCATCCGGTTTGCCTTCCTCTGGCAGACTCGTTGGTACCTGATCTTTACCCGCGTTTGGGCGGTTCAAGGATAGCTTGTCTGGCACCTCCTTTTTCTTTCTTGGTTGAATGAAGAGCTGGCCTGGCTTTTTTTTCTTTTCGCTTGATGCAATGAATGCCTTACGTCCGTCCGCCTTCTTTTGAGATCCTCCGTTGTTGCAGCCAAAATTCATGCGATCAAAAAGGAGTGAGGAAAGAGACAGATTAGCGGCGCCGGGCATGGGTGAACTCGGTCTAATCAATCTTGATTCTTCCAAAGCGGCGAGCGGATCGTTTTCTATCGGTGCAAGTGGTGATTTCCACTGAAAATGAAGTGAGCATTCTAAACAATCTTTTGGAAGACAAGTTAGGACTTACGACACATTGATTGTTAAGACTAACAGCATTCAATCTTTCTTCCTCGTGTTCCTCAAAAATAGCAGCCTTCATCAACAACATGGCTGTGGATTTATTCTTGAGGGTATCTGCTTGACTTCGTTCCTTTTCGGCCTGCTCTTTACGACGCTCGAGTCGTAAAGCTTTCTCCTCTGACGTCTCTGAAGGATCCATCGCAATGGGGCTTCTCGGTGTATCGGAGATAGGGTGTGGAATTAGCTAGGTTGTCGTCTAGAATTGGAAGCCAGGATTTTCGGCCATGTAAAGGTCTCGAGAGGCGATCGCGGCGAAGTCATCAAAGACCTCGATTTAACCTCACGAATGTACGAAGTATTTCTTTATCATTCAATGCGACGTATTTTTAAATGCTACCAAAAATTGTCAACATAACAAAATTTATATTGCGTCACCGGTAAACTTTCTCCTGTTCTGGTGAATAGGTTCGAACCCTTTCCTATAACAATTTAGTGTCTTTGATCACAATAATCCATCTATCTTCTCCACCCACACGCAATTTCTCATATTCCAATCATTTTAATCTCCTCTGCTCTCGAATAAATGGATCAAGGCTATTATTTTAAGCCTTTGTTCTCTGTTTGGCGAGTTGTAGCAATGTCATCCCTTGACGAGAAGGAGCTCTGAAAGACAGTACTCGTGGCAATATACGAGGCAGGCACGAGTAAGCTCGTGCGAAATTGACTGAGTTGCAGAAGCGGCTGGAGGAAGCTGAGCGGAGAAGTCTGTTTTTGGGATGCAACTCGGAGGGAATGAGGGAGTGCATCACGGTACCGGGGTAATTATGTCAATTCCCCTCGAGAACGTTTCAACCAAGTCTATACCTACAGCCCACTCCGGGGACTGCAGAGATGTTTCGTGAGGAGCGGGCTGTAATATTACTTCTTTCGGATTGGTTTTGGTTCTTTCACGTGGCTCTCTGCAATGATATAGGTGAATCCTTTCGCGGTCTTCTACTTCGCTCTTGGCATCTCCAGGAGGAACTTGCCACTTGGGATGCATCCAACGCTTGATCTTGCTTGTAGGTATCGGCTTAGTCGCAGTGTGCCCTGCTTTCTGAACATGGTCTTCGGCGGTAATTTGCGACATTGAGGCAATAAGATGAATAGCAAAGAACCCCATGTTTGAAGCCAGAACCTGCCTGTGATTGTAAATCTTATGCTCCATTTTATATCGCTTTAACAACTATCTGTGAAATCAAACTTAATACCTTTGAAGATGGTTATGTAATATTCGCTGCCAATTCGTTTGAACAACCAGAGGCAGTGATCGCTCTTTCCCTTTACACAAGAATTCTACCTGCTCCTCGTTGGAGCTCAGTGCTTGCGAAAAGTAATCCGAAAACGGGATCATCTTGCCCCTCGGTAGCAGAGAGACTTCTGCCCACTAGTCCCCAAATCAGCGTACATATTCTCAAGTTTCTTGCAGGTCGTAACTCCCACGCGAACCATGCACTGAACGATATCTTTCTCTTTCCAAATATCTGCCAGGAGAATCTTCCATGGGATATATTACGCATAAGATCACGGGTAGGATGGAAAATACATACTTTGAGGTCACAGAAGAGGCGAACGGGTTGGACAAGGGAGATGGCTTTCGAGACCACGAATCAAGCGACGAGGCAGAAATCCACGAACAGCAGACTTCTAGCAACTAAGAAGTATTCTTAGAGAGAGCAGTTGAGGACGTTGAAGACAAGTCGGAATTATCCGAGGATGACGAGCCACAATGGAACCGCGGATATGAGCTTCGACAAAAAGCTTCAGAGGATTTCTGGACGCCGAAGCAGTTAGCAGCTCACAGGGTTGAGTTCGCGATCAGAAGGAATTCTATCAATCCGAAGATAGAAAGCGAGCTATGTCGTTAGAGGAACACAAAGAGTGTGAGATTGAGAACGCAGAACTTCAAGGAGGGGCTAGTCAATCATCGCACACCCATCAAGCCTCTTCGGCGTCGTAACCCCCCGCCCCACCCGCTTCCTGAGCTCCTACTCTCTGCCATGGGGCAGCAGAAGGCCTTGATTTCAACATAGAGTCACACTGAGTACTTGTGGGAGCTTTGGAATCTGATGGCTCCACAGAGAAAGTTCTACCTTGGTAGAGAACGCGACGGGAGACCCGGAGGACTGACGCTTCCTGAAGGGAAACCCCGAATTATTGATATTTTGTTCTGGGCTGGGGTTTTCGGTGGCTTTGTTGTTAGGGTCAGTGGGCTTGCGGGCTTTGTCTTCCAAGGTATGTTTGGGATTGTTCTCGCTCTCTCTCGGATAGCACTGGGAACTATTCTTTTTTCGTTCTGCCAAGTGCTTCCAATGCTACTAAGGTAAGGCAAAACATCGAGGATCGTCGTAAATAATGTGCACATATTTTGCTATTGAGCTGTAGAAACATTGTCATGACGTTATGGGATGTCCTCACTTTGAGTGACGTGTGACAGGGGTGAAGTTTAAGCGAACCCCTTTTATCACTTGTCGACCTTACCTAATAATACAGCACGTGACCGGCCCTCTTTGATAGAAAACCCTCCCGTTTCAACTTATTTCATTTCGTTGAATTCACTTGCCATTTGCTTGCAAAATATTCACCCGAGAAAATTCTTTGCAGCTCAAGATCGGTCGGTGGTGGAGTATTCCCGATTCCGGCCAACCTCGTTGCCGCGCCGCGCATATTTTTTTATTTTATTTTTTAGCAACGCGATACAAGGTCCACTGCCAGAGCATCCTCCATCATCTGTCGGAATCTCCTCAAAATCCCCTTCTGGCAACCAAGCTTTTCTTCCAACCTCCAACCTCCAACATCCTAGACACACACAGCTCGTATTCATCGACCAGCCGGCGGCGCGATGGCGAGCACTCCACCCGCCGCATCCGATCAGTCTTCTGCCAGCTCCCCTCTTAGTCAGTCTCTCGGGATCGATAACCTCTTAGAGGAGATCTGTACGACCCCCACCACGGTCATGCATGACGTCGATCTTTCGAAGCCTAATCCACACCCCATTCACGGCGTCCCTGGCAATCCTAGCCCTCCTTTCAGTATAGGCATGCTTCCAAACGCAAATCAGTACACCGGCGTCCCAGGTCACATCGTAGCAAGTACAACTCTTCCATCGATTTGCCCAAGCCAAGGCTCTCAGCATGGCATGCAATCTCCGACTGCTCCCCTCCCTGCCCGCTACCCAGCGCCCGCACCGATCTACAACCCCGCCCAAGCCCGCGGCACCTTAATTTATGCCAACACGCCTAACTACTCGGCAAACCCAGTGACGCCTTCGCATTATTCGCTCTCTTCTTCTCACAGCTCCTCCTTGACCAATCCATCGCCAACGCCAACATCTTTGCCAACTACGAGCCAACCGACCACCCAAGCCCAAGACCTACAACTGGCTGCCATGCAACCGCCAGCGACTATTTCCCTGGCTACGCAGAAGGCAAGAGAACAAGCTTTGGCGGCAAGGGCTCTGAAAAAGGAGGAGGAGCATACCAAGCAGTTGAATAGAATGACCAGAGAAAACAATCACTTGCGCAGCCAAGGTCTGATTGTAGAAAACGAAAAGGAGAAATTCCAACAGAAGGTGAAGGAACTGGAGCGACAAATTATTAAACTAGGCAAAGAAGTCCTGGCCGAGAAGAAACGTGGATCAACTTTAGAGGCAAGTGCGTCAGCTTTGCAAGAATCTCTACGCCTCGAAAAGCGCGAAACATTGCGTTTGAGCTCCTTGATCGGTAGACCAGCAATCAAGGAGACGCGTCGCCAGATGGGGGTTGTCCACAACTTTATGGTCTGCAAGAAGATTGGGACCAAGACGCACACCCAACGTCAAGAGAGGCTCATTGCTCTGATGATGAGGGAAATCATCCATCAGAAGAAGGTTATGAGTCATCCGGAACACACCATCCAAATCTTGAACTATACACACCAATCGAACATTGCTCAACTCAATGCCGAGTATCAGCAACATATCCAGAGTCTCCAAGCTGAACTCTCATCCCCAAATTCACATCTCACAAAGCCACATCCTCCAGCCCAAGAGTTCAACGCCAAGATCGAAGAACTGGAAATCAAGCTCAAGGGTGCCCAAGAATGTGCCAGTACTGAACGGAGCAATGCCTCCGAGCTCGGTCTTACCGTCAGAAGCCTCAGGATTGATCTTACAAACAGAGCATCCGATATCAAAGACCTAAAACAGAAGCTTACGGAGAACAAGGATCTCGAAACAAAGCTACGGGAAGCCGATGCTGCTACAGAGAGAGAACGAACAAAGAACGCCGAGCTTGTGAACAGGATCGATGGCATAAATGCAGATCTTGAAGAGCACCGATCGGAGATCGAGGATCTGAATGAGAAGTTGAAGAACAAGGGGGATCTTGAGTCAGAAATCCGGGCTGCGAACTATGCGATTGGCCATGAACATAAGAAGAATTCTAGGTTTGAGACGACAATTGCCGACCTGAAGACAAAACTTGGAGATCTCGAATATGAGAACAAGAATTTGGAAGAGAAGAGGGCCAGTCTTGAAGAACAGCTCCAGATGGCTTTGAGAGACAAGAAGACCGGAGGCTTCGGAAATACAGAAGCGGTTCTGCACAATGCAAACCCTCAGAAGAACACTGCTGAGGATTTTGTTGGATTGGAGAGCGGACATCTCGACAATTCCGATCCTACGGGCTCTAGACCGAACAACGAACAGCACCAAGAGTTGGAGATCAAGAACGGGCACCCTCAACCGCTTATCCGCCGAGCAAACAAACCCAAGTTTGCTCGGCCTAACACACCCCCGCCCGGTCCGCGTAGAGGGCGTGACGAACCAGAGGAAGTCTACACCCAGCGGTTGCGCCGCTTGACCCAGCTCTCATTGGACCACAATGCAAAATTACTTGGCCAAGACAAGGGCCATTCTGCAGTGTCAGACTTGGAAACCACACAATATCAGACCATTGAAGAATTCCTTTCTGATCCGACCAAATGTTTTGTCGCCATGTGGGAGAAGCTAGACGCAAGCTTTTCCGAGAATTGTGAGCTGAAGAATGAGATTGATCGATTGGAGGATGACCACAACCAGCAAAGCAAGAGACTTAAGGCCAAAGTGAGAAAGCTGGAGGCCACCGTCGATGGTTTGAGGCAAGAGAAGAGAGATGAGAACATGAAATTGAAGCTCAGAGAACAAGCTTTGACGAAGGCAGAAAAGGCTCTCGAGCAGAGAGAACAATGGCTTAACAGAGTCGAGTCAGGAGTTGATGCGGTCACCATGGCTGAATCATCCACAAGTAGTTGGGATAATGAGACTTACGATGATGGTTCCACTATCTTCGAGGATCCTCGCATTTATGGCGACATTCAAGCCGCTGAGCGGTGTTCAATGTTCGCCGATACTTGGCACAATGGCGGTTGCGAGGTTGGCTTACAAGTCGATAATACCGAAGTTCAATGTCCCAGTCCAGTCGGTGACATTGAAGCATCCCAATGTCCCAACCCAGTCGGTGACATCGAAACCGAATGTTCCGGTGTATCTGGGACATTCCCTTGGAAGTTGATACTCGTCGATTTGCTCGTCATTTTCCTCCTCCTGGCTGGTATGCTCTGTTGTACAATTTTCAAGCAAAATCCTCCTTCCGAACAACGCCCGCCACATACATGTCATATTTCCGAGCGGCCTCACTTCTCGATGCCTTTTTCTTCGCCGGATCGTGTGCCGATCCTCGTATGCCTTGAAAATGGCAGCAGCAACTCCACCCCTGCCTTCTCCTTGACTGTTCCAATTCTGGACAGCCTGGTCAGCCAACTGCCACTATTTGATGGCCCTGGTTACGAGCATGTCACCCCTCCTGAAGCATCTACTGGGTTCAAGAGCTGGCTTTGGGAGTTTATGGTGACTGGAGCAGCACAAGGGCAATTCGGGGCTGCGGTAGGGAGCAGCAGTCTTTATCTTTGAGTGGGTGGGTCACGGCGGAGAGGAGATGTCGGCTATATGTTGTAGAGTTTAGAGTTGTTGGTTTTCTTTTCTTTTGGCGCTTTCCAGGCGGTGGCATTTGTTTTCCTTTATTTGTTGTCCAGGTTGGAGGCGTTAAGCATAACGTGGAGTAATTACCATATTGGTGGGCTCTTGGTGAAAAACGAGGAGTGGGAGGGAGCTGGAGTTGGGGTCGGTTTCTTGCTGGTTTTTTTCCCTTTCCTCTGTTGTCAGATTGACACAGCAACTCCTCATTATGTTCGACCAGCGAATGGTTAATTAGCTAGATGGTATCTGCAAAGAACTAAAAAGTCTCTACACGATCCACAGGATCTTGGGTTCATTAGTGACTAGGTTACAGTATCTGAAGGAATTGCTACTTCCAAATCATTCAGGTCTTGTTTCGCAGGAGATAAATTTAACGAAGCTTCTGGTTAAGAGTCACGTCATCTCCCAGTCATCTCGCCACTAATGAAGTAAACAAACAAATTCGGCGTGAATAGGTAAATTTTAGGCCGTATATTCATTGCTAGAGTCTTGGGATCGGCCAAGACAAAGCAAAACCTCTTGAGGAAGTAGAGTCAACCTTCAACAAACTTGGTCGTTAGCAGTGTGGGCTCCGATAGGCTCGATAGAGTCGATAATCGATCGATAGATAATCGCGCTAATGGTCGATAATCAACAACAGTGGTCCCTTTTTTTCTTCTTTTAGCGATGGTTACAGGGCTAGTGCGCTGTAAAAATAAAATAATCCAGCTTATACGGAAAGCGTAAGGACGTAATGTGCCAGCGAACTTTTCACTTACGACTTATGACTTATGACTCGGCACGCGCATGCTTCACCCCACCAAAAATTGCCCACATACCACTCGCATTTATGATTTTAGACCAAATTTAGCTTAGTCCCTTTTTGTCTCTCCTTTCTCCCTAGCATTCCACTCTTCCGTAAACCTCTTCATTTCCTCTACCGCCTTGCTGAAACTCTCCTCCGTACCAAGAGCGGCATTCCCACCATCCACGATTTTTCTCAACACTCCTCCACTCCTAATTAGCTTCGCACTGGTATCAAGAAAGTTCGCTTCATCCACCTTGATCACATTGATGTAATACGGATCCGCGAATGCGTTACTGAATGCTGCCATATCGTCGACGTCGAACTCGGCAATCCCGTCGCATACGAAAGGAAGAGGCCAGGCACCATCCTTGCTAGGTTCGTCGCCGGAGCGTGCTGTGTGGATCTGTATCTCATGAAATTGAGGGACGACTTCGTCCTGGGCTATGGGGGAGTACCTGTGAGTAACCAAGGACTTTGTGCTTCACAAGCCACGGCGGTGTGAGAGGTGCATGTACTCTCTCCCAGTGCTCGTAGAATTGCTCGGGAGTCAAATCTTCGCGCCTCTTCGCAAAGAGAGCGAAACGCATCACAGGCTTCAGTGGTGAAGACATCTATCCGTTTAACAGCCTGAAGAGTTATCGAAGAACAGTTCAGCATGCGATGTACTTGAAGGACAAGAAACGTGCATTTGAAACGTCGAGAAGTACCTCTTGTCCTAGGCTTCAAAAGTGGGGGGGGATGAGAGGTCAAATTGTGCCTTTCATGTGATTGGTCACCTCGCATTTCACGTTCCTTCCCAAGCACGTACACCGTTACTGTATAGGGGACAGCGGGGGAGGCACAGTCGGCTAAAACCAAGTGCCAATCGGTTAACAGAGCCTTCCCCTTTTCAACTGTAGGCTTCCGGCTTCAACCCTAGGCAACAGTATAACTGTTCTTAGCTGATGAATGCACAAACATGCACAACACTTTCTCAAGCATTATTTATCCATCTTCAATTCGTCCGAACCTCATTCAGGATGCCCTCTTATTCCAGCGAACGATCCAACAAAGATTTGCATTACGCCATCGAGAAAGACTTCACTGAACCTTCAGGCGAGGAGGTGAAGTACGGTTCTGATGGCTTTCGCACTTAGGATAGCGAGTTACACAAGCTCCCATTCCCCACAGCCCCGGAGAGTGCCCCGGAGAGTGCCTCCGTCAATTCCGATGGAACTCTCATTGTAATATCAGTCGCTGACAATATCCATGTCTACGACACTGTCAACTTCACCGACATGTCCGCCTGCAAGGGGCATGTATCCAGAGTCGATGCTCATGCCTTTCAGCCCGGCAAACCCAAAGTCTTGGTATCCTCTGCGCAGAATTACTATAGAGGTTCAACTCCCGCAGAGGCTACAATCATAATCTGGGATCTCAAGAAGGAACAGGCGAATCCTTTGATGACATCGAGTATCATCCCGAGCATTGCAAGCCAAGCCACAGACAACGTTGCCGATAATCTGCTGATGGTTCAACCCCGACTTGAGCTCTCCGCCGAGGAGGAGAAGAGCCTCACCGAAAGTATCTAGCGCATTATCTCGCGTATTATCAAGATCCACGCTGTTGCAAATCTACGAACCATCAAAGGGAGGCTCTCCTTCTCTTGCCAGTCGGAGCTATGCAGTCCATCTGGCAACTTCTTGATCTACATGCCTGGCAAGCCACCACGGTCCAACGATGCCGACAGGTGGGATGTCAAAATCTACTCGATGGCAACTCACGAAGACGTGCTCGCACTGATTGGACACACAGATGCGGTGATGTGGACGGGTTACAACCCAGACGAAACAATGACCGCCACCGTGGCATGGGACCAAACGACCCGTATCTGGGATGCAAGGTGTGGACATCAGAAGTACAAATTCGATACCAATGGCCAGAACTGGACTGGGGGTTTTTCGTCCGGTTCAAAGCGGTTCGCGGGGACGTGTGGCGATGGAACGTTCTATGTCTACTCCCTGGATGACGGCGCTACGCTATGGCTCAAGCTAGATTTGAGCCCTCGACTGGTCGGCTAATAGTAACATATTGGCTATAGGCAAAGGGCAGAGTTCAAAGCCGGGGAGGTTCATTCTGTATGATGTCGAGAAAGAAAAGGTTCTACAGGAGCGGATTTCGAGCTTAGATGCTTGCAAGGTGGCACTGGAGTACAAATCGATGATGAAGAGCTATCTGGAATTCTATGGGGTCAAGTTTTTGGATGGGGGAAGGAAGGTTGTGGTGCTTACTGCGGGTGACGGTGGAATTGAAACGTATGACCTAGAGAAGTGGGAGAAGTGGAGATTTGCAAGGCCAAATATTGACCCGCCATTCAATGGTGACTCTGGGGACAACGAGGAAGAGAGGATATCATTCAGAAACCACGCCAGAAAGGACAAGTGAAGAAGAGAAGGAGGGGTGAGCCTGAGAATCGGTTGGTAAGTGGCGGTTACCACATGACTGTTTGGGAGGACCAGAGGGGGGAACCATCTTCTATGCCAGCATGGATGGAGATGCAGTGAGGATTTGAGATGTGCCTATGACGAAGGACAATGCCTCCTGAGCACCGTTTTGTTTTCATTTCCAGTCCTGATTGTATTCCCCGCTGTGTAATAATGAACTTATTCTTCTTCACCCATCAAAGCCTGAAGAGCTGTGCATGCATTTCTCCATCCAACTTGCTTACAACTTACTTTGTACAGCATAATCAACCTTGATTGTGTAAACTGGATCAAAATGCATTGCCCAATACCCATCCCAGATCTTCTTTGTGATAGGGCCAATCTTACCATCCTTCACCGGCTCACCATCAAGGCTCGTGATAGGCATGATGCCTCCCGCCGTCGTACACATGAAAATCTCATCAGCCTTGTACACCATCTCCACAGGTACAACCTCCACGCGAACTTCAATCCCATTTTCGTTCGCAACATCAATAACACTCTTCCTCGTAATACCCTCCAAAACACCCCGGTCAGGAGTATAAACGACCCCATCCTTGATAATACAGACATTGAAGCCCGAACCTTCAGTCAAATGCGCATCTCCATCCGTAAGAAAAGGATAAGAAGCGCCCCTATCTTGTGCCTCAAACATGGCTCTCGTCAAATCTCCCCACTGCAAATTCTTGACCGTCGGATCGAAACTCCCAGGCGGAATCCTTCGCACAGTTCGCGCAATAATTGCGCTCCCGTTCCCGGCAAGTTGCATTTCAGGTTCCATAACCCAGATATAAGGCATGATGAACATATACAAATTCGGCACTATATCTTCTGGCTTCGACTCCCTGACGCCATTGAAACCACGCGTGACGATTAGCTCAACGAAAGCGTCTTTGATGCCGCTCTTAGCTACCATGTCGAGCAGGATTTTCTTGATTTCGTCTTTCGGGAGGGGGAGGTGCAGGCGGATCTTTGTGCAGCTGAGGGCTAGACGCTCGAGGTGGTCGTCTAGACGGAAGAAACGCCCGTCCCAGACGGAGGGCACGTCGTAGGTTAGGTCGCTGTGAAGGAAGCCTTGGTCCATGAGCGGGATGCGGGCTTCGTGGAGGGGGACGAGTTCCCCTGCTACCCAGGCGACGCCTTGGGCGAAGGGGTTGGCGCTTGCATCTATGATTGCTTTTCTCGCGTTGTAGTCTGCGAAGACCTTCTCCATGGTGGCCATCTCCAGTGTCTTGTGTCGTACGAGTTTGTCTGAGAGACGTGATAGCTTCGAGCATGGGAAGGAAGATGTTTCTTAAACTGGAATTATCTTTCAAGAGAATTGCTAATCGAAAAAGTCGCCGGTATATTTATATGAAGTTTATCTCGTGCGGGTCCGCCACCACCCAGCTAGCCAGGCTGGTCTATGATGGCCACCCCACCTTCAAATTCCTCGCCTTCCTAAAGTGGCAATTCCTTGATTTTGACCTGAATTGGCAACCGAGGTGGAATGCGTTGCCTGCAACAGCAAAGAAATAAACACACTTCGGATACAGCTTCCAGAAATCGCACTTGCTAAGGATATTCCAGCTCCAGCTCCTTTGTTCGATTTGACAAGCGAGACTTCGGAATTGGTTTCAAGGGCGAGCCGCTCGCTAATTTATCGCGAGATTCAGGGGTAGTAGCAGCCGCAATATCGCAAGGCTGTCCTTCACTTCTACCACGGCCGTTTGATTTATTTTCTCTAGGTACCAATAAATCCAAGAAAATATCTCGTTAGAACCGCAACCATTGTGAACGAAACTTGATATTCAAAAATAATTGAGCAACCAATTTGCGAAGTGACTCGACAATTAAATCGATGACTGTAAATACTGAAGAGTTTCCGGCGCATTTAAGCCACCCGTCTATGTTTCAAAATGCCACGAGACTGCCCTTCCCAACCGGGACCTCCCGCAAATCAGCATAGCTCATGTACCTCGGAAGTCTGATTTTAGCAGATAGAGAGTACCCACAGCATCCAGCGTCGCCTGAGCTACCGCTAGAGTCTTCAGGGTGTAATATCTCACAGTGACCGGGGCTTTCGAAAGGTCAGTTTGGCTATCCGACTGCACTTCAAGATAAATTGATATTGATACAACTGTGGGAAGAGTCCTAGAAGTTCGGGATAGGAATAGGGAAGAAGGATACTTGCTTTCGAACTGGACTGTGGCCTCTAGGCATCTTTGGGTTTGTGTTCGGCTTGGTCGGAAGTACCGTTGTGTTTCAACGGTACTTAGATTTAATAGCAACAAAGAAAAAGAGAAGCCGACGGATGGAAGATTCAGAAGGGGGGGTTGCTATACCTATTCCTTATATCTCGCGAGGCTGTGGAAGACGTGCTTGTGAGATCTTACGTCCGCGTAGCTCTATGGCTCAATCTGATTTGGGCACTGGCACGGAATTGCATAGCCCTGGGAATACTCGAAGGATTCATGTGTCATTGCCGAGATGCTGTAGGTTGTCTGACGTTCATCCATCGTAGCAGGGATATATGGATGCGGGAATCGCTAATGAATCTATTTACTGAGGAAAAGGAAATGAGAGAGAGATATGGATGATGCGTGAAGTTGCTGAAATTGGATACATGAGGTTAGCATGCTGCGCCGTATGCTGAGATAAGCATTCGACACTATTTCAGGGGCGGTTGCAGGGGTTGGTCGCTAAACAAATAGGCAGTCGATCGCTAAAGCCCCTGAAACCGACCCACGTCGCACATGACCGGATATTCTGGATTGCAAGTCTTGCCTCACCTGTACCAATTTGGTCTCCCTCACAATCGCCCAAGCATGCAAGTCACACATTCTAGCCATATGGCGGCGCTGTTAAAATTCAGCGTTATATTATAAAGAGTATTGGGATTCCGAAACGTGCTTTGCCGCAAGCCAGGCCCTACCAAGCTACATTGCATGAGTTCTCTTCGTTTTCTCTGCACTTTCTTTCGCCATTGCTCACCCCTCCTTCACCGCATAGAGTGATATTCACAGGGTCTTATTTATTATCATTCGGACACATGGTGCTCTTATCATGGTCATGATAGGTGCATCCCTTCACGAACCGTGGCTCCCCCATCGCCTTTCCCTCCATTCCCCTCAAGTAACGGAGAATCAACATAAGTAGAGCCGAATCGCTGTCCAGAAGTTTCCATATCTCTTTAGTAGGGTACAATGCCTCTAATTTGTTAGTGTCGGCAGAGAGGATTGCTTTGAGGAGTGAATGGCCTAGGTAGCGTTGCATAGCGCTGTGATTATTGACCCTGGGAAACACCGTTTTGACGGTTTCGAGGGAGTGCAGCATTCCTGTCGCGGTTTGTCCGGAGCGTAAAGCTTCCATGATGAGGTCTTGAAGCAGAGGCAGGTTGAGATGTTGGGCTAGGAGGTACGCTTCGAAGGGATCCCAATTCCAACCTCTGTGTTTGGTCACGTCTTTGTTGCGTTTCAGCGTGGGTAAAGTGCCTTCGTAGACCCAAGTGAGAAAGATGTTGAACGAGTCAGGTTGCTCCTGGGGAAAAGAGAGGGTTGGGAGCTCGTCCTGAGCTGCTTGAGAATCTTCGGTGTTATCCGAGGATGTCATAGGCTTTTTGAGGAGGTTAGCGAAGTAAGGAACCTGAGTGCACAGTCTGTCTTTGTGCACTCGGTAGAGTATTTGATCGGGGCCGACGATGATGTCGACCATCTCAGTGCCGTACTTCCTACAGATGGATGAGTATTCTTTTCCGGAACTGTTGACTATGGGAAGAACTTACGCATCAAAATGAGGAAGTGAAGAAGCTGTGGAGACGATGCTCTGGATGTCTGAAGCATCGGCCATGATTGCTGGTTCTGTAGACGAGAGATAATATTAAAGATTTTTGGAAGATCAAACTCTTAAAGATTGTGCTTAAGTGTATAACAAGAGGGGAGATGATACGGGTTATTCATTATTCGAGAAGCTTCGGTAATTGGTTTCTGGTTGTGTGAATATACGCTGTCATTGCTCGTGTACAGTTAGAAGTTCTAGGATCTGGTAGCATGTCCTGACTCATATGTACTCAATCCACATCCTCTCACTATCTCGTAAGTTAAACTCAATGGCCTATTCACAAGTAGCGGTATCCAATGAAATTGTGGATTTGCAAGAGTGTCATCACTGCGGGGTGGTTCTCCATCATTTCAAAAATCTGATAGCCACCCGACTTTGAAGTACATGACTCTCGAATTCGAAGTGGTCTGGTAGCAAAGATAGCGATTCGAACTGGGGTGAGTTCCCAGATGTGATATCGGGTACGAAATTGACTCGGCCACGGTAGAACGCTGCACATAAATCTGAAGAACCTGGCAGACGAGGCAGAGAACCCCAAATCTCTCCTCAACCGCCGCAAAGCCGCGATGCGAGATGAGTTTAAACACATTCTGGACAACGTTGGGGTGGCGTTAAAAGGCCTTCAGGAGATGGTGTTCAAGTATCGTAGCCTTGGAACGATGGAGAAGAGGACTTGGGATCGGCTACGTTTCGGGCTCAAGGAGCTGAATACAACAAGGCAGAAGCTGATGTTTCACACGGCTCAGATCGAGCTCTTCTTGAGTAACGTTATGGTGGATGCAATAGGGAGAATTGAAAGCGTTCTCGAAGACTTAATTCGAGAAATAAGAAGCGGAAGGGGGGCACCAGCGATTCTATCGATAGAGCAGAGTGGGGACGAGGCAGTAGTTGGCTGGACGCAACTCGCGAATGATTTGTCCGAATGTGGGATTCCACTTCCGGATATTGACAGACATCGCGATGATATAGAGGAGTATCTGGCGCAGCTTACAAGCGGCTTGGATCTTAACTCCATTGCTTCACCACCCGGGTTTGATACCGATGGTGATGCTCTCGGGCCTACGGTAGGGCCTGTACCAGAAGACAACTGGGACTCGATTTCTCAACGGATGGCTAGCGATAGAGATCCCCCTTTTCCGCAGGCAAATCTTCAGAAGTTGGGGGTTCCCCTACAATCGGCCACCACTGGAATCTACGTAAAAAATGGGTCTAGGCAATATTTTGGATATAGTGCTAGCTATACGGAGAGCGATTCTGGATTCCGAGCCATACGTCATATGATTCCGCATTCCTACCTTCTTAGTTCTTCTTTTTCACTGCATTATTTACTCATAACCACGTAGGAAGGAGGAACCTTTACTCGAGAGAGAGACGAGTCCCTTGTTGGAGATCTTGAGGCCAAGATCGCGGCATGTTAACAGAAGTGGGAAAATGATGCCGAAGAAAACGAGCGTCTCAGACAACAGCTCCAAAATGCAGCAACAGAGAACGAACTGCTCAAGGCCACATCCACGTATAACAGCGGAAAGAGATTGCTTGCTGCGGGGGCGACATGGAATTATATTATTCAGCATCCACTTTATATGCGAGGTCTAGTGGATGTAGGCGACGTATCTGAGAGGCTCAAGCTGGTTGCCCGTTGCCATGGAGAAGGGCCAGTATATGAAGAGCGTGATATTGTACTTGCTATTGAATGCAGTGCGTGCGCTAGTAGCGATGATTTAATATAATATTCGGTTCACTAAGGAATCGTAAAGTCGAGGATCTACTGTTTGTTCACCACGGACATACATCGTACCTTATAAGTGGCGAGAGAGGTGTATCGTGGTTTGAATTTTCTAGTGGATGAGTAGCTGGTTGAAAAATGGAATTTCGACTCTTGCGGATCAATGCTCTTACTCACAGACAGACGAGGTAACGAGACATGACGAACCAGTTTAAAGTATACTCAAAGATGGCCTCATGCACGTTACATTCCTTAGTTCGTTAAAAGGTGTCTGATTGATAACTTACCTGATTTGCTGACTTGTAAATTGACTGGTTCAATTACAAAGGGATTTTGACCGAGTTTGGGAAAAGTCCATACAACGCTAAATAACAGAAGGTGGAAACAGGGCTACAATGACAACTTCTCGTCCACTAGTCTCCTTCCACAAGCGGGTCCACGAAAGGGGGGCATGTTTCGGTCACGTGACCAAAATCGACCCCGAACAACAATCCCATAACTTCGCAAAACCGCTACCAATCCTCAGAAAGGAGACATCGCACAATCACCTCTTGCAATTTTCTTAGCTCTCCAATGTAACCCCTAAAAACTATATGCACATTGCACAGTCAGCGCGCCAATCAGCGTGCCCATCCCACATTCCACCAATGACGTATGGCGTACAAGGGTAGCTCCCCCCGAGACAACCGGCCGCTCTCTTATCAAGGAAGCAACGGCACACAACACCAACTGGAAACAACTTTCAAAAGAAAAGCGCTGAACTTTGCCCTCTTTCCTTTCCTTCCCTCTCATTCAATCTCCCCTCAATCGTGGTTTGCTGGTCAATTGATCTCTCGGTTGGTTCAGGACTCCTGGTTGTTCAAGCCGAGTCCATTGAAGCTGTCTCGGAGTGCGATAAGAGACGATTGAGAGGGGTTAGATTCCAAGGATAGCAGCCAAGATGTCGAAAATTGAGAATGCCCTCCCGAAACCGAAGATCGAGCTGTACAGCGGGAAGTACTTCGCCGCCTGTGCGGTGGGAGGAGTAATCGGTATTTCCTCTCCTTCCCCCTTCTCCCCTCCTTCCTCGTCGCAAACTGACCCCACCTCCCAGCCTGCGGTCCAACCCACACAGCAGTAACACCCCTGGACCTCGTAAAAACACGCCGACAAGTCGACTCCAAACTCTACAAATCGAACCTCTCGGCATGGTCCATGATCTACCGCTCGGAGGGGATCCGCGGGGTCTTCTTCGGCTGGTCACCCACCTTCGTCGGCTACTGCTTGCAGGGTGGAGGGAAATACGGGTTCTATGAAGTGTTTAAATACCTGTATGGGGAGAAAATGTTCCCGGGCGTGAGCAAACCGGTGATCTTCCTGGGGGCCAGCGCCAGTGCGGAGTTTCTGGCGGATATGGCGTTGTGTCCGTTTGAGGCTGTCAAGGTGCGGATGCAGACCACGCTGCCGCCGTTTGCGAACACGATGCGCGAGGGGATCTCGAAAATCGTGGCTAAGGAAGGATACGCCGGGTGAGTTGTTCTTCCCTTTCCCATGCCAGGTGCAGATGTTGGATTGGTGGGGGATGTGACTGATGTGAAGATAGATTGTATAAGGGATTGTATCCTCTCTGGGGCCGCCAAATCCCTTACACCATGTGCAAGTTCGCCACCTTCGAGACCACAGTCGACAAGATCTACGCCACGCTCGGCAAGCCCAAGTCCGCCTACAACGGGCTGCAGCAAACCGGCGTCTCCTTCCTCGGCGGCTACATCGCCGGAATCGCCTGCGCCGTCATCTCGCACCCCGCGGACGTCATGGTGTCCAAGCTCAACTCGGATCGGAAACCGGGGGAGGGCGCGGGCAAGGCGATGGGCAGGATTTATGGCAATATCGGGTTTGCGGGATTGTGGAATGGGCTGCCGGTTAGGATTTTGATGATTGGTACGTTGACGGCGTTTCAGTGGTTGATTTATGATAGTTTTAAGGTGGCGTTGGGACTACCTACTACGGGGGGCCATTAGAGGGGTTCCTTGGAAAGGGAGTGGAAGTGTGGATTTAATGATAGAGTTGTGCATAGACGGGTGATGAATTTCCTTGCTTCATTTTTGGCGATATTTCTCTTTTTGGTTTATTGTAGCCACTAAGAAATCTATTTTTCATTTTCCACGCTTGACATGTGGCTTTTGTTGCTTTGGATTCTTGGGATATCATTCATTGTTCAGGCTAGACCTTGTACAATGAGTTTGATAGCGAGGGGAGAGGTGCCAACAAAGAAAGACCAAATAATTATTTAAGGAAAAAGACAGAGTGTTAGAATATAAGGGACGTAGGATTTTATGTTCATGGAATAAGGGCAAGACTCGGAAATATGCAGACGAGGTAAGATGGCACGGTGATGCTGATGCAGGCCATCCACACCGTGGCATTGAACTGCTTATGTTCTGAGATGATGTTGGTTTGCAAGGTCGGGAAGCAAAGGGGTTAATACACTAGCCCTGCCTCGAAGAAAGAAGAGGAAGAAAGATATAGCAAGCTCTTGCAACTCGCTGAGCTTGAAGATTGCATATCACGTGATGAAGCTACAGCGTGCGCTTTGGTGACCCGAACGCTTCAATACTCGACTTCGAGAAAGGTTTTCGCTACACTCCAGATGCAAGACGGGATGTAGCGCGACCATTGTTGCACAGAGCACAGTGCTGCATCTTCCCGGCCATGAGACATCGTCACATGATTACGCACGAAAGACTTAGGTCAAATCAGCACTTACACATCGGGTGTCACTTTCAATCCGTGCCGCCTTTGTAAGATTACCTACCTGATCCTCGAAAAAGGCCTACGGAGTACAATTCCTCGAGTCAGCGAGTCCATCCGTAAGACTCACCGCTCTCCCCTCGCTCCCTCACGAGCAAAATACCAACCACCCCTGCTTAGCCCAGATGATCTGATAAGATTTGGAATCCCCACCTAGGATTTCCATCCAATGATGAGCTCGCCCTGTTTCCGACGTCGGAAAGTCTCCCAAACTCTCGCTCCACTCACCACCCCCTGTTCACGCCCCTGAGCCCACTTCGGGCCTTTCAGATGATCTGATAAGATTTGAGTGCGCCGCTCAACCTTGGCTGACCCCACTTGCGCCATACCGGAAAGAGCTCGTAACAGCCGGACACGAAGCCATTGGATGACGGTGTCATCACTTCTGCATGTGTTGATGACATGCACGAGGAACTGGACGGGAAGCGAAAGAGGACAAAAGGCAAAAAAGGGCTTGTTGGCAGAGACGGGAAGAGCTGAGGACTGAGCCGGCAGCATTATGCGACCGTTCTGCGGGATGGGGGTTTGGCTGATGTGGTGCGATGTGGAGGGGCGGCGGCTTGATCTTTTTTGCATTTTCGGCAGCCGAGCAGGGCAGCAGGGCACTTTGCCGGCTGAGGATTCTGCCTCCGAGCACGGTAGTAGGAGAAGAGATGAGAACAGAGGACAGAAAACAGAAAACTCCCCCAGCTTTTAGATTCCGTCCCACGACTGCCGCTGCATAACATGAGCTGCGCGCAGTCATTTCACAAGCAAAGTTGTGCAGTTGAAATACTGTATGCTGTACGTTGTACTCGCAATCGTCTTGGCAGCCGCGTCTTTCCGTCGTGTCCCTCCGGAGATCTGTGGGCTGCAACCCCCAAAGCGGTGTTCCCCCCGATCAGTGCTGTTCCTCGGCACTGGCCGGTGTCGCTTTGCGCCCGCCAAAAAAGTTTATTAAGAACATCCCGGTCCGCCACCCACCCACCCACCATTTGCACTCTTCCATAATCACTGACCAACGATTACACCACCGACTGACCACCGACTGACCACCGACGGACCGCTTCCTGATCCTTCGACAGCGCACGACAGCAGTCGATAACAATCAATTCAATGCGATAACTACAATTGACCTCCTCGTCCGACCCCTCTGTCCTCGTACATGCTTCGACGATCAATCCTCCTCCCAACAATCATCATGTCGCGCCCTATGGCTATCCGCACAGCTACCACCTCGCACTGCATCCCCGAAGAACCCAATCCCTCCCCGCGATCTGCAGCACCCTCTCTCACCTACTCCTCCTCCTCCTCAGACGAACCCGAAGAGCCTCAACCGCCCCGAAAGCGACGCGCTTCCACCCGGCTGATCTCCCAAAATACCGCAGACGTCCAACGACTCATCGGCGAGCCGGGCACAAACCTGATTGAGAGATGCTGCGGAGGAGGCTGCTACATGGCCGTAACAAAGAATGACAAGCTTACCCTCGAGCGTGTCCCTCTGCCAGACAACGACGCGTACAGAGCTCTGCAATTGAATGTGGGGCTCATCCCGACGACATTGTCTAGCATCCCAGAGCTGCCTGCAAAGACCATATCCCTCCTCCCTATTAAAAACGACACACCTGTTCCTTCTTCTACAGATTCGGTCATCTCAGTCACCTCAAATTCCGACTCCATCGACTTCACCCCTCATCCTGCAACCGAGGCTCACGAAATCGATACGAAGATCCACCCTCCGAATTTCGTGCAGCCACATCCCCCCTACAATGTCTACTCGGCACGCATATTCTCTGCGCGCGAGCTGACAAAACCCGGTGCCGAGAAGAGAACCTACCACTTCGACCTCGATGTGACAGATTACCCAGAGGAGCTGGGCGTAGATTTCAAAGTTGGAGGAGCAATCGGAGTTTCCGCACCCAACGAAGCCTCAACCGTCGACTCCCTCCTCGACCTCCTTCTCATTCCCCGCTTCCAACGCGACCGCAAAGTCCTACTCAAGACAGAAGGTGGAAGGTGGCCAACAGTATGGGGCGACGAGCAACCCCGCGAACTCATCACAACGCGTCGAGAACTCTTAACATGGTGCAGCGACATCCAATCCTATCCCCCAACTAAGCCTCTCCTCCGCCTCCTCGCCGAGTACGCCACGAACCCAGACGAGAAGAAAGTCCTCCTCTACCTCTGCTCAGCCGAAGGACAGGGCGTATTCTGCGACTTCAGAACCGGACCACATGTTACCATCAACCAACTACTCACCGCGTTCCCCTCCTCCAAGCCTCCTCTCGATCACCTCTTAAGTCAGTTACAGCAACTCATGCCCCGCTTCTACTCCCTCTCCAACGACCCCCACGAGTCCTGCGTCCCCGCCGCCGGCTGCTCCCGCCTGATCGAAATCGCCGTCACCGTGCACGAGAGTCCAAACTGGACCGGGCCTGCACGCACCGGCGTGGGAAGCGGCTTCTTCGAGCGTCAAGCACAAGCATTCATCGCCGCGGAAGCTCGTGGAGAAACCCCCGATCTGCGTGTTCCCATGTTCAAGGGATTGATGGCAAACCCTCTTGCGCGCGAGTTCGTCTCCGATGGCCCGATGCTGTTGATCGGTGCCGGCGTCGGCGTTGCTCCGTTTCGCGGCTTCGTCCAACGCCGCCTCAAGAACGCGAATTGCGCGAACAAGGTCTGGGTTTTGCAAGGTGTGCGCGACTCCCTCCTCGATGAACTCTATTCCGGCGAATGGGGCGTCCACGAGAGTGAGGTGAAGAAAGTGGTGCAAAGCAGAGGAGGAAAGGGGGGAGAGGGGGGGAAGAAATACGTCCAAGACGAAGTCCGAGCGCAGGCGGATCTAGTGTGGTGGATCGTTAACAGTCTCGATGGCCGCGTCTTCGTCTGTGGCAGCAGCCAGGGGATGGGCGAGGGTGTCGAGAGCGCGCTCGTGGAGGTTGCGATGAAGAAGGGGAACCTCAGCAAGGACGAGGCGAGGGAGTTCTGGGCGCTGAAGAAGGAGGCGGGTCAGTACATCGCTGAGACGTGGTAGCGCGACACCCCGCCAGTTGCTCTAGCTCCCCTCTCGACGGTGTCCCGACCCTTGCTGGGAGAACGGCGGAGATGTTCTTGTTTATTGTCGATATCTTGTTCACTTGTACAAATTCCTTCTCCTTGGTCTTGCATTCGCATTGGACATGGCGTTTTTGGCGAAGGACGGGAGAAACACGGGCAATTGGTGCATTAGATCGGCGTCTATTTTTTCTTCCCTTTTCTTCTTTTTTTCTTGCTGGAATTTTCCTCATGCGTTTGCTGGGTGGAGAGAGAGCTGAGTTGTTTGGATATCAGAGGCAGGGAAAAAACAGAACATGCAGGATTGTTCATTTCAGGGTACCATTGTATGGCATAGCTAGATAGGAAGCAGAGCAATCAATACGTGCTTGGAAATCATATATCAATGCGTTTGGGAATCAGTGACATGCGCGCCTTTCGTGACATGGTTGGCGGGAATCGGCGGGTAAAGCGGGAATAAGCGGGACAGGGGTCTCGATGGCAGGGTGGGTGGGAGAGGGATGGTGGCGATGTGGGGCCTGAAGCCGGAAGGGAATGAAGGAGGATGGGCTGCGAGGTCTGGGATTTTGGGTTCTGAATTTGCGTATTGCGAGAATCTAGTTGAGTCGGGTTTTAGGCAGTGTGATGGAGTGTTGATGGGGGATCAATGGACATGAGGATCAAGGGGAGATATTCTTATTTGATCGGATTGGGGGAGTGGGGAACTTTGGGGGCGAGGAACGCGGGGTAAGGGTGTTGTGGCACTTTTGCGGAAGGGCATGTTTATTTGGATACCCTTTGAGACTTTGTGGCGCAGTGATAAATATATCGTTTGGTTTAACTGGTGTATTGCTTATTTCTACGAAGAGGTGTTGATTAATGAGAAAACAATGCTTGTTTGAATATAATACAAGAATTCTATTCTCTCTATTCTACACCTCTATTCTATAACTCTACTCTATTCCTCTGTTCTATAACTCTATTTTAAACTCGCTATGCTCCACCCCCAAGATTAAACACCAGCAATGCCCCTCTTCCCCCTTTAACCCCCCAAGAATCTAATCTAATCTAATCTAACCTATTGCATGCAATTACCCATCTCCCTCCTCACGCCCCGAAAACCTTAACCCTCTTCTCCAAGCTCTCGAAGTTCTTCGGGCCCGCCTCGCCCGTCGGCGCGCCAAATACGAGCGTGCTCGTCAGCTCCCAGTCCCGATCGATGCCCCAGGTGCTCGCGACCTTCTCGTCGATCAGCGGGTTGTAGTGCTGCAGGCTCGCGCCGAAGCCCTCGAGCTCGAGCGCCGTCCACACGGCGAACTGGTGCATGGCCGTCGACTCGGCGCCCCAGGTGGGGAAGCGGTCGGCGTAGATGGCGAACTTGTCCTGCATGCCGCGGACGACGGCGCGGTCGGTGTAGAAGAGGACCTGGCTTGTGTTAGCGATGCTTGTGAGGCTGGTGGGAAGAGAGATTGGGGGGAGGGCACGAACGGTTCCGTAGCCCGCTTTGAAGGAGCGCATTCTTTGCTCTGTCGCCGGGAACTGTTCCGCGGGCACAATTGCCCGTAGCACGTCCGTGGTGATGTCCCATAATTTCTCGTGCTCGCCTTTCAGCAGGAGCACGACGCGTGTGCTTTGGGAGTTGAACGCGGACGGGACGTGGAGGACTGTCTCGTTGATGATCTCCTGGATCTTGGAATCGGGGATCGGAGAGGTGTTGGTGATGGCGTAGTTGGTGCGGCGCGCCTTGATGGCTTCGAGGAAGGTGGTCGAGGACGGCATTTTGGTTGTGGATGACGTGGAGAATGAAGTGTGTGGTGTGGTGGTGAAGAACTGGTTGGTGAAGCGTGAGAGGGTCGAGGGCACAGAAGGGTTTATATATCTTCCCACTCGCAGGCCCGCTGTGGAAATGGATTGCCTCAGCAACAAGCTCGCCATATGGTGCCACGCCGCCGCAATCAAGATACACGCCAGGAACTGCCAGAGCGGAATTTGCATCTCGCACTATTTATCTCCTTCATCCGAGTCCCGACTCCACGGCGATGTTTTTTCCTCGAATTGGCGAATCAGGGGAAAAGGTAAGGAAAAAGGTTTGGCCATGGTGGGCGATGACGATTCATGTTAAAGGCAAGACAGCCCGTCTTTGTCTCCGTCCCGAGACTCAAGTGTGGCTTATGGTATCCTTGGATAAGCAGATTGTGTCGGTGCTTGGAAATCTGGGCCCGAGATGTGGAGCTCAGAGTCTCGGAGCGGAGGTTATGAGGATGTGGTTGAGGCTTGGTGATAGATTGGAAATAATTTGGAAATTTGTAAGGTGGAGTTTTGTCGGCATTTGGCCGCGGGATGATCGGGATGTCATGTGCTCCATACCCGGTCCGGGTTCATCTTCTTCTTATTTTGCTCCCGCTCACCTCGCCGAAGTGAAGTGACATTCGTTAAACGTCATTTCTGAAGTTCTCATGGGTGCGAGTTAGGTTCCAAGAACTGGGTAGCCAGTCATCTGCCCCTTGGTGTGGGTTAAGCATCTCACTGCATGTCATTCGGGGATTTTTGTCGGCCGCCACCTTGGCACGGACCCCGCCTTTCTGGCCCCCAACTACTCTATATATTTGGGCACCTTGCTCTTACTCGTCTTCTGTTTCTATGTCTTTATCTTCAGGTCCATTCCAGCGATTAACTGTTCTCTACGAAGCGCACAGGTACATATTCCGAAGCAGGAGGCTACGCCTGCGTTTGCTCTTCGAATCTTGGATGGACTTATCTCTCTAGGAAACTTCTCTGCCTCCCAGGAGATTCTCCATCCGCGCAAGTGCTTCCCAATTCATAGCACCTTGAACGTAACATCCTCCAGTATTCAAATGACTATCACTCATTTCCCTGAAGATAAAGGAACTTTGCTCCCGTAAGGAATGCACACCAAGTCGTGACTTGCTGCAAATCGAGGGATAAGGCAGAAGTGACCACGCCTCGCGATACCAATCCCGAATGAAGGAAGACAGGCAGCGTGGAACTGGCGAATTTCTTCCGTCTCGACCTGAGTTTCGTCTTCGAATAGCCTAAGCCATGATTTAGCAATGCTAGCCAGGGAAGCTGAATCAACTATCAGAGATTGGTTCCAAAGACCGCAACTTTTTGCTTGTATCGTTTCAATCCAATTCAGCAGCAACCTAAGAAATAGGTATATTAGTATAGGTCCGTCTTCATATTCTGTTAAATTCGTATTGAGGATAGAAGGGCAACAGTACCTATCAGCTTGTCCCTTGTATGCTTCTGAACGCTCTTGAGCTCGCTCCATCCATTCCAAAAAGAAGAAAGAATTGGCACCACTCGTGTTATACTTGTCGTACCAGCGACGAGGGGGTAAATAACTCGCAATTTTATCCACTTTATCCACAATGCAGCCTTGGAAAACCATGAAAAAGCGGTCTTCAACATGTGCCGATTCGCCCCGCCTGCCATTACAAGCCCGAAAGGTACTTCCCGTGGTATTGAGACGGCAAATTTGGTGTGTAGAATTCCAATTCGGCACCCATGAGGATAGATATTTCTCGGCCAACTTGTCAGGTCGTTGAAAGCCAGAATCCTCGACCATTTAGAGGAGAAGAAGCTGGCGCCAACAAAATCGTTGTTGAAATTGAGAGCTTTTGCGGTGTCTATGCAAGCTTGTTCATAAGTTCTACTGCAGTCAATTGCCATCCATTCGGCTCTTGGCTCAATGGATGGATGTTGGAAACGAGGTGTGTTCCAGGAATCCACTCCTTCAGGTGGAGAAATTCCATCCAGACACAGCATCGGGTCTTCGTGCCCTGTCGTATTGGAAGCTATTCTTGGTGCTGTGGCGTTTATGGTTGACATAGCTGCATACATCTTATCTCGTGGCTCTGTCGCGGTCAGATCCCGCAGAGTTTCTAAAACATGACCCGGAGAGACAGGTCATCCGTTCAAGTGATGCTCTGTTAAAAAAATCAGATGAAGAATAGTTTGTGCTCCAGGGTTGCGTAATTCGTTCCGTACGCCGCTCGAGGTGCAAACATCCAAACCAAGGCAGAGGTCATCCCACGCAACTTCAAACCACCCACAGCGGAGTAACAGAGCCTGTGCGAACACGATATCCTCCACTGCCCAAGCCCTGACAATAGTCAGAATGATACCATAGGTCAAGGGCTTTCAAGCATGAGAACCAGCCTTGTAAACATATGCCGTCCCGTAATGTCTTCTAAAGCCTTCCACTCTGTAGGTGGAGAAAGAGATACGATCTCTCGATATTTTTCGCGTGCAGTCTGCAGGGCTCGGGGACCTATCTCAGACAGTGGCACATCTTGTAAAACTCCTCTTCGAGCCGATACGAGCTTTGAGACCACTTCAAACGCCGCTGAAGTATGGACGCTCGCCAGTCCCACCCAGAGAATTGTGCGAACAGCCTTCCCCAGGATGTGTGTCGTTTGACCCATAATTTTCCCCTTCTCCGAGTTATCTTCCTGGTTGATATATAGCGTACTAATCCAGAGGGGTGTTGAAAGGCTCTGGTTCTCACGCAGAGCCAGAAGAGCAGAATTCACAGTTTGTAGTACTTGTATTTCATGCCCGTTACATTTGACTATGCGCCTCTCCTCTGGGTTGCCCCATGTGTAGGTCAACAGTCGATAGTCCGGACACCGTGATAAATTTGTAGTACTCAAACCAATCTCAATCTGCTCCTCGTTGCCTCCAGCTGGGAAGATATCGACGAGTCTGATTTCGTTTTCTCTCAAAGCATTGTACACGAAGGGTGCCATTGCGATCCTATGGGGTCCAATTAATGAGAAGAAGGCCTTTGTCTGAAACAGAAGTTGACATGCTCAGAAATTCCACGGTTGGCAAAATAAGTCCTAATTTGCTGGTCTTCTATCCCTGTTGCAAAGTTCTGGTGCAGTTGGAGAAGAATGCCTCGGAGTGGCGGTGTATGCAGGTGAGTGCTCCGCCACAACGTGTGAGAACAGCCGTAGCTGCAATCCACCTTGATAGGCGAAGGATATGCCTGGGGTAGAATTGCATATATTCCATTGGCCTTGCGTTTTCTTTTTCTAGCTTCACATTTCAGCTCACTTTAATGAATTTCCCCGACAATCTCAAACTTGAACAATTCTACTGAACATCTCCGCCACCAACTACAAGACGGTTGAACAGGCCACGCCTACACGTTCTTTCATTTTGTTCGAAACCTTTTCAGAACCCGTCGGGTCCTTCTCGCGCGTTTCATCACTTCACACCGTACATGCAGGTCATCCCGTGTGTGGTCAGCCTCAACATCATCACTGCCATCCCTTGAAAGCATGATGGACCCACTCACCGCGCTTGCGTTGGCAAGCAACATTGTCCAATTTGTCGACTTTACAAGCAAACTCATCTCTACGACCCACAGCTTGTATGCATCTACTTCAGGTGCAAAGGCAGAGCATCTGGAGCTGGAACTACTCGCCAACACGCTCCGCAGCCTTGCCGACGATGCTGCCCCGCCATCTCAAAGAATCAAGAATGTTTCATCCGAAGAATCAACCTTCATAGAACTTGGTGATATGTGTCGTAGAGTATCAGATGAGCTCCTCACTGTCCTTCAAAGTCTCAGAGTTAAGGGTTCACACAGAGGCTGGACGAGTTTCATTCAAGCTTTGAGGAGTGAGTGGAAACAAAAAGAGATTTCTGCTTTGCAAGCAAGACTCGATCGGATTGGAGACATATTAAACGCCAAAATTCTTAAGAATCTACAGATCAAAGTCTACCTAGAACTCAAAGACCTCAACAAGCAAAATACACGACTACAAGCTGCCAGAGCACACGATATTGAGGTTCTTGCATCGGATATCCAGGCAAAGTTCGAGGAAATGGGACAGGAATTCGAGAAAATTCACGAACAAACCACGACAACGGAGTCATTAAAACAGCTGTCTCTAGCAGCAAAGCAAGGCCGTACATATTCAGCAGAGCAGCAAATTTTGGACCTGCTGCACTTTGAAGGCATGGAAAATCGACACGCCAATATTCGGCCTGCACACGACAAAACGTTCCCTTGGATCTTTGAAAGTTCGACTACACCCGGAAGCGGCCGTTCTGGTTCTGAATTCGTGGAGTGGATGGTGTCGGAAGACAATCTGTACTGGATCTCCGGCAAACCTGGATCTGGAAAGTCTACCTTGATGAAATATGTGTGGAACCACGACCTTACTCGAATGAATCTTCAAAAGTGGGCGGGCGGCTCTCAAATGGTGGTTTGCAAATTCTTCTTTTGGACCGCAAGCAGGGCAGAGCTGCCTAAATCGCAAGAAGGGCTAATACGTTCAATCCTGTATCAAATGCTACGACAATTTCCAGATTTAATACCACACGCGTTGCCTAGCGAGTGGCACGCTTACATATTACGCGATCTCGCGCCTTCGCGGCTTAGGAATGATGACTTGCAGTTGTCGGAACTGTTAGTTGCCTTCGAGAGAATATCGTCCCAGCTAGTTACAAAGAATATCAAATTCTGCTTCTTTATCGACGGATTAGATGAGTACTCAGGGAAGCCTAACGAGATCATCCCTCTCATCGAAGCTCTCGGCTCATCACCCAATATCAAAACCTGCGTTTCAAGCCGTCCCTGGAACGAGTTTGAAAAAGCTTACGGCCAGAGTAGATCACGGAAACTATATATGGAAGAGTTCAACAGACCCGACATAGAACGCTACGTTCGAGACACTCTAGAGAAAGACCCGACTTATCAAGAGTTACAAGAAATGGAAGACACAACTCCGGATCTCGTCAAAGACGTCGTTGATGCATCTAGTGGTGTGTTTCTTTGGGTGTATCTTGTTGTGCAATCTCTCCTCGACGGCCTCTCAAACGAAGACAGTATTGCCAACCTTCAGAGGAGAATTCGACAGCTTCCAAAGACCCTGAAGGAATTCTTCAGGTCAATATTTAACCACATAGACGAGTTTTACATGGAACAAACTGCCCACGTCTTCCTCGTAACACTCAGGGCAAACCAAACTTTGCCTCTCTTGAGCTACTGGTTCATTGAGCAAGAAGACGACTTCGCCATCAAATTAGAAGTGCAACCGTTGAGTATGCAGAAGACAAACTTCAGGCTCAAACAGATGCGGAAGAGACTCAACGCATGCTGCAAAGGGCTTCTCGAAGTTCAATTCGACGAAGCGAGCGATAATGAGAACGCGTCTCTCTCTTCCAGTGTACTTTTTCAATGGAAAGTGGACTTCCTACACCGTACCGTTCGAGATTTCCTGATAGAGAAAGAGATGCAAGACCTGTTGACTGGTTGGGCAAAGTCTGGATTCAGTGCGGATTTGATGATTTGCCAGGCACTTCTCGCTCAAATCAAGACCTCTCCTCAAGAAGCGGAGTATCTCCATCCAGACGGTCCTGTTGAGAAACTTCGCTCCATTTCCTGCTGCCATTTCCGCGGGATAGAACCAGCGGATGAACAAAATTGGACTAGGTCACTCACGCTTGTGGACGCTCTGAAAGAGACAATGCAACGTATAAGAGCCGCAGCAGGGCTTTCAGGGGAGACCCCCGCAATGAAGTTCTTGACGACGTGCCCGCAAGAGAAGAGCCCCTAAGATAACTCAGATAATATATTTCGCTCTTATATAATACATCGAGGCGTCTTACTCCGGTTCAAGAATCACTAAAGGTATACTTGGAGAGAACCCAAATATTGCTTAGCACAAATCATTGCCAAAAATTTACGTTCTCGGAAGCCGAAGGGAGCGGAATCTGGAAACATGCCAAACCGGCATATCACTGGAGTGATGTTGGCGGGGTCACCCCTATTTTAGCGAGCTTCGGAATGATGACCCCGCGCTGGGTACCCCACATTTCCAAGGCGACACCTTATCCATTTCCCCAACATCTAAAACTTCCCCACAGCTTAGAGCAGAAGTCCCTGAAACATATATATTCGCTAGTATTCCTACCGTGGGGCAGAATCTTGATGTGGGGCTCACATATCAGCTTTTGCCTGAAGAAGGCTTCTTGCACATTTTTTGACATCCTAACCCTCAAGCATCTCATTCACAAAACCCGATTGGGCGGCTCCTGTATTCCCTGCAGGGAACCCCCCAAAACGATATATTAACACCTGTCCCCTCGGAAACCGTCTCTCATCCTTGAACGCAACTATGGATCCCGCCGAATTTGGTATCTCAACCCTTCCTCTCCAGCATCGGTCATATGCAGCCATCTCTTCAGAAGCCTTAGCAAAGACGAATGTAGGAAAAGTAGCAGTCGTGACAGGAGTAGCTGGAGGTATAACTTTCCTCTTCCACCGACTCTCCAATCTCCCATTACTTCCCTGCTGCACCCAACACTAAATCCCTCACCCAGGAATCGGCGCAGCAATCGCGCTCTCCCTCGCCAAAACAGGGGCCACCCTCGCCCTCCTCGACCTCACCTCCTCAAGCCAAGATGCCACAAAAGCTGCTTGTGAGAAAGAAGGCATAAAAGCAGTGGCGTACAGCTGCAACGTTGCAGACCTAGAAACTACACGGACAGTTTTCGCGGAGATCGAGAAAGATCTGGGGGCTATTGAGTTAGTTCCCTTCTGCGGTGTTGGAAACTCCACGAGACAGTGTTGGGAATCTTTGCTGATAAGGGATGTGGAATAGCATATTGGTCAATAATGCTGGGATCTGCGAGATGCGGCCTTTTGCTATGAGCACAATCGAGAGTGTATGGAGGCAGGTAGAGGTCAATTTTAAAGGGGTATGCTATCACCTTAGCCCTATGTTAATATGGCATACGACTGAGATGAGCTAATGGGCAATACAGCCACTGATAACTTCGTCTCTCGTTCTCCCCGGAATGAGACAACGATGTCAGGGATGCATCATCAACATTGCATCTCGATCGGGAACAGTTGACGTCCCTATGTTTCTTGGGTATAATACGAGTAAGGCGGCTGTGATACGTATGACGCAGACGCTGCAAAGAGAAATGGAGGTCGATGAATTGGATGATGCGATTCAGATCTATGCCTTGCACCCAGGGGGTGTGTTGACTGCTATGGGTGGGGGTAAGTCGAGTTTTGAGATTTCTCCAAAAACGAATCAATTGTTGTGGCTCGTGGAGACCTTGCTAATGAAAAGTATTTTGTAGCCGAAACAGCACCCGATGTAAAAGAGAAATACGGAATAGTGAAAGACGAAGCGTTCTACAAAGATCTCTTCAAAGACGGCCCCGAATTATGTGGCCAAACCTGCGCTTTCCTCGCCTCCGGCCGAGGAAAGGAGTTGCGAGGGTTGTATCTCGATTGCCGGCAAGACATCACGAAGCTCCTTACTGCAGGAAGAGAGTTTCTGAGAAAGAAGCAACTGAATACACTCAGCGTAAATTTCTTGGACGGTTATTGTAACGAGCCTTAGATAGGAGAAAGTAGGATATTTCTAAGACGGTGTCTCAAAACCAATAAACCCACCAACAAACAAAGCAGAGAGACCAACCAACGCAGCCAACTGCTCACCGTCCAACCCCTCCAGACTCTTCCACGCATCCCCTCTATTCCACTTCTTGAGCACTGTTTCAACACTCTCGTCCACCACCTCCCCAGGTCCAAATCTCCTCACCAACCCACTCTTTCCCCATCCCTCTTCTCCATGCGCAAATCTTACCCACGCATCTTGCATCGCTCTCTGCATCTTAATCTCCCCTTCTGGATCCGTAGTACCGGAGAAGATCTCCGGGTTCCCATGGAGGTAAGCTAGATCAAGACTATGTGCGGCTTTTCCTTGATAGATACCACCAAATGGTTGCTTCTGCTCAAAGATGTACTGCTGTACTTCATTCCCCTGCTTCCTCCACTGCAAAGCGTGATCATATGCTGGCTTGCAGAACATGATGTCCGCTACCAACTTCAGGATTTTGTCAAGCATCTCGCCTTTCTCCGTTTGCTCGGAGATAGAGTAAGCGGTGAGGATTGAGTTGAGGGTTGGTGCACCCAGGATTGAGGTCAGGGTGGCGACGAGTGTGGAGAGTGTTGGTGGGGGAGTCTGGCGTGGATAGAAAGCGCACACGCTTTCGAGGACGCAGTCTTCGGCTCCTGTGTTGCCTATCATGACCGGACCTTTGAACGAGCTTTCTCTCCAATCTTCTGTGAAGAAATAGCCGTCGACGAGGAAGCTTGGACGGAGTCCAGCAGCGCTATCAGTTTTCGTGTATGCATCGAGGAGGTCGGTATAGGGGACGGCTTGGAGTTCAGAGAGGGCGCTCATGCTGAGGTGTTGTTTGAGGCCGGTATAGAGGGCGTCGTGTTCGGTGAGGGACTTGGGAGTCGAGATGGAGGTGTTGGACTGTCCTGATTGGGTGATTGCTCGCGCGATTGGGAGAGGAAGGGAAGTGCGGAGGAGGAGGTCAACTAACGCAGATCCATGGGACTCGCCGTAGATTGTCATGTTGTGGGAAGAGCCGCCGAAGGGACCAATGTTGCGGTGGACCCAATTAATTGCTAGGTGCTTGAGGGGATGTCAGTGGTGGTCTAGGTTTGGCAAAGGATTGTCATTACAGTGTCACGCAGACCTATTTGAATGGTTAGCGAGCTTCCCTGCTTGGATTTGGGTGCCAGATTTGAGAGGAGAGATACCTTGATTCCCATTGTTTTCTTTGCCGTATTCTTTCCCCAGCTCGTCGGAACCAATGTACCCCAGGATAGAAAGTCGGTAACTGTTTAACTAGTCAGCTCATCTGGCGGACGGGTTCAAAAGAGAGATATACTTGATAGCAATCGCAATGACGGGCCTCCCAATCTCCATGCTCCGCTTCACGATGCTTCCTCCATCACACCACCAATCGCCATTCGAGCCCGAGAATCCACCACCACCATGTATATAAATCAAAACTGGAAGGTTGGAACTCTCGTTGGCTCCTGCAGGAGCAGTGATGTTCAAGTTCAAGCAGTTGAACTCGTCGAAGATATCTTCAGAGTGGGTGGCAATTCCGGGTGGGAGCGCAATGAGTCCATCTTCGACTCGGAGAGGGAACTGCGGCTGTGGACATTTGGGTCTGTTGAAGTTAGATAAGTCTTGCACTTAAGAAAGGACATACCCATATGTGGTTGCATCATATACAGAGGGTAAGAATGCCTCATTCAAAGTCGATTGCTGGAATCGGGCCGATACATTTCCATATTTGATACCTCGAAATTGCCACACCTGTTGCTCGGGGGATGATATCGAGTGTCGGAGGCCTTTGAAAGAAGTCGACAACTTTGGATGATCGATGATCGGGTAGAGAACTTCTGAGACTGAGGCCATGTCTACTGCTTGCTGCGATAAATTGGCTAATGGGAGAACAGATGAATGTGCAAGGAGAATTTCAAGTTTTCTGAATCCCATACAATAATTGCTGAACTTCAGAATATTTATAGGTCCCGAGCTTACGTGAGAGCAAGAGGCGTTTTGTTTGTGTCGCGTGGCCATCGTGAAGGAACTAAATGCGCGGCCGAAAGTGTCTTGAGGTGGCGGGGAACAGCCAACCAGGTCTCCCAGCTCAAAGCGAGACAACGAGACAGAAATTGAATAAAATAAGCTCCCAAGCAACGCGCAATTATAAAGAAGGTTAGACAATGCAGATGTAAGACTCAGAGTTGTTTTCACTATGATTCGTTGAGAATGCGGTGGAAGTCTCGGCCTGGCGAGAAGAATCCGTGGTGGACAACTCTAGTCATATGGCTTGGACCATTCCAGGTAAGTTTATAACTTGAAATGATACCACTTTATTAGAAGCGAAAAGAGTTGGAACATTTTTTAGGGGGCAAGGGTTTCACCCTGACAAATCAAACACTACACCAAAGAGAAAATAATGAAGGACGAAAAATAGTTTCTCCAATTGAAAGGTTTAGTGATCAGCCTATGGAACGGATTCTGGCGATTCGCAAGCGATTCTCACGCTGGTGAGGATGGCGAGCCTGCCTCCACTGGATGGTCGTGTAGAAAGTGCCCAAAGCTGTCAACTCATATGGGACTTGCTTGAAAGACACAAAAGAAATAAGGCCAGGCCGGATTGCCTGGCCGGTGACAGGGCTACCGTTCAAGAACAGCACACCCACTTGGTGCAATGCGGGCTGGCAACTTCAACAAATGAGGGCTCCCTACAATGAACAAGGCAGAATCGTGGGCATTCCGCCAGCCTCACTTGATGCTGCACGGGGAGCCTTCCCCAATCTCACGACTCATTCTCTTGATAACACTCCCATTTGAGGTCAGGAACTTTCTGGTGATTCAGCAGAGCGTTGCTTACTTCTCAAGCTGACGAGTGAGGCAAGAGCGATGGGACGAAAGCTCTATGGCGACCTCAACTAACGCTAGCCAAGACCCCTGGGAGCTCGCGAAGGCGCGCTTTCTCGAAGACCTTGAACCTCAAGAGAAAGAACTCTTCATCAATGCCACACTCGAGAACATATACTATTCGACGAGCAACATCAATCGAGAGGATGGGGAGAAGAGCAAGACACGCGGGGTGGTCAGGAAGCTGGGCCCGCTGGTCTCAGCAATCGAGAGCTATGGAGGTGTTGGGGATGCCCTTGCGCAGATCTCCCCTCAGTACCTATCCCCGATCTGGGGATCTATACGGATTGTCCTGGTGGCGGCGAGCTCATACACCAAGTTCTATGAAAAGATAGTGGATACGCTGGGGAGGATAGGTGACATTCTGCCCAGATTTCGTGAGTTGAAGCCGTGCTACGGTTATTGCTCAATAATGACAGTTTCCAGGCGACTACGAACGGATTTACAACAGACAAAAGCATAAGCGACTGTATCAAGCATTGTCGAATACTTATCTTGATATTGTCACCCTCTGCCACGAATTCAGGAAGTCGATCCGCGAGCAAAATAATTCGAAAGTTCGGAGAATATTGAGACCATTGGCGTTCGACAAACAATCTGATGAAGCAATTGACAGGTTCCGCCAACACAGGCAGAATGTTGTGGAGGAGGCAGAGACCTGCCATTTAATTGAAGCGGCGGAACAACGCGAGGCCCAGCTGGTGCTTTTTGCTGAGGAGAGGCGCCGAAAACTGCTGGCAAGGCTGTCGAAGGTCAACTGGAAGCACAGACATCGTAAACTGAAGGAGTCTCGACATGAAGGAACCGGCGTGTGGTTTACTTCCTGTTCTGAATACGAGGACTGGCAGGCAACATCGGAGTCATCTGTCTTGTGCTGCTATGGTATTCGTAAGTCCGCACTTCACCGCCGATCATCGGAATGTGTTTTCTCCTCACTGACGAAGTATAGCCGGGTGTGGAAAATCTGTTCTCGTATCGAGTGTGATCGATTCCTTCGATGCCAACGGCACTTTAGTCTTCTATTACTGCGACTACGCAGACAAACGGACGCTCGAGCCGAGCAATGTCTTCGCAACCATGGCACGGCAAGCACTGGAGAAAGTCGAAATCCTCCCGGAAACTCTCGCCTCGGAAATTGAGCAAGCTGACCATGACGGCGAGAGATTGACGAATCCTTCCCAATCTCTCATTCTACTGCAGAAGTCCCTCGAGCTTGTTCCAGGCCCGGTATTTCTGGTTCTTGACGGCCTGGACGAAGCAACAGAATCCTCTCAGACCCTCATGTGTAGCAAATTGAAGCACCTGATCGAAAAATACGGATTTTCTGTCAAGCTGCTCATTACCGCCCGAGAAGAGCTTGGGCCACTGTTCATGCTTGATCCAAGTATTCCCTTCTCTCGCGTTCCAATCTCGCCGAACGCTATATCTTTGGACATTGAGAATTACGTGAGAGCATCAACTCGACGGCGTATATCAGATGGGTCGTTGGTCATTAGCGATTCTGATCTCGAACAGTTGATTGTAAGCGAACTTGTGAACGGAGCCAAGGGGATGTGAGTATTTACTGTCTCCTTGGTAATCCACTGCTGACAATCCTTTTAGGTTCCTCTGGGTCGAGTTCCAGCTTCACGATCTCTGTGAACCCGAGTCAGACCACGGTATTCGACTTGTCCTACAGAACCTTCCGCGCAGTTTGAGTGAAACATATAACCGGCTACTGAATAGAATCGAGGGCGTCGAGAGAAAAGATATGATCCAAAGGATGTTCAAATGGATTGTGTGTGCACGCGAACCGATACACCTGGAAGAATTGCGAGAAGCTATTGCATTCACGTTGGAAGATCTTGCATACGACTCTGGAAAGCTTCCCACAGACTTGAATCGCCTTATTCGTGCTTGCGGTAATCTTGTGGTAGTTGATGAGGAGACACAAATCATCCAACTCGCACATCACACTGTGCAACAATACCTGTTACAACAAGATGGCAGTCCTTTCCAATTCACAATCAAGGATGCCAATGTAATGGCTGGCGAATTCTGCGTGGCATATCTGAGCTTCGCTAATTTTGAGAGCCAAGTTACAAGATACGCGGAAAATAAGAATACGGACATGTTAGCTTTGGGGAAAATCGCATCTCGTGGGCCAATGCTTCGTTATGATCACCCAGGTCAGAAAGTTGTTCGTATTCTGAATAGCTTACGAACCCCTCGGTCAAATGGTCTCGAGCTCGACATGACACTTTATGTGCCGCCACAGAAAACAGCATGGCAGCCCGCCAACTTCACTTTCCTTTCCTACGTTGTGTCTCATTGGCTGTGGCACACCATTTTCTTCTATAGCGATGACGAGGGCAATGATAGTCAGGAGACCCGTCGGGATAGGCTCTTCAAGAACCTGATCTTGAGGAAGCAATTGCTTATCGACTTTCGACCTTGGGGAAACTTCAAACGTGATGCCCGTGAATCAAGCTCTATTTCACTTGTCGGCTGGGCATTGATGGCTAATCACCGGTACTTAATCCAAATGGCGTCTTCTGATATTGCACTGCCATCTCCCAAGAATGCATGGGATGCCACATGTACCAGGTATTTTTGGGAGACAGAGACAGCTCTTTGGCCGATATATGGGCCTCCAACCCCGTCTGGAGTACCAAGTCCCTACCATCTGAATATCATGGATCTGGATTATGATCCGTCCTACACCTCGGACTCTCCAAACCTTATTTGGTTATTTTCGAGGCTCTCATGGGCTTGCAAGAGAGGCCATCTCGATGCCATCAAAGAATTCAATGTTGAGAATTTCAGGAATATAAAAGCTGTAGATTTCAAGCTGGACCACGATTGCATGATTGAGTACCTCCTTGTAGCAGCTGCAGCTAGCGGGGAGCTTCAAGTGGTGAAGTATCTGTCGGGCCAAGTCTCTACTTACAGAGCGTTTTCGGTGGTATCCGATCTGACCAAAGGCTCCGCCCTCGCCGCCATTGAGCATGCTGCAATATCTGGATATATTCATGTCGTTTCGTACCTTGCGGACCAAGACCGTCGCCCGGTAAACATTTTTAATTTGGGACTTTTCCAGAAATTCTTTGACGAAGCAATCCGCGAGAACAACAGTCGAACAGTGGAGAGCCTCCTGAGTCTTCGAAGCCTCGGGGTCGACAGGAATATTGGGCATTCTAGCTTCCACATAAGCAACCAACATCTGTCAAATATTTTAGTCGAGGTAATTCAGGATGGACATGAAGACGTTGTGAGGTTGATGCTGAAGCATGGCGTTGACCCTGATAGACCTCATGTAGCCGGGTCTACCCCACTCATTGAGGCAATCCGCCACTCCCGAGACTCTATTGTTTCAATGCTCCTGGAGTACGCTTGCTCGCTAGGTAATACATCTGTTGGGATGCCACTGACCGTGGCTGCTTGTGTTGGAAACTTGTCCGCTGTTCGCGAACTTATATTGCACGGCGCGGAGGTGTTTGGGGAACCTTCTGAGTCCGAGAATTTGATTGCGATGGCATATACCGACAATTTATTTACTAGCCCTGGTGGGAGCGGCCACCAGGCGAGCCGGGACAGAGTACATCTCAGCCCCACGCCTCTCTACATGGCGTGCTACCATGGTAATCTCGATATCGTTCAGCTACTTCTTCATTATGGCGCAGCAAGTAATTTCCCCAGTCCTGCAACCATAATCAGAATGACACAGCGGGTAGCCTCCTCGGCCATACTTGATTGTTACTTTAACGAGATCTTATTGGATTCTTTTTCCAACCGAGAATTACTGCTTTCCAACCGAAAATCAGTCGTCGTTGGTGCTGCGAACTGGGGACTTCCTATCACAATTGCAATGGCTAGGGGCAACGAGGATATTGTCAGCATTCTTCTTTCATCTGGAGCGCTATGGCCGGAAGAGTTCGACTGTCTATATGGCTCATGTTTTGGTTCTCTAGATTCCCAACTGGAAAACCTTGCAAACCATGTGATCTACTCACTCGTCACAGGATCCCTGCTGCCCAAAAATGATACCACGGAGACATATAGGACGGAGAAGACTGGAAATATCCGGGCGCGTATGATGGAGATGGGAATGCCGACAGTCACAGCGAATCGTATTCATTCACCTGCTGAGCTACGAAACGCCACCGCTATCACTACAGCGTCCGAAAAACAATTTCTCAAATTACAACAAGAGTCTAATCGGCGTCGGATACAGGAACTCAAATATGTGGCCCGCAACTCCAACCTAACTGGTCTTGATCTTAAGGCGGCCGGTTTAGTTGAAGCCGCACGAAACTATCCAAAGGACCGAGAAGATCTACTCATCGAAGCGCTCGTCCACGGTGGGGCAAGTCTCACCACTCGTGATGAGAATGGTGTATGTGTGCCCCATACCGACCTCGTTGCTGCTGCGAAATGCGGAAATATTACCCTGCGCCATGCTCTCTTGGAGCTTGGAGTTGCAGCAGCGGTCTCATTCGTCAACGGGACCCCAAATGGCAGAAATCCATGTGGTCACGAAGAATTGGAGCGCAGGTACTCGTCATTAGAGCGAATAGTCAGATCGACTGCTCTTAGAATATATCCTTACCCAAAAACCATCGACAGAATCCGCAGTTATTGTGAGATCCTTACGTTTGGTGTTTATAACAACGATATGAGTTTCATCCACCGGTTGTACGAAAATCTGATGTTTCCCTCACCAAATTTCCCTCGGTGGGCCGAGTTGTCTGCTGTTGTAGACCATGGAGAGTCTAAATTGGTGGAGCTGCTTTGTAAGCTTGGAGGAAACGTCCATTCGAGAGACTACAACGGGGCAACCCCATTGATGTTTGCCGTTGAGCGAGGGGTGAAAGATGTCGTTGAAGTTCTTCTAGATCTTGGAGCTAATCCAACGGATGTCGACAATGCTGGAGAAAATGCCCTGTATAAAGCCGCTATCAGTAACGAACGAGACGCCATCACCAGTTTGATACGAGCCAACTATGCCTTTACCGACAGGAAACTGGATGCTGAGCTATTTCTTTGTGCCCTAGACACAGCACTGGCGCGTTGTGTCTCGAATGGTAAGCCCGACACTTGGCGAAACCTTACAAGGGCGTCCCGGGATAGGGATCCTATCTTCTCTGAAGCGGTTGCACCACTCTATTGCCAAGCTCGTGCAATTCATCTTCTTCGCAGACCTTGCCACCACGTTCAAGGGCTGTTCGAGCTTTTTGCTGTTCAAGACGAGGATAAAGTTCAATTCCAAACGGTTTCTCTGGTCGAGGATGCGGAAGAGACAAAGAGATCGAGGGGGCTTTCCGAAGCTGCTGCCGCCGTACTTGAAGCGGGCGCTCGTGGAGATGCATTGTTGGGATTAACCTACGAGTTCTGAACTCCTTGAGATTCCTTTGTATGTTTAAATTCTCTGGATAATTTCCAGGTCAAGGAACACTGAAATTCCATTTAGCTTCTATCCAACTCTAGAGCTTTGCCTCCGTTATCGTCACACAATACAGCTGTACTTGCTGTATTATGACACTTCGATAACGTGCGAATCGGAATTAATTATCACATCTCTCAAATGATTTCTTTTCTATCAACTCTTTTGTATCTTTCTGCTTGACATCAGATTTTTAATTTGATTTGTATTTAAAGCCGCCCTCTCTCCTTCCTACTTTCCAACGACTTCATCAAGTCCTTGGAGCAGTTCCTTCATATATTTCCACCCACTAAACTCGGCATCTGATACCTCGATCTCAACGCTTTCCAGATCGGGAAAACCCAAGTCAAAGTCAAAGTTTCAAACTCGTGGTCCAGTCCTTCCAATTGCCAATACGTGGCCGGCACCCTCAAAGCTTTCGCCTTCTCAGTCGACTTATCGCTATCCTCGAAAGGCACAGCTGTCTGCTAGCCCGTGAACAACGAACAACGGCGGCATCCCCGGCGTCAAATTTTCAAAATCTACAACGGAAATGTGTCGTGTATTCGTTGGGACATTTTCGTCCATGACTTTCTCATATGAAACAGGGGCGACCGATTGAATAGACGCCAGCTTCTTTCCAAGGCCACTAATGCCACTGAAGTAATCGGCGTAAACCGGTGCCTTCACAATATAGCATATCAAAGTCCAACGAGTATAATACACCATCTCCGCTTCACCGTTCGCAAACTCCTCACCGAAACTGATTTCCTTCGACGCTATTCTTCTTTCCAAGTCCTCACGGCCCGTTTCGGCATCTTCTTCGGATAAAACACCGAAATCGGGCATGGGGTATACTGCAACTATTGCCAATGGCCTTTTCAGATCTGGAGATTTCATGACTTCGAGCGTAGCGAGGATTGAACAGTAACCCCCTCCACTGTGTCATGCTACGATAATGCTTGAAGGGTCGACTAGGCCGGGCTTGCTCGGGGGGCGGAGAGATCGTTGGTAACGTACCGATAGGTACACAGGAGATCTTCCGGGAGGCAGCGGCAGTTTGCTGAGATGAGGGTCCATTTTCGTCGGAGAGCTGCTTGGATGAGCCAATTTGGGATGGCGTTGGAATCACCGGAAATCTGATAGGTATTAATAACTGTTTTTCTCGTTGATGATTGCCGTTTTAAGCTTATGCACTTCTTTCGTCCTTATTAAATATAGTAAAACGAAGGGGTTACCTGTTTTCATGGTATATCTGAGAGATCGACTCACCGTGAGTCATCATCTTTGTAACGTCCTACTCAGTACAAGCGCCACCACCGCTTGCTGTGGGAAAGCTGCACGTATTAATAGCACGAGAATAGACCTTAGACATCACTGTTGACTCCTTGTCCCGGTCATCTCTATCCTCCTGGATAATACGAAGAGCATTGAGTCGGAGTAAGGAAATTCCCAACGACCGTGTTACAACGACCGCCTCTCTCAAAGTCTTCGGTAGTGGGGCAAAGTTAATACCTTCTCGGTGCCTTTGGAAAGTCTCCGGTGTTATCTTGCCACTTTCCGGCATAGTGTTTCCCCAACAGTAACCCAACACAACATATCCTCCATTGGAGGGTCTCAGGTCACGGCCATTAACTGGGCGAGTTGCAGATTTTCGTAAATGCAGGGGTCAAGTAGTGAGGGAAGGCCCCCCCCCCTTGAGTAATACAGCTCTTGTGATCCTTCAAGTATTTTTAGAATCAGAACCGCCATATCTTCGCCTCGTTTCTATGAAGGGTTAGGGTTGATTGACCCTTCTCCAAAGCTAGTACTAGCTGAGCGTGGGAGGATCGAACCTCTGAACGCGGTACACTCGCTGGCTTTTATACTCGACAGGTATTTTGATGGCTCGTTCAAGTGTTTAAGCTGACAATTATTGAATGTATCATTGAGCAGGTAAAGAATGGACCAGATTTCGACCTAAAGGATAGGACACATGGCTATTTCGGCAGTTGAACATAACCTTTTTCTTCTTCATCACAAAAGCGGTTAGTACGTTTGCCACTTCTACTCAGGCTCTAATCACCCTCGGCTCACCCTCTCCTCACTCAGTTCACCTGAGCTGCCTGAGCAACCTGAGCAGTCTCTAGGCAGGATTAGATAGAGCTAGAACGGGTTCCCCGGGATCAGTAAGAGCTCCCTATTACCAGAATAGCTCAACACCCCACTTCCCCTAAAACTAGAACTTGGTCTTTTCAATGCATCATTCGGCTGTCATAAACCTTTATCTTTCAAACCCCTTCGCCACCCTCTTTTCTCTGTTCATCTTCTTCTAAGAAATCCAACTTGAACTCGAGCGAATAGTGCCAATCAAATTCCGATGGCCTAAAATAAAGTCATTTCGCTTTCCTTCACATCAGCAAACCATCCTTTTCTAGAAACTCTGCCTGTTCCAACTCTATAGTACGTGTTTTGCGGATGTCCTGTAATGTGACGCAGGAGCAGGACATGGACCAGCGAATAGGTTTTGTCTCCTTGGAAGTGAATCTGAGATTCTGGTGGAATTTCGTGAATAGAGACCATTGCTAGAAGACAATAAACGGTATCATCAACCATTTGTCGTTCAGGTTCGTCGAGTTTTCCGTCCCCAATAACAGTACGTTTACTATCATCACTACCATATAACTGTATGCCACTTTCATGCACAAAAAACCCCACAGCTGGTTTGATCTTTCCTCTCAACGTTAAAGTCCCGCTTGTGACCTTTCCATAAGGACTGGACCCTTCCACATCCACAGTGACAGAGAGAACCCGAATCGCCCATTGTGTTTCTATGGCAAACGTTTCCCTTTTGTCGTAGAAACTGACAACGCCATCAATTGAAGCCCATGAGAACGAAGGAGCTCGATAGAATGAAAGAGGGGTCGATTCGGGAGAGCGAGCAACAGTCCAAAGCAATTGGCAGGGAAGCCTTTCTTTCCACAACCCAGCGATATAGGACATTCCTGTTGCAGCTGCGTACGTCTTTGCGATACCAGACAAAGCCGGGAGCTTGTCTTCGGGCTTGGTTAAATCACAACGTGTATACAGCTCTACAACTCGCTCCCATACTTCCTCATCACCATCTTCGATGCTTGCTTTCAGCATTCTGAAACCTCCATTCGACCCCGGGTCTTTTGCGCCATAGAAATCGACATCGATTGCGCACTCGGATGTTCGTCCTTCGGCACAATCCCAGTAGAGCTGGTCTTGACCATAGTAAACCATTCTTTGGGATAGAATCCTCTCCTGGACTACCCAACCGCGTTTTGCAAGTGGTCCCCATTCTACTCCACACTGAAAGCCCATGGGCAGACTTCCAACTTTCACAACTCCATGAGACTGTCCATCTTTCATCCATCTCAAATCAACCGCCGGAAGACGCTCCCAGGGGGTCATATAACGTCTATAGTTTGGGAAACAACCGCCACTGCCGTTAATACTTGCAGCTGCAGCAATATTAACACAGCCATTGCTATAAATGCTAGCCATGTTCGCGATTTCTCGTTGGCAATCATCATTATCGTCTTGAATGATGCATAGGGAGTCGATCCAGAGATATTTGATTGTCAAGCTTCGTGCCACCGATACAGCGTCTTGGAACGTCTTACAAAGAGATTCCCAGGGCACGGTCCGTTTCAACTCTGAAATTGAAGCTCTGGAACATGTCTGCAAGGGTAAATTACCCCAGCAGTGGCTCAGGGTTGCGTAAACGCCATAAATACCGGCTCCTGATACGAGACGAACCAGATTATGGTTGTCACCTGCACTGACATCTAGTACTCGTGTTGGTAGACTAGAAGTTGAAACCTGTCCACATTGTTTATGAGAGGTAAGGCATGTTTGAAGCCATGATGATACACATGAGAAGTCATCAGGAGAAGCCACAAGCCTTCCAACAACTTTTTTTGATGCGAGGCTTCCTATTCAAGAATCAGTATATAAATTGTCGAATATTGTGATTTGATTCCCCGTTGACTTGGAATACAGATAGTGAAGCATTAAACGTATACTGCGCCATATAAGAGTGGTTGTGACAGTCTATTAAAAACAGCTCACCTTTATCGGCAAATAACCCATGCCATGCGGTTTTATTCATACACCTTACACCAAGACAAATTTGTTCTTTCTTCGCATAGCCAATCCTTCGGTCTGCGATTATCTCCACGGTATCGGATATTCTTGCGTCTCTCAAGATATCCGTATAGATAAGCCCATTCCAGAACAATTTGCAAAGACTACAGCATTTTGAGCTTTCCTCCAACTCGTCTAAAGAGTTCTTGTGTCTGATAGAAGTTCGTTGGACTGCAGCAAATCGATGTCCTTGGCGTCCTATACCAGGTGATCTGTCGTTATGATCTTCAAATAATTCTTGTATATTAATCAGCTCGCAGTCCTTGCATAGGGCCATAGTTGCTTAAGACGATCGATTTTCTGCTTCGGATTGCCGGTCCACTAATATTAGGAAGATAGAACTATCTGAGGATTGTAGAGTGCATTGAAGTGTTAACAAGGCGAGTAAAAAATAGGAAAAAGTGTGCAGATAGGGAGCAGATATACTGTGAAACAGAAATGAAACAACTATATCACGTGATAAAATTGAGCTCTACAAATTATCGAGGCTGAAATGCTGCATTAAAGCTTGTACCTAGTGAAAGTATGAGAAGGTTTGAAAAATTAGAAAGAGTAGCGTGTTAAATTTGAATTTAGAGACAGAAATAATACTGTAAAGGGGTTGGTAAGTCACGTGATAGCACCAACGTATCTGTCGTTTACAATTTCAATATACAATAAGGTTAGTACTACAATGAGTATTTGTTAAGTTTGGTTTGGTGCATCTTACGTAAGCCTTTGGGAATATCCTCTAAGGACACTTTTTAATACAGTAGAAAGTTGTTTCTATTCAATTATACGACCTGATCCCCACGCTTTATAATAACCTTCAACCTACATGTTTAAGAGAAAAAATGGTTCCTGAGGAATCCTAGTCAGAGCCACAATGGAACCTATATTTAGAGACAAGACGAGAAAAGTATAACCGAATCACAAGGGAGCCAAAACGAGCCCCTTAAATACTAAAACAGACCTTTTAATACATGTTCAAGCTGACTGATATGTGCTCTGCTTGCTCAGGTCGTGCTCAAAGCACGCTTAGGAATACTCACCCCTGGCTTAGTTAAAGCAACCGCTGTTCACGCCTAGAGGCTAAACGGAACAAGCAAAATAGAAAGTTGAGTATGACTTTAGTCGTAGGACAAAATCAAAGCTAAGACATGGGCTTCAGTAAGCCTGTCAGCACTGTGACACTGAATTTACCTGAGATTCGGGAGGCGTAAGCAACTCTGCTTGCCAGAAAACATTGGAAGAGAGACAAAGATAAACCAGGCAGCCGGGTTGCAGCCACAACCTCAAATGATCGCGTGATTTCTCGGAAACTGGCCCCGCTTCGGCGCTTCTTTCGCTGACCGCCTGATTTGGTGTGCTATGAGGTGGCGAGTTCTTTCAAAGAAATGTGTCGCAGTCGAACTTCACGCCGGACTGGAAACGTGGAAGGACGCTTCAAACTTGTGCTCGCAGGTGTTGACAAAGAGAAGAAGGAATAGGGGCAGGAGCAGTCTTTGTCCTGGCAGAAACCCCCGCCTCCCCACCATGCGACTATGCCCATTCTGGCGCTAGCTGGCCGCTAGCTTACCGACTCCACTGGCACTGTACCCCGCATTCTCAAGCCTGCATTGAACTCACGTGAGGGAAATCTGGTCATCGTGTGTGGCCCTGCATCGTCCACGCACACACTCTCTCCTCCACTCCGCAACAGTATCAAAAGCATCCATCTCCTCCATCCAAACCACTCCGGAAGAACACCACTGCATCGCAGCAACCATTCAGTCGCAACCATGGCAGCAACTGACTCCGTCCCCATCATCAAGGTGTTATTCACACTGCACCCTGGCATGGACGCTCTGGACTTCGTCGGCCCGCTCGAAGTCCTGAGCCATGCCAAGCACAACATCAACGACGACTGTAAGTCAATGGCAGAGATCTCAATGGTTCTTAACCCTCAATTCGCATCTGCTGTTACCCCGCCATCCCCGATCTCCCTGCAGAGCTCTCCTCCCCTCTCTTTGCCGCAAAAAAAGCTGACTCGCACCCCTCACAGCCACCAAAGCCTTCTCCACGACCTTTGTCTCCCTCTCCGAACACACTGTCTCCGCCCAAGGCGCCAGCTTCCGCGCCCACATGGACTTCAAGGAAGCCTACACTCGGCTCTCCGAATTCGACATCCTGATCATCCCCGGCGGCGGCGTCGATCCCGTCCTCAAAGCCAAGTCCGAGCCGCTCGGTCTGATCCGCGCCTTCAGCGACATGCAGAAGAAGGACCCGAAGAAGGAGCGCACACTGGTGTCCGTCTGCACCGGCAGCTTGTTCCTCGCGCAGGCGGGCCTCCTCTCGGGGCTGAGTGCTACCACACATCCGGATGCGTATGCGAAGTTCGAGAAGATATGCAGCGAGATCTCGCAGCGGGATTTGGCGGAGCGATGTGATGTCGTTGAGGAGCGATATGTGGTCAATAACTTGCGCTTTGATCTTGGTGATCCGGAGGAGAACCCGTATGTTCGCCGCAAGAGCGATGCGAGACGTCCATCCATGGGCAGAAAGGGCAGCAATGCGTGGAAGGAGAGTAATGCTCGTCGGGAGAGCAATGCCAGACGTGCTGCGTTGAGACTCGGTGGGCTGAGGGTCATTACCACCGGTGGCTGTACCTGTGGTATGGATGCTGCGTTCTATTTGGTGAGCATTATGGTTAGTGAGGAGGCGGCGGCCGAGGCTGCGAGAGTGATGCAGTATGATTGGAAGAAAGGCGTTGTTGTTGATGGCATTGACATCTAAGGCGTTTGGCGTTGGCTTGGTATTACTTGTGCAGATGCATAGAATACTATACAGCTAGACGAATATTCTGGGAACCCAAAACAGGGAATTAAGGAACAGGTACTTGGCAGATCGGATGGCTGGTAGCTGTCTCTTTTCGAATCTCATCTCATTGACAACCGTAACGCAATAGTCACTGGTAGCTGCTGTGTCCCCAGCTTCTCCAACCTTGACAGGCGTCAAATCTAATCGTTGTTCACCAATCACTCCCTATCCTTACATTGAACTTAGCTACACCCTTCACCCTTCCCATCGGCGCCTATCTTTACTACGTTCAGCCTATTACGTAAATGTGCACTTGTACGAATTATATGACATTGACAAGCGCCTCCTGCTGTGCCCCGTCACGATAAAGCCCATCTACGGGGAAGCTAAAGAACTCTCTCCACTTCGACACGCTTGTCCCTGACATATAATGATATATATGTGGAGACTTCCCAAGTGAGCCATCTACATTGAATCCGTTCTACCGCATGGATCCCGTCGAAGCTTTTTCTCGATTTGGAACAGCAGAATACTCAACTGGGCAAAGACCTCCCGGCTGAGAAGTGCCGTGTGTCAACTTCGGAGGCCAGCGTGACAACTTGAAAGAATACGAATCTTTACGCCTCGAAAAGCGCTGATTACTCCGTGGCATTATATTTTTCATGGAGAAACCTTTAATCTTTGAGGAAAGGGAGAGCTGACAACAAGCGTCATCCGATATGTAGATGGAGCGTCGATCGTAGTTGACAGCAACGCCCCACTTCACAAACTAACTCTTCTCCTTCTCATAGCTAGCTCGACATCCATCGCTCTAGCTCTCTCCACACGGCGGTACAGTGCGATCACTCAACGTGTTGTAGACCAGGGATGTGTCAGGGGAACCTTCTCCATAGCCTCTGAATATCCCTAACTAGGCGCGTCAATGGAGGCTTGTCCCACAGATTCCAGGTTGTACAATTCAAGTTAGGTTTTGTTGGCTCAACTCATCGTGGCAGTCTCTAGGGGCAGTGTTGCAGCCTCCAAATCTTTGTTACACTCATCAGATAGGTCCTGTGACTGGCGGGGGCTACCTTCCATTTCTCTCGCTTCCGAGCAGAGCTGTAAGTGATGATATCTCCGCACAAAGATATGCGAGCAAGAGTTTGTGCCATACGATGCTACTCTTCAAGGCTCCCAGTTTACTGGACAGCTTGGTGGCACCAGTCTAAGAGTCGGCTTCCTATTATCACCCAGACCCGGGACTCGAGTAGCCCGGGTCTGGCGGTTATCCAAAAATAAAATCCCCGTCGGAGGGGCAAACAGGTCTGTGCATAGACGTATTCTGTATTCAAACCTGTCGTATGGATACGGGTACTAGGGAGCTTAGCTTCGCTTACTCAGCGGCCCCCTTTTATTTAGCTAGATCCAGACGCTCCCTTCAGAGCTTCTTTTAATCAGACAACCATTTATGCAAATCACTGTTCCTTGCTATTTGCAATAAAACCCTTAAAAAAGAGCCCCCAATTCCCCACCTATACGCGTGTGTTTAAACCGCATCCAGGAGACACTCAGAGGAATTTCACACGGGTAAACCCAGTTTTACACCCAAGTCCCAGGTCTGTAATTATTAGACCATCTCGAGCCCACAAATAGTTCGTCCCATTCGTGCTTCTGCAACTTCAGAAAACCCTTTCGATTAACTTCCAGTTCCCCTTCTTGTTCCCCTTCTTGATCCTCTTCTTGATCCGTTTCTTGAAGCAGCAGTTGCGTCCTTGCATCTATTAACTATATAATTAAAGAATATATAATAAATCTCGGATATTATAAATATTAATTAGAGAAATTAATAGTTCTTTAATATTATAATTATATTATTATTTATATTATAGGCTTTGTATAACGGGTTAGACTTGTAATTTGAACTCGGTTATATAACCTTTATTACTATAGCTATAGAAGTATATAATATATAGCCCGTATATATTTAGCTTATATAAGAGTAAGACTCTCTTTTTTTTTCTTTAATTATTTCTTCTTATATTAAAACTACTAGTTTTCTTTATATAAAGGCCTGGCCTATAATATTTTAGGCTTATAAATTACTAAATATATATATATATATATATTATTAGAAGCTTCTATTTAAAAAAGGCTTTTCTAAACCTTATAAAAGAAATAGAAATTAGTTCTATACTAAATTTAATATTATAGTTTTATAATTTACTAATCTATTTATTATTTTATTACTTACTAATAAATACTTTATATTTATTAAAAACTAATTAAATAAATAATATTTAGATTTTTTTATAAAATTAAATATAAAATTTAATATTTAAAAAGCGTAATTAAATTTTTTATTTTAATGTTTTAAAGCTAAAAAAGGGTAATTTTTAAAGAAGTCTTAAATCTAAATACTTATAATTTTTATTTTTATATTTTTATTTTTATTTTTATATTTTTTTATATTTTTATATTTTTATACTTTTATATTTTTATATTTTTATATTTTTATATTTTTATATTTTTATATTTTTATTTTTATATTTTTATTTTATATATTTAGCTTTAATTTAATTTTATTAATTATAATAATAAGGCTTTACTTTTATTATATAAAAATAAGTTTCTTTAAAATAATTATTTTATTATTACTAATAATATACTTTTTATTAAATTTAAAAGAAGATCAAATTTTTAAGTTTTATTTTATTATTATAGAATTTCTTATTTTATTTATTAATAATTATTTAAATTATAATTTCTTTAGTTATAATAAGAACTATAATTATTACGAAACCGGGTCTCTGAACTTAAAAAGCAAGGTAAAGTAGCTTTTAATCCGAGAATTCTAAACTAAGAAAAGAAGCTCTTAAATGCGAGAGCTTGATATTCTAAATACTACAGCCGTATGCGTTATCGCGGTCACGTGACGCTAAATTTACTAGTAAAGTAATAAAGCGTAATAATAATTAAATTAAAAAATAAATTAGTTTTCTTATAATTTTTTCGAGTTTTATAATAATAATAATTAAGACATTAATATAATAAATAAAGTAAAATATTAATTATATAAAATATAAAATTAATTTATTAAAAACTAGATATATTATACTTCTTATATTAATAATAATATTATAATTTCAGAAATACAAAATTAATTATTAAGTTATATAATATAGTTTTAATTAATATAACTTATATTAATTAGTATTATAATGAATTTTTAATTACTTTTAAATCGGACCGATTATAACTTTTTTTGGCTTAGTTTTTCTTTATAATTATATTATTTAATATTAATTAAGTAAAGTTATTATTAAAAAGTTATTAAAAAGCATAAAATAATTATTATTAGAAATAAGATTTTAATTTATTAAAGCGAAGCTTTTAGTTATATATAATAAGCTAATATAAAAAAAATATTTATATAATAATAAATATTATTATTATATAACCCGAGAAAATATTTAACTAGTTACTAGAGGCCTAAAAGAGGATTTAGGAAATCCTTCCTAAGATTAAATGCCTTGTGACGGCAGGAACAAAGCAATGGAACGATGCTCAAAGATCTATGATTCCAATGTCCTACAGAATCTAAAGCTAAGGAGAGAAGGAGTGAGGTGTGGCAGTGGATAAGTAGGTATGGCCAAGACCACTGAAACGCCGAGCTTTGGAAGCGAGCTTGGTTTGAACCATAGCTTGGAACCTTAGCTGAAACCAACCCCTTTGGCTGAAACCAACCATGTGACACCAGCCGTCACATGCCTATTTTATCTTATTATACTCTCTTTTCAGTTTAGAAAAGAGAGGGAAAAAGGGGGGAAGTTAGAGTATTTCTCTCTAAAATTAAAGACTATTATCTTATCTCTAGAGATATTAAAGAAATGCACTCTCTTGCGCGCTTTTATATCCGGAGGAATTTGAAGGGGCCGGGACCCCCCCTCCCAAGATTGCAATATACTTTCTTAAAGAAAGAGAATCTGACTTTCACTATTTGTATTTGCACTTGCTAATACAGTCCTTGGTTTTATTGCTTTTAAATCGGACCGATTATAGCTTTTTTACTACTATTATTTCGCCCTTTGTTTCTCTCTTTTATTAGCTATTATTATATTACTATTATTATTCCGCCTTTATCTTCGCTCTTTTATTATTTGTCGTTATATTACTGCTTCTCTCTTCTCGCATCCTTATCTGGTATCTCCTCGCTTTGCTTATATACAAAGCCTTTGCAAAAATTCGAGGAACTAATTACCTCACTATTTAAATCAAATCAGCAGCTATAATTGTCAATATGCAAGCCTTTCTCGACACTCTTGTATCTGCTCTCACGCTCTCTGCCTTTGTCTCTGCTACCGGCATGAGTCTCCAGCCACGCAACTGCTTCTTCACTTACTGCGACTGTAAGCAATTCAGTTGTAGTCTAACATTCTGCTTTGATGACCATGTCAACCCATGGGTCCTTATTGATAACGCTATGTCACCGAATTACGGTGACGACTGCGGCTCATTGGAGAACTGGGATCGAGTCAACCCAGCAGAATGGTGTGATAACGGATTACGCAAGGCGACTGGACAATTTGCGATTTGGAGAAAATATGGGTCAAAGTCGCCAGACTTTACCGTCAACTACAAAAATACTACCGATAGTCCAAATCGAGGAAGTGTATCCGCTACCTGCCGCGGTGTACAGACGGTGGATTGCTCAGGTCATGGTCAATACAATAAGACCAAACATGATTGTTCAGGATCTTGATAAACGAGGGTAATGAGCAGGCGGGGCGTTTAGACTCTCGCCCCGAGTTGAGGGAATTGGCGCGGCTGGTTATTATTATCTTCTTACACTATTACGAGGTTAGGCCTCTAGGGCAAGCAGAACTCCAGCTGGTTACAAATGGTCCAAGAAACCACTTAAAATGGACAAAAACTTGGGCTCCGCTTTTCCTCTAATCCTACCGAGGCCGATAGCGATCCTCCTGCCAAAACCCCGAAAAAACATTGCAAACAACATTTGCGTACATTGCACTTGACTGTGCGAATGTGCAATGTGCAATGCGCAAATGCGCAAAGTGTCATGAAGAATCGGGGCTTTGGCAGTACAGGGGTTAAAGGCCTCCGTACAACAAGTCAATATTTGCGTTGGCAGATAAAGACATTGCCTCCTTTGAAAGGTGCGGAATGCTCGCACAGAGCTCGAGCCCAGTCGCGTTTGCATACTTCCTCTCGAACTCCTTATCTAACCCCGTCAGCGGCGCTGAACATCTGCTACATGCAAGAGAAATGCTGTTTTTAATGACTAACAGACGTCTACAGATCAATTTGTCACTTTTACGTGAAGGATTAAACGTCTCTGAGCTGAGTCCCCCTGTCCCCTCTTTCGGGCAGCCTGCTCGTGCTTCCGCGAAGGGGAAACGATATATAGCACAGCTTTGTTGCGTGTATGATGACGGTGAGCATCACCGTAACATGATTCTAAGACTCGAATCTACTTCCAATGGCTTCTCGCGAATCGAATACAACAAATTACAGTTTGCCAAATGCCCGCTGAGCCTAGCACCACAGGACAACGTTGGCTCCGGCCACCCATTGGCTCAAGGAGCAAACACGACTTTTACGGAAAAGGGCGGCTTTGTATCGCCGACTATATCCGTGCGAGACACTCGAGATCAGGACTTTACTTTTCTCATGGGCGTGTGTGAGACGCACGTGCGAATCGAGCGGCTTCTGCAAGCCGGCTTCATTCTGTCCGAAGAACCGTTTCTCACCCCCGACATCATCGCAGATGTTTCCACCCACTAGTGTCATGACCGTTCCATGAGTATTGAAGGAACTTTCGATTCAGTGCCAAGTCGCGGTGGGCTTGCTACTTTGAAATTCACCTCGCAAGCTGGTAGCTGCGCATTGTTGCTCTGCCAATGTAACGCGTCTCGCGGGATAGAGTTACTACGTGCTTCAGAACTAGATCCCTAGACTACCAGATTTGGAGACGGTTGCATTTTACGAGTGCTTCGAAACACAACTTGAGAGATTGAGCGGTATGCTTGCTGGACTCTGGCGATTACGTCCTCGCTTCGCACGAGAAAGGTATTGATAATGGCTACATTGTCTCCGCGGTGGATTTCAGCATCGAGCCACCTTCAGAGAGATTATTTGAGTTCTATCTGAGCTCATTGGAGGACTCGGAGCAATAAGCGAAAGAGACTTTCACGCAACCAATCTACTCAGCTTTCGAAGCGAAAAGAATAAAGCCATAGCCAAGTAGTAGTAAGGGTTGTGGTAAACAGCCTATTTATTTTCTAACTCTGACGATACATTTGAAATGTTTCCCGTGAATTGCGCCCCTTTTCCGCACTCTGACTCCTGCTCAGCTGAAAGTGATCTCCAAAACTAAAGCGGGAACTGCGCTCCGATGCCAATGAAAGCATAAGCCCAAGGTGCAGGACCTTGACGTAGTATCTGTGTAGAATGCAAAAGATTTGCTGGGGCTTGGACTTGGACTGATGGCTGCTCGAGGTCTGCTTGGTGGATGGAGGTTGGGTATGGGTGGGAGCGTATTGTTGTGTCATCGGTTGATGCCGGGATGGAGCCGCAGGTGCGGCGTTGGGAGTGCACGTACTGTGCGGTTGCGTCTTTGTGTGAGGACTTGCTCTTGCCATTGTGGTAGTGAAGTGCGTCGTGGGTGAGAGGTGTATAGTCTTGCTGCAAAGCAGTAATTGCCTGAGCCGTGGGGTCGCAAGACATCGAAGGTTTTGCATTGCTGGGAAGAGGGTGTCGGTTGTTTATGTCATTCGTTATGTGGTATGCTGAGGCATGAGTGTTCGAGGTGGCAGGCTCGGTATGTTGGTAGGTTTCGGAGTAGAGGAAAGTCTCGTGGGAAGAGACCTGAGGTTCACTAGCATAGATGAGCTTGTTAGACATGATGTTCTGATATAAAAGTTCCAGGTTTGAAGGAATTTGTGAGTTGGGAGAAAGGGAAGAATATATTTACGTAGGAGGATTTGGGTAGCAAGAGCTGCTGTTGGAGGGTACGGAATGCATAACTTTGATGCGCGAGTTCGAGAAGAAGGCGCAACTTCCTCTGAGAGGGTAAAATCAAAAGAATCTGAGAATTTTTTTGAGTTGAGGGTTACAGGAAAGATACCGTTACTGAACTTGCGAGCAAAGAGATAGAAAGCCACTGGCTGCATCAGCCATCAAGAGAAAGAGAGGAACGGCACTTATAGGAACATGCGGTGAAAATTAAACAACACATGGCAGATCAAGGCAACACGGGATGATATGCGATCATTTAAAGCGTCGCACTTCTCTGGGCAGTAAAACTTGGGGATGAGCTGGAGTCTTGGAGCGCATTGGTGGGTTCTTCGTGCAAAGTGCAATTGATTCAAATGTGCAGGTTTTGGAAGTGCAAAGTGCAGAAGTTCCAAGCGAGTTGTGTGGTTTCTGTTGGATGTTGGCGGTGTCTGCGCGAGGTTGTGGAAGTGGTTGGGTCCACTGCAAAAGGTGCAATTTTGCACACTTTAGTGCAACAGTTGTGCAATTGCAGATTTTACCGATGGGAGGCGGAAGACGCATCCCCCTGTTCTTGGGATCTGACGTGACCTTTTCACGCCTGGGTGGGGCGAGGCCCCTGCAGCCACTCTACACCGCGATCTGGTATTGGTTCACGTCGACCAGGATATGACTTGTGTTCTTTCCCCGTAGAGAGAGGCACTTTTTGAAAGTACAAGGTCGGGGCTGTGTCGATAAGCGGTGGGAAGCGGTGGGAGACGGCGGACGATTTTCACCCGTCGCTCCTTTGATTGCTTTCAACAGCAACACCACGACTTTCACACCAAAGACTCAGCCCCGACGGAGAGCCTGGGACTTACCGCGCTGACATATCTGGCAAACCTGGATACGTTCTCCCGCTGACACTCGCGTCAGGTGACCAGGCTGCGACCGAAAGCTGTTGAACCCAGTCGATAGCTGTGTTTGGTGTCTGGTTGCGCAGTTTAGGCACCACAGAAACCTAAATCCGGATCGGATCACTCATGCACGCAAGAAGCTATGGTTAAACGGTGGGATCTCTATAAGAGCGAAATCCATTCGCTTTATATCGCCGATGGAAGGTCTTTAGACGACGTGCGGCGAATTTTGAAAGGGCGACATGGCTTTGATGCATCGTAAGCCAACATTGCCATGTACAAGAGTGCGCTCTAACTTCAATTAGCATCCGATCGTACCGAATGAAGCTTGAGGGGTGGGGAATGAAGAAGAACAAAATTGGGACAAGTCGCTCTGCCAAGACGGCAACAAAGACTGGCTCGAATTTCCCACCTCGAATATCTAACTCGGCACTTTATCAGGATAGAAATAGCACCAGGTAAATTACACGTTCGTTTAGATCCGAGACTTGTTATTAATTTGATACCCGTTGAAGTGCCCCGTCTGGCCCAGCTTTGCAATCTGCCAACCCTTGGACAGCACCGCTCAACTTCTCTGGTACTCTCAGTCACGATTACAGTAGTTCTAATATAGCTGTGAACGGCGGATTCCATGACGACTCAGCCGCGGAATACGCTGAGATCACGCAGCACGTAGAACATGTATCTCGGCAGAGCCTTTTTGATGCCATTTCGAACGGGGATAAAGACGAGGTTACAAGGCTACTTTCCACTGGCACATCTGTCCATGTCCGAGATGGAATTAATAATGCACCCTTGCATGCAGCGATACTACCGGGCAACATTGATATTGTCGAGTCTCTGTTGAACTATGGCGCTGACTTTGACGCTATCGGTTTCAAAGGGAAGACGCCTCTCCACTTGGCAATTGCTTCCAGACCTTTGGTTCAGCTCTTACTGAAGCACTCGCCAAAGTTGTCGGTACAGGATGACGAAGGGAACACAGCTTTACACTACTTACTCAATACGAAAGATTGGTGGGCCAACAACGATACGGCAGCAACAGCGAAGTCCATCCTATCCTTTGGCGCGGACATCAATATCAAGAACAGGCTTGGCGATTCTCCATTGCACCGGGTGGTGTCTGATGCTAGACCAAACGACTATAAATACATGGAACTAGCCTTGGTGTTTCTTGATTATACACCGGACGTAACGTCGCCAATGCGGAACGGTCAGACCCTTCTTTCCATGTTCTTAAATAAGAGCGAGATATTAGTATCTCCAAGTTCGGCTGATTGTTATTACGGACCTGCACTTTCGGTTACAAGAGGATTTGCATGCTTGGAAAAGTTCCTGGTTGCTGGTGCCGACCCGAACACGATAACCCGCTCAAAGCCACTCATTATTGAATATCTCTCACATGGGATTTTTGAAGAAAATAATGAAACGGAAAAGACCTTGCTCCAACTTATCCAAAGGGCGAACATCGATGTTGTGGGACCTGCTGGAAACGACCCCTTTCATCTCACCCTAACGTTTGCTAAGAACCACCGCTCGAGGAAATGGGTTCTTAGTGTTTTTGCGATCATCGATGCTTTAATCTCTCGAAACGCGTCTCCAAACCAAGCAAACGATGAGGGCGCTACCCCGCTGGAGATATGGCTCAAGGAAGGCCAGGAAAAGCCTTCTAAAATTGTAAAGGTTGCTTTACTGCTTATTGAAGCAGTCGCCGACACTATGATACAAACATCGACCGGGGGGACTCTATTTGATATGCTCAGCTGGCTGCCAAACGGGGATCAAAATCTTCTGACTAGAGCTTTACTCAAAAGGGGTGCAACCGCTCAAGAGCATGCCACCAGCGCTCCCGCCCGATCAGAATGGGCTGAGCTCTGGCGTGCGGCTTGGAAACCAACAGATTGGCAGGGTGCCAAAGCTCGAGTGATCGAGCTTCAAAGTTTGCCTTCTCGTCCTAAGTCCGCAGGTTTCATGGAGTGTGCTTTTCGTGTTATCGCGGAACATCAGCTGGAACTTCACAAGGCTTGCCTGAAATGTTGGCAGGAGAACCTAGTCGGAAAGGAAGCGGTGACGAAAGACTATGAAGATTATTGTGCTATCTTGAGAGATTGTAGGGAGCGAGGGATTGAGATCGACGTTTCTTGGTACAGTTTCTTACTTGATCTTATGGATTTTACATAAAGTCTAGAGCCAGCAGCTGCTATATATTGACCGGGAGTCGAAGTTTTATGAGATGTTTTGCGAAGTTCTATAAAGGAGGAAAGGTAGAATTATCATCACTTGCTCCTATTCGCCTGGTTCTATATAACCCCCACGGCACTTACTTTTGTTGTGACTCAGCAGTGTCTTCCACTTCGGTTTCATATCCTAGTGACCCTAAAGCAAGGCGGATTGTGTGGAATATTTTGAAATTGGGTAACATATTCACGACTTTCGTGAGATTGTCACTTTCTTCCGAGATGAAGATATTTGTCAATATTCCAAAACCTGTATCTCCCTGACTCTCCGACTTTTTGAGATAGGGCAAAAGGCCTTTTCGTTTTGAACCCATTTCCGCCGTTCATTCCTGATTTCAGGCTCAGCCACTACAAGCTCCCTAAATCGGACGATCAAATATTGCGAGCATACCTTTCTTCTATTTTCTTGAAGACCCAGCGAGTTGGAGTAGCGATAAAAAGAGTTAATACAGGCAAACAACCGCACTTGGTTTTGAAACAATAGCAAAAATCAACCTGAGAGATGGACGCGTACTCGCTCTTCGGGCTGAGTATAGCGCAGAAAAGCTTGTGAGCAACGAGGTAAAGGACCGCTAGAATTGCGCTTGACCTTTTCTTCATTTTCCTTTCTTTCAAAAGAAACCCCCAGCTTTGATCTTACTTGCCTATAAGTTAATATTCTTAATGGTATACTTCTTGGAACGAACGTAGTAAGCAGGGGTAGTCGCGTTGGAAGTGGATTTGGAAAAGTGTTGTCCGAGACCGTCGTCCACCGCGAACTCAAGACTTCATCACCCCCGAACATGCCACGTTTGAGAAAGCACCAGAAGGGCAATCTCCAGATTCTCAGAGAATAGTACAACTTCTGCAGCGGCAGGGGGACTCAGAGAAGTCCGTGACGCACGGTGCTGCTCGTCATCGACGGTCGACGAACAACGGCGTTCATCCTGAGGCTGCTCTTCTTCATCAATCTTAGGTCCGATGGTCGACGGTGACCAGGGGAGGGAGACCGTTGGAGGTGGAGAGGCAGAATCTGGGCGGACGAATAGAATCAATGCTGTTTAATTAACCAGCCAACGAAAGTGCAGCTAGCCTAGAATTCATTGGCACCTAGTTGCATTTAACCCTGGTTCCATCCCTGTTTATTCAACACCATCTATTCGGCGAGCCTAACGTTAGTAAGCAACATCACCACAGCCTCACTTCCTTGACGAAGTGGGGTAAATAACCTTGCGAGATCCGGAGCTTGACTTTGGACCTCTTTGGAGCCAAATAAGGAGGCTGGGCCTGGCAGCAGCAGCAAGCCACAAGTCAAATCCCGTCCGTTAACCTCTGCACTCTAACCTCGCTTGCTTCTGAGGAGTCTCGAAGCCAAGCCGTTACGACTTTTTCATTTTGACACATCCACTCCGGAATCCCACCACCGATCTCGTGTGCAATTTTGCAGACTGCTTTTGGCCCTTGGACGCTAGAGTCTAATTCAAAACTAGGCTATCCACCTACAAATCCAACTCTCGCATCTCCAAGAGCGTTCCCGAGTCCGCACTCTAAACGCAAAACACAATGGGTCTCTCGCGTGCCTTTGGCTGCTTCCAAGATCCCGAAGCGCGGGCTCTGAAAAAGCAAAAGAAAGCAGGAAAGCGGAATCGCAATGAGGAAGTGCGACCTAACAGAGTAATCGCAGCAACTACGAGAGGTGACCACGCTGAGATTGAGATGCGAAGTCTGCCTGACCAGTCACCCTTACCGGCCAACAGCACCACGCGAAATTTTAAACTCCCACCTTCAGCACCAGAAAGCGATGAACCAGAGCCCTGGAGCGTAGGCGCAGTCATTCGTCGCACATCGCTACTTCAAGCCAGGCTTGATGAAGCGGCCAACGAAAGGAAGAAGACTGACGAGAAGGTGGATATACCAGCTTCAAAGGCAAGGCGTCAAGCTAAGGTGGAGGAAGATGTGGAGATCCCGGCGATAGAGACGAGGCCTAAAGTCATTGCGGAGAAAAAAGAAGACTGGGAAACGAGCACGGGAAAGGTCACCGCGAGCCTAAATATGAAGGGCATTGGGGATGGAAGTGGAGAAGGAAGCGGAGTTCGTGCCACCATGATGTTTGGTATACCAACAACGAAAAAGGAACTGGAAGTGGACCTCGGAGCTATAGAAGAAGAGGCAGAGATCAGGAAGGTCACGGAAGAGAACAACGCACTTGCGGCAAAAGGAGCCCATAAGTATAGTGGGGCAATAAATTGGAATCCTTCGTATAGTCAGAAAGCGACCCCGATGCCATTACGTGGCAAGTATACGAAAAATAGCGGTTGGGGGTGGTCTGGGACGAGCGGGTCAAATGGATCTCCGATGGATGAGCCGTACTATGATTATGGAATTGGTGTGTCGAATGGCTCAGCGAAATCAGCTGTTGGGAGCAATCCATATGGTGCACCGTATGGTTATGGTCGGAGGAAAAGCTCTCACTACGCTTATGTGTCTGGTCCAGCCAATTAATGAGATAGGATGTCGGAGACGTGGTAGGACTTGGAAGTTCAGTCGGGGAATGGGTATAAAGTCGAAGGGGGAGATCTGGGAATATCCTAGGAGGAGATTTGATGAGGTAGTGGATAGGTTCGTTCCATGATTCCAAGCACAAGACAGCCATATGGCTCTAAATACTCTTTCTCACCTGGAAAGTCCTCACTGCCTTCCCTAGTAACCGTCAAAGGAACGGGAAGCCCAGTACATATGATGCTTTAATGAAGGCGATCATGGAGCTTTCAGATGAGCTGGGAGTGATCAGTTCCTGAGCAAGAGCGATAAATCCACTAATCCAATACGTAGTAGAGGAAAGGGTTGACTGATAATGCCCTAATAATCACCCTCCCCCACCATCCTCATTCCCATAATCCACCTCGCCGGCATCTTGATCATACTACTGCCCCACCTCCTCGTCAGGAGCGGCATACTCATGCACAGGTTAAGTCTCTACCTCTTCCTCATGGTCAGGCTGCGCTTCCTCTTTCCGCTCCCCATGTTCTTCAACAGCCTGTTCCGCTCCAACTCCTTCCCTCCCGCCTTCCTCGGCCTCGCCTTCATATTCCCAATGCTGCAGCTTCTTCCTGGATTCAGAACCATCCACCTCGAGGAATCCCGCGGTTGGTATCGTAGGAGGGCAATTCGTGCAACATTGATCCTGACTTTAGAGAAGAAATAAACTTTTAGCGTGCGAGACCGGCATTTTATCCATTTTATAGTACTACATCTCGAAGCACTATAACTTGTAGTACCACAAGTTAAAATAATATGGCTCCGGGTGCTTCCATTTGTAGCTTCAAAATCAAGAGTATTCCCGCTTGTAATACGCTGTACTAGTCACGTATGACTAGACTTGAGGGGGATCCAAAATAGCTCCGGTTGGGGTCTTTGTACGTTGAAAGGGAGCAAGAAGGGATACCTCTACTTCGCACCGACCACTTTGATAGGTTGAAAGAGGGGCCCATGCTCTAGACAAAGGACATTAGCAAAATCCAACCGATACTTAAGGGATGCTGAAGGGGATCCTCTCTATGCTCCGGCTTCCACGCTTACACACCAACGCGCACAGGGGCCATAGGAATAGCTCAAGTTAGAGCAGCGGCTGCTCAGATCCAATGACAGAAATGCACTTGGGTGGGGTCATTGTCGTCTGAGAGTACACTAGTTGTTCATAGGCTTCAGAGTTATTTTCACTTCCATTATATCAACTCATCTTCAAATAATGCAATCAAACACAGAGAGACTTGAAAAATTGAAGGCTACCGCTTATGGCACTTACCAATGCCAACTCTTTCAAAATTGCAAAGCACATATTTGAGACTACGGAATTGCCGTGGAGGAGCAAATGACAACGGAACTGAAGTCAGAAATAGGAAAGATTCACAAAACATGGAAGAAAGGGGCTTTCACAGTCAGCCAGTGGCAATAGAATCAAAAGTTGAGGGGGAAGAGAAGCGCAGAAGCTACAATGAAAGGGAGCATATCTATAATGGTCTTGAACTGAGGTCACGTGGGTAGCAATATAAATCTGTAAGAACGGTGCTGAAATGACTGCTGTTCTATAGAAATAAGCAGCCTATATAGATATAGACCATAATTCCCCTAAATTAGGTGTTATAAACCCCTATCTATCCAAGCCTTCAGCTATATCAGCAACCCTAATATTCAACCTCTATAAGGCTTTCAGCCTCTATATTAGCTGCCTTGATATTTAGCTGTATAAGGGCTCTCAGCCCCTATAGGTAAGTTCAGGGGCGTTAGGCATGATTTGACGCGTTTCCTGAGGCCTCGCGCCAGGCTAGACAGGAAGTTCAGGGTAAGATGCTACAACTTGCAGCCAGAGTAGAGGCAGACCAGTCGGAGTTGAAAGTTTGGAGCTTTGGCTGAGCGTACATGATAGATTATGGAAAAATTGAGACCGCAGCAAATATTAGCACGTCGTGAAAGCTTTATGTTCCATGCAGTAGCAAAAGAGCGCGAACCACTCTCGGACCATATTATCGACAATAATTTTCAATTTCAAAGCCAGAAGTTCACAAAACCTCAAATCCAACCCTTCGCCTTCCCAACCTCAATCTCCATGCCCTCCTCTCTGATCATGTCCTCTAATCTCAGCTTCAACTTCTGCAAGACATCCTGCCCTGGGGCTCTGTCCGACCCCGTATGTCCGTTTACACCAGCTTTCGAAGGCACCAACTCATCAATATGCACCCGAATGTTTGCCTTCTGCTCTTTGTAGAAACCCCGAATACCATTCAAATCATGCCATAGACTCCGGCACCAATCATTGCCACCTCGGAAGATCCGAACCTCTCGGGAGCACAACTTTGTCAGGTATTTGATGTCGTGGTTCAGGATGTCGAGTTTGCGTGAGCAGTAAGAGCATGGGTATAGACTGTGATCACCGCAGTTTTGGAAGTTTTTTGCTCGGACTTGTCGTGGCGTGGTCTTCGCCGCAAACCAGCATTCGATGGTTGGAACGGAAGGGAAGACGTTCGGCAATGCCATCCTTGAATTTGAAGAAAAAGGTTCCGATTTGTGTTTAGTTTGATGCGAGTGTTGATTTTGGTTATTTTCGATTGCATGTTGGACAGTGTCATGCAATTTAATCAGCCTGTGAGTCAAATCCCACGTTCTTCCAGACCTCTGCTCCGCCGAAATTGTGAATGTACCACTCAACAAAATCTCGATTCACTCGAGAACATTCCTCAACCGTGGGAAAACAGCACTCCTTTTGACACCAACGAAGCAGAAAGTCAATATCGTGTGCATCGCTTTTGGTCTTCTCTTCACCTCTTCCCAGTATTGAATGACATTTCGCGTTCAGCAGAAGTGCCGGCTTGAGAACCTTCGCAGACCCGACCGTCACTGTCGGAGTCGAAGCGTCGAAGTCTTCTTTAAATAACATCGGCGGTGTCAGAATCTCGATGTCCACTCTTGGGTTGCCTTGGAAGTATGTATGCAGAGTTCCCTTCTCGACCACGAATCTTTCTTGGTCTCTGAATAATTTCTTCGTTTCCAGTGTGTGACCTCTCGGAACAACAATGTCGATATCAGTCGTCGTTCTTGATGAACCTAGAAGTGCGCATCCAGCTCCTCCAACTATTGCGTATGTGCGATCCCCAAGGATTTTGCCAACTGCTTGAGCGGCGGCCAGTACGGCCTCGACGTCTGAAAGCGGAGAGGACATGGTGTTTCCGTTTTCTCGGGAATTTAGAAAGTTGTCAAAAGGACCCAGCGGGATTATCTTCACCTTCGCGGAATTTATTTCATTTTATCGAGCAACCTTGAATGACGCGTTGTGTCGAGGAGGTAAAGCAACCTTTTCTGTTGCCTTGAAGACAGGGGCAGCGCTCATCCCTATCTGGTAAGATGTTTCGCTTAATCTATTCAATGTCAGGAGATTGTTAATAGAGGAGCTATGCCTTAGCTCTATAGCTGAACGAAGACTATTGAACAATGAAGAGACTCATTCATATTCCAGTTTTGAGCGATCTCATTTGATTCTGGCAATTTTCCTTCTTGTTTGCATGCTTTCCACTGCAACTCTCAAAGATGCTTCTACTCGCAATTGATAGCCTTTATTGCTGTCACATATTACCGAAGACAACCAATAAAGCTTGTATAGGCACTATCCTGTATATCTAGTATTTTTTTGCTTCATTGCTCTTACATCACGGGGGTTTTGCCACCTCTAGAAACGCTTTTTAGTCAGCAAGACATCCCCACCACCTGCACATTTCTGGTATTAAATGGAACTATCTGTTCTGATCCTACGGAATGCGGCAGCATGAACTGCCTAAATAATATGTAAGATCTCTCAATCACTCGGAATACACTTAGTTGTATGTACCCCAACAGGCAAGTCCCATTATGTTTTTGGCAAATGGTTTCCACCCCGCGAACGTCGTGTTCAGATTCCTCGTTCCTGAGCTTCTGCATCAAAAAAGTGATGCATCTCCGAACCTGCTTTCTCGTATCCACACTTATTGTAAAACCCTTCCTTACCTTCTGAAGTATCAAGGATGTTCGACAACACTGTTAGCACGGAACAAAACTATTCATTTCGGATTGGGGAGGTACTTTGTAACACCCGACTTTCTCCGCCACATAATCTAGAGCCTCTATGAGCCTCAATCCTAACTTCTTTCCCTGCTGATCTGATTTTATTGCAATATCCTCAATGTGGCCTTGCGTTGCGAGCTTGAACAAGCTAAGTGAAACAGTTAGCTCATATCTTATAGTATCTTAAGAAACATTCCGGACCAACACGTACAACTTCTTCTCCACCATCAACGACCCGGTTCCAACAATTTTCCCTCCAGCTCGATTCTCATCCACAATCACAACCACATAGTAAGTTCCCTTACAATTTCTCATCAAGTCGAATCTTTCAATCCACATATCTTCCGTAATATCACCAACATACGCTAGATCTCGAATGACATCCAGATGCCCCTCGTTGAAGTCTGTTCGCTGGAGTGGGCGGGCGATGTAGCCTTTAGGAAGAGCGGCTAGGACTTTTGGCGAGATGAGATCTGCAGAGAAGAGCTGGATTTCTGAAGCCATTACAAAAATCTGTTTTTATCTAGAAACTACCTCTGGCTCAAAACTCAATGGGCAACAAAGTATCAGTCTATATAACCCAGAAAAATATCAGCTTTTACTTTAACAAATACCGGGGCAGCGAAGGCACCAGCCTAGCAGCTAACCGAGGCAACCCATTTCATCCAGACATACCTTAAATACGAGAAACGAGGCCAGCGAGGGAAGTTTTCCAGCGTTCCACAGACAAGATACAATCATTAATCAATTATGATAAGAGCTACTTCGAAAAGAAAAAAACCTCCCCGTGCCTCTCTTCTCGCTGGACAAAACGAGGTAACGTTACGGCACTTGTGCCGCAGCCACGATGCCCCGCATGGTAACACCCCCACTCATCCACATGCTCACAACCCCGCGTTCGTCAACATGCTTCCTCACTGGACGAGTTCCGTTGGTGGGGTCCAAGGAATGGGGTTATATGCAGTTTCAAGAGGTCAGCCCTGTAGATAGCCTAAATTTAGGTGGGAAGTGGCAGGCAATGTGACGGCTGCAATGGAACGCTACGGTAGGTAACCGGGCAAGTTTCAGTGAAGCTTTTGTGGGGCCGTGATTCGTGTTATCCGTGGTGAGAGAACTTGTCTCGAACTTCATGTTCACCACGGCTCCCTGACGTCTCCCTTTTCGTAATAAAGGGACGAAGAGGCCAATTTTCTGCCACACAACTTGAAAATTGACATCTGGATAGGAAGTAATAATCATTGGTTGACTCTGGAAACTCAGTTGAACGTCAACAGCCGCACAGCTCCCACTCTTGCTTCCGAATACCAGTGTTAGGGACGGCAAATATGCCGACGCTCTCTACAGATATTCCCGTTCCTATTCCAGTTCGCCATGGCCCCCGCATCCTAACCATAGGAGCTGGATCCCAAGGCCACGCCTATGCAGAGCCAATCACACGACTCCATCTCGGACAAGTCGTTGCAGTATGCGAGCCCGGTCCTTTCAAGCGAGCCGAGTTCGGGCGGAAATACATCTGGGGTCTCAGTAATCGCTCTGCTCTGCCTCATGAAGAGTTCGAAGACTGGAAAGACTTCATCAAGTATGAATTCAGTCGACGAGAAAGGGTGAAAACCGGGGAGATCAAAGAAGGCGATCCTGAATTCAAGGGCGTCGACACGGTGTTTATTACTGTACTGGATGAGATGCATGTCCATGTTGTCAAAGCTCTTGCACCGCTGGGATTGCATACGATGTGTGAGAAGCCGCTTGCGACCGGTTTGGATGATTGTATTGATATCCTGGGGACTGTGACGAGGGAGTGGGAGATTCTTGGACGGAAGACTGTGTTTGGGATTGCACATGTGCTGAGGTATAGTCCGCATAATGTTATGTTGAGGAAACTAGTGAGGGAAGATAGGGTTGTGGGGGATGTGATCAGCGTTGAACATACGGAGCCAATTGGGTGGTGGCATATGGCACACAGCTTCGTGAGGTAAGCTTAAGCTTTACTTTCTTTCCTCTCTAGGGAAATTTGCTCACGGCTCATAGAGGAAACTGGCGACGCCAAGATATGGCGGCTCCTTCGTTACTCACAAAGTCTTGTCACGACATCGATTTCCTTATGTGGCTTCTCTGCTCCTCAGCTTCGGCAAACTCAGCAGATCCTCCACACGTACCTTCATTCATCTCCTCAACCGGGAACTTGAACCAGTTCCGCAAGGCCAGGAAACCACTTGCTGCGGGTTCAGCAACAAACTGTATTTCTTGCCCCATAGAGAGGAGCTGTCTTTACTCCGCGAAAAGCATCTATGTAGACAAGCTCTTTGCTGATCCCGATAACCTTGAGTGGCCGCTCAAAAGTGTGGCACCCGAGATTGAAGATCTGTATTTCAACGATGGGAAACCAGCGGCAGAGAAGAGATTACTTGAAGCTTTGGCCGAGGACTACACAACCGAAACCCCGGATTCGCAAATCAAGAAACGATCTTGGTATGGGCGATGTGTCTGGGATGGAGACAACGATGTGTGTGATGACCAAGTTGTTACGATAACGTGGGGTGACGATCCATTGCCTAGAGCCAAGGTTGGAAAGGGGGACAATGGAGCATTGACAGGAGATGCAGCAGCTCTGAACGGCAGATCAGCGAAGACGGCAATATTCCATATGATCGCCCCCACAGAGAAGATCTGCGCACGGAGAGGTAAAATATACGGTACAACAGGTGAGATATCCTATGATAGTGACAACATCTCTGTCCACTCTTTCGCCACAAGTGAAACGGTAGTACACCCAACAAAGGTTGCCGGGAAGGGCCATGGGGGTGGAGACGAGTCGATGGTTGAAAATTTCTGCAAAGCTGTGCAGGCTGCAATTTCAGGGGAGATGGAAGCCTCCGCAGCTCAGAGGCTTTGGTTGGGTTGTGAGATCGAGGAGATTGTGAGGAGTCATGTTGCGGTTTTTGCCGCTGAGAAGGCGAGGAAGGAGAGAATAGTCGTTGATTGGCAAAAGTTCTGGGCTAGTGAGGTGGAAGCACGGCTTCAGAAAAGGACGATATAGTAAGTTTTCTAGTGGCGATCTTCCTATACACAGCATCTGCTTGAGGGAATAGGGGATAGAGAAAAGGTTCTTGTTGAAGAATGATTCAATGCCCTACCTGTTCATTGCATTTTTCTCTGAGGACACAAAACCCTTCCCCCAGAAGCAAATTATGCAGTGCAAAGTTCCGAATAAAATAGGGAATTTTAAAGAATGGCCCAGTTGTAAGATGAAGCTAGTCTGAAACCCTGAAAAACTTTGGGGGGGGGGGGAGTATGTTGGACTCCCTCGCTTAGGGAATTCAGGGGTAGCTTGTGCCTAAAATCGCTTCAGCAAGCCTGTAAATTCGGATCGTAGATGGGTCAGCTCGACGACTTCAAATTTCCCAAATCATCCTTCAATGTCGCGTTCTACAATTAAACACTTCACGCCAATCCATCGAGATGGAAACCAAGGATGTGCCCAGGAACTGTACCTGCCATGCTTACATACTACACGACAACATCACTTGTGTCGTCTGGTGCGAAGATGCCGTTGCTCTGCACAGAGTTCCAGAAGCATCCACCATCCAATCTCCTATTAGCTACTGAAGGCTGATTTCGGCCTCAACGCGCACAAAAAAGAAGCTCTTTGGTGTTGGGACGGGGCGAAAGTGGGTGTACTGTACGACGGACATCGGGGTTTATACTTAAGGGGAGCAGTTCATCAAGCTTGCCCTGCTGGGAAAAGGAGGAATGATGCTAAGCTGAGGGATGGAAAGCGGGCCTGAATACCGAGGATGTGGGTGGAGCGCCCTATATCTCGATCACGCAGGAAAGTAGAAGTCAGTGAGATTTTTGAAAGAGTGGATGGAGAGGGAGAGATTGAGCAATCAAGTCAAGTCGCCGCTTGACCCTCTTGTTCGATGCTATCAGTGTATCAAAAAATAATCAAAGCTAATTAATTAGAATTAATTATCTTTGATTATAATTAAGTATGATTTGATTAGCTTGATTTTGACTTGATTTGATTTGAGTAGGGGGGTTTAATCAAATCAAACCTAATCATTTAACAGACTGAATGCTACTCTAGTCGAATGAAACTTAGAAGGAAATGAATCTGGAAAATAGGACACCTTGCCTGCCTTGCTTCCTTGAGTTGATGCCCTTGGTGATGCACAGTGTGTCAAAAAAGTATTCAAGGTATTCAAGGTATTCATGAATATTCATGAATATCTTGAATAGAATATGAGTAGCGCAATTCTCAAAAATTTAGAGTAGAGTAGAATATATATTCATGAATATTCATGAATACTCATGAATACTGGTCAAGTGACTTCACGTGACCATGGAAAATCAAGGTTTACTTAATAATTATTAAATAACTAAGGCGCCTATTAATAGCTCTAGTTAAACTAAGCTAAGTCTTATATAATACTAGCTACATACTAATTTTCTATAATAATAAACTAATTATCCTCCTCGGAATCCTGTACTTTGGTTCGCTTACCAAGTCTCGCCGTTGCCTAATTGGGTAGCGAGGTGGCGCTAGAGCGGGAGCAAGCGGAAGCTTTACCTAATATAGCTAGCTCCTCACGTGCAGAATCACGTGCATACTACTCAAAGTATTCATGAATATTTATGAATACTATGATTAGAATATGAATAGAATATGAGTAGCGGGTAAATTTTGATGAATAGAATAGAGTAGTGATCACTACTCTATTCTATTCTATTCATTTGACACACTGGTGATGCATGGCAACGATATTGGGAGAAGCAGTCCGACATTTCAGAGCATCATGCCCCGAGGATCTGAAAAGTTAAACATTATTTCATTTACTATCCCTTCCTCACTGCCTACTCTGGGTAACCACTGTCGTAGCCTTGATCCCTCCACTCCAATCGATTTCATCCCCCAAGGTTGGCACAGGATTCAACTCTGTTTGGCTCTCGCTATCCGACTTCTCTCTCATCGCACTTCCTCTCCTCAGCGTAAACCTCTTCCTCATCTGGTTCCTCTCCGCATCACTACCCCCCGCAGTAATTAGTGTTGTAACGCCAACACGACTCAATCCCAACAGTTGCGCGAATTCAACGCTATAGTCATTTGCATTGACACTGTTTGAATGGCCCCTGAATCGTTTCTGCGAATCATCTGATGCTCGGCCCTCGTTTTCATCGATCGATCCGTCGAATTTCTTGCTGGCGAAATGGAAGAAGTTCTTGAACATAGGTCGTAGGGTTGCTATGTTCATCGCCGTGATGGCGATGGCTGGCTCTACCATCGACCATTTTACGAGGTTGATGCCTTCCCAGGAGTAATCGTCGGTCTCGGTGAGGGCTTTGATGTAGACGATTCGGACGATGGTTGCTGTACTAGCACTAGAAAATATTCATGTTAGATTGTTCCTGGTAGCGAGTTCACGAGCACATACAAGAACCCCAGAGACAGAACCAAGATGACAGAGAGCTTCGTTCGTGGAGTCATCTGCATCTTCCATACGAAGAAGATTGGCAGGATCCCGAATGACCAGTCGGTCAACGCCGACATAGCACAGTGGGCATATGTCACGCTTGCTAGAATCGGTGATCTCAGGCATTTACCTTGCCCACTCTCATATTTTGTCCAGAGGTAGCTAATTGGGGCACACTGGAAGAGAAGGAAACCAAAGTACATCGTGCTAAAAACCAGGACGACGGAAAGGGTGGTGTAGATGACGATCTTTTGATATCGTTTGATGGAAAGTCGGAGGAAGTAGGCGGAGATCGAGAGTTTAGTTACTGTTGTGGAGACGACGTAGAGAAGTTCGCAAATGAAGATGATCTACAGACATCAACAACTGTTTCCGAGTGGAAGAGATGCAGACCAACTTTGAACCCGATGGCTTTGAAGCCATCATCGATGTTTACCATATGTGCCCCCAGTCCATAGAACTCGGCAAGAAGACATAGGGAGCAAAACACGGTGAAGACGATCTGTTGAGAATGCTCAGCGCGAGGTTACCCGAGACTGCCGTGCCATAATTACCATTGCAGCAATTGTAAGCCAATCCTCTCGCCCAACAAACTTAAGGATCGATACCCGGACATAGAAACGAAGAACAGTCGATATCCAGGTCAGGGACAAGGAGCACACAGCCACGCCGGTGACTTGCGCACCGCGAGTAACCCCACCATACATCTCGGCTGCGGCAGCCTCACAACTGCCGGACGAAGATTGCCTCGGGAGATCGACAAGAGGGAATAAAATCCCGTACCCAAAATCGCGTGAGGAATTTCAACTTTTCAAGACATGGAGCAAAGGATTCACGCGGGGGGACAGCGGCTTTGACCTACTTAAGGAGCCAACGAGCCGCCATGCAAGCACACGATGCCAAGGGGGTGACAGGAGGAAGAGACGTTGGCTAGGTCTGTCGTACTCGCCATTAAACGTCCGGCCTCGCGACGGCGTAAGGAGAAAGGTCCCGACCTTATCATACTTCTGAAAGAAGAAAGAGCGACCGAGTGGGACACCAATCACGGGCGCCATTACCATTGACAGTCGGCGACCACGGAAGGCTCTACCCCAAACCGTGGATTTGAATTCCTTTTGGGTAGGTATAATAGACGATCCGCTCTCGAGGGTTGGCCTTTGACGTTGTGTAACCCGGGCCATCGGATTGTCCTCAGCTCACCACAATTGCCCGAACTTTTTCCTGGTCGCAGCTCCCGCTAATGCCCAAGGAACGTTTGTGATTGGTGGCATTCAAAGACGGGGCAAGGATCGACAACGCTATTGAAATGCGGGAGCTAATGTAAGGACGGACACAGGTCGATGAGTGGTCGAGGCAGAAGGACGAGATAGGCGAGAACCCATCTGCAAACGCCATTTTAGTGAAATCCCTCCAGGATCCTATTAGATTGATCTCCATGAATGAGACGTCCGTGCAGCAAACGAATCAGCGGGGTGGGGTGTTGGGGGCGTTGAGATTTGTTGGTGCGAGAAGGAAAAAGCAGACAAAATGATGTCAGCAGCGCAACTTACCAAAGATCACAGATTATTCAGCAGGCCTCCGAATATCTACTACTGAACTAAGAGACATAAAAATAGCGAGTACCAGGTGCGGTCGCACAGAAAACTGGTGTGGAGATTGGGAGGCTGTGAAGTTGAGTGTCTTTTCGTATCGGCTTGATCGCAGCTATGCCCTGCAAGCCCTGCCAAGAAAGGCATCGGCCAATGCTGCGCACGTGGCTTGCGTGGCTTGAGAACATGCCAATGTCCCGTGATGGATAACGTCAAATTTATCTATCAGATCTGACAGAACCGTTGCCTCTGGATATGGGGAATTTGTTCGGTGCCTTTGTGGGAGCGGCACAAGATCCGCACGGGGCGGAAGTTGCCCTTCTTTGTTTTTCCAACATTGGTCGCTTTGCGATGTGGCGCTTTTTTACTTTGTTTCGTACAGTATCTTGGGACCGCAAGGGGGAGTGGGGGGAGGGGTGGGATGGCTGGTTCGCCCAGAGAACACGCAATCACATGCCGCCCAACCATCCCGCTTCCTAACAAAGTGGAGCTTCCGCGTCTGGTCTAGAGCCCGAACAAAGTTTTTCACTGTTGCTGCTTCAAGCATTGTTATTTTGAGAGGTGATTTTCTCTCCCCTTCGCGTTATACGGAGATATCACGTGGCACACGTGACTTATTTCTTTATCTTTCTTCAATATTGGAGCTTCAGCCGACTTGTACAGACGGCGAAGCTTGGGTACAAGTATTTAAAAGCAGCAATGTTATTTTCTTCTTTGGTAGTTATCTTGGTTTTTGTTAACCCTCTGCCACCCAACTGATCCCTTCCCAGCCACCACGGCGTCGGCGGTCGTTACTCTCGGTTGGGGTCATAGCTGGGCCACCGCAAGTTGTTGAACTGTCCTCAGTTATAGGGCGGATAGGGGTCGACTGTATTGTTCAGATAGTTATACTCACAATCTGGCAATCCCTGCCCCTCCCTACACATCTTGGCTCCGCAACCACGATAGCGAAATGCACTGTCCGCAGCATTAGCGAAGTATGTTGGCTTTTGTTTGCCGATCGGTGTACGAAAATACTGTGTAATTATTCTTGTTATATACTCAATGTTGTTTCTTGGAAGGAGAGGGAGAGATGAATAGGTTTGAAATCTCATACAAATTATGAGTTTTGAAATTGGACATCTTTTTTCGGTAGAGTTGCATTAGTCCTTACTTGAAACTTGAAATATGTTTAATTATATTATAATAAAAACAGTACACGCATTAGTTCCACTTAAAACATCACGTGTTTTAACTTCTTGCTTTTTTACTTTTAAAATAATAAAAGTAATATAAATAAATTTATATTTAAGAAATATTAGCTAAATAAAATATAATAATATATTAAAAAGGAAATTTATTTATTTTAGTAAAAAATATAAAAAAGTACTAGTATGAAATATAAAAGGAAATAAATATAATATTATAATTAAAAGAAAAAGAATTAATAAAAAAAGACCATATAATATTTTTTCTTTAATTAATAATTATAAATTCGAAGTTATTTTAATATTATAAAAGCTTAAAAAAAATAAGAAAACAACTTTAGAAATAAACTAGAAAATTAAATTAATCTTTTTTTAAGTATTTTAGCTTATAAAATAATAATTAATTTATTAATAAAAACTAAAATAAAATTAATAAACTAATTAAAGAATTTAATTGACTTTATAAATAATAATATATATTATATTAATATTATTTTTTATAAAAGAGAATTAAAAGACGCGATTTATAAATTATATTTATAAGTTTATTATTAATATAATATAAGAGTATAAATAAAGAGTTCTTAAATTAAAACCGAGAAATATAGGCAAGTATTAGATATTATAAATTTAATCTCTTATTTAAATTATATAAATTATATAAAAAAATATTTTCTAACTAGATAAAGAGCTTATATATATCTAGCTAAGCGCTAGAGAAAATATAGAGAGAAAATATAGCTTTAGAAGAGGGTATTAATTATTCTCTTATTAGAGTCACTTCTTGGATTTAGTTATACTTGCAAGCGTCACTTTACAGTTTACCTTACCTTAACTACTTGTGCATCAACCTGCGACTGTGTGCCTCACACGAGGCGTAACTGAATCGGCTCTGTCATAGCCCTCCCGCAGGCCCTCTTAATCAGCTGCTCTTACTAATGTATTTGGAACTAACTGATCTTGGTGCACCGATAAATTTATAGTCCCCAAGCCCTATCACGGTAGACACACTAAATGTACAAAAAATCCGCTCACTATTTCTAATACCACTCGTAGCGTTTCCTCTTTAATCCAGGGCACCCACAAAAGGCTTCAGTACAGCAGACACCTTCCTGGCAGCAGCCGCAACAGTTGCTAGTGTCACCACATGATGAACACGACCTTGCCTCGAATAGCTTGAGGGCAGTTTCGGACCTTCCGGGCATGATACCGGCAACGACAGCCGTAGCAAGGAACAAAGTCTGGATGAATGTCGTGACGCGCATCTTGGCTTTACACTCGAGCGATATCCTATACATATGGTTAGTACTATCGCCATGATACAAATATCAAGATCTTGATATTACTTAGACTGATGAGGTTGAAATTGGTGATTTGTGTCCTGTGGAGTTGTAGTGTAACTACGTTGTATTAATGAAAATGCAGCAGTAATGGTTCAGACTGCCACCCAAGCTGCGCGAGCTGCACTTATTTATACATCGTCTTATATAGAGGTTTGACAAGTTCGCCCGCCTTAGTCGGTCCAATTAAGGTAACGTAGTACGTTATATTTGGGATTAAGGGTGCGAAACGACGTGCAAAGTTTAATAACTGTTAGAAGTTCCAGATAAGTGCACGAGCGTCGCACCAGCAAGCCGAGCTCAATGGAACCAGAGAAATGTCATGAATGTCTATTAATGAATAAAGTTTTGATGTGAATGCTTAGAAGTTTCAGGGGGTTTCCTGTTAATTAAAGCAATTGATCCGAGCCAAGCGGGTATGAGCTACCTAGTACAAAGTATATATTCGAAACTTGACTCATATTATCCCTTCGTTTGCTAAGACATGTCTAGCGCTAGCAAGGGGGCCTTGCTTAGATTATACTAGTATATCTTTTATTATAATTTTATTAGTTATTCATTGCCTTTTGCCCTAAGCAAGGCCCTTTTACTACTACTAGACATGTCTTAGCAATAAAGAAGTAGTAGTAAATAGCCAGACAAGGATTTGCTTAAACTTAAAGCTAGATATAATATATAATACAAATATAGTTTAGATATATATTACTTCCTTCCCTTGGCCCTTCTTTTATTCTTTCTTATATATACCTCTTTTCTTTGGTTTAATTACTATTACGAGGCCTAATTCTAAGCTTAAAAAATAAAATAAAATAATTCTTATTTCGAGAATACTAATTTAAAGTAAGAAATATATATAAACATATAAATAATAAGTAAATATATAAGCCAGCTTAGCCTAATATAGCCTAAAATATTATATATATATAAAGTATATAATAGCTATAGAATATATAAGTATAATAATTATATTTTAATTTTAGCTTCTTTTTATTACTTATAAGTTCTTGCTTTATAACTTTCTTTTTATATAAAATCATATAAGCTTAATAATATCAAAATTGATTTTTTTAAAGATTATAAATCTCTTATTAATAATAAGAGTTATAAATTAATTCTTTAAATATATCTTTATAAAAAGACTTTTTTATTAATAATCTTTATTTATTATTTATTATTTATTATTTATTATTTATTATTTATTATTTATTATTTATTATTTATTATTTATTATTTATTATTTATTATTTATTATTTATTATTTATTATTTATTATTTATTATTTATTATTTATTATTTATTATTTATTATTTATTATTTATTATTTAAATTAAAAAAGTAAAGAAGAGAAAAAGTTTTAATTCGCTATTTAATAAATTAGAGAAGTTAAATAAACTATTAAAAGTAATTATTTAATTAAAAAAAAAAATTAAAAAAAAAAAGTAAATAAAGTAAATATAAGAAATTAGTAAAACTTGTTTCATTTAGCTATTAATTACAAATACAAAAATTTGCCTAAAGTATTAAGGCCAATACTTTATTAAAGCTTATAAGATAATATAACTTTTTAATTAAAATATAAAAGATTTTTGGAAGCCTTTAAAGGGCTTATACCTTTATTAAAAGAAAATTACAGGACTTATAGGGCTTAGTAAGACACTATAGCAGCTATTAATGGCCTTATAATTATATATATATCTATAAACCCGTTATTTAATATCGCGTTCTCCGTTTTTGGCTCATTTCCTTATTTTGTAATAATAACTAATAATAGCAGATTGTAGTATATAACTTGTTAAAATAGAAGCGCTTATTACTAGACTTGCACACTATTAATTTTCGGAACCTTTTGCCCAGTATACTTAGTATATTAAATGATTTAGTTTGATTTGATTATAGCCTCTGAATTAAATCAAATTATATTAAAATCTACTTAATTAAATCATAATTAACTATAATTAACTATAGTTAATTATAGTTAATTATTTAGTTATGTAAGTATATACGTGCGCTCGGAGGTCCGAAAGCGAGATAAGGCTAAAATAAGGCTTAGGCTAGTCCGTATCCGGTATTGCTTAAGGCGCTCCTTACTAAATCGGGTATCGCACTGCTTAGTAAGCAAAGCGGTGCGAGCCCAAGGTGCTAAAACCTTCTCGATTTTCTAGTAATTCTTCGCTACCTTATAAATCTTATTATTATAAATAAATTAGCTAAAAATAGGATCTCTCATAAATAAACGCTCTAAAATTAGAGGGTTATATCTAATTAGAGACTTATTAAATAATCTTCTAGATTCTAGAGGATTTATATATAAATAAGTAATTTTCCTCAGGTTACTTCCTTCTTCCCTTATTTTATATATAAATATCTTAATAATTATAGCTCTAATTAAGAAGCTTTCGACTATAAACTTACTTACTTTTACTTGATATATTCGAAAATGTCTTAATAATCTTTAATTAATTTTAATATTCCTTAAAATAGGGAGAAATAAAAAAGATAAAGAAGAGGTTTCTAAGAAAGATATCCAGTTTTTTATATCCGATTTAGACTAGCTTTATACTCTTAAATATATTCTATAAGTTTTGTTTATATCTTATTAATATAGCTGTTAGTTATTTAATAATCTTTTAAGTTACTTGAGAAATTCAAGTTTTCTTAATATTATGTAATAATTATAATTAATTATAATTAATTATAATCATAATCAAATCATAATCAACTATAATTAACTATAGTTAATTATAATTAATTAGCCTTGATTTTTTTTGGATACACTGAGTACACTCAGTAGCGTTCAGGCCAGCATGGTTTTTGTAACGGCAGAAACCAAGCAATGGAACGATACTCAAAGATCTATAATTCCAATATCCTACAGAATCTAAAGCTAAGGAGAGAAGGAGTGAGGTGTGGCAGTGGATAAGTAGGTATGGCCAAGACTACTGAAACGCCGAGCTTTGGAAGCGAGCTTGGTTTGAACCATAGCTTGGAACTTTAGCTGAAACCAACCATGTGACACCAGCCGTCACAGTTTTGGTGGGTGGATTAATCGCCTAGAGTTCAAATCAGCTAGGGAAACACTTCAAAAGCTTTTGGTAACAAATACGGCGCCATGTTGAACAAGAATAAGAATCATGATTATTTTTTGTTACATATAAGCTATAAATAGATACACAGTGAGTATCGGTTGAAATGCGGCTATACGTTGGAGTTCAGACTCTGGCTTTTTTATGAGGAGCGTGGTCTGAGGGAAGCGAGATCTGGGCCCCAAAGACGGTAACCTGCTGAATTCGGAAGCTAAGAATAGTGTGACGGCTGGTGTCACATGGTTGATACGGACGTGGTTTCAGCCAAAGGGGTTGGTTTTAGCTATGGTTCAAACCAAGCTCGCTTCCAAAGCTCGGCGTTTCAGTGGTCTTGGCCATACCTACGAAGATTGCGGCATAAAGTGACGGGATTACAGGGCATTTACGCTCGCGTAGGGGTCTTAGCGGACTCCAGGGTGTGGCTTAAGGTACTGCGCCCGCTATAAGCCTTGTAACTCTAGGCCTAAACCCCTAAAACAAGGGCTGTGAGACATTTCCAAGGTGGTGGAAGATCTTCAAGGGTTATGGTGTTGCTGGCGGAGCAACTGTAGCGCTCGGGCGCTGTGAGAGAGCTATTTTAGGACTATTTAGCGACATTGCCCTTGTAAGTACAGGGGATACCTTCTAAAGGTGTGGTACCCCTTGTTTATAGTTTATAGCGTGCTTACAGGAGGGTAGCCTGGAAATATAGGGGACTTTAGTGGGTGAGTATAGTAGAAAGTGGCCTGAAAGTGGACTTGCGATACAAATGCCCTGTAATCCCGTCACTTTATGCCGCAATCTTCGTACTTATCCACTGCCACACCTCACTCCTTCTCTCCTTAGCTTTAGATTCTGTAGGACATTGGAATCATAGATCTTTGAGCATCGTTCCATTGCTTTGTTCCTGCCGTCACAAATAGCGTACAATCCAAGCCCGTTACGCTGTTCCTGAAATTGGTTTAGCGGCCCGAATTCGTATTATGCGTGGTTGGAAAACTTTTTGATAGCCCTAGCTTGCAAAGCTGATTGGTAAGAAGACTCTGACTCCTCTTTTCTTTGTGTTCCATTTCCGTTCCCTTCCGTTCCCTTCTCATTCTCAACATTTCAGCCATGTCAGAAGAAGAAGATCTCTCGTTTTCATACTTCGCGGATCTTCCAACCGAAATTCAACTTTTGATCTGGGAATTGTCTCTCCCAGATGCTTCCGTCATCCACCTCACCAACCCTCCGGGGAAGTTTGCAGAGCTATACGAACCATTGAGAAGCACACGAGAGTTGTCGCGGCTCCTCTACGTATGCCGAGACTCTCGTAAAGTTTTCAAACGCCACTACGTTCCGCTCGGCGAAATCTCGAAATTTGAACATAAGCATCCCATTTATTTTGACCCTGAAGTAGATACCCTGTATCTTGAAGTCACTTGGCACTTCTTGTATCGCCCTATCTCCAACAAATGGCTATCTGCGGCTGCCATATCCGCCGTTGACGACTGGACTGTTAAAAAGTCCAATGACAAAAGGTGCACCAACTCGGCAGTTGAAGGTTCTCCTGTTTATAACGCTGATAAAAACCACTTCCCTTTCTTAGCCGACAAGAAGGTTCTTAATTCAATCCGACATCTGGCTATGGACTACAGAGCTTGGAGTGGCTGGTGTTTTTTCCACCACATCGAGAACATAATCAACTTCTTCCCCAACTTTCCAAATTTGGAGAAGTTCACTTTTGTATTTGGAGAGCCTGGCGTTTGCGATGGAGATGAGGAAACTAACTATCCTCTAGAACTGGGAGAAATACAAGCAGGCACGGCGGCTTGGCCTTACATCCAACAAATTAAATTGAGAGAGTCTAAGGCTCAGGAACAGGCCAAAAAGAAACAACCGGGATTGAAGCTCCCACCATTCGAAGTAAAGATTCCGGGGAAATTGAAGCGCACTTTAAGGGAAGAGTACGATGCGGAATGGGATGCCCAGAGTGACTGGTCAGGGGAATGGGCACATTGTCTATACTACGAAGACTGGATTTACCGTTAACTGGCGGCGCCATTTTAAATTTAGGATACTGCATTCTTTTATCCGGATATTAATCTTCGTCACTCTTGATCTTAATAAAACAACCGCTTTTTCATTAATAACTCCCCCTCTTGTATTAGGGAAAATGTAAAACGACCCCCCGGGGGGTATTAATTGGGGGCCGAACTAATCTAAAATAGAAAGAAATACTAAGAAAGCCAGTTTTTCTTTAAGTTTAATTTTTTTATATTATAGAAAGCCAGATTATAAGCTAATAAAATATAAAGTTTTTAATATATAATAATTAGTAGATTTAAGAAAAATTTAACGAAGGTAAGGAAAGTCGAAATTTCTAAGGTATTATAAGTGCCAGAAACTAATTTATCTCGTATATAATTATTGCCTTTTCTATTTTATGCCCCAAATTAGAGCTCTTATATATAAACTTCCTTATATTTATATTAGGAATTCTGATTTGAAAGAAGAACTTAAGTATAAGAAACTAATTAAGAATTATTAAAACTCTAAAATCAATTAATTTGTCTAATTAATACCCGGGAGGGTATCGTTTTACATTTCCCCCTATATTGCCATTCATTAACCACGCAACTTATTGCAACCCTACGGAGATCGCGGCACGAAGCAACGGGATTATAGGGCCTTCGTACTAAAACTCCACTATAGCACTTGTTTCTATCGAACTCAGCCGTTAAATGCCCTCGTACTGTATTTCTAGGCTACTGCCCTGAAAACAAGCCATAAGCCTCTAATAAGGGGGCAACACCTGTCACGGGCTTATCCCCTGTATTTACAATGGCTTGTTCGCTAATTAACCCTATAAGAGTTGTATTTTTAACGTCCAAGCGCTATAGTAGCTCTACCAGCAGTGCTAATACCCTTGAGATCTTTATAACCCTGCAAACATCTCACAGCGTGTTTCTAGGGCACATAGCCTGGAGATATAGGGCCTTATAGCGTGCGCAACGACTGAATCGGGCTCTATAGTGGGCTAAGTGCCGAAAGGCCTATACTCCCATCACTTTATGCCGCGATCTCCGTACGGCCAAATGGCTCATAGTTCGATACCAAAGAAGGCGTTTCTTCAGGAGATTTTCACTTCTTCAACCAACTCCACTGGTCTTAAGACAACCGATACTTCATCTGTCGCAAAGTTCTAGACTCTCTCGGTGAATTTGTGCATTTCCCTAAGCTCGCTCCTGAGCTTCTTCCTGATGGTCTGGTCGCAATGTTTTCTACCACCTCGCACTGTCGAGATCGAGATACGTAGGAAATGTCATTTATCCATTCTCACCTACAACTCTACCTATCTCCTCCCTATCATCCCAGTTATACAGATCTGTGTTAATTAAAAGCTCTGACTGTTTATATCATAGCAGTGTGGGCTCCGATAAATTATCGATTAGTAATCGTTATCGGCTAAGCGATCGATAAACGATCGATATCGATAATTATCGTTGATAAAAGTGGGCCCAGCCAGCCAGCGAGCCCCATTACATGAACATCTCGCTTTCTAGTTCAATTATAAACCGATTAGTATTAAGATTAGTATAAAAGTAGACTATTATTACTATACTATTAGACTTTTTAACTTTCCATTTAATAGTCTATTATATAACGTAGACTAGCTAGTATTTAATCCAGTTATCGATAATTCCATCGATAAAAGTGGGCCCAGCCAGCCATTAAGCGAGCCCATCGATAATTCCATCGATAAAAGTGGGCCCGCCAGCCATTGAGCGAGCCCATCGATAATTCCATCGATAATAGTGGGTCCCAGGGCCTTGGCAATACTACAGGGCCACTACAGGGCCACTACAGGGCCAATACGCTATAATACGCTATATTTACAGGCCTTAGACCGCCTTTACAGTACTAAATCTATTAATAATAGTGGGTCCAGGGCCTTGGTAGTACTACAGGGCTACTACAGGGCTAATGCGCTATATTTATAGGCCTTATACCGCCTTTACTAAATCGGAATTCTGCTATAGTAAAGAAAAGGTGGTATGAGGCCTATAAATATAGCGCATTGGCCCTGTAGTGGCCCTGTAGTATTGCCAAGGCCTTAGTTCGATAATTATCGTAATCGATGGTCGATTATCGATTATCGAAAAATTAGCGCGATTATCTAATCGTCGCTTATCGAGCTTATCGGAGCCCACACTGTATCATAGTGGTCCGAGACTCCGAGGACCTTCGAGACTGGTTTTGTCCAAAGTAGAGTGAGTGATGTTGGTACTTGCAAATTTCTCAACGTGTCCCAAGAGTCACATAAACCATTTCTGAATAAGTGGCTATCACTTGCACCTCGCCTGTCTGGACCCCATAGAGACTTAGCCTTTCGAGCCGCTGATTAATCGACCACGTTCTTCAATCCTAAGCTAGCCACCCTTTTCATTGCCTACAGCGATGACCACCACACTCTCGTCTCTCTAGTGCTCACTAATACTCTAGCATCCAAGCAGTCAGCAGCTTCAGGATTAATTTTGGATTTAGCCTTCTGCTCCTTGGAGAAGCGTGAGGAATCAAGCTGATGACTTGAAAAACGATGCCAAATCTTGAGGGCCTTTACTTGGCTTGCGATGATCCTTGCCATTATTACCAGACGCCAAAAGAACTGTAACCTGGAGCTATCGCTTTTACTAATACTTGCAGCAACAACCCCGTCTCGCAGTGTCATGCTCCGAGAGCTGGAGTGGAAGCGGAAAGCTTAATAGACTTGTTGAAGAACAAAGAGTACACTGATCGAGACTTACCTGGGGTGTATAAGAATATCATTCGTGGCGAAAACGACATGCCATACTGATTAGGAGGTGATCAATAGGTTAATAGTCAGTTTTTTTGTACTACCACTGTTTTCTACGTGAGATATTCACGAAGAGAGAGCTTTCCATCTCCACTAACATTCCGCTCCATGACTAACATAGTCTCAGGTAAGAGAAAAAGATAGAAGTTATCAGTAGGATCTCGCAGCCATTTTCCCGGAATTGTAGAGACAGATTTGGACCCAGGGAGAGAGCAGCAAAGAGCGTACTGTGCACATATCTTAATGACAACGACATACCATCGTCAACTTGGTTAACGAAGGCATTTTGTGCCCGATATTTACTGTATACCGGCCCCGAGTGGTACGGAAAACAAATCATAGTATTGTTCTGATTCTCTGTTCTTCACTTCCAACTGTTTAATTCACCACCCGGTCTAAAACCGCCGAGCGAATTTAAAAACAGTATAACATCTTGAAGATGTCTGTCTATGTATCTCTCTGAGCCATATTTTTGCCAATTCAGATGTTCCTTAACAATTACCTCTTCCAACTCGGATATCACGATTCATCATTCCGCAGCAACCATCCAAATCCGGAGCATCGACACCCCTAATAACAGAGACTTCATCATGAGGGAACTCGGTCGTGACGTAATGGTGCCTCAAAAGTGTCCATCATTCAAGAGGAAGCTCCCCACCGAGATTTGCTTCACAGTCTGGTCCTTGTTATCCCCCGGCCCTCGAATTGTCGAATTCGAATGCATAAGCACCCTCTCTGGGTAAACCCTAGAACGGGTGCTTATGCAATTGAGAATTGAATTCCCTTCTAGACCCCTTTCCCCACACTTCGCAAGCTAATTTTTATAATTTTATCATAAAATAAGGCTTTCTTTTTCGGCTATTCTTTAGCCCCCGGCACGCGTACAAAAGGTGGGCAAGACGTACGTCCCTCTGTCCCTTACTTGTAATCGCTTAGGAAGTATATCCTCAAGGATACACGTGCGCTTCCTGCACTTTATTGAAAATCAGGGGCTGTATACCATATGGCCCGGCCCACTTTTAAGTGGAGTCGTAATTTCCAGAGTTTTAAGGAAACTGAGCTTCCATAGAAAAATACCACAATCAAGCTTCAATTCAATACATTTAAGGTATACGTGTGTATACGCTCCTGTGAGGCGCCGAACGGGGTGCCCCTAGCCTATTAAGGTCCTAATATTAGTAGAGAAATAAGCTTTAGAACTCCCAGAACTAGCGCTCTGTCTAGTTCAATCAATAAAGAATCGCGAAAATATTTTCTGAAGACGTATTTTCCTTTAGCCCGCAGTAAGAATGCCTGTTTTTGATAACCCTCTGCGACGACATGAGCGAAGTCAGGAATTCATCTCAGGCAAAGCACCAAATGAGGTCTTCAACTGTAAGATCAATAGGCTGTACATTTCGAACAGCCACGACATTTCCAGTGGCTTGGAGGAGAAAACATGAGATCCCTCTTAAGCCACGCCTGCATCTAGCAGCTTCGACTCCTTGCTCTCGACCATTTCTTTTGCCGGTATTTGGCTATTAAGAAATGCTTCCCACTCTTCCAGCTTCTCGTAGAAATTATGAACTACCTTGAGAAGCTCACCATTATTGATGGTGGAACCCCGTTCTCTCAAGCCATCGGAAAGCACGGCTGGAAGGGTGCGATTACATTCAACGATGATGATCACGACGATGATAGATACGTCAATTAGAATGTGGCTAAGACGTTGGATTTCTTGAATAACTTCAAGCCCTTCTTGAGACACTCCAAGATCACTGACTGCAAGATGATCGTAGAGCGCAAGGCAATATACCACGGTGGTTTCAAGGTGGAGCCTCTACCCTAAAGACACTTTGGTGACTAGTCTAGACGACTGCGATTTTATTTTGGAGTTTGGAGCCATATTTGGTCATTTGGGAAGAGCACAGTTAGATCTAGGAACGCTTATATAGGGAAATAACCTTTAGGGAGACGTTCCTTAACGACTTCGTATCTCAACGGGAGATACTAATACATAATTATATATTTCATAATAAAGTGCCATCAACGAGGAATTTCCACCTGTTCTGCAGAATTTCAAGAGACATGACTTGAATGGAAATGGATAAGGCTCTTTCATGGCTTGCAAATATCAATGCATGGACTTGAAATTGTGTGAATTATTTTGCGAGGACTAAAGCTTTATATTCAAGTCACCTTTACTCGGTTTGAAATGTCCTTGATCGTGGAAGTATATTAGAACCTGAATACGGATATGCACTCAGGGTCAACTTCGTTCGACAAAATAAAGAAAACGATCTCGCAAACGTACTGCACAACACACCTTATTAGCTTCTCTTCCGCAGTGGGCATTTAAAAGATCTAGAATCACACCCACAACTTCTCCTACGATTCATGCGTTCTCCGAAACTCACAAACATTCTAGACAACTAGATGAACACTTTACAAGCCAAGTCCAGCGTCTTCGGTTCCTGCAAGGCCGCAAACACGGAGCAGGTAGCATTCGATTCAACACCGGACAAATCCATGACACCAACCAGTAGCTTGTGATGCTTTAGATACCTTCACTCCCTTCCCGAACTGCCCATCAAACTCCGAGTCAAGACCTGGTCCAGCCGCCAGCACGGCATAGTCAGTCGTGACGCGGAATCGGAGTGGTACGACCCTTACAAGATATGGATTGCCTCGAGGGAGAACGAACAGTGATCACCTTTGATTTATCGAGTCAACAAAGACACCTGTCGGTAGTGCATGCTTCAGTACCGTATCATTTATCCTCAAGGCGAAGAGAAGTCTAAGCTAGAGGGTGAAACATTCTTATTGGAAAGTAATCGATTTATTGATGGAAAATCGATTTATTGAAGGTTGACAGACTGCAGAATGACTAGATACAGAAGAGTGAGTTCTAGAAACAGAGGAAAAATGTCCAAAGTAAGGGATTTATTCCCATTACCCTTCGGCGATACCGGTGATACCGAACCCGCTTTCTCCGATACATTATCAATCAGCTGATAAACCAAAGGTAATCAAAATGACGATATACTAGTAAGCTTGGTAAGCTCGGCGAGTGACGCATGACAAATGAGAGTGGAGAACCCTAAATTAGTGGTTGAACCTGGTGCTGGAAGGACTGGTAAGCTAGCTATGGTAGCGTACCAATTTCAACAATTCTTCCCTGACTACTTCTCAACCTGAAAGTCGATATCTTGTACTTGGTTGCAGGTCAACAGATGGGCAGCGGACTGACCGTGCAGAGTTTAGCATCACGGGATTCAATCATGACCTCTTGAACAACATACGGTTCGTGGCAGTGCAAGCTGAAGAATTCATTTATACCACCCGCTGGGACAACGATGATATAGAGCGCGACAGCGAATGCGGGGGCGCTTCCATTCTCTCCTTAGTAGAACACCAACTCTCGAGACACTCTACTTTATAGATGGGGAGTCCGACAAGAGGTCTCTTTGCGACACATTCGTGGCCCAGGACGCGGCAATCCCATATCGTCCCGAATAAAGGAAAAGTTGCAGGCTTGGGCTGAGGCCCTTGCAAAGTTCAATGCTTGTCCTTCAGAGCCACTGCCGCTCATGTGCGTCAAACAAGCATTCAGAGATGGGAAGCTGGTTGCATTCGACAGTGATGATCTACAATGAATCTGGGGAATCTGGGTGTAATCTCCTCTTGTTTAAGGGAGACACGAGGGTGCTAATTCTGGATTAATACAATTATAAAAAATATTAAATTTAATAAATAACCTATAACTTTTTCTTTAACTGTCTTAAAATTATATTATTAACTAATACATTCCTTAATTAAGTATTTTATAATTATAATATAAGAAATTATAATTAAAGTATTAAATTATTATTTTAATATTTCTTATATAATTATATAATATTACATATAAAAATATTTCTTTTCGTGATTTTTTTCTAAAAATTATAATTGCTCTTATATAAGAGCTAGTTACTTGCAAATTTCTAAGAGCTTTATATAAGGTCTTACTTAACAAATTAGACTAATTGATTATAAGGGTCTTATTTAATAAAAGACTTACCATAATATATAATTATAGAAATTTAAAAGATATACTCCTATATGTGAGTCAAGAAACGAACCTCGGTAAGGGTGTGACCGGCTGGTGTCACATTGTTGATACAGACCTGGTTTCAAGCTAGGGTTCAGGCACTTAGCGTTTCAGTAGTTCTAGGCCTTACTTACTTATCCACCACCACACCTCACTTTTCTCCTTAGCTTCAGATTCTAAAAGATAGGACCTAGAGATCTTTGTGCCTCGTTCCAATGCTCCAGCTCCACCGTCACAAGGGGAATAGAATAAAGGAGAGGCAGTTGCATAATGGGGGTTAAAGTCTACTGCTGGAGTGGGGTATATTTCGATACATCTACGTTTTTAAATACTGTTAGAGAGGGAACTATAAGGGAAAGGAGGGCAAGTCTCGTTTCAATTTATCTTAGTATAGTTGAGCTGAGTTAAGTAGACCTCAGTTGACTTGAGCTCAACTCAGTCCAACTCTCATAAATAATCCTTAAAACACGATCAGTGTCTCTTGGCAATTATTTCTTTCCTCTTTCGGATATCAAAAAAGTGGGTACACGCGTCACTCTGCACCTCGTTTAGGCTCCCCACGCTTGACCCCGCTTTTAGGCCCCTCGGACCGGGACAATGAGATTGACAATGGTTATTTAAAACTGCGATTTGCAAATTTACGTCTGTTGTGTGGCTAGATACCGAAGAAAGTTTAGTCTGTGGAATTCTAAGATTTATAAGGGAATATGAAAGTCTAGGGCTCCAGGGCGTATAAATTAGAGAGTTTATCCACCTGCAACTCACAACTTCCACATAGCAGTTTCAAAGTACACTTGGATAATTTGACCACAGACCGCGTCCAACCCAAACTAGATCCAGCCACCAACAGCGCTACCGTCTTTCCCAAGAGTCCTTCGGCACATCTTCTTAAGATCTGCTTCTCGCGATGTCGCACAGCCCGCCAGACGTAGCAGTCCGCAGCGAGCCCAGCCGTGCTCGATGCAAACCTCTTGAGATGTTCTCTCTCTTTGCGACACTCCCCATTGAACTTCGGCTCAAGATTTGGGGTCACATTTTACCAGGACCTCGAGTCATCGAAATTGAGTGGTCCAGACAATGCAACGCGTGGCAGTTCACATCCGAGAGCAAGCCAAGCATGACTCTTCTTCATGGTGTGAACAAGGAGGCGAGAGGGGAGTTCTTGGGATCATATACAGCAATCTCCCTTGAAGATAGATCATTTTCCATTTTCCAGCTCGGGGCGCGGCCAGCATTACCATTTTGTTGCTTTTTCAACTTCGAGCAAGATACTCTGTACATTGCGGCATCTACAGATATCAGCCACCCATACGTCAACTATTCAATGGATCGACTTAGCACCATCGTTTTCCAGGGATGTAAGCACCTTGCGGTTCAAGGAGAGACTTTCTGGAGCAGAGAATTCGAGGCCGGACAACCATACATCATCACACCTTTCACCCAAATGAAGGCCGCGAAGCTAGCAAGTCTATTGGCAAGATTTTCAAGCCTCGAGACATTGAGCGTAGTCGTTGGCGATGACTATAGCCAGGCATTACACATTCTTGGTCCGCCCAATAACAAGCCGCAAGGAATTGTTAAATTAACTGATTTGACCTGTGGGCGCCCTTCGACGAGCAACTTTGTTGGTGCAAAAGAGCAATTTCTGGCATGGATGGAATTCCTACGCAGCCATTTCCCTGAGGTTTCATCGGCAGATTTGGCTATCAAGCAGGCTTTGCGGGGAGGAAACCTCGACGTCATTGATGTATGGGGCATATTGGACCACGAAAGCTCTTGAATACGAGGCCATGCGTCGAGGAGGGCCGTCATTTTGAGGTCATGGGAGGAAGGAGGGTTCCTACTAGGGAAAAAAAATCCTCGTAATTCTACAAGCGCGCCGCTACCATACAATATTCAACCCGGCGGAGGATGATAAGGTTTCGGGCTATGGGACTCTGGAGATTGCCATTATACTTCTGCAATAAAATACCAATACTGCGCAAGGCTTTCAGACTCATGTTGACTCAGTTTTCGTGCTACCATGAGCTCCGATCTCTAATATAAGCAGTCCCTGAGTAGAAGATGATGCCTTCATACCCTTCCTAACTGGCAACATCTACTCGCTTCTCGCACAAGAAAAGTAATAACTTCCATTACGGTTAGGTCCCACGAGTCAGTTGACTTTATCAACAGATCTTACTATGCGGGTGGGCTTGTCTTGCAATCACAATCCAAAATGCCAAAAGACAAATTGTGAAGCAACTCTCACATTTTGGATGATAACTTCCCTGTTTTGTTTCGACTCCTGTTGTCACAAATTTCTTTGGTATCACTTAGCTACCTTTATCTATCCTTCTACCGTGAACGAAAGAAACAAACAGAAAATAAGTTTGCATCGCTTCCATTCATCACAAGTTCCCTATTTGTGTTACTGACACAGGGTCCTGTCCTGGTAGAAAAACTTGAGGATTTCGACCCTGACTTGCCTAAAATTTTGATACAATGCTATTAGATCCTTGAAGTGGACAATAGGAAGGAAGACCTCCTTCTCGTTTAGCCCCAGGGTTGCTCGCTTCTGCTCCTTCGCCAGCTGGTGAAGTCACACCCACAGCTCAAACCAAGGCAAAACATGTATTAAACCCTAAAGTAATTTGTCGACAAATCCCGGGTTATCAATAGCCAGGCCGTGTGCCTCTTTCTAAAGGCAGAGACCGCGGTAACCATGGCGGCCAACTCTCAAGACTCAAGCTTGCCGGGAGATATCTAAGTGGCACTCACAGGACCAGACACTGGAGAGAATAGTGAATATCACGGATGCAAATGTGGTTGGCACGAAGGCGACGCCAGCGAAGCCATTTCGGGGCTGGGCCCTCTGAAATTCTGTATCGAGTCTCTATATCCTGTTCACTCTCCGCCTCCAAAACTAAAAGGAAGTAATTATAATCAAGAGAAAATCTCCTAAAGAGCTCCTTTCAGAAATCAGACACAAAATAGTCTGGTTCGTCTATTAATATTGACAACAGCGATGAGTTTACAACAGACGACCCTCGGTTGATCCAGTAGAGAGAGTACAAAGCACAGCTTTTTGTTCTCTAAGCTACAATAGTAAATCCGAAGCTGACAAGAGAGCAGAGGAAAGGCTGAATCCTCTAAATGGAGACATGAACTGCAGATGCACCGTAGATTATGCAGAAGAAGAATGGTGGGGGGGTGAGGGGTAGGCTGTGGGGTGTATATATACGGATAAGATCTGCAGAGGGATGGAGATGAGTGCATTCCATTTGGGGTCCCAGGCTGCAAAACACTAAGCACTTCGCATTCAGTTCACTCCCTCCAAGTTTTCCAATATGAAATTTCAAAAGAAATGCGTTCCAATTATCGTACGCCGTCGGCGGGTATCTTCATTCCTCCTGCCTTTTACCGTGGCCTTCTCAAAGGATGCGCCTCCGTATTCAAAACCCACTCATCCAAGTTCACCACATCGAAGTCCTCAAAGCAAAGATAAAAGTACTTCAGCGTCTCGGCCAACCAAAAGCTCTCCATGCTATCAATCTGTTGGGCTCTAACTCCTGTTCTGTCTGTATTGTCATCATTCCTCTTCCTAGGTTCCGTCCCCGGCTGTTCATTATCCTCTTTCTCATCACCCGTTACGGTTATATCAGCGATCGCAGCAGCAGCGACTTCTGTCCTCGAGACTTTGTCAATAGCCTGGAACATCCTCCACGCAGCATCCTGGTAGATCTGCTTCCCCGTAATCCTCCACATTATAAACACACTCTCGATCGTCTCAGGCCTGAGAATATACCGCCTATCATCCGCACCTACAATACCCTTCCAAAGCTTCCTCTCCTGTATAATCTTCTCCACACTTTCACCTGTTCGCCCACCGCTGCCGTAATTAGTTTTGATAACGTCGTGCCAGACTGAGTCCTCCCAGCCACAAGCAGAGTTCTTGGGGCACGGGATCACGGTGTACAGCTCTGGTGCGATCTGGTTTGGAGCGGCGTCGTAGGCCCAGATGCAGCCTTGGGTTAGCTCTTCTGCTGTCTGCAGGTCTTGGGGGCGGCCGAAGATGCGGGAGGCGAGACCGACCATGCCGCCTATGAAGCATGTCAAGTGCTGACCTCTTGGAATTAGGTGGTTTTCGCCGTCGTCTGTTACTCTGATGTCCCCTGATGCTTGGACTGGGAGGTTGCCAGGGTTGTAGAATCGGAAGAAGAGGAACTCTTTGGCTACTTCGATAAAGGATTCGTAAAGTTGCTTTGGCTGGGAGAGCAGCCCGCCGAGCAGAAGGTAGTGTTTGGGAAAGTACTCATATAGCGAGTCTGACATGCCGCCTAGAGTAAAGAAGTTATCTTCCGCAAAACTAGGGGTTGCAGCATCGATGCTGACGGGCCACATCCCGGGGAGTTTTGTGGAGTTTTGGGCGTCATTGAGGACGTTTGCGATTCGGGCAATGGCGTCGTAGTATTTTGGATCGCCGGTTACCTGGGAGAGATGGGTGAATTCTAGGGAGAACGAGCCGAGTTCCGAGACTAGCATTCGCGCAGGGGCGGTTTGGGCGTAGCCTTCGGTATATCTATTCCCACATTAACTTCACTTTCTCGATATGGGGAAGTGAATGAGATCTACACACTTCTTCCAATCCCATCTCGAAATCGGCATTCGATTCGGCGTATCAAAACAGCTCATCAACAACTCCCCAACCTCCACGGCCTTCGTCAATAACACAGGAAACCTCCCCCCACTAATATCATACGCCGCCAAAAAGCCACCCATATACCTAATCGTCGTCTCAAAAACATTAATATCCTTCGTCTCCGTGGTAGTGAAATCAATTTCCTCGATAGCCTTCACAGCAAGTGCGAAGTCTTCCTTCATACCCATAATCCATAACGTGTCCAGCGAATCCACAAGCGTGGCGGCCCAGCCGCCAAATGTGTCTTTATATTGTCCTGTCAAGGGTGTAACTTCGTCTCGCAGCCAGGCATTCTTTTTATATCCTTCCCAACTGTGCTTAAAACTCTCTTTCACTGCATCCCGTCTGCGTAGCCTCTGGTATCTGACTTTAGGCTTCTCTTCTGGTGCGAGAGCTTGCACGGTAGGTATCTTGTGAGGTGTCCCTGTTGGAAGGGGAATAAAGGATGTTACGGGATAGCGATCGGGGAGCTTCGACCAGTGTGTTTTGCCATCGGTGAAGATGGTTTTCGGGAGGTAGGGTGTGTAGCCGTAGTTCCAGACATTGCCTCGTTGACTCAGGTAGTAGAGAGTTACGAAGGCGAAGGCGATTGTCAGAGCTAATATGCGAACCCTTCGAACAGCAGGCATGGTGCTAGAGTCGGGAGGTTCGAGGTGTTGACAGCTAGGTCCACATGTCGTGTGCTGGCATGGATTTGGAACGCAGCAGCAGAGCTAATCAAGATCGAAGCCGTAGATATCGAATTCCAGACGCGTAGCCAGAATATCACCGTAAAGGACTGTGAAGAATAGTAGGAATGTTTGGAAACGTGGGTTTTTGGGGGATTTCTTCGATGATGCTGTCTCGGAAGGCTGCGCTTTTGGCAGGGATCACCACAGGGCTGAAGGCGGGCTAAATTCAGGGGTCTCCGCTCTGCGAGTTCATCCCGTACAGCACATACGATCGTATCCGTATATCCGTATTGCAGCTGTCTATTGTACATGACTTCTTAGCTACCGAGGTTTTCACGAATTTTCTGAGTCAATATCAGTAGGGCTGAGTAGGTAAGGTTAGAATCAACTCTTTTTTGAAAACGTAAGATACAAAGGACCAAGAGCAACGACCAAGAAATCTCCGACCACTAAAACTGAATTGTATTTCTGAAGGGTAATCATCACAACGTTATCTGGGCCAATCCCCCAAATCTAGCATTTCACTCCAGTCCAGCTGCCTGGTTCAATCCCCCATTCCATTCCATTCCAAGCCCAACCATCGAAGTACTAAGGTCTACCCGCTCGCCTGGAACACGCACCGCACCCAAGAAAGCAACTTTTCTACTTCTGCATCATGAGTTGGACGAACTCGTTATCTGGGGAGTTAAATGTTAGTGGTGGGCAGGTACAGTGAGGCTGGGAATATACAGTCAATTCGGCCATCACCATCTTGATCGGCCTCTCTGATCATCTCATCAACCTCATCATCTGTCAACTTCTCACCAATGGATGTCATGACATGACGGAGCTCAGCAGCCGAGATGAAGCCGTTGTTATCACGATCAAAGACCTATCTAATCAGCTTTTCATCGTTCCGAAGGTTTGCAGACCACGCTCACCTTGAATGCCTCTCGGATCTCCTCCTCAGAATCGGTGTCCTTCATCTTTCTTGCCATCATTGTGAGGAACTCTGCAGCGTATTAGTATGGTCGCATGCCTTTTTAATTGCTGGGCCGCACCTGGGAAGTCGATCGTGCCATTATTATCAGCATCAACCTCGTTGATCATGTCTTGCAGTTCAGACTCGGAAGGGTTTTGGCCGAGAGATCGCATAACAGTGCCCAGCTCTTTGGTAGTAATTTGTCCTGTTAAAGCTCCCATCAGCAGCTATTCTGTGCATGTATGCTCCTTTTGTAATTCGTGACTCCCTGTTCTCGAAGATAGGCAGCCGCTCGAGGCAGGGTCGAAATCGAGGAGGTCAAGTGTCCAGCACCATATATAAGATTTATAAAGGGTATTCGAGTACTAACCGTCGCCGTCCTTGTCCTATTGTGCCAATATCGAATCAGCGCCAAGTTTTTGCCGGGAGCCTTCCCACCTTTATGCGGCTAAAGCTCAGGGGAAGGAGGTACTTACGAAGAGAGAGAAAGCTTCCTTGAACTCGGAGACTTGCTCTTCAGTAAGAGAATCAGCCTGCCATCAACTCCATTAGCCTCTATACAAAAGTAAACCCATCAACCTCGCGCGGCTGACGACACAGATCGCGGGGTTGGATGAGCTTTGGATTCAGGGTCTAGGCTTGCGTACCATCTTGGAAGATGTGTGAGGGCGGGCCGGGGGTTTGTGGTGGTTGTATAGTCAAGATGTCGTCGTCAGGCGTGAAGGTGGTTCGAGGCGTCGGGAGCGAATGAAGCTTTTGTTGTGGGCAGATTGTCTTGCGGCTGTGGTTGTTGATTGAATTGCGCTGTACTCGATGTTGGACAGGAGTACGGCGGCCGAGAAGTGATTCTGTGCAGAGTCCTAATTAGCCACATGCCTGGCGAGTGAGGCTGGAGCTCACATTCGCAAGCAGACAACATGCGATCGCCATTCACAACACCACGAGGATCTTGCTTGATAGGGAGGAAGTCGCGAGCATCATAGCAGCTGTGCGAAGCTTCAATAGAGCTTATGCTCTCTCATCGCCGCGATGTGGCGCGATAGAACGAATCTGTATTTCCCCTGCTTCCACGTACACCACTCCAGGCACTGATAGCAATTGTAGCTACATTTCCTACCGGCAATCCTACGCACATCACCCAGCGAAAAAGCCGAAATACTCTTCATCAACCGGCAATGGCTACTCAGACTCTTTCGCCTCAGGCTCGTCTGAGCGGCAGGGGCTTATGTCCGCAGGCGCATTCGAGGACGACGGCGATGCAGTAATAGAAATGGATCTTCTACCCCCTCGATGGGCAGACGTATCAGACGAAGTCACGGAGCTGTTGACGGATATTTCGGGGAAAAGTGTGAAGCTGGAGAAGTTACATCAGAAGCATGTTCTGCCAGGATTCGATGACGAGGAAGTCAAGAAGACTGAGGAAGGGGAAATCGAGAAGTTGACGCAAGATATCACACGGGGATTCCACGAATGTCAGAAAGCGATTCAGAAAGTGGAGCAGATGGTCCGGGAGAGCAAGCAGCAGGGTGGGATAAGTAAAGGGGAGGAGACGATGGCGAGGAATATCCAGATCTCCTTGGCTGGGAGAGTACAAGAGGCCAGCGCAGGATTCAGGAAAAAGCAGAGTGCATATTTGAAAAGTATGTTTTTATGAGGATTCTGGAATTCTCTAGCTAACGAGTGCAGAATTACGAGGTCTCAGTGGGATGGCTGTCCCAATCGATCGGGCGTCCACCCCTCTATACAGCAATTACACCGACCCCTCCCTAATGGAGTCAGACGCCGACAAATCCTATTCGCAATCGACGCTCCAACAAACCTCCCAAAAACAACTCACCTCCAACGATGCCGCCATAATGCAACGCGAACGGGAAATTACAGATATAGCACAAGGCATCATCGAGCTGGCTGATATCTTCAAAGAGCTGCAGACTATGATTATCGACCAAGGGACGATGCTAGATAGAATCGATTATAATGTTGAGAGGATGGCAGTCGATGTCAAGGCTGCAGATAAAGAGCTGAAGGTTGCGAGTGGGTATCAGAAGAAGGGGACCAAGAGAAGGATCATCTTCTTGCTGATACTGCTCGTGGTGGGGATGGTAATTTTGTTGATTGTCAAGCCGAAACGGCATAGAGGGGCGGATGAGAATGTAATACCACCTTGAACTTTTCTGTTTGATAAGTCCTCATTTCTGCGCTGCATTAGACTTCCATTCGGTCGAGGATTGGGTTGAGAAAAGGAGGAGTTAAGCGACTCGTGACTTCCTCTCCTTAAATCAACTTCGCAACCTTCCCAATTTCCTGACCTCGCCAACTCCAGCGACGAGGTTGTCAACACCACCTCCCAGCGTCTTTGTCGTCAACCGCCTACCTCGTCCTTCATTGTACTCCTTCCCCAAGGACAATCAAGCGCTTCTCTCCAGCTGCACCAGGCAGTCAACACATCCTCGACGCAAAAGCGAATTCGAACGAGCTACCAAGACTCTGGAGTCACCAACCCCAACCATCCACCTCCACACACCTCCTCAATCGCATCTCAATCTTTCTATCACACCATGCCCAACAATAAGACCCCCTCCTCAACGTCGCCTCCGTCTTCAACAGCCACGATGCCAGACAACCCTGAGTCACTTTCATCACAATTCTATTCCAAGCAAAACCACCTTACTAGTCCTGACACCAAAATTCCCATGCAAGTTAAGCCATTGCCGTCGTCAATTTCGAACGATGTCAAGCTCGATGTGCCACAAGCCGGTGGAACAATGCATGTCCAATCTGGCGCTGCTGTCCCGGTTGCCTTGACCATCGAACCGAATGACTCCCTCAATGTCAAGGAGGCACCTTTGTCTTCACCACCTCCACCCGAAGCCAACACTATCGAGCCGATTATTCCTTCTGGCACCGGGTCAATGGAAGATACCTCGGTCGATACTACCTCGCTTTCAGAGTTCATGCTGTTTCCACTTAGGCTGAACATCTGGAAGTAAGCTCTCCGCCCACGGATTATGGAAATAGAATATTGCCATAGCTTGAGAGATGAGCAATATCCCTCAAGCACATGACCACTTGTCCACCTCTTCCTCGACCTCGAGTTTCGCCAGCGAGCAAGACTCAATTCCGGATATAACCTCTCCGAACTCAGCCACCCGACAGGAGTCTAACGAGCTTCCGCGAGATCTCGAAACCCTCCCCTCCCCCCGCCCAGACACCATGCAAGAACAGGGAACCATGTCCGTTGCGTCCTCTCCAAGTCGCGTCGAACAATCACAAGAGACGACCCAGCTTACCGCGGCTCTCGGCACTTTCACCTTCTTCCCGAAGTTACCTATCGAGATCCGACTCATGATCTGGCCCTATAACTTTCCGCGAGGACGCGAGGTCAATTTTGGCAACGAGCTCACGTTTAATGCTAATTGGACCGCCGTCATGAGCTGCATCTTCCAATTCGAAGAGCCATCTCCACTTTCTATTGCACTCCGAGTCAACAGAGAGTCCCGCCAAGAGACGCTGAAGCATTACACCATCCTGTTTCGAGGTGATAGTCAGATTGCTGCAGGACAAACAAAGCCAGTCCAGAGACCGTTCTGCTACAATCCGAAACTTGACACTGCTTGGATCAACCCCCTTGCACTACAACTGATCTGCTGGGACGGAGCCGCCTTTGTGCCTGACCCTTGGTTGCCTTACCTTGCTTCCGCAGCACCTTCAGTCTTCCCTAACACACGAATACTCGATATTCGGGGTTGGTACAAGATGTGGCCCTCAGTAGTTCAACTAGGACGGGCGCCTCTGTTTTATGCTGCTTTTATTGGCGAGATCCATTGCACTGTCCCAGTTGACCACTTAGCAAAGCCACTTCACCAGTATCTAAGTCCACAATTGGAACCCCTTCTGCAGTTTCGGGGCTCGGAGGAATTGAAATTGATCCCATATCGCAATAACGGAAGCGCCTTCAGTTATGCGTTCACACACATTCTGAATGGGCAATCGGAGAAGCGGTATTTGCAGGGCGTCAAGGAGTTTCTGGTGGTACACAAGGACAATTTTGGTGGAAAGTCTCCGGTTCTGACAATTGCGGAGCAGGAAGGATAAGAGGGTCATGGGGATGTACTGTGGTTGGCTAGGAGGTTCTTGCGAGACCGTAGATCTGAACTAATGTTCTGCCCAAAAGTGATGGGTCAACACTACACACTTGATCCTCACAAGTTCATATATGTATGTATAGCGAATATTAAGCGTTCATTTGGAAACAGTAGATGAAATGCAAGCTTTCTTTCTTCACGTTTCTCCCTCCCCTAGTTTCAAATATTGCGGTCCCTCTGACAAAGAGAGGTTGTAGCTGCCGAACACCTAGCACGGCACAGGAGGTACGAATCGTGACTTTCTCAGAGTGTAAAATCCATATTGAGTCACATGAAACATTTCAGCTATGCTTCAAACTGCAGCATGCATGCATAAGGTGATTAATAAATGAGCGCGTAATGTGGATTCTCCTCATTATTTATGGTGTAGGAGGGACCCAAGTCGAAAGGATTGATATTTCCTGGATGCTAGGGATGGGAAAGCAAATTGCAATACTTTATGGCTGAGGGGAGGAAGGATTGAGGCGAAGGACCGAAGAAACCCTAAAAGAAGCCCAAGGAAGGCTTGATGCTAGCCCGCAAAATATATTCGAAATGAGTGGCGAAGACATAACTCCGAGAGCCACACTGTCAAACCATTTGCCAAGACTTGAAAGAGCTTGCTGGTGCTGTTTCAGTGCGGCTGACGATCACCTTGGCTTGAACCTTCTTCTTTACAATCGCATGATATACTGCGGATACACGGTTCTGCAAACACATTAGCATCTTTGCAAGAGGGAAACTAGGCGTGACTGCACTGATTTGACGGATGATGGGCACGTAGGAGCCATCTTGGCCGCAATCACGTTAGAAACTAAAGCTACAGTGAAGCCTCACCGAGGGGAAATGGCCTCAAAAGTTTCTGCACATCGTGGGAGCGGATGCTCAATAACGAGAATGAAGTCGTCAAACCATGCAGCTTCAAGTCATTGTGTGATTACAAACAGAAACACTCAGAAGATGAATTCCGCATTGATGGGTCCAACACTTTCGGGGCAGACACGACAGGCTGCCTGACCCGTAATATTGTTAGCGAAATCAATTATGCCGCTCCACAGGGGCCTATTATAATTAGTATAATTAACCCTGTAGTCTCAAGATAAGCCCAAAAAATCATAGTTCTGAAATATGCCTTTATTCCATACTATTCCTACCATTACCCAAGTTAGAAGAGACGTCATTATTCTCTTCGTCATTCTCTTTTATTGCCTTCCTTCTCCTTCTCCTTTCCCTTACTTGTTAGCCTTACTGCCTTCTTGCTTGCTCTTATTAGAGCCTTAACCTTCGGCACAAAATATTCGAGAAAGCAAATCATAGTAGTAAAAGGCCATTTGGTCCCGCATTTCGTTGATATGGGATATATTTAGAGCTTCTGGCGGTATGTTAATAGTTATAATAAGCTCTATTAAAGAAGTTAGATATAATAACGTATTATATAAAGTAACCTTTTGGATTATTCTTTATCTAGTTATAATATGTTATTAGTACTAACTCTCTTCTTTCTTGCCCCAATCCTGTCACCGAACTATCTCTCCTCTTATCTAACCTCCTTCAGACCTTGGTAGGGCAGAATTCAGGGGCTCTTTACACGCAACAGGCCAGCAGGGTATGGTTCAAGCAGATGGCAGATCCATACAGCTTAGGAAATGGACTAAGAATCGCGGGTCATCAGACCGCGGAATGGCCTCGACAACATTTTGAATATCAGGTTTGACAACCCCGAAACCCAGGAGAATATTATTAGTCTATATGACAATGAAGTAGCTATGGTAGCGAAGGGGCGGAAAGAGGGGATTGCGGAGATGGAGGAGGTGCACATTACGTATGGTGAGAAAGATAAGGTTCATCGGTGTGGAGATCATCCTGCCGGCTGGAGATTCTAGGAAAGGGTTGTATTCTTTTCTGGGCTCGTAATTCACCTCTTGTGATGTACGTATTTGGGGAATATCTGTTCTGCAATGGTTTTACAGTGATTGTAGTGTTTATGTTTATACTCCTCATCTTGACCCTGGTCTCTCTCATCTGCCCGTTTTTGCTACCCAATTATCACGTAACTATAAGGACAGTCTAATACAATCTAGTTAACCCACTCACAAGAATCGACCTCTAACAGCATCACATTATGCACTCGCACTATAACCAACTCAATACTCTAGTCAACAAAGTAGGATTGTTGTTAGTATCATGTGATAAATATGTGTTTCCTCCCACTGGCTCGACTACCGACCCAATACCCCTCCTGCACTCTTATGCAGAGTGCTGTGGGAAGCTGAAGACGTCCCACTGTTATCAGGCTATCGGGTGATTCTGGGACCAGTGCACACGCTTCCAGCTTCTCCTCGGAGATGGTTGCGAAAATATGCTGCGCTGAAATTGAGTATGCTGCGAACAGCGATGGAACGATATACGAACGCTAACCGCTGTGACAATACAATGAAATCCCAAGCTCTTCCTCTGCCTGAACAGGTCCGTAGTAAGCTGCGCACTCATGATCCAATTCCCTCGGGGCCCAAGCACGGGTGACGGCTCTGTGATCCCTCATCTGCCGATGTTTTCAAGCAAGGTCTCCAAATCGACCACCTGAATATCCAAGCAAGGAGATTCGTAAATCATATTGAAACAAGAAAAGTAAAGTTCAAAAAACGCTCCAAGTGGAGTGTTCAAGTAGAAGGAGCTCGCCAAGGCGGGAGTCCTTGAACATATACCATGTGCCATGGCTTGATGGTGCTGCTAACCAAGTAGCAGCACCAAAACGTAGTCAATACGGTTGAATGTTGGTCTTTGTTGCATTCTTATGAATGATTAGCCTCCAATTGAATCTCGACGAGTGAAGGAGGAAGTGGGTGCGCACCTTGTTTTGTTTCAAATCTATCAGTCATATAGATCATCATCCCCAGGAGGTACGGTCGGTTCCTCGGGGTAGTCTTCTTCCTCAGGCTCAGGGTTATGTTCAGGGTCCCCACGCCGTCTACGGCTCTGATCTCGAGGCTCAGGTTCTTGATCCTGGCGCTTTTTACGGCCTTGACCATGACCTCGTCTGTCAGTCTGTTCTTCTTGTCGAGGATTCCCCCACTGTTCTTGTCCTTCGGGAACCGAGTGAAGCTCACGGGTTTCGTAGCCAGTGGTGGTTTGTGAGGAAGCATGGCCGCCGGCGTAATAGTCTGATGTGCCATATCCGCCCGCTGCGGTTGAGGTGTCTGCAGTGCTGTATGCAGCCCCGCCTGAGCCATACGAACCGGAGCTGTAGCCAGTGTTTGAGGAGCTGGCGGGGAAGTACGAGTTGGTGTAACCATCTGCGGAGGTGCTGTGGCTTTCTGGGGCGTGGTCGTACATGCCCTGCTGAGAAGACTGAGGATAGGCAGAGCTGGAACTGTACGGTGCAGATGTGTAAGGAGCAGTGTAGCCAGTGTAACCGGCTACATATGTTCCGCCTCCCGCGTGCTCGGTTGTATCTTCTGCTGTTTCAGCAGGGCGGACTCCTTTGATTTCAAGAGGAGGGTGCACTCGGTTGTAGTCGGTCCGGATCTGCCACTCAGAGTCGCTAGAGACTTTGGCTATGAACCACTGCATTTCCACACAGTTAGTACTTCTCGATCTAGACTAGATGAGAACGGTGGTAGTTGATCACGTGATGTCCTCAAGGGCGGTAATCCATCCCAGCCAAAGCTCAGACACGCGAAGAGGAACGGTGCCGGGACTTACCACTTTAACGTTATACTCCACAGTATAAGTTTTAGCATAGTTGAGCCGAGAGGCATCATCGAGCTTGTGGCGCGGATTGTCGGGGGTGACTTTGATTGATCTCATTTGAAGGCCCTTCTCTTTTTCTCCCCTGAAGGCCACCGGTTTCTTGCCGCTATAAATAATAGCATGGTGTTCAGCATGGACTCCTCTCTTCTTTACACCTTGACCAGAGTAGGTCAAAATTGGGCTTGTCGCATGTTAGCAATGTACGAGGAAGGATCGTCTGGTAACTGACAGGCAGATGCAATGGCCTTCCATAGGCTTGATAATCACAAAGCGTCGAACTTTGGCGTACATTTCTTTTCCCCTTTCATTCTTCCTCACAGTCACAGAGCCTGTCCCGCTTGTCCCGCCTGCCGAGCCTTCTCCACCTGCCCCCCTTGGCTCGGCCCAGAGGACTTTGAAGATCTAAGTACTGTGAGTAACAAAGCCACGATAAGATTAAGAGATACTCGTACCTTGCCCCATTTGAATTGCCATGCCGGGTGTACTTTGTAATCTACACAGGGTCAGAAAAAACGAAAACAATGGCAGTCTACTCACGTGGATCAAATTCTTCCCTATCTGTCTCAGGATCTCTAGTCCTGATATGGTTTTGCCAAGCGGTACTCGGTGATGTGTAAGCTTCCGCGCTATACGATGGAGCACCGCCGTAGGGTGAAGTTGGGTGCGATCCAGTACTGGGACCGTAGGATGCGGGACCCACGGTGTAGGGTGCCACATATGCTCCACCACTGGGACTGATTGAGGTACGAGCAAAGCTTTGGTTGAGGGATTCGACATCAGCTGCTCCGGCTGTCTTGGTCGTATAATTTTGCTGCTGAGGATAAATGTCCGGAGTAGGGTCCAAGGCGGGTCCTTCTGCGGGTGTTCTGGGCGTTTGTGCAGATGGAGCCTGCTCTTTCTCATACTCATACTCGTAATCATCTAGATAATGGCCGTTAGGAACGCCTTGTGGGACCACCTGCACTCTTACCGGGCCCCCTCAGTCGAGATCTGTAGTGACGCTGGTACTCCTCGCTCCACACCCACCCGCTCCACTGCGTGGGATATCCCCTGTTGGATCTTCCCTTGGAACGGGAAGACATCTTCTCATGGTGCAGCTGCTGATGGCGACACACAAGGAGAGAAGAGTCGCACCGTCACGCAGAACAGAGGTGCCAGGACCGGAGTTTATCACGGCAAAATGCTGGCGGCTCAAAGGCTCAGGTCTCGACTGTCAATAGGCCAGCCTCGGCGAAGGAGAGGTATCAATCAGCAGGGCCACGTGCGGCAATGAGAAAGGCCATAACTGGCCGCGAATATGCAGCTTTCTCCTTTTCAAGTCGTTGCTAGCGCCACACAGGGTCATTGATGCTTTTCATTGGAGGGGAGGGGTGGACTGAGGGAGTTGACAATTCGCGGAGTGCTGTTGGGGTGTGTGGAGAGAGGGAAGACAGCCAATACGGCCCATGTCGCCACTCCGCTTGCGGGTAAAGTGTGGGTGAAGTGAAGCGTGAGAGTAAGTAACGAATCGCAGCCTGCCATGTGAAAAGTCCTGGCGAAACAAGCTCACGGAGCACTCAAGCCCCCACATGCCTTCAGCCACAGCAGCCCTGCAAATGCCTCGCCGCTATGCCCAACAAAGCATAGCCTGTTGATAAAAATGACACCTGGAGAAAGCGCGGCGCGGCTCGCCTCGCCAACAGTGTGATCCACATCATTCAGCAATTTTGTCAGCCTTACCCTGTGTATATCGTCTCTATTCGATGTCAAACCCCTCACCTGCGCAGGGGAATGCCAGTACCGTTGATGATCATTGTCTCGGATGTCTGTCCGGGCCTCACAGAGTAGGGTAGTGGAGGAGAACAGGGCGCTACCTGTGTCTCTCCTAGGGAGTCGCCTGATGCCAGATGAGGCTGAGGGGATATGGGGACATGGGCGGAAGATCTCAGATCCATCTACCCCCTCAAATTCAGGGCCCAGATTTGAAAAAGACGACAAAATGGCCGTTCCTGGAGTGACGCCTGCTGGTGTGGCATTGTCGGCGCCTCCTCTCAGCCTACCCTCACGCACTCGACCAAACAGTGAGCAAATGCCACGTGTGAGCACTGCTGTCGACCAGCCTGCATTTCAACGCGTCACATCCACAGACCAAGAGTCCAGAAACTCTCCGGCAAAGTCATCTCGAGCGTCCTTCAAAATGACCAGTTCGACAGCAAGTACCTCTGAACCACCAGGAGCGCCTTCCACCCCAAATGCGACTGCAGAAAGCCGGAAGCTCCGGCCCGGATCTACTGCTGAGATTGAATGGGATCGTATTCAGAAGCTTCGAAATGAGAATTGGAGCTTGCGTTCTCAGATTCGGGAGATGCGCAACAAGTTACGGCAGCTGCAACACGAGAAATCAAAAGCCGATGATATATTGTTTCGGCGCTTGACAGCCCACGGACTGGGGTTTGGGCAAGGATCCCTTCCGCACGGCCAAAAGAATTTGAGAGAGTTGATGCATGATTGTCAAGAAGTAAGAGATTCGTACGGACCTTTGGAGGATGACTGCAACGATCTCGAAGATAAGCTTAGCGGTCAGGAGTTTGAGCTCGATCGACTTGAAGAAGCCTTTTACAAACCCCATCCAGACGAGGAATCCATCATGTCTGAGAGGCCCCTGACCCCGGTAGGAGTCGATGATGGTCCGCCATATCCAGGCAGCGTCGGCGAAGAGGAAGAAGAATCAGAATACCATCCTCTAGTCGCTAGATACCTCTCCAAATTGGGCGATCTCGACCTCCTCCAAGAACGTCTTGAAGATCTCCTGGACGAGAAGCGCATACTAGAACAAGAACGAGAGCGACGCCGTCATCTCGGCATGACTCTCCTGTATGAGGACCAGCAATGGCTAGAGAATATCCACGGCGCTGAAGACGGCCTCTACGAGAAGATCCGCATACTGAAAACAGACCTCGAAGTAATGAAGCAAGACTGTCTCTCCCAAGGCCTCGTAGACGAAGATGGCGAACCGGTCGACTTCCAGATCTGCAAACAGCGAAGTTTCGACGACGAACCAGTCGCCTTCCACATCCGCGAGCAGCGAAGTTTCGACGGCGAAGAGGACCTGAATTCGCTAGACCAAAAATCAGAGTATGTGAAGTACCCTCTATTACTTCCGCTCCCGAACGTGAAATTCCCCTACAAGCCCGAAATAACGAACCAGTCAGAGCGGTCAAACCGCACCATAATGCAGGCTTCGAGTTCAGAACCGTACGACACGACGGGCAGGATCAATGAGTGGCTCTTGTGGCGCCTCCGCCTCTCAGCACTCGATGTCAACCTGCTAGCACGTACCTTCCAGGCTCTCTCCGTTACCAACAATACCCCCCATCGTTGGCAAAACTCTGTTTTGAGAGTATGGTTCCGTGACGCGACGGTGAAGAATAGAGATGATGGGTTGAGGGCCCTTACCGATAGTAGTATGACAACCCAAGCACCTCCTCTTTCCGGCAATCTGTCAGATGGGGTTAAGAATGGGAGAAGACCAGAAAAAAGGCTGCCCTTTAGCCAACATCCGAGCAGTGAGCTTGAGTATGATGAGGTGGAGATTGTGGACCATCCTGGTAACCGCAAACCACAGTAGATTCTTCATGTGGTTTATTTTCTAAGAAGAAATTGTTTCGTTTGTTTAGAGGGGGCAGCTAGATCGGTCAATTTTTCTTTGCAGTTACTACAATGTCTAGCACTTGAGCGGGCGCATTTTTCTTCCTTGTTTTTTTGATCCAGCGGGCTTGATGTCCAGCGTTAGCAGCGAGCATAAATCTCTTTCAAATATCGGTAGTGGTGGCGGCGAGGCGTCATTTCACACTCCAGCACATGTATTTTGCCACTTATTTCTACCGCCTACCTCCCCATCGAAAATTACAAATTTAATATATCTTGCGCAATACTCGCCCTCCCGCCTTCCACACTTCCCCCTCTTCTGTGCCTTACCCTCGCTCGGTATCAAACCCTAACCTCCACGTTGGTATCTTCTTTAGTAGGTTCTTCCAGCTATATTAAGTGCACATGGTACCGTTGATCATGTATTTGTGCCCCTGTTCATGGCATGCGGTCCAACAGCCGTAGATCCGAATTCAGGCTATTCGCAGTACTCTAGAAGGATGGAGCATAAAGTATCTTGGACATGAGGCGTGTTTAGCCCTAAAGGTAACAAGTACTTCGAGGGGATCTTGCTGCTTTTAATGATGTAAGTTTGAGTGAGGGGTGGGATGGAGGATGTCTGGGAAAAGAGGCCGAGAAGGTGCTAACTTTGCTAGGGTTGGAGGAGCCTTTTGTTGACTCCTAACACTTCACATCCTGGACAACAAGATGTGTTCAACAAGATTTGGTGGACATATTGATAATTCTTGATTGCAATTCTTCCCTTTCCTGAACTTCATATACGGTGCTTGTTTGGATTTTTTGAAGAGTTGGGAATGTGAACCGTTGTCTGGCGGAGAACAACGCCGATTCCCCGGGGGGAAATATTTGCTTCGGATTAATAACTATCTCTCCCGCTACGCATCGAGCATCTCCATCCAAGTTATCTGTCTTCCTGATAGCCCCTTCGCTTTACTCCTCCACTCTCTGGATCACACTTTTTCATTCCCTCTAGCATTGCCCAAGAGTTCGCACCATCAAAGTTGAGCAGGCGGCATAGTTGCCTTTCTCGCTTTATCCTTTCAGCTGCTTTCACCTGCGCCCCAAAGAGATACTTTCATCTCTGCAGCCTGTCTCTTTCCCAAATCAACGGCCGTCATCTCCCCCAGTAACAGGCAGTTGCTATTGAAACCAGCTCAGATAGGTAGAGCAATTCCCTTTCGTGAGATATCACCACGGCTCCTCCTGGGTTTATACTGCTGCCTCTCCATACTCCGAAATCAGGTTCTTCCCTTTATTGATCGAAATCCCAAGATCCATACATTGACTTTTCCCTTCAATTGTTTTTGTCGTGCCAAGGCATGAGGCATTCGCAATAGATATCTGTTTCTTGGGCGGCGAATCGGTAGCGTAAGGGTGATGTTGCCGTATGTTAATCCAAGGTCGAGCCGCAGTTACTGCTGATAAGCTACTTGTAGTTGGCAGATCAGGTTTCTCCTCTTTCTGCGGGAACTCGTCGCTGGACAGCGAACTCATCTGCATTTCTTCACTGGTGAACCTGAAATCGGCACAGTGTGAGAAATGAATAGATTAGATTAGATTAATGGCTATTAATCTAATCTATTCATGAAATTTTCTCATTAATCATATTCTATTCACGAATTAATTAAGCTAATCATGAATATTCATGAATAACTTGATTAATATACACGTGACCGCAGCACGTGACAGGCTAGCCTAATTAGGTAAGAATCAGGCTCTAGTGCTACCTTGCTTCTAGAGAGAAAAGCTCGCTAAGGCAGTGCTAGAGCAAAAACCTTACTTAATTAGGCTAGACTATCACGTGCTATAGTCACGTGTATATCAATCAAGGTATTCATGAATAATCATGATTAATTATTCTAATCTAATCAAATTACATAAGTATCACGTTAATCAAATTCTATTCACGCTATTCATGAATATTCATGAATTAATCAATTAATCAGATTAATTTTTTCGCACACTGAATCGGCATGAACTGACGATATTTGGCTTCCGGAATGGCCTTCAGGTATAGGTGACGCAGGTAGAGCCTTGGGCTCTTTTGACAGCTGTTTTGTTGGTTGTGTAGGTACTAGCGTTTCGGGACAAGCAGTTCTTGAGTGGTGGTGAGTGAAGATGAAATCACTTGACAAAGACTACCTGATTGATCAAAGCATTGAAGGGTCCGGAGTGAAGGTGTGGACGATGTGGAGGGTTGCACTTGGAACATGGGGCTATGTTGTCCATGCGCATGAGATTGGACAAGAGACTTTTCCCTGACCCAACTCTACTCACTTTCCGAGGGTACAACCATTCGGCGCCTGATATTGCTCTAAATTTATGCAGCATTGCCCCTGACGTAGCCAATAAGTTGCGCTTGCGTGGAACTGTTACCCCCCGTTCGTCAATACGAGCGATTGGTCAATCGGGGTCCCCATTGCCCAATCGCGGGCCCCGATTGCTTAATCGCTTGCTTAAGCGAACTCCGGTTTATAAATACGAGATCGAATACGAGCAAATTTTTAAAATACTAAAATATTTTAAACCCCATAAATTATTAAAATCCTATTAATGCAAATTATTAGAAATAGTTAAGTTAATTATATTAATTAAATAATATTAGCTTTAGCCTTTTATTAGAACTCTAAAACCTTTTTATTATAATTTTAATTTAAAATATAAATTATTATATTATATCTTTTAATCTTTAATAGAATTTAATCTAAGAAAAAAAACTATTTAAGTCTCTTATAAGTATTAATCCTTTTTATTTAATTAAACTTTGGCCTTTATCCTTTATTAAAAAGTTATAAATTATTTTAAAATCGGACTCTTTTATTAGCGAATCGGGCTCCTCGCTTAGGTCCGATTGACCAATCGCTCGTATTGACGAACGGGGGGGAACATATAGGTCGTCTCCTTCATTACCTCCTATAACTTCGAACTCGGAAATAGCTATGTCTAGTTTATTACTCAGAAAGTCTAACTAGAAACATATTTGTTTAGTTGTCTCTAATAAATTGCCTTTAAACTTAGTTAACTTTTGAACTTTGAGGCAAATAATTACCCTCAGGATAACGGATATTTGGCTAGCTCCGTCTTAGCCTGGTTCTGCAAATTTAAACTTAGTATAGTAATTATTTTTATTAAATAATTAAAATTTGCGCCTCGCGAGTATTTTTTGAATTGAGTAAATAATAATAATTGGCTAAAGTAAAAGCTAAGTAGTGTTTTTACAAGTATTATAAATTAGCAGTGTGTCAAATGAGTAGAGTAGAGTAGAGTAGCGGGTCCTACTCATACTCTACTCAACCAATTATAGCGCTACTCATACTCTACTCATACTCTACTCAAGCTACTCATGAGTAGTATGAGTAGTGTGAGTAGGTACCCACGTGACAGATACACGTGACAGATTAGCCTAATCAGGTAAGCCCACCGTCTAGTACCGCTCTAGCGCCACGTCTCTGCTCAATTAGGCAGTGGCATTACTTAGTAAGCAAGATAGGGGAAATCAAGATTCTAAAGAGCATAACTAGTTTATTATTATAGAAAATTAGTATTTAGCTAGTCTTATATAAGCCCTAACTTACCTTTACTAGGGCTACTTAATAAATACCTATATTATTTAATTATTATTAAATAAATCTTAATTTATTATTGTCACGTGACGGCTACTCATAACTACTCATACTACTCATGAGTATATACTCTACTCTACTCAAATTTTTAGGACATTACGCTACTCATATTCTACTCACGCTACTCATGAATATTCATGAGTAGTATGAGTAGCATGAGTAGTTCTTTGACACACTGTAAATTAGAATACTGGAATTAATCGTTAGCTAAAGTCTCAAATATATCTTTATTTATTTCTAAAATAATATTTAATAGTATTAAAGTAATATACTATATTTTATTTTATTACCCCCGGGAATTCCTAAGTAAGACACACTTATTGAGATATTATAAGACGCGATATAGTGGCTTTAAATAATTAAAATTGCCTTAGACTAATAAATTTTAATATAAAAAATTCCCGAGTTATAATTATAATAGTAACTTTTGCCTGGCCAAGAAAACACCTTGTCGAAAGCAGCTTTTTAGGGCTTCATAACTTGTACTGCTCAAGAATCGACACTATTTTAAAGCTCTAGAATATGCTTCTCTTTTTTTTTAGGAGGGTTTATCTGCCTCTTATACTTCAAATGCCACCGGGTTACTTAGTTTACCGAGAGCTCGCATACTGGGATTAGGACTGTTCTCAAATATTCCATAATTAAACCTTTGTTATATTAGTAAAACTCGTGCTTTGAGCTAGAACCGCTATTTGCGTAAAGGAATCTCAAGTCCTTTCCTAGATACTCGAGATCGAATTAGATAGTCCTTACTATTATAGTACATGGTTGTAAAGAATACCAGCAAGCTTCCTTAATTACTGTCTGCTCTAGATTTGCTAAGCTTAGTGAAATAGTGCCAACGGCTTTCGTTAATTCTTTCTCCGCTAAGATTAAAATAGACGAGTAAATAATCTTACGATATGGTGAATATCTAATGGCAACATCGATCCATGAAATTGCCGATGCCAATTAGACCTGGACATCGTGACTTGCAAGTACTATGACTGAGATATGTGAGCTTAGGCTTTGCGCGTCCGGGATTAAACCAAGCTTCATGCTAAGAGATATAACGTAACTTATTCGGGCAACTCCTGCTTAAGATCAGTGAATCCCGGGTACAAACCAGCGCTTTCTCTTTTACTTACCCCTGACCCAAAATTTAATAAAACTTACAGACTTTCTAATAAATAGGACTGATCTCAGGGAAGGTCTGCACCAGATAATCACGGAAATTCTGTGCTTCGGCGTTGGTTAACTCTCCAGTGACGGTAAGAACTTTGCTTAGCTGCTGCCTCTCCGCAAAATAGGTTGCGAGGAACTTAGGCACTTCCCATTCCACGACATGCTCGATCGTCAGCGGTGATTCTCTCGAGTCAACGATAAGCCATATTTTGAACAGCACTCTTTTACGAGGATCCGGATAGATAAGCAACTGTAAATTCTCTTCCAACAACGGATGGCCACGGACTTAGAGAGAACAAGGACCAGATCCTTGGGGTATGTTCCTTCTTTGTCTTTAGGCAATCGGTCGTTGTCATTATCCTCGTCGTCTTGAACCTGATATTTATGCTCTTCTGAATTACCCAGGGCAGCCATTATATCGTTGGTATGATTTGGCTGGCTTTCCGAAGACTGCCGGAACAGACTAGCTGCGTTCCGAGAAAGCCTCCTAGTCGCACTCGCTGCTGTAGCCATCGCTGGCGATGCCACCTCTGCTTTCAAATGAGCTGAAAATTGGACCGAACTTCGTCGTAAGTTGTTTTCGAACTCGTTAAGCGAGCATTACTGCAGAGCCTTCCTTAATATTTTTTGCAGCCATCCTTACCTGGAGAGGAAGTTGGGTAGCCTTTTAGCTCCTCCATATGCATCGCCAGTGGGTGAAACCGATGACATAGATACGGCACTAAACACTAGACTCTCGATGGTGTCAATTGAGGATCTCCTGAAAATCTGGCCTTATGGTCGATTCCTCAAAGATTGGCATTAAAGAGGTAGGCAGTCGTGAAGTAATCTTACATGTACTTTCTAAGAGTGAATGAGGCGGTGGGATGGAATAATCACCCAGGACGTTCTCATTTGCTCGCTGTCCTTGATAGCCATGGGGTTCATAGCGGGGCTGTCTTCAAGAGTGTTGGTGGGGAGTCCCAAGTCGGGACATGTTAATCAAATCCTTGTGTTGTTGTGCCAATTATGATTTAATATCTTTATACCCCCGAATGTTGGCGTTAGAGAGAATTGAGGTGATGTTGGAGTGAAATTTGTATGCGTATCGCGTAAGGGACTAGAAATCTTGTAGAATCCTCCATCTTTAGGCGGGATGCCACCCGGTCGAACCGAGACCTCGCTCCTACACTTGCATCTGGAGAAACAGGGTGGGGAACAAAATGACGAAAGTCTACGTCTTATGACTTCGGGCCAAGGCCCATTTTTTGATTCGTCTCTTGAGCATCGCGGCCCTAGAGATTGTCAACTCTTGAACTAGAGCATGCTGAGGGAGAGCTTTTTATTTGGGTAGTACTCACATTGGCCGGGAGGATTGTTGCGCGAGAACAGCCTTAACCTCTTCAACACATTTCCTTTCGTCCCGATAAAGCCGAGTAATAATGGGGCGTTTAAGCTCCCATTCTTCGGAAGAGTAAGGAGAGTACGCCAGTCAGATGTCAAAGTGTCGGGCCCCAAGCTGCCGACAGCGATTTCCATCATGAGCTTGTCCAATTCTAAATTGGCGTTGGGTATATGTATGGGATTTCCATCGGATTGGTTGCCAGATATCGAGATGCTACCACTTGCTGAGTCTGACCCGTCGTCTGCAGCACCATCAACGTCCATCATTGGGAAATGTCTCTATACTTCGAGTCGCCACTACTCCTCCGTTCGTCAGTACTCCTCTCGTCGCCGTTGATCATTAATCCGTTGTCAGCCCTCAATCTCTGGCTGTCTTTGCTACTAGTAGTATACCTCGTCTTGCATGCCCGCTTCTGCATCTTGGGGTGGTCGGTATCTCCCTTGGTTTGGGTGCTGTTGTTACTGGTATTGCATCGGCAGAGAGTCTAGTTCCATATTTACAGATTGACCACCTCTGCCATTAAGGTAAATTGGTGGTGGAACTTCTAGAATTACTGAGCGTGAAAAGAACTCTCGAGTGGCGGACCTAAAGGCGTATGACTCGTGGGGGACGGATCGGTACCAAATTAAGATGCGGTCAATGGCCGAAGGAAGTCTTGGTGGGAACGGTAGGCATGTGGATCAGTACTATACGAATCATCCTCTTGCTGCTCCGCAGGATAATGTGACCTCGTCTGAGTAGTCTCCTTTCCATTTTCCTTTACATCAATTTTGCCGAAGGAAAAGAGGCGTTTTCCTGCTCCCCCTTTATTTCGGTGCTTCTTTTTCCTAATGGGTTGACATATCTCGACATATGAGGCATCGGACTCCAGGGGATATTTGCGGTCAGAGCGTTTGGCCGGTCGTCATAAATCCGTGCTTTCAAACCAGGCACCGTCCCATTTTGTGTGAGCAAAACTTGGTATGAACCAGGCCTGCGAAGAGAAACCCCAAAACCAGAGATCACCTGAGCTTCGTGAAACAGAAATGGTCGTCTCATCGAGGCTTCCGGTGGAAGATAGCCCAGGCTCACTCCCTCTTATCTCGGCATGCACTCATCTGGGAGGCGCGGTCGACCGCGCTTCTCATCGACACATGCACCCTTCTTTCCGTAGCTCAAACACCGAAAGCATGGACGTTCTCCGTCACACCTAAACTACATCATCTTACATGGCACGCAAGCCGAAGCAACATGGCCTTTTGTCCTTCGTTGCTGTTTAGGCGAGGAAAAGTCTGGCCCCTCACGGAGTGGCGGCCTATCTGCGGTTGGAAATCGCACAGCAGGTTGCGAGGGATGTGGCGGGTAGCTGCGGTGCGGTGCTGTGCTTGCTGCGTAGGGTATCAACTTCCACGCTCTTGAAACCAAGCGCCTGGATCAGTTGGCAGTCTAACACATGTTAGCTAGGAGAACTAATATCGAATTCTTGTTTGAACATACTGTGGGGTATCAGGACAAAGGAAAGTAATAAGACGAGTTTCTTCATCAACATCATCGGTCTCGATCTCATCTACGCTATCCTCTTGCTGTTGCGGAGGCGGAGGCTATTCGAAATGTTATCTATCGTCATGCCCAGAAACCCATCTTGGTCACGACGTGATTTGAGCCCACCCCAATCAGTTTCACAAGCCATGGCTTCGAGCTATCGTAAACAATCCAAGAAGATAGCACCTAGCAGCACACTTCGTCCATCCCAGCCTCATCTCAACACACAACACTCACCTCTAATCTTTCTCTTTGGTATCCCCACTTTTTCCAAGTTCTTAAATCCACGCAGAATAATAATCTTTACCAACTGAGCCGGTGAAGATAGCATTTGAGAGTGAGAAGCGTGAAATAGTTAACGGTGGAGTTTCTGAACGTTGACCTGCGTCGACGCGGCACGCCCGACTTGAGTGAGCGCCTCGATTGAGCAGGCGCAGGAAGAAACGAACGAATCACGCGTGCAGTCCTGCCTATTTTACAATGTGCCCATCCCGCAACCCGGGCGTGTTATGGTGGGAGAAACAGGGGTGCAATTGGTTTGGATGTCACGGTGCCAAAGAAATGGGAACGAGGTGAGGCTATCAGGTTGACTGGAAAGACTGGAAAGACTCGCGGTCTTCTCAATCTCGTAACCACTCAATTGGGAAGAGCACATGTGAAGCGGACATGCTTTCATGAAATATCATAATTCATTATCATCGTAGCCGCAAAGGACTGCTTATACTGTCCTGTTGGCCTTTTGTTACCTGTCGATATGAAAATTTCGAACCTCCCGTTTGTTAACACGATGTTGTCATCAGTCATTACGCAGCCGTAAAGCACAAATGAAATCTCGCCCAAGTGGACACCGCTGCAAGGAACGATCAAACTCCAACTGACATAGGGGATCCGGAAAGTAGGGACCGTGATACGCCATGGTAAGCGAAACATGAGTTGAGAGGCCAGGACTCTCTCAGCAGTTGGGATACTTCGACAAGGAAGAGCCAATGCTGGATGTTTCGAGGTATGATGGGAAAGCTCTATTGTGAAGCAGTCCCAAACATAAGTCGATATGTGGAACATATAAGTGAAGTGAGTAGCTCTCATTGAAATGAAATTGGGAAGTAGAGTCGATGATGAGGCAAGACCAGGTGACGAACGCCTAACGTCGGCGTCGATCTGATCTGCTTTCTCGTCGTTTTCTGGCTTCCTGACGAGCAGTGTCAAGAGTTCCGAGGTCAATGTCGTCGTCGCACAACGCGTCAGAGGGAGGCGCAGGTTCAGAGTACCGAGTGCGGGAACTGTAGCCTCCCGATGGCTGGTATTCTTCAGTAGGCTGGGCAAACCCACCACCTGCATGCCCATAGTAGTCACCAACAGCGCTGGGAAGAGGATAGTCTGTCGGTGGATCCATGAAATAACCACTGCTTGGATAACCTGGATTGGAAGGCGGTAGAGGAGTTCTGCCTTGTTGCTCGTAATAACTATCTCTAACTGGAGGTGGATAATACGCATTTGACGCCCGGCGAGAGGAATCCATCATATTTTCGGAAGTGTATGCCAAGCCATGGGGGGAGGCTGCCACTGTAGTGCTAGCATACTGGGTTTGAGAATGCATGGAAGGCGCGAGGTAACTGCCGGGGCCAGAGTAGAGAGTCGAGTTCATTCCATGAGTGTTTGACTGGGGAGGATAGAACATCGATGAAGTTTCATGCTGCGAGCTGGGAGGATAGTACGCTGATGATTCGCCTCGCACCCCGAAGTCGCTAGGCGCGCCGCGCACTGTCGATGGTGCTGGTGGGAAGCCAGACATGGTGGAAGCAGAGGTGAACCCGGATCCCGAGGCAGCTTCAGGCATGTATGATGCAGGTGGAACGGGAGCGGGGTAGCTGTTGAGTGCTGCCCCAACACCAACCAGGGTTGCTTCACTTGCTCGGGGTGTCATACCAGCGCCGCCCTGATCTTCGATTCCGCTGTAGATCTTCCGAAAGTAACGAAGGAGAATAGCCTCGGAGTCGAGGTCCAAGGTGCCAACATTCTTGACCTTAACATTGGTCTCCACGTTGTACACTTTGCCATACTGCGCAGCTAATTAGCGCTGGACACCTAGGGGATCTTTGAAGGGGTTGTGTTCACTTTGGAGACACAACAGAAATAAAATCATGATAACTTTCAAGACTGTGCTCTCCATTGGGTTCTCAAAGAGGAAATCGCGAATCAGAAAGAGAGTAGGCCTTACGTTCACCAATGACGGATCCTTTAAATGGGCGGCACCTTGGGCCAAGTTGAGTTTTAATTGCCTTGAACACATACCTTCAACCTTCCTGGGTTTGTTCCTGCTGTAAATGAACCCATGTTCGTCGAGTCGAATGCCGCTCTTCCTAATACCCTCGTTTGCATACGACGTAACCGGCAGACAGCTTACGGATCTTTCCCCTTCTCGAACAACAATGAATCGCCGGATCTTGGAGTAAACACGCTCGCCGTATAGTACCTCACTCACGAAAGTAGGATCGACTTTGCCGGCATTATTGCCCAACGCATCCGTCCATAAGGTACTGAACACTCGACCAATTCTAAAGAAGTCTTTGTAGTCTCTGTTCCTGACCTTATATGACGAATCGATTCTCTCCGAGGAACCGGAAGTGCCTTTAACAACTCGATTTGACCCTTGCTGCTGCGTTTGTGCCGCCGGAGGAGGCTGTTCGTCATAATGATCGTGGCTCGGATAGAGTTGTGGAGATGGGTCTTGATCTGAAGAAAGAAATGCTGTCTCTTCGTGGCGAGCAGATACTGTTGAAGGCTGCCAATCTCTTGTAGCGGGAGCTGCTATTGGAGAATGGGTATAGTGGTCGTCTGAGACATGTAGCGCACCGAAGGTCCCCGCCAATGAATCCCCTGTCCCAGGATCCAAGGGTCTCGGACTTAGATGGCGGGGTCTCGAAGGGGACAAAGGTTCGAAATCATCGCGAGTCGAGTAGCTAGTTGATGCTTGACGGCTGGAGTCAAAGTATGCCCCGGCTGGCTCGTCCGTATACCTGCGATTGTCTTCTGGGTAAGGCTGGCGCCAGCCAGGAGATCTAGATCTTTCCGAGTACGACGGCCTTCCGTCTCCTCGAGTCGACTCCCTGACTGTGGACTTTTCTCCTCGGCGGCGACTCGAACGTTCGTCGGCAGGGCGGTCGTACGCCGAATCCCTTCGTGCTCGTGGTGTTGAAGACCTGGCAGGTAAAGTTAGCAGCAGCTATTGGCAGCGAACTCTCGACTCTTACGATTCAGCTCGCGAGGCTTCCTTGGGATACCTCCGCCAGGTACGAATGGTGTCTCCATCTGATTATCCGATTAGCAATCGGGGCCCAATCCAAAGCTCCGAGAATTGTGTGGGGCTATATACTTGAGTCTTTGCTATCTTGGTAGAGGTCCCCAGTCTTGGGGTCTTCGTACCAAAGGTTAGACATCAGGGGAGCAAGTTCGGGGCACTGGTCTCTCCATCGACGGCAAGCAAGTGATAGGTGAATCCGCCTTGCAGCCTCTCTTCTTATCCATTGCAGGCAAGGCGAGTTGAGAGGGTGGGGATTGAGGCTCTCTCCACCCCATTACTCAGAGGATGTGGAGTCATATATCGAAATGAGGGGTCAGATTGCATCCACGTGTCGACAGAGGGCCTCGAGGTCGCGGGGGTCTTGCATCCTCAAGAACACTTGCATGATGCACCGGCAACCAGATTCCTGAGGGTGCATTGGATGCTGCAAGACGAGGTGCTGATAGGTCGTCCTGATCACCTGCCTGTGGGCTTTCCAAGACCGGGCGGAATGAGCCGCATTGTGGGGGGTGTTGGCTTGGTCACCGAGTACAGACAGTGAGTAAGGTGAAGTGTGTCTTCCAACGCTGGGAAGGGGAAGGTTTCTGGAAATGGTCCTGGGCTATCAATAGCAAGGAAGGAGTCTACAGCACAGTTGGGCGAACGCTAAATCCTCCTCCACAGAGGCAAGCGCAGCGCCACGGGAAAGCCTCTTCCCACTGAAGGATCCCTGGAAGTGTTCGGGTGCTTCGCGACTCGCAGCTTTCCCGCGAAACATTGCCCCTGCAAGTTCACCCTCCGCCCTGATTTCTCAAATTAGCCAGCTGAGCGAACCAAAATCCGCAGGCTGTGCAAGCCCTGAAGCCAGTATCTTCTCCAATGACATCTCTTCTAATGTGCCAGTTCAAGCAAGCTAACGGAATCAGACCTTCGATATCAGGCACATGGAGACTGAGCTGAGCCGCAATCAGCAGTGTGCGTGGCCCCATCTTTCCCGTTACTTGCGCTCGAACTTCGCCAGCCTTACGTTAAACGCAGAGATAACAGCGCCCTCAAATGCAAAACACGTATGATTACAATCAAATCAGTTGCAGATCGGCCCTGGAGAACCCTCTCAGGATCAATCACGTCCCAGAAATCCTCGTTCGGGTGCAATGAAAACGCGACTAGCTGTTCATGGCAAATGGGCGGCCACGGTCGAACAGCACGAGGACACGCCAGAGACAACAGCAAACCGTCAAGATCCTTCGATTATCCTGGCCACAGTTCTCGAGCTCCGGAGGCAAAGCAGACTCCGGGGCCGTGGACATTGAGAAAGACATAGCAGGCAGAGTGTTTGTCGTGGAGGAAGGAAGTCTAGAGGAGCTGAAGCAAGAGTCCAGTCCAGACATCACTCGAGTTGATGGATATGCTGGAACGTCATTCTTTCTGGATAATGAATTCAGTAGAATGGTCGACTCGCCAGCTCGAAGCTGGAGTGGAAGCGCAAGCAACGAAAAAACACCACGAATTGAACCCGCAGACGCCTCGCGCCCTCCCCCATCTCCCCAACTCCTAACGAAAGACACAGGCCGGCAAGATTCCGCATACGAGTCCATCAGAGGGAATCATGACGAAAACCCTAAGATCGGCCCCGATATACAATCAAGAAACATTCGCGCAAGGGAGAGGGTAGAGATCCTGCGAGGTCGAGTGTTGCGGTCTCGTCGAGATATAAATGAGAAGAGGGAGGAGGTGCAAACACTTCGCGAGAAATTCCGCGACGCGACGGACAAATTGATGCGATTTTTGAACGAGTTCATGGTGCAGGAAAGCGACAGGAATCGAGCCGCCCTGATCCCATACTATGAGCAGGTGCGCGCTTCACAAGACCAACTTGGCCCCGCAGAGGACGACTATGATATCCTTGAGATCCGTCTCATCCGGGAAGAAGCTGAGCTGGAGCAGGAAGAGACGCGATTTTACACGTCTAACAACATTGTTCTTCGCCTTCATCCAGACGACAAGCTCGACGAGCAATTGACACCCCTCATTAAACCATACGAACCAGAAGATGTTGAATATGAGAATCTGGATCTAGAAAATGAGCTTGTGAAGGAGTATCTTGCTTTAGTTGCAGAAGCTGACCATCTTGGCGGCGAGCTCGATTCACTTGAGGACGAGCAGTATCGACTTAGTCAGGACCTTTCACTTCGTATGAGATATAAAATCCCAATTACGGAACAAACATCAACTTTTCTTTTCGAATTTCCTCAAGCTCATAAGCAACTTCTCCAGCAACTCCACGATGTTGAAGACAAACTCTATGACCTTCGCGATCGTTGTATTGCCGAGCACCTCTTCGCCGAATCTGAACACCTCTACGTACCTCACAACGCGCTCGTCGAAGAGATAAATGAATCAATGAACGATGCCAGAGATCGAAGATCACTACGCACAGCAGCGCTGCACCATAACATCGCTACTCATCTGCAAGATACTGATTTTGCGGACAAGAAGGATTATGTGAATTCGTGGCTATTGGATTGGATTCAAGACTCATCGCTCGACGCCTTGAGACTCAAGGATATCATCTATTCACAATACCCACAGGATGGGAGACAACTTCAGGATGACGACTGGTCAGAGCTTGCGTTGGATTTCTGGAACCGGGACGAGCCTGGGAAGTCCGCAATACAGAAGAACGTTCTGAGTACAATGGATGTACTGGGCACAGGCACCAGCGGATATGATCTTAGCTTGATGGTCGATCTCGGGGGAAGTGAAGCAGCTTCGTACACTGCCCAAAGAATGAGCTCAGGAATGCGGCAAGAGGAAGTCTCCTCGGATGTTGGACTGGTCATCCGTATGGGTCCGCCGCTCCCTCAACAAGGGAGACCCAGACGGTCTAGCTTATGAAAAACCTTTGTCTCCAATTTGAACCTTAAACTTTCTTCTCTTCCCACCATCACGATTGCCAGTGGAATAGGACGGGGAAAGCGTACAGAGACGTCCCGGGAAGTAGAATCAAGGTGGATCCCCCTTTTGCGACTGTGGCTGTGTGTTATCTACGCGAACAAATATCCCCCTTCTCTGTATATGAGCACTCTGAAGACGAACTCTCTACAAGGGCAAGACTTGTTCTGAGGGTGGAGTTTAGAGAATGTTGGACACCAACTCGTCAAGTCGAGATACTGAATTTTTGTTTTTCCATTACACCACTCTTAATCCCCACCGGCCAGCGACGGCAAAGGATAGAAATATAGATCCACAACATTCAATATTTATCTATCTTCATTCCACGACTTTCATTCTCACGTGACGCTTAGCCACAGCTACATTTTCCATCAATTTATTTATCCCATGTTCCCAATATTTCGGTTGGGCCTCCGAAACCCAACGGTGTAACCGCCCCGCCACCGATTCCCATCACCACAATTGAGAAAATCCGAACTCGAATTTCCATCGCATTTGTTCTCCCGGTGGCGGATCTGAGATGGCAAAACGCGATGCGATCTGATCGATCGCGGGAATACCCGGCCCGGCCCAGGATCTGGAGTACTTCCATGCAAAAGGACGGGTTGTGCATGCAGTAGCAGGGATCGTGCCCGAGTTGCTGGGTCGGTGACTCAGCGGGTAGCAAGTCAAGTGGCGATTGACCTCACGTTCAACTTCACGAAAGAGAACAAGAGAAAGAGAGATTTGAAGTAAGGAGGCTTCTCGATGTCAATTTCAAGACTTCAAATCGCCCGGGGGGTGGGGGTTTGGTGTGGGTGTTCTCATAAAGTCAACAATGGTTTTTCTCACATTAATTGGGCGAGCCGCCTGCGAGGCTGGAAAAACAAACGGGGATTTGAAGAAGGCGTGGGTGCCTGGCTCTTTCTTGTTCAAGCGGCGATGTTGAAATTGCAGCAAGGCTGTAGGTTGTTCAAGGAATATGAAATTAACGATGTTGATCCCCCAAGTGAGGCAAACCCCTGGAGTATGGGACCTCTTATGGGGTTTCAAACTAAGGCCCGAAAAAAATACCGAGACTGAGCATGAAGCTGTTGCCAATCAAAGCCCTTGAAGGCCTGCCTGTTCAAACCAAACTCAAATTTTGACGCTGAGGAAAAGGAAAAGCAGAGGTCATCTCTCATTATGCTGGGGAAGTCATTTCGAATCGAGACCCATTGCCCCAAGGGCCCGCCCGTCCTCGAATTCAAATTTGATGCTGACTCCCAGAAGTCGGGGGAAAGCAAAAGTCATATCTCATTATGCCGGAGTGGGTCCGCCCAGTTCCTGGGTTCCAGAAGAAAAGGAAATGCATAAGTCATATCTCATTATCCTTGCACCATGACTTGGTGCATTCATCTGCCATGTGGCAGAGAGTAACGTATATTTCGAGTCGCAAGAGCATCGCATCCTTGTTCCTGGATCGAGATCATTCAGCGTTGTTTTGTGCAGATGACAACTCAACAGAAATGCTTGCTTGCCTCTATCGTGCTGGGCCTTGCCCGCCTGTCGAATCTTCGTATGCGTAGGGAGTGTCTCGAGAGCCAAGCCCCATTGTGCTCTCATAGTCACCCAGGACTCGATGCATATGCCTCCCGCAGACCTTCCCAATGAAATATACTTTAACATTATACTCGATAGTATATACCTTCGCATAGTTGATGCGCGAAGCTGAATCAAGTTTTTCTCGGGGATAGAACATATCGACCTTGACTGCTTTTTTGGTGAGATTTTCGCCATTCTGAATGATTTCCTTGTCGCTATAGATCGCTGCGTGATGTTGTGCTTGAGCTCCGGATTTGGTTGTCCCTTGGTACTGATAGGTATGAATTGGCCTTCACGGTCGTTAGTAGACATCCGTGTGCACTGTGAAGTTTGCTTACAGGCCGAGACAGTGTGCGTTGAAGGCTTTCACCACTACAAAGCGGCGGATTTTGTGCACAAATGTTTCTCTGAATTTGTGTGATTGAGATCGTACAGGCTCTGTGCCTCCGCCTGTGAGCTGGGTCCCATTTATGCCTGTTGGTTCCGCCCATAAGATTTTGAACACCTTTCCAACCTCAAACTTTGACCCATGGTTGACTTTGAAATCTTTGAAGAATTAGGATCTCGTTTCTTTCAGTTGCAAAGGTTCCAGGAGCCTACGAGAATCAAGTGGACTTTCAAGTCCTCGTGTGCCTGTTCCAATGTAGTTGTCGCCTTGTGGTGCAAATGGAGTGTGGTTGGCCGGGTTGTCTGCGTTGCCTGTGAGTAGAGTTTCATCAGCTTCTGCGATAACGAGGTTTAGGAAAAAGGACTGCACGAACTTGGCCATGTTTGGTCTGGATAAAATGGCTGTTGAGATGACGACGAGCTGCTCTTCTGGGGATATCGGCCTCCATAAGGGTATGAAGATTGCTGGTACGATGGTGCAGCTGTATCCTGATTATATTGTGGGTCATAAGTGTTAGCGTCTCCTGCCGTATTCCAATTGGTATCGATCATGGCCGACGCAGTACGCATCACGGGAACAACTGAAGCTGCGGTTGAGAATGAAGTTGCGACTGGGGGCACATATTCTTTTTCCAAGGTCAGATGTTACATGTTGAATATCCTGACACGACAGATAAAACCTACCAGTTTCTCGTTCTTTTCCTTTGTTCAAGTCTAGGTTTCCAAAAGCTGTCGTAGCATCATCGAAGGTACTGGTGGTGTAGTCAGGGGTGACAGGGGATGTGCTAAAGGTGGCTTGGCTCGACTGCTCATATGGTGGCGCATAGCGAGGAGTTTCCGAACTTCTAGAGTCTTGGTAACCCGATGTTGTGGTAGATTCATTCGTTTCCTGTGTCCCATATTCGTACTCATACTCTCCTTGTGAAACGTCAATAGCCCACCCAAACACGAAAAAGGCGCGAAACACCTCACCATATTTATCAAGACGATACCGACCATAACACCTTCTTTCTTCGTTCCACGCCCACTCACTCCACTGCGTTGGAGTGCGCTCCTCCTTGGAGTACTTCTTCCTTCTCGACGATCTTGAAGCCATGTGAGGAGATCGGCACGCGTTATGATGGTATTTTTTCAGGGAGGGTCCCCCCCACACTCACTCTGCAGCTCCTTATATTTGCGCATGATCATGCGGCTCTTTGCTTCAGAGTGAAATGGTGTTGCTTCCCTCACAAAAACGACCCTGGAAGATATCATGTGCTTCGACCGAATGGCACACACTTCGGAGATCTGGGGTAACATGAATGGCTATTTCCAACATGAGCTTGGCCGATGCAGCGGGACACACCGCGACACCCCACATGCTTGCAAGGGTTTTTTGTGGTGGTATGAAGCACGTCGGGACGCTTTGCATCGCCGCCCTATTAAGATGTTGGCAATGTCACATTCCAAAATGATTATCTGGGCACTGCCCAGTCCTGGAGATTGCGGCTCCCGTCACACGTGGTACAAAGCGTCTGCTGAGACATATTTTAATAGACGTCGCCCGTCGCCAGACGATGTGAAATTTCGCGATCAGAGGGTTCGGGCTCTCTCGCATTCTGATGCGTCTATAAGCCCAAGGCCCAACTCACACTTCACCGCCCAACGGCAACGTTATGGATCAGTCTTCGTTGTCTGCGTCTGCGTCTGCGCCTAACCGATGGACACGACGCAATGGCCCATCAAATTCAACCGAGAACTCTGATCATAATGAGCTCCGAGTTCAGAGAAAAGGGGGCCTGAGTCAAGGATGTCGTCCCGGTGGTCATCCCTATGGAGCAACACACCCTCAGCCTAAGAAAAGGGGAAAACGCAGATGGTTTACTAGCAAAAAGCAACTGGGTCCTGGGTTTATAAATTCCAGAGACCCTCGTGAAACTTTGGAAGAAAGCACAAACGACAATTGTTCTAAACGCAATCACACGAATATCAACTCAGCACACACACTAGAACCCGTTGGTCAGGTCTCCGTAGCTCTTCGACCTATCAAAACGGAGTCAGCTGTGAATGGACCGGTTGGCAGTAATTCGAAAGAGATGGAATCACCCCGTAGGTCAGATTACGAAAGGGCGGGAATCCCCGACCAAGGATCGGACCATTCGCCAGCCATAAGCACGACGCCTCCACCAAAAGTAACTGGGGCCGCAACCAGGAATTCAGAGGCATCCTTTGAAGAACCCCCTCCCGAAAGGCCGATATTCAAAACTCTTCCGAAGGATGGCGGAATTCAGCTCTATACTTTACTCCAGAGGATCCGTCGGCTGAGTGAGATCGTCTGGGGGCTTCGCTCACAAGTACAGGAGCAGCGTGGCATCATCCGATCCAAGCAGTATGTCAAAGCGGCCGCGGATGACAAGTATATGCAGTTGGCTCGGCTGAAGGAGTCAGGGGCCGATAAAGAGATACATTTGACAAATCCTGAAGGGAAGTCCTTACAGCAGCTGTTTCAAGAGTGCGAGTGCGTACGAGCGGAGTATGGACCCCTTGAAGATGATTGCAATGCGCTTGAAGACCGGTTAGGAAGCGAAGAGTACGAACTCAGGCGACTAGAGGAGAATTTCGTGAGGATCTGCAAATTGATTATTCCTCATGATAGTCAACCTTCTAGCCCTGATATGGTGGTTGAAGGAAGGTCTGAGAGAAGCATGTCTGATGAAATTCAGAACTTTCATCCTCTAGTCACGGAATATCTCTCCAAATTAGGGGATGTGGATATATTTCTTGAACGACATGAGAGGCATCTGGAAGGAAAGGAAGCACTCGAAGAAGACAAAGAAACGCGTGGGAGAGTCAATCGTACCCTCTCACCCGAAGGCGAAGCATGGCTGCAAAAATCTAACGAGTTAGAGAACGAAATATTAAGGGACCTCCAACAAGCTCGAACGGAAGCTGAAGAGTTGAGAAAGCAATGTCTTGCTGCTGGGTTACTAGATGAAAATGGCGAGCCCAAAGATTTCCAAACACAAGAGAAGGAAGCTTTCGCCGAAGATGTGGATGCGAAGGGTCAGGAGTCAGAATATGTCAAGTTTCCGACTCTACTTCCAAAGCCAGGAGCCAAGGACATGAAATTCAAGGCATCTGCTCCAAGGCCTGGAGAGCAGTCAGGTGGTGCTGGGGATCATATCAATCAGTGGCTCCTACACAGCTTACGGTCCTCTCCCCTCCACGTCTATCTTCTAGCGAAAACATTTGAAGAGAAGGTCGGGAATTTTGAAGGACAGAAATGGGAATCAGATGTTCGTAACCACTGGTACAAAGATGGGGCCATTAAGGATGCTACTGGGTATCGGATCTATTCTATTACTAGCGAAACAACGCCAGTCTATGGAAGATCGAAGTTTTCGAAGGACTCTTTGCACGAACACAAGATTGAGCCTGTATTGGGCATTACAGGGAGGAAAACTGCGCTTTCTGATACAAGTTCTAGGTCTGAGTCTGAATTCTTTGGCATAGGTGGAGACAACGAAATGGCAGTGGACGCTTTGCCCAGGAGCAAGTATGAAGGGGATAGGATATGAAAATGCTTCCTGCGACAGATACTGGAGTGTCCAAAATCTCCTCGTGTGATACCGTAGCTCTTTTCTATACTGAATTTCTACGTGCAGTGAAGTCACTCTCCGATATAACGCCTCTTATTTTGGAGAGTAAACACTTTCAACAAACACCGGGGTAACTTCATGGAAAGCGTTACCATGCAGAATTACTCACTGTAATTTAAATGCCGCATGTTTTACAAATGGACTTCTCAACATCGGGAAGGCGTGGGACAAAATGGGGTCGATAGGCCGAAAGTCGGGATCCGAGCATTGGCCATGATGAAAACCCGGCTTTCTAGTACACCGAACTGAACCAATCGTGGAAAGACGTAAATAACCCCTTTGTTCCTTTTGCGCCGGATTCCCGAACAGTGTCAGCCACATCGGGCGTACGTGTTCGGATCCTCTAACTGTCTCAGGCAACCGGCCTGGAGCTCAAACGGGATGGCGGTTTGTTGTAAAGGCAGCGGGCGGCAGGTGGGCTGACAAAAGCTTACGAAGATCTTCCTTCAGGGCTCTTCAACGCATTCACAAGGCGTAGCTCGTACCAACTGGGTGGGATGAAGCGTCAGCTGCGTGGGCGGAACCCCTGATACTAGGCTGTGTTCAACGGTCATACCAGGCAGCCGGGGCGTGTGCAATGTCAATTCCAGGATAAGAACATTTCTTTTGGCAGGGGTGGGGAATTGGCTTGGCGTTGTGTTGATAACAATTTTTGAGGTGAGGCGCCATGAGGTTTTGTCAAAGCGGTCACACATCTCCTCACCCTGTAGACCTCAAGAGGAGGCGAGTGTGGGGAAGAACGGAGATTGGCTTGTCTCTTACTTGACTCAAATGAAGCGAGAAGGCTTGTTCATTTGACTCAAATCATAAATTTCGAGTCAGAAAGTCTACCAATCTAATCCAAAGAGTCTATAACCGAAACGTTTCAAAGCACAGGTGCTAGTTGGCGCAATATGTTTCGTAAGCACATAATGCATGAGCCTCCGGGAAAGAGATTCGGCAGTGCGGAATCCGCACTGGTTGAAAATTGCCTAGCCTTCAGGGATCATCTTTTGTGTACACCGAATTCTGGCGCCAGTGACGTCCATAACGCATCACCATCACAGGTAAAGGTATCAGCACCACACATATAGCCCCCAAAACCACAAAGCCATATCCAAGTCCAAGGGCGTCCGTCAGAGGAGGAATTGCTAGCGGGAGTAAAGTGCCTCCCAAACAACGAGCAATCAGAACAATTGTCATTGCAGAAGCAGAGTAGATCCCAAAAGCGTCTACAACGTACGACGATAAGGCTATCGAACTCATAATCAAGACGACCCCGAGCAGAGCTACAGTCATTAAGAGGGTCTGAACAGGCCAGTGAGCGTTTGGGGCCCATCCGTAGAGTGCAACAACAGGCGGCATGAGTGCTGCTCCTGTAATCATGAATGGCAATCGATATTCAGGAATTGCAGTTCCTGTGCCAAATGACTTCCCTAGCTTGATATATATATGATCCACAAATGTGTTCGAGAGAAGGATGCCACCAGTAGCACCAATGCCTGCCAATGTTAGTTACAACTCGTGATTGGGCCTTGGATACATACTAAAACTCATGAACGACAAACCCGTCTGAGCTGGAGAAAAGCTATAGATCTCCATCAGTATTCCCGGTAAAGTAGTTGCCAAGACGTAGTATAATGTGAACATCAATCCACCATAGAAAGACATTATCTGAAGCACAGAAGAATCCAGCATGACAACGACAGGCCGCTTGATAGAAGTCCGCAATGCAGACCAGTACAACTCGGTGGCCGCTTCGTCTGTTTCATAAGGACATTTTATCGATTCATCTTGAGTCTCCTTCCGCAATCGTGCGGCTCTCTGCTTCAAGATGGAGACTTTGTATGTTTCGCGGAGGAGTGTGATGAAAAGGATCTCTGAGACGATCGCCAGAGCTGCGCTCATCCAAAGAATCTTTCGCCAGCCAAGGGACTCCGCAATGAGACCGCTGATTGCCGGCCCAACAGCACCTCCCAAAAGGGGAGCCAGCATGATCAAAGACATTCCGGATCCTCGAGATTCCGATGGAAACATGTCGCCGATGATGGCTGGGTTGAGAACGTTTGAGGCCACAGCAAATCCGGTCAAGAAGCGACTGAAGACAAGAAGACCTGTCGTCGGACTTGATGCCGTAAGGACGACACCAAGGATAAAAATGATGTTTGCCACATTGAATGTCGGGTACCGCCCGTAAATCTCGGAAAGAGGGGCAATGAGCAAGGGACCACAAGCTTCCCCGAGTTCCCAAACAGTGACGAGTAGTATACTGGCCGATTTGCTCTGCCTCCCCTCGAGATCGAAAATGATTCGCTCTGCAACTGGGACAATACCTATGCACGTGAAGGTCCTGTGATTAGTGTCAGCGATTTGCGGCATTCGAGGGACTAGATCACTCTGATTCAACGTACACTGTAAAAGACAGCAAGGCAAGTAAACAGACAACACCCATCTTGTACCCCTTTGGCCATTCTAAGGGGTTGTCTGGATCTCCCTTCGGATCAAAATTGACCAGTGGATTTGGAGTAGTGGCATATTGGGGCTCGTTGAGCTGCCCCAGCAAAGGCTGAGACTCGTCCATTTCAATAATTGAGGATGATTAGATCAAAAAGAATTATTACAAGATAAATTCACTGAGCGAAATTAACTGCGGAACTTGGTGCAACTGGACTCGGTATGCATTGAGGTGAAGTAGGACAAGAGTGGGACGTTGAAGTCGTTAGCCTATGATAGGGAATTAGCAATTCCGGATGACTAATTGCTTATCTTCTTGGCGCGCCCTTCCCCTTTTATGTGCAGGTCGGGTTACTCCTTTGGAGTATTGAAACCTAAAACTTAGTTTCCAAAATAACTTACGTGTTAAAACTAGGTCTTGTAGCCTTGCTAGCAAGCTCGGCTCGAGACTATTTTGAAAAGGGGAAAATGCAACTTCCCGGGAATCTCGCTAAAGTCAAGGGCACAAATTCTTCAGGCCCCTTGAATTTGGAGATGAAGGCGGAATTTGACCAAAGGCTATAGAAGTTGAAAGGCGAATGACTACCAGGGATGAATGTAGCCTAGCATTGTATGAGGTACATATTGGGAAGACTCATCCCACTCTGTGTTAATTGTCCGAAGCATAGAGACCAATGAGATCAATTTCAATACAAGAGAATGCGCGATCACTCTATAGGTGGATATGATACCTGCTTTGATTTAATCCCTAAACCTGCCTTCCGATTTCCTCGAGAAGAGCGCTCGAGGCGGACACCTCTCATGCTAAGCGAGTCAAAACCCCATATGCACGATGCATTACATCACTGGACAGCCATGCAGCCCACATGCAGCCCCACACAACCACATCCCGATATGTTACGATCGCTGCCCATTAGGCATGAATCAGCTTTAAGTGGTGGTCAAAACCACAAGCTATCGATTTCCGCCTCCTTCGCTTTTAAGTACTCCTTCGGAAAGCTGCTTCACTGGACTTGGGCTTTGTGGTATCCCACATCTGAGGCTGACGGAAGCTGGACAATGAATGGCTTCTGAAAGTCTCGAGGCTTATTGAAGCCTAAAAGCGGCAGTTGGGCCTCCTTGCATGTTGCGGCGGAGCTTCAAAATGTGAGGCGAGGGGCTGAGATGGTAGGTGATTGAATGTAAGCATGAAAAGTGCCTCGATGATATATTTCTGCCTATAAATTCACCGATAGAGGCCAAATATATAGGAAATAGACCGTAATTCGTAGCTCCCCACGCAGCAATAACACACCAAGGTTAACCACCATAATGTCCTGAAGCTAGGAAAGAAATGGGCTGGGGTACCAAGCCGTGATGGCAACTGTTGATGCTGTGGGTGCATTAAGCACCCCGGTGATCTTAGTCACATGACTAGAGCAATGCTCTTAAAGCTGTTGGTACCCGGGGGTGGAGAAGGAAAATCGTGAATCGTAAGCATGGCCTAGAAGGCAATAGCGACCGCTGGAAGTAATTCCGCGTGGCTAATGTGAGAACTAGCCCAAAATAGGCAGTTGTCAACGTATTAATTCGGTGTGGCGTTCATTTGAACGCACAACATTGAGTGAAGGAAATTCGTTTGATGCTTCCGTTCAATTCGGTCCGTAAATGTCTTCTTCATAATCCTGATCGTGGTATCTTCTCCCAGAAGATGAGTCCTGTTGTCCCGGCGGAGGCATTTGCGGATTGGAGTTGTAGGAGATTCCGTATGGCTGGTTTGCTGGCGGAGAGTACATGGTCGCTGCAGAATAGGAAGACCCATATTGTTGGGCGCCGGTCGCTGCAGGATAAGACTCATATTGTTGAGTACTACTTGCGTTCCACGCTGTTGAAACTGACCCTGCCGGTATGGGCATCGCATTTGGATAGTCCGGGTCAATTTGCTGCGCGTAACTGGTGGCTCGTTCGGGAGTATCAGGGCGGTACTTGTGCTGGCTAGGACCAAGCGGGGGGTGTGCGTCGTTGAAAGCGCGAATAACTTCCTGTTCGTAGTTTTTCGCAACTCGGCCGATGAAGAGAACCTTGACATTGTGCTCCACCGTGTATATCTTGGCGTAATTCAGTCTAGATAATGGATCGAGTTTCTGAGACTGATCTTTGAGGTCGATTCTGATTGGCTTGTTGGCCATAAGGCCCTTCTCAAGTTCGAGGAGATACGGCCCTGCCTTTCTGGAAGAGAAGACAACGGCGTGGTCCTCAGAATGGACACCTTTCTTTAGTACTCCTTGCTGGCCGTAGGTCAAAATGGGACTTCGTTTCATGTAAGCATTCACCAGAAAATCACCACACACTATTACTTAAGCAGGGCTGGAGCTTACATGCATATTGAATGCCCTTTTTTCGGTTGGGCAACTAAGAAACGTCGAATCTTGTGAAAGGCTTTCTCTCCGTATTTCACCGGCGACGTAATTTCTGTTCCACCGGCACCCATGGGTTCAGACCAGAGAACCTTAAAAACCTATCCACAATTACTTTTGCATGTCAAAAGAGCAGCTGTGATACTAACCTTTCCAAATTCAAATTCGCTTGACCTGTGAACCGTGAACCCTGTCAATTGTCAGTAACTTTAAGTGGAATTCGAACCAGGGAGAAGTACTAGAGTCTAATTCATCATGCTTCCGGTTTGGGTCTTTCGTATATACATTTCTCTCCTGTGTTTGCGGCCGATAGGAAGAACTTTGTGATCCATAAATTGGTGTTTGCGTTGTGTGAGGCGCCTGATACTGCTGGCCATATGGACTGTAACCCTGAGCGCTGGCAGGTTGAGGAGTTTGATACCCCGAATCGTAGCTTTGAGCCGGTTCTGCTTGTGAAGTTGGGAATTGAAATTGCTGGATTGGAACTCTCTGCGACTGGGAATCCCCATAATCAACATAATGGTCTGGAGCAGATCCAGTTGCGTGGGAGTCCGCATAGTCCTCTGAGGCATAACTTTGATGGTCTGCGAACGTTATGGTTAGCAAATCAATCAAGCTGCAGAAGGATAGAAAAGAGCAAAGATGTCTCCGTACCCCGACCGGTTTCTCCCCTTTTATCTTTGGTCCTCCTGTCGTGGCTATAGCGGCCATCTGAGTGCGCGGAGCTTTTCCCACTCCGTTTCTCGTCACGACCATAATAACTCTCTTGGTAGGGCGGGTCAATCGTTGCGCTGGCCATCCCTTGGGTAATACCAGAAACACCACTGTCAATACAATAGTTTTCAGATGGGTCGGCTTGTTGCTCCTCATCATGCGGGCTCTGCTCTTCGATTCTGTCCAAGGTCCCGTGAGGATCCACGCCACGGGGAGTCCATGGCGTAGGTTCCACTTCTTGGCCAAAATGCCCTTGAGGCTCGGTCGAGGGTAGTTCGGCATATTCCCATTCCCATTTGCCTACGTGATACACAGATCAATGATTGGTTAGGCGTGGGGGGGCTAAATCACCCACCTTCAGAAACCTCGCGGTATCGGGCGTCGCGAGAATATTCTTTACTCCACTCCCAGTTACTCCAGCGAGTAGGGTAGTGATCATCGCGACTCGACTCGCGACTCGACTCGCGACGCGACGACTGTTTGCGTCTGGAGGACATCGCCTCGTTCTGCAGAAAAGGAAGCTGGCGACGAAGAAGAAGGGTAGAGTCTGCGTATGGCCATGGCTCGCTGTTTTATTCGCGGCGGACGAGTGGTCATTTTTGCGGCTCCAAAGCGGTTGTATGGGGTATGTCCACGAGCCAGCACACCTCTTCAGCAGCGCTCATGTACTGAAGATAGATGTGTTCAGTTGCATGACGTCCTTAGAGGCGATTGGGAAGAAACACGGGCCCGTAGCGGATGTATGCAGCAGGTGAGACCGGCACCCTAGCTCATATTGTGGGATCATGCAGTGGCTTGCAAGCCACCTGGCTGCTTTTAAAGGTTACCCGCCAACTGGCAATGCCATGAATGATAATTAGGCGTCCTGCACAAAAGACCTGTCCACCAGTGCCTTTGCCCCCAGCCCTACCTTGGAGAGTTTGGAAGGCTAGTGAGGCTCAGTCGCAGACACTCTTTTGCGCCCAAAATCTGGCGATAATCACGACCTCATTTTGTCACGCACTCTCCACACCTCGCCGACACGTCAAACTCATGAACCCTACCCCTGAATCAGGGGCTTCCCTGCTTCATTTGTCCAACATAACTGCATATGACAACGATAGCCACCAGGTGTATGGAGGAGAGGTCGACCGAGCACCGCGACAGCACCGAACAGCCTCGGCCAGGCACAGGTCCTCTCGCCCTTCAATTTCATTTATCAGACCCTAAGTGGATTCACCGAAAGCTGTCACCCTCTCCAGTGATCGATGTAATCCCGGAGAATGAGATATATGAAGAGTATGGCCAGCCAAGGGGGGGGGTCGCCAAGCTTCGCTCTGGTCGGAACAGAGAGCTTGGCCACATGCTTGGCTCGACGACCTCGTTAGAATTGGAGAACGAAAAGACACTCTTGTCTATTTTTGCAAACGGAAGTCCTTACGGTACCCCAGACAAATTGCATGAACACACTCCCCGACCACGTGAGGGGAATCCGTTAGTGCAGCATAATTTGGCCGAATCACAACCCTCGAAGAATATCCTTAGCGTCGAGCCATCCGCCCGTTCAAGACGTCCCTCCACCTCCGAAGTTCTCGCCATGAGCCACTCATCCTCCAATTCTGAATTACGACCTCCACCAGGGCGTCCCCCGGATCCAGGTCCTGGTCCCAGTCGTGGACCTCCATCCCAAGACCTCCAACTCGATGAAGGCCACGGCGCTGGGCATCCCCAGTTACGACCGAATTTGTTCCGTGAACTTGATCAGAGCTCTTCATCTGGGAAATTGTTCTCTGTTCAAAATACCCAAACAGTTCACTTGCGCTCCCGGAGCCACCAACCTCAACGCAAAGAGTCAAGAGACAACATTCTGGAAAAGATCAGGGTACTCAGAGCTGAGGTCTGGGGCTTACGATCGAACATATCCGAGAAGCGAAATGTCCTACGAGACAAGGAACATGCAAAATCCGTTGCTGATGACAATTTCATGAAATTCATCAGGACCCATGGGTTTGCCAAACTGAGTCGAAAAGACAGGTCGCACGAACAGGAAATTCTCGCAAAACTTTTCGAGGAGTGTGAAGCGCTTAGGAACGATTACGGACCTCTAGAAGACGACTGCAATCTTCTCGAAAACGTTCTCAATAACCGAGAATATGAGATGCAGAAACTGGAGGCGGCTTTGGAGGAGCGTTGGAACGAAGCGCCGCCAAGCCAGCAAGTAATCACGTCTCCACAGCATTCACCTGCCCCATCGAACCACAGCGGATCCGAGCTCAGTCAAGCATTCCACCCCTTAGTTAATGCGTATCTTTCAAAAATCGGCGATGTCGAAATCTTCCGCGAGCGGTTAGAATGGCATTCTGAAGAGAAGCTCACTCTTTTAGAAGAGAAAGAAACAAAAGAGCATGTGAACTTGAAACTAGCGGAAGCAGATCAGAAGTGGCTTGACAGCTATGCCGAAGCGGAAATCGCCTTAATAAAACAGTTCGAAGAGGCACAAGAAAAAGCGGAGCACCTACGAATGCAGTGCTACTCTCTCGGTCTCGTGAACGAAGACGGCGAACCTCTCGACTTCGAGAGACAAGAACGCCAAACCTTCATAGAGGATGATGTAGACGCCGGAACTGAAAAATCCGACTTTGTGAAATTTCCTCGACTGCTGCAAAATCCGGGTAATAAAGAAGCCCAACTTCCCGACCCAATTATCCCACAGGCAGACAATGACAAAGAGAACATACACGAAACACAAGACCCCAACGACCGAATCAACGATTGGCTGCTGAAAACACTCCGCTCCTCACCACTAGACGTGAATCTCCTGGTCCGTACGTTCGAGTCCTTAGTCGGACACATCATCGAAAGCGAGAGATGGCAGTTCGACGTCCTTCAAGTCTGGTACAATGACGGCTCTAAAGAAATGGCGACGCACTATTCAAGATCGTTATCTGAAGTCGTGACGCATTCCAGGCAGAAAAGGGCAGAACAGACGAGCTTATCTGGGAGGCATTCGATCGGTATTCTGGTCCGCAGCTCGATGCTCCGTCCACCTAATATCGCAGAGGAAAAAGCATTTAAAGTCAATGATTATGGACTTCTACTGCCATCATCGACTGTGAAGGAAAGTGGCGGGAAGAGTGTCTGATCAGATTGAATTTTTATTTGTCAAGAAGGCGCCTATGCGTGCGTTCGATTCACTTTGCGATCAATGTCGCGTTTTTAATAGCCTCACTATATTTTTCTGTACATGTTCTGGCAGCATAGCAGTGGCAAAGGGCATTTTAGTGGCATCCGCAGTTCATAGAGTCCTTGAAGGGCAATCTGTAATTTTCTGAAAGATACGGGGGCTTTCCTTCTACGAGCGTATTGATACCCTTGATTTTTGCTTTGTGATATTTGGTTGAACCTTTCGCTTTTCCTACTGTATTTAGATACTGTTCCGTCAAGCGTAGGGGTTAGGGTCACTAACCTTGCAATGTGTCAATATTGTTTTCACTAGGATGGGATGGCGTTCATTGGCGTTCATTGGCGCTCGATGCTAAGCAATGCCTTGTTAGATCGAAGATATGTTCTCTGCCTTGGCTGCCAGGTAAACACAGGACTGTTGGCTAGGACGCGTTTGACAATAAAACAGGCAATTTATTGATTTTCGGGCGCTATTCGCCTCACGCTGCAAAGTCAAGTTCACCGCCACATGGCAACTTCCAACATATAGGCAGACGAGCATGCGCATTTCGATCGCTACTCCAGGAAACAAGGCTACCCGCCCCCCTTACCAGTCAAAATCCCGAACTGACTGGCGTCAGCTCTCGTGCCTGGAAATGAGCTTTAGGACTTCGGCTGTGATTGGTATTGTGTGAGTCAAGCCCAGCGCGTATTGAGTCAAAATGCACACATTCGGAACACTTTCAGCTGATCTCTTTTGGTCAAGAATGTGCGAGAAGTTGGTGCGTTTTGCGGAGGTAAAGCAGCATGCATATAGGGTTTAGCCCTGACGGTATCTGAGCACCTTGTTCCAAAGTGAGGCTTGTGGAACGGTCTGCCGTGCCGTTCTGTTGGAATGCCCGAGTTGTGCTTTGCGTAGTGGCTGCAGGTCGCTTGCGGCTGGAACGCCACCAACTGCTTGAGCGGCATTCGGGGGGTTTGGAAGCCAGAATAGGGGCAATGTTTCAACCATGTCACAACACAAGAAAGTTGTGTTTAATTTTGACTCGGGAAATGGGCTTATGACTTCCTTGGTTGTAATAGAAGTATGGTTCAGTGGGTTGAGCAGTCGAAATGGTGTGCTGACCTTCTAAATATCTATCACTTAAGTCAACTGTCTTTCTACGGGATTCAGGTGAGACCGGCAGACTGCGAAAGACAATGCCATTCGGTACATCACACCGGTGTTGCAGCGGACGTGAGATCCCGGACGTTCTCTCAGGTTCCGGCGGTGACAGGGTGCCCGGACTTTCCATAGTTGGAACTCTTCATACAAAAGCTGTTTTCATTTGCCAAAGCGACGGTATGCCTGGTGGTGTCTATGTTGTTTGAATTGGACGCCTGGCCCTGCGTATTATAGTAGTGATCGTAGATGTTGTATAAGAAAGCTGGTTCATTTCTGCCCTTGGCATATTTTGCTATATCAAATCTTAGAACGTAAGTGAGCTCTAAGAGGCCCCAGTGTGGGCAAAAACTACTCAAGCTACTCAAGCTACTCTAGAGTAGTCTTGAGTAGAGTAGAGTAGAGTTTGAGTAGCGTAATATGGTACTTGAGTAGAGTAGAGTAGAGTACTACTCTAGAGTAACTCAAGAGTAGTCACGTGCAAGTTACGTAAATGTCACGAGCACAAGATCTAGGGCCTGGAAGGCGTGGTTAGACTGTCTCTATTTCGATGATTCAAAGCTAAAGAGAGAAGAGGATCTCGAAGGAGCCTCGGATCTAAATAATCGCGAGCTATGTACGGGCCTACGTGCTAGCTTAAGCTCGGGGTCACGTGCAACGATCAGATGACTACAGATGCCTCGCTCAGATACCAGATACCTCTCTCAGATACCAGATGCCTCTCTAGCTCTAGTCTAACCCCTACTAGTACCGTATATCGTAATAACTGTAATATTACCCCTCCCCTCGAAATAAGCTCGTCCCTGAGCTTCAAAAGTCTCTATTAAATTTCCAAATTACAGGTTATATATTAAAGGCCAGGGCCTTTTATATATAACTTTAAAGGATTTCCGTCCGTATTATACGGTTCCGGTAGTATATTATTCTTGGTATAGTCTAACTAATAGGAGAGATTCTGAGGCGGTCCTAGCTATTCAGGGTTCTTATTATAGAAGCTCTAAAAAGCTAGGGTACTATTACTTAATAAGGAAGCAGGATACTATTCCGGATCTGGGTCCTATTCTTTTTACTAGACTCGGTACTTTAGCTTCCTATAAAGTAGCTTTACCGCTAGTATCTCTTGAACTTTATACTTCGTTTCCCCGTCTTATAGTTCTAATAGTAGAGGCTCCGGATTCGCTTATCCGGAAAGAG